CAGGCTCGTCTATCTTCTCACAACATGAAGGGATGTCTGAATCCCCTGTGGAGACCTTAGAGAAAGCCCTAGGTACCTGCCTCATTTTGTCGGAATGCCTCACATCCCGCTGACATCTCGAGAGGCACGCAGAGTTCACTGCTTCAAAAGGTGACGTTGCCTGACTCCTCTTGAATACTGATAGGAATGCCAAAATCCCTGTGGCTACTGGAAAGGGTCCTTGGGTGCCCTGCCTCACCTCGAGAAGTGTCCCTTTTGCACTGCCAAGCCTCGAGGAAATTCCTGAGGTGTCCCTCGTGACTAGACAGGAGTCCTGACGTCACTGAATAAACACGTGTTTTTAAAGGCCATCCCCGTCGTAACACGTGAAGATAACACAGGTCCCCGCCGCAACTCGAGAAAAACCATGAGACTTCCCATTAGAGGCGAGATGTGGACCCATTACCCTTCAGTGCATGGAGAGCTATTCCGTGATCCCCATCAAACAAGTCAGGAGCTTCGACTTGCTTAATGGATCTCGAGATAGTCCCAAAGAACACTGTCACCAGTCTAGATGGACCCTGAGGTCACCCCAGCAACGCAAAGCAGCTCCATGTGCCCCAAATCAACTCGAGATGAGGCCCGATTCCACTGAATTGACTCCAGAGCCATCACCCGTTCCCCATTCAACACGACCAGTGGCTTGACTTCCTTCAGGCAACTCGAGAGATTCCCCGAGAACACTGTCCCAATTCTGGAGGAACACCAATGTCAGCACAGCAACTCGAGGACTGCTCCGTGTACCCCAAATCGTCTCGAGATGAGAGGTGATTCCCTGGCTTAGACTCAAGACGTATGCCAACTTTCCAGAAGGACCTCAAGAGGAGGCTTCTCTCAGCAATAGGTATGTGGGAGGGACCCCGAGTTTGCTGCCTCAAGTGGAATATACACCGAGAAGACCTAACTTGAAAGGAGGCCGGATTTCCTTGCAGTGGCTTGAACACAGGCACGTCTTTCATCTCACAACATGAAGGGATGTCTGAATACCCTGTGGAGACCTTAGAGAAATCCCTAGGTCCCTGCCTCATTTGTCGGAATGCCTCACATCTCACTGACACATCGAGAGGCATGCGGAGTTCAGTGCTTCAAAAGGTGACGATGCCTGACTCCTCTTGAATACTGATATAAATCCCAAAATCCCTGTGGCTACTGGAAAGGGTCCTTGAGTGCCCTGCCTCACCTCGAGAAGCGTCCCTTTTCCCTTGCCAAGGCTCGAGGAGATTCCTGAGGTGTCCCTCGTTACTAGACAGGAGTCCTGACATCACTGAATAAACACGTGTTTTGAAGGGCCAGCCCCGCCATAACTCGAGAACATAATCCAGGTCTCCGCCGCAACTCGAGAAAAACCATGAGACTTTCTTCAAGAGGCGAGATGAGGCCCCATTCCCCTGCAGTGCATGCAGAGCTATTCCGTGATCCCCAGCAAACAAGTCAGGAGTTTCGACTTGCTTAATGGATCTCGAGACAGTCCCCAAGAACACTGTCACAAGTCTAGGCAGAGGCTGAGGTCACACCAGCAAGGCACAGCAGCTGCATGTGCCCCAAATCAACACGAGATGAGGCCCGATTTCCCTGCATTGACTCCAGAGCCATCCCCCGTTCCCCATTCAACACGACCAATGGCTTGACTTCCTTCAGGCAACACCAGAGATGCCCCGAGAACACTGTCCCAAGTCTGGAGGAACACCAACTTCAGCACAGCAACGCGAGGAATGCTCCGTGTAACCCAAAACGTCTCGAGATGAGAGCTGATTCCCTGGCTTAGGCTCAAGACGCATGCCAACTTTCCAGAAGCACCTCAAGAGGAGGCTTCTCTCAGCAATAGGTATGTGGGAGGGACCCCGAGTTTGCTGCCTCAAGTGGAATATACAGCGAGAAGCCCTAACTTGAAAGGAGGCCGGATTTACTTGCAGTGGCTTGAATACAGGCTCGTCTTTCATCTGACAACATGAAGGGATGTCTGAGCCCCCTGTGGAGACCTTAGAGAAAGCCCTAGTTCCCTGCCTCATTTTGACGGAATGCCTCACATCCCGTTGACACATCGAGAGGCATGCGGAGTTCACTGCTTCAAAAGGTGACGATGCCTGACTCCTCTTGAATACTGATAGGAATGCCAAAATCCCTGTGGCTACTGGAAAGGGTCCTTGAGTGCCCTGCCTCACCTCGAGAAGTGTCCCTGTTGCTCTGCCAAGACTCGAAGAGATTCCTGAGGTGTCCCTCGTTACTAGACAAAGTCCTGACGTCACTAAATAAACAAGTGTTTTGAAGGGCCAGCCCCGCCGTAACTCGAGAACATACCCCAGGTCTCCGCCACAACTCGAGAAAAACCATGAGATTTCCCATTAGAGGCGAGATGTGGCCCCATTCCCCTGCAGTGCATGCAGAGCTATTCCGTGATCCCCATCAAACAAGTCAGGAGGTTCGACTTGCTTATTGGATCTCGAGACAGTCCCCAAGAACAAGGTCACCAGTCTAGACGCACCCTGAGGTCACCGCAGCAAAGCAAAGCAGCTCCATGTGCCCCAAATCAACTCGAGATGAGGCCCGATTCCCCTGAATTGACTACATAGCCATCCCCCGTTCCCCATTCAACACGACCAGTGGCTTGACTTCCTTCAGGCAAGTCCAGAGATGCCAAGAGAACACTGTCCCAAGTCTGGAGGAACACTAACATCAGCACAGCAATGCGAGGAATGCTCCGTGTACCCCAAATCGTCTCGAGATGAGAGCTGATTCCCTGGCTTAGGCTTAAGACCTATGCCAACTTTCCAGAAGCACCTCAAGAGGAGGCTTCTCTCATCAATAGGTATGTGGGAGGGACCACGAGTTTGCTGCCTCAAGTGGAATATACACCGAGAAGCCCTAACTTGAAAGGAGGCCGGATTTCCTTGCAGTGGCTTGAATACAGGCACGTCTTTCATCTCACAACATGAAGGGATGTCTGAATCCCCTGTGGAGACCTTAGAGAAAGCCCTAGTTCCCTGCCTCATTTGACGGAATGCCTCACATCCCCCTGACACCTCGAGAGGCATTCGGAGTTCACTGCTTCAAAAGGTGACGATGCCTGACTCCTCTTGAATATGGATAGGAATCCCAAAATCCCTTTGGCTACTGGAAAGGGTCCTTGAGTGCCCTGCCTCACCTCGAGAAGCGTCCCTTTTGCCTTTCCAAGCCTCGAGGAGATTCCTGAGGTGTCCCTCGTTACTAGACAGGAGTCCTGACATCACTGAATAAACACGTGTTTCGAAGGGCCAGCCCCGCCATAACTCGAGAACATAGCCCAGGTCTCCGTCGCAACTCGAGAAAAACAATGAGACTTCCCACTAGAGGCGAGATGAGGCCCCATTCCCCTGCAGGGCATGCAGAGCTATTCCGTGATCCCCATCAAACAAGTCAGGAGCTTCGACTTGCTTAATGGATCTCGAGACAGTCCCCAAGAACAATGTCACAAGTCTAGGCAGAGGCTGAGGTCACACCAGCAAGGCACAGCAGCTGCATGTGCCCCAAATCAACTCGAGATGAGGCCCGATTCCCCTGCATTGACTCCAGAGCCATCCCCAGTTCCCCATTCAACACGACCAATGGCTTGACTTCCTTCAGGCAACACCAGAGATGCCCCGAGAACACTGTCCCAAGTCTGCAGGAACACCAACTTCAGCACAGCAACGCGAGGAATGCTGCGTGTAACACAAAACGTCTCGAGATGAGAGCTGATTCCCTGGCTTAGGCTCAAGACGCATGCCAACTTTCCAGAAGCACCTCAAGAGGAGGCTTCTCTCAGCAATAGGTATGTGGGAGGGACCCCGAGTTTGCTGCCTCAAGTGGAATATACAGCGAGAAGCCCTAACTTGAAAGGAGGCCGGATTTACTTGCAGTGGCTTGAATACAGGCTCGTCTTTCATCTCACAACATGAAGGGATGTCTGAATCCCCTGTGGAGACCTTAGAGAAAGCCCTAGTTCCCTGCCTCATTTTGACGGAATGCCTCACATCCCGTTGACACATCGAGAGGCATGCGGAGTTCACTGCTTCAAAAGGTGACGATGCCTGACTCCTCTTGAATACTGATAGGAATGCCAAAATCCCTGTGGCTACTGGAAAGGGTCCTTGGGTGCCCTGCCTCACCTCGAGAAGTGTCCCTGTTGCTCTGCCAAGACTCGAAGAGTTTCCTGAGGTGTCCCTCGTTACTAGACAGGAGTCTGACGTCACTGAATAAACACGTGTTTTGAAGGGCCATCCCCACCGTAACTCGAGAACATACCCCAGGTCCCCGCCGCAACTCGAGAAAAACCATGAGACTTCCCATTAGAGGCGAGATGTGGACCCATTACCCTTCAGTGCATGCAGAGCTATTCCGTGATCCTCATCAAACAAGTCAGGAGCTTTGACTTGCTTAATGGATCTCGAGAAAGTCCCAAAGAACACTGTCACCAGTCTAGATGGACCCTGAGGTCACCCCAGCAACGCAAAGCAGCTCCATGTGCCCCAAATCAACACGAGATGAGGCCTGATTCCCCTGAATTGACTCCAGAGCCATCCCCCATTCCACATTCAACACGACCAGTGGCTTGACTTCCTTCAGGCAACTCCAGAGATGCCAAGAGAACACTGTCCCAATTCTGGAGGAACACCAACGTCAGCAGAGCAACTCGAAGAATGCTCCGTGTACCCCAAATCGTCTCGAGATGAGAGCTGATTCCCTGGCGTAGGCTCAAGACGTATGCCAACTTTCCAGAAGCACCTCAAGAGGAGGCTTCTCTCAGCAATAGGTATGTGGAAGGGACCCCGAGTTTGCTGCCTCAAGTGGAATATACACCGAGAAGCCCTAACTTGAAAGGAGGCCGGATTTCCTTGCAGTGGCTTGAATACAGGCTCGTCTATCTTCTCACAACATGAAGGGATGTCTGAATCCCCTGTGGAGACCTTAGAGAAAGCCCTAGGTCCCTTCCTCATTTTGTCGGAATGCCTCACATCACGTTGACACCGCGAGAGGCATGCGGAGTTCATTGCTTCAAAAGGTGACGATGCCTGACTCCTCTTGAATACTGATAGGAATCCCAAAATCCCTGTGGCTACTGGAAAGGGTCCTTGGGTGCCCTGCCTCACCTCGAGAAGTGTCCCTTTTGCCCTGCCAAGCCTCGAAGATATTCCTGAGGCGTCCCTTGTTACTAGACAGGAGTCCTGACGTCACTGAATAAACACGTGTTTTGAAAGGCCATCCCCGCCGTAACTCGAGAACATACCCCAGGTCCCCGCCACAACTCGAGAAAAACCATGAGACTTCCCATTAGAGGCGAGATGTAGCCCCATTACCCTTCAGTGCATGCAGAGCTATTTCGTGATCCCCATCAAACAAGTCAGGAGCTTCGACTTGCTTAATGGATCTCAAGACAGTCCCAAAGAACACTGTCACCAGTCTAGGTGGACCCTGAGGTCACCCCAGGAACGCAAAGCAGCTCCATGTGCCCCAAATCAACTCAAAATAAGGCCCAATTCCCCTTCATTGACTCCAGAGCCATCCCCCGTTCCCCATTAAACACGACCAGTGGCTTGACTTCCTACAGGCAACCCCAGAGATGGCCCGAGAACACTGTCACAAGTCTAGAGGAACACCAACTTCAGCACAGCAACTCGAGGAATGCTCCGTTTACCCCAAATCGTCCCGAGATGAGAGCTGATTCCCTGGCTTAGGCTCAAGACGTATGCCAACCATGCAGAAGCACCTCAAGAGGAGGCTTCTCTCAGCAATAGGTATGTGGGAGGGAACCCGAGTTTGCTGCCTCAAGTGGAATATACAGCGAGAAGAACTAACTTGAAAGGAGGCCGGATTTCCTTGCAGTGGGTTGAATACAGGCTCGTCTTTCATCTCACAACATGAAGGGATGTCTGAATCCCCTGTGGAGACCTTAGAGAAAGCCCTAGGTGCCTGCCTAATTTTGACTGAATGCCTCACATCCCGTTGACACCGCGAGAGGCACGCGGAGTTCACTGCTTCAAAACATGACAATGCCTGACTCATCTTGAATACTGATAGGAATCCCAAAATCCCTGTGGCTACTGTAAAGGGTCCTTGGGTGCCCTGCCTCACCTCGAGAAGCGTCCCGAGTGCCCTGCAAAGCCTCGAAGAGATTCCTGAGGTGTCCCTCGTTACTAGACAGGAGTCTTGACGTCTCTGAATGAACACGTGTTTTGAAGGTCCATCCCCGCCGTAAGTCGAGAACATACCCCAGGTCCCCGCCGCAACTCGAGAAAAACCATGAGACTTCGCCCCAGAGGCGAGATGAGGCCCCATTCCCCTGCAGTGCATGCAGAGCTCTTCCGTGATCCCCATCAAACAAGTCAGGATCATTGACTTGCTTAATGGATCTCGAGACAGTACCCAAGAACACTGTAACAAGTCTAGACGGACCCTGAGGTCACCCAGCAACACAAAGCAGCTCCATGTGCCCAAAATAAACTCAAAATGAGGCCCGATTCCGCTGCATTGACGCCAGAGCCATCCCCCGTTCCCCATTCAACAAGACCAGTGGCTTGACTTCCTTCAGGCAACACCAGAGATGCCCCGAGAACACTGCGGCAAGTCTAGAGGAACACCAACTTCAGCACAGCACCTCGAGGAATGTTCCGTGTACCCCAAATCGTCTCGAGATGAGAGCTGATTCTCTGGCTTAGGCTCAAGACGTATGCCAACTTTCCAGAAGCACCTCAAGAGGAGGCTTCTCTCAGCAATAGGTATGTGGGAGGGACCCCGAGTTTGCTGCCTCAAGTGGAATATAGAGTGAGAAGCCCTAACTTGAAAGGAGGCCGGATTTCCTTGCAGTGGCTTGAATACAGGCACGTCTTTCATCTCACAACATGAAGGGATGTCTGAATCCCCTGTGGAGACCTTAGAGAAAGCCCTAGGTCCCTGCCTCATTTTGACGGAATGCCTCACAACCCGTTGAAACCGCGAGAGGCACGCGGAGTTCACTGCTTCAAAAGGTGACGATGCCTGACTCCTCTTGAATACTGATAGGAATCCCAAAATCCCTGTGGCTACTGAAAAGGGTCCTTGGGTGCCCTGCCTCACCTCGAGAAGCGTCCCTTTTGCCCTGGCAAGCCTCGAGGAGATTCCTGATTTGTACCTCGTTACTAGATATGAGTCCTGACGTCATTGAATAAACACGTGTTTTGAAGGGCCATCCCCGCCGTAAGTCGAGAACATAACCCAGGTCCCGCCGCAACTCGGGAAAAAGCATGAGACTTCCCCCTAGAGCCGAGATGAGGTCCCATTCCCCTGCAGTGCATGCAGAGCTATTCCGTGATCCCCATCAAACAAGTCAGGATCTTCGACTGGCTTAATGGATCTCGAGACAGTACCCAAGAACACTGTCACAAGTCTAGATGGACACTGAGGACAACCCAGCAACGCAAAGCAACTCCATGTGCCCCAAATCAACTAGAGATGAGGCCCGATTCCACTGCATTGACTCCAGAGCCATCTCCCGTTCCCCATTCAATATGACCAGTGGCTTGACTTCCTTCAGGCAACACAAGAGATGCCCCGAGAACACTGTCCCTAGTCGAAGAACACGAAAATCAGCACAGCAACTCGAGGAATGCTCCGTGTACCCCAAATCTTCTCGAGATGAGAGCTGATTCCCTGGCTTAGGCTCAAGATGTATATCAACTTTAAAGAATCACCTCAAGAGGAGGCTTCTCTCAGCAATAGGTATGTGGAAGGGACGCCGAGTTTGCTGCCTCAAAAGGAATATACAGCGAGAAGCCCTAACTTGAAAGGAGGCCGGATTTCCTTGCAGAGGCTTGAATACAGGCTCGTCTTTCATCTCACAACATGAAGGGATGTCTGAATCCCCTGTGGAGACCTTAGAGAAAGCCCTAGGTCCCTGCCTCATTTTGACAGAATGCCTCACATCCCGTTGACACCTCGAGAGGCACACGCAGTGCACTGCTTCAAAACGTGACAATACCTGACTCCTCTTGAATACTGATAGGAATACGAAAATCACTGTGGCTACTGGAAAGGGTCCTTGGGTGCCCTGCCTCACCTTGAGAAGCGTCCCTTTTGGCCTGCCAAGCCTCGAAGAGATTCCTGAGGTGCCCCTCATTACTATACAGGAGTCCTGACGTCACTGAATAGACACGTGTTTTGAAGGATCATCCCCGCCATAACTCGAGAACATACCCCAGGTCCCTGCCGCAACTCGAGAAAAACCATGAGACTTCCCCCTAGAGGCGAGATGAGGCCCCATTCCCCTGCAGTGCATGCAGAGCTATTCCGTGATCCCCATGAAACAAGTCCGGAGCTTCGACTTGCTTAATGGATCTCCAGACAGTCCCCAAGAACACTGTCACCAGTCTAGACGGACCCTGAGGTCACCCCAGCAACGCAAAGCAGTACCATGTGCCCCAAATCAACTCGAGATGAGGCCCGATTCCCCTGAATTGACTCTAGAGCCATCCCCCATTCCCCATTCAACACGATCAGTGGCTTGACTTCCTTCAGGGAACTCTAGAGATGCCCCGAGAACACTGTCCCAAGTTGAGAGGAACAGAAAATTCAGAACAGCAACTTGAGGAATGCCCCGTGGAAACCAAATCGTCTCGAGATGAGAGCTGATTCCCTGGCTTAGGCTCAAGACGTATGCCAACTTTCCAGAAGCACCTCAAGAGGAGGCCTCTCTCAGGAATAGGTATGTGGGAGGGACCCCGAGTTTGCTGCCTCAAGTGCAATATTCAGCGAGAAGCCCTAACTTGAAAGGAGGCCAGATTTCCTTGCAGTGGCTTGAATACAGGCTCGTCTTTTATCTCACAACATGAAGGGATGTGTGAATCCCCTGTGGAAACCTTAGAGAAAGCCCTAGGTTCCTGCCTCATTTTGACGGAATGCCTCACATCCCGTTGACACCTCGAGAGGCACGCGGAGTTCACTGCTTCAAAAGGTGACGATGCCTGACTCCTCTTGAATATTGATAGGCATCCCAAAACCACTGTGGATACTGGAAAGTGTCCTTGGGTGCCCTGCCTCACCTCGAGAAGCGTCCCGAGTGCCCTGCCAAGCCTCGAAGAGATTCCTGAGGTGTCCCTCGTTACAAACAGGAGTCCTGACGTCACTGAATAAACACGTGTTTTGAAGGGCCATCCCCACCGTAACTCGAGAACATACCCCAGGTCCCTGCCGCAACTCGAGAAAAACCATGAGACTTCTCCCTAGAGGCGAGATGAGGCCCCATTCCCCTGCAGTGCATGCAGAGCTATTCCGTGATCCCCATCAAACAAGTCAGGAGCTTCGACTTGCTTAATGGATCTCGAAACAGTCCCCAAGAACACTGTCACCAGTCTAGACGGACCCTGAGGTCACCCCAGCAACGCAAAGCAGCTCCATGTGACCCAAATCAACTCGAGATGAGGCCCGATTCTTCTGCTTTGACTCCAGAGCCATCCCCCATTCCCCATTCAACACGACCAGTGGCTTGACTTCCTTCAGGCAACTCCAGAGATGCCCCGAGAACACTGTCCCAAGTCTAGAGGAACAACAAATTCAGAACAGCAACTCGAGGCCTGCTCCGTGTAAACCAAATCGTCTCGAGATGAGAGCTTATTCCCTGGCTTAGGCTCAAGACGTATGCCAATTTTCCAGAAGCACCTCAAGAGGAGCCTTCTCTCAGCAATTGGTATGTGGGAGGGACCCCGAGTTTGCTGCCTCAAGTGGAATATACAGCGAGAAGCCCTAACTTGAAATGAGGACAGATTTCCTTGCAGTGGCTTGAATACAGGCTTGTCTTTCATCTCACAACATGAAGGGATGTGTGAATCCCCTGCGGAGACCTTAGAGAAAGCCCAAGGTCCCTGCCTAATTTTGACGGAATGCCTCACATCCAGTTGACACCTCGAGAGGCATGCGGAGTTCACTGCTTCAAAAGGTGACGATGCCTGACTCCTGGTGAATACTGATAGGAATCCCAAAATCCCTGTGGCTACTGGAAAGGGTCCTTGGGTGCCCTGCCTCACCTCGAGAAGTGTCCCTTTTTACCTGCCAAGCCTAGAAGAGATTCCTGAGGTGTCCCTCGTTACTAGACAGGAGTCCTGACCTCACTGAATAAACATGTTTTTTGAAGGGCTATCCCCGCCGTAACTCGAGAACATACCCCAGGTCCCGCCGCAACTCGAGAAAAACCATGAGACTTCCCATTAGAGGCGAGATGTGGCCCCATTCCCCTGCAGTGCATGCAGAGCTATTCCGTGATCCCCATCAAACAAGTCAGGAGCTTCGACTTGCTAAATGGATTTCGAGCCAGTCCCCAAGAACACTGTCACCAGTCTAGACGGACCCTGAGGTCACCCCAGCAACGCAAAGCAGCTCCATGTGCCCCAAATCAACTCGAGATGAGGCCCGATTCCCCTGCATTGACTACATAGCCACCCCCGTTCCCCATTCAACACGACCAGTGGCTTGACTTCCTTCAGGCAACTCCAGAGATTCCCGAGAACACTGTCCCAAGTCTGGAGGAACACCAAATTCAGCACAGCAACTCGAGGAATGCTCCGTGTACCCCAAATTGACTCGAGATGAGAGCTGATTCCCTGGCTTAGGCTCAAGCCGTATGCCAACTTTCCAGAATCACCTGAAGAGGAGGCTACTCTCAGCAATAGGTATCTGGGAGGGACCCCGAGATTTCTGCCTCAAGAGAAATATACAGCGAGAAGCCCTAACTTGAAAGGAGGCCGGATTTCCTTGCAGTGGCTTGAATACAGGCTCGTCTTTCATCTCACAACATGAAGGGATGTTTGAATCCCCTGTGGAGACCATAGAGAAAGCCGTAGGGCACTGCCTCATTTTGTCGGAATGCCTCACATCCCGTTGACACCTCGAGAGGCACGCGGAGTTCACTGCTGCAAAAGGTGACGATGCCTGTCTCCTCTTGAATACTGCTAGAAATCCCAAAACCCCTATGGCTGCTGGAAAGGGTCCTTGGGTGCCCTGCCTCACCTCGAGAAGCGTCCCTTTTGCCCTGCCAAGCCTCGAAGAGATTCCTGAGGTGTCCCTCGTTACTAGACCGGAGTCCAGACGTCCCTGAATGAACACGTGTTTTGAAGGACCATCCCTGCCATAAGTCGAGAACATACCCCAGGTCCCCGCCGCAACTCGAGAAAAACCATGAGACTTCGCAATAGACGCGAAATGAGGCCCCATTCCCCTGCAGTGCATGCAGAGCTCTTCCGTGATCCCCATCAAACAAGTCAGGAGCTTCGACTTGCTTAATGAATCTCGAGACAGTCCCCAAGAACACTGTAACAAGTCTAGACGGACCCTGAGGTCACCCCAGCAACGCAAAACAGCTCCATTGGCCCCAAATCAACACGAGATGAGGCCCGATTCCCCTGCATTGACTCCAGAGCCATCCCCCATTCCGCATTCAACATGACCAGTGGCTTGCCTTCCTTCAGGCAACTCCAGAGATTCCCTGAGAAGACTGTCGCAAGTCTCGAGGAACACCAACTTAAGTACAGCAACTCGAGGAATGCTCCGTGTACCCCAAATCGTGTCGAGATGAGAGCTGATTCCCTGGCTTAGGCTCAAGACGTATGCCAACTTTCCAGATGCACCTCAAAGGAGGCTTCTCTCAGTAATAGGTATCTGGGAGGGACCCCGAGTTTGCTGCCTCAAGTGGAATATAGAGTGAGAAGCCCTAACTTGAAAGGAGGCCTGATTTCCTTGCAGTGGCTTGAATACCGGCTCGTCTTTCATCTCACAACATGAAGGGATGTCTGAATCCCCTGTGGAGACCTCAGAGAAAGCCCTAGGTCCCTGCCTCATTTTGACGGAATGCCTCACAACCCGTTGACACCGCGAGAGGCACGCGGAGTTCACTGCTTCAAAAGGTGACGATGCCTGACTCCTCTTGAATACTGATAGGAATCCCCAAATCCCTGTGGCTACTGGAAAGGGTCCTTGGGTGCTCTGCCTCACCTCGAGAAGCGTCCCTTTTGCCCTGGCAGGCCTCGAGGACATTCCTGATTTGTCCCTCGTTAGTAGATATGAGTCCTGACGTCATTGAATAAACACGTGTTTTGAAGGGCCATCCCCGCCATAACTCGAGAACATACCCCAGGTCCCGCCGCAACTCGAGAAAAACCATTAGACTTCCCCCTAGAGCCGAGATGAGGCCCCATTCACCTGCAGTGCATGCATAGCTACTCCGGGATCCCCATCAAACAAGTCAGGTTCATCGACTAGCTTAATGGATCTCCAGACAGTACCCAAGAACACTGTCACAAGTCGAGACGCACCCTGAGTCACCCAGCAACGCAAAGCAGATCCATGTGCCCCAAATCAACTCAAGATGAGGCCCGATTCCCCTGCATTGACTCCAGAGCCATCCCCCGTTCCCCATTCAACACGACCAGTGGCTTGACTTCCTTCAGGCAACACCAGAGATGCCCCGAGAACACAGTCCCAAGTCTAGAGGAACACCAACATCAGCACTGCAACTCGAGGAATGCTCCGTGTACACCAAATCGTCTCGACATGAGAGCTGATTCCCTGGCTTAGGCTCAAGACGTACGCCATCTTTCCAGAAACACCTCAATAGGAGGCTTCTCTCAGCAATAGATATGTGGGAGGGACCCCGAGTTTGCTGCCTCAAGTGGAATATACAGCACGAAGCCCTAACTTGGAAGGCGGCCGAATTTCCTTGCAGTGGCTTGAATACAGGCTCGTCTTTCATCTCACAACATGAAGGGATGTCTGAATCCCCTGTGGGGACCTTAGAGAAAGCCCTAGGTCCCTGCCTCATTTTGACGGAATGCCTCACATCCCGCTGACATCTCGAGAGGCACGCAGAGTTCACTGCTTCAAAAGGTGACGATGCCTGATTCCTCTTGAATACTGATAGGAATCCCAAAATCCCTGTGGCTACTGGAAAGGGTCCTTGGGTGCCCTGCCTCACCTCGAGAAGCGTCTCTTTTGCCTTGCCAAGCCTCGAGGAGATTCCTGAGGTGTCCCTCGTTACTAGACAGGAGTCCTGACATCACTGAATAAACACGTGTTTTGAAGGGCCAGCCCCGCCGTAACTCGATAACATACCCCAGGTCCCCGTCCCAACTCGAGAAAAACAATGAGTCTTCCCACTAGAGGCGAGATGAGGCCCCATTCCCCTGCAGTGCATGCAGAGCTATTCCGTGATCCCCATCAAACAAGTCAGGAGCTTCGACTTGCTTAATGGATCTCGAGAGAGTCCCCAAGAACACTGTCACAAGTCTAGACAGACCCTGAGGTCACAACAGCAACGCAAAGCAGCTCCATGTGCCCCAAATCAACTCGAGATGAGGCCCGATTCCCCTGCATTGACTCCAGAGCCATCCCCCGTTCCCCGTTCAACACGACCAGTGGCTTGACTTCCTTCAGGCAACACCAGAGATGCTCCGAGAACACTGTCCCAAGTCTGGAGGAACACCAACTTAAGCACAGGAATTCGAGGAATGAGTTGAACGTCTCGAGATGAGAGCTGATTCCCTGGCTTAGGCTCAAGACCTATGCCAACTTTCCAGAAGCACCTCAACAGGAGGCTTCTCTCAGCAATAGGTATGTGGGAGGGACCCCGAGTTTGCTGCCTCACGTGGAATATAGAGCGAGAAGCCCTAACTTGAAAGGAGGCCGGATTTCCTTGCAGTGGCTTGAATACTGGCTCGTCTTTCATCTCACAACATGAAGGTATGTCTGAATTCCCTGTGGAGACCTTAGAGAAAGCCCTAGGTACCTGCCTCATTTTGTCGGAATGCCTCACATCCCGCTGACATCTCGAGAGGCACGCAGAGTTCACTGCTTCAAAAGGTGACGATGCCTGACTCCTCTTGAATACTGATAGGAATGCCAAAATCCCTGTGGCTACTGGAAAGGGTCTTTGGGTGCCCTGCCTCACCTCGAGAAGTGTCCCTTTTGCCCTGCCAAGCCTCGAGGAAATTCCTGAGGTGTCCCTCGTGACTAGACAGGAGTCCTGACGTCACTGAATAAACACGTGTTTTTAAAGGCCATCCCCGTCGTAACACGTGAACATAACACAGGTCCCCGCCGCAACTCGAGAAAAACCATGAGACTTCCCATTAGAGGCGAGATGTGGCCCCATTACCCTTCAGTGCATGGAGAGCTATTCCGTGATCCCCATCAAACAAGTCAGGAGCTTCGACTTGCTTAATGGATCTCGAGATAGTCCCAAAGAACACTGTCACCAGTCTAGATGGACCCTGAGGTCACCCCAGCAACGCAAAGCAGCTCCATGTGCCCCAAATCAACTCGAGATGAGGCCCGATTCCACTGAATTGACTCCAGAGCCATCACCCGTTCCCCATTCAACACGACCAGTGGCTTGACTTCCTTCAGGCAACTCGAGAGATTCCCCGAGAACACTGTCCCAATTCTGGAGGAACACCAATGTCAGCACAGCAACTCGAGGACTGCTCCGTGTACCCCAAATCGTCTCGAGATGAGAGGTGATTCCCTGGCTTAGACTCAAGACGTATGCCAACTTTCCAGAAGGACCTCAAGAGGAGGCTTCTCTCAGCAATAGGTATGTGGGAGGGACCCCGAGTTTGCTGCCTCAAGTGGAATATACACCGAGAAGACCTAACTTGAAAGGAGGCCGGATTTCCTTGCAGTGGCTTGAACACAGGCACGTCTTTCATCTCACAACATGAAGGGATGTCTGAATACCCTGTGGAGACCTTAGAGAAATCCCTAGGTCCCTGCCTCATTTGTCGGAATGCCTCACATCTCACTGACACATCGAGAGGCATGCGGAGTTCAGTGCTTCAAAAGGTGACGATGCCTGACTCCTCTTGAATACTGATAGGAATCCCAAAATCCCTGTGGCTACTGGAAAGGGTCCTTGAGTGCCCTGCCTCACCTCGAGAAGCGTCCCTTTTCCCTTGCCAAGGCTCGAGGAGATTCCTGAGGTGTCCCTCGTTACTAGACAGGAGTCCTGACATCACTGAATAAACAAGTGTTTTGAAGGGCCAGCCCCGCCGTAACTCGAGAACATACCCCAGGTCTCCGCCACAACTCGAGAAAAACCATGAGATTTCCCATTAGAGGCGAGATGTGGCCCCATTCCCCTGCAGTGCATGCAGAGCTATTCCGTGATCCCCATCAAACAAGTCAGGAGGTTCAACTTGCTTATTGGATCTCGAGACAGTCCCCAAGAACAAGGTCACCAGTCTAGACGCACCCTGAGGTCACCGCAGCAAAGCAAAGCAGCTCCATGTGCCCCAAATCAACTCGAGATGAGGCCCGATTCCCCTGAATTGACTACATAGCCATCCCCCGTTCCCCATTCAACACGACCAGTGGCTTGACTTCCTTCAGGCAAGTCCAGAGATGCCAAGAGAACACTGTCCCAAGTCTGGAGGAACACTAACATCAGCACAGCAATGCGAGGAATGCTCCGTGTACCCCAAATCGTCTCGAGATGAGAGCTGATTCCCTGGCTTAGGCTTAAGACCTATGCCAACTTTCCAGAAGCACCTCAAGAGGAGGCTTCTCTCATCAATAGGTATGTGGGAGGGACCCCGAGTTTGCTGCCTCAAGTGGAATATACACCGAGAAGCCCTAACTTGAAAGGAGGCCGGATTTCCTTGCAGTGGCTTGAATACAGGCACGTCTTTCATCTCACAACATGAAGGGATGTCTGAATCCCCTGTGGAGACCTTAGAGAAAGCCCTAGTTCCCTGCCTCATTTGACGGAATGCCTCACATCCCCCTGACACCTCGAGAGGCATTCGGAGTTCACTGCTTCAAAAGGTGACGATGCCTGACTCCTCTTGAATATGGATAGGAATCCCAAAATCCCTTTGGCTACTGGAAAGGGTCCTTGAGTGCCCTGCCTCACCTCGAGAAGCGTCCCTTTTGCCTTTCCAAGCCTCGAGGAGATTCCTGAGGTGTCCCTCGTTACTAGACAGGAGTCCTGACATCACTGAATAAACACGTGTTTTGAAGGGCCAGCCCCGCCATAACTCGAGAACATAGCCCAGGTCTCCGTCGCAACTCGAGAAAAACAATGAGACTTCCCACTAGAGGCGAGATGAGGCCCCATTCCCCTGCAGTGCATGCAGAGGTATTCCGTGATCCCCATGAAACAAGTCAGGAGTTTCGACTTGCTTAATGGATCTCGAGACAGTCCCCAAGAACAATGTCACAAGTCTAGGCAGAGGCTGAGGTCACACCAGCAAGGCACAGCAGCTGCATGTGCCCCAAATCAACTCGAGATGAGGCCCGATTCCCCTGCATTGACTCCAGAGCCATCCCCAGTTCCCCATTCAACATGACCAATGGCTTGACTTCCTTCAGGCAACACCAGAGATGCCCCGAGAACACTGTCCCAAGTCTGGAGGAACACCAACTTCAGCACAGCAACGCGAGGAATGCTGCGTGTAACCCAAAACGTCTCGAGATGAGAGCTGATTCCCTGGCTTAGGCTCAAGACGCATGCCAACTTTCCAGAAGCACCTCAAGAGGAGGCTTCTCTCAGCAATAGGTATGTGGGAGGGACCCCGAGTTTGCTGCCTCAAGTGGAATATACAGCGAGAAGCCCTAACTTGAAAGGAGGCCGGATTTACTTGCAGTGGCTTGAATACAGGCTCGTCTTTCATCTCACAACATGAAGGGATGTCTGAATCCCCTGTGGAGACCTTAGAGAAAGCCCTAGTTCCCTGCCTCATTTTGACGGAATGCCTCACATCCCGTTGACACATCGAGAGGCATGCGGAGTTCACTGCTTCAAAAGGTGACGATGCCTGACTCCTCTTGAATACTGATAGGAATGCCAAAATCCCTGTGGCTACTGGAAAGGGTCCTTGGGTGCCCTGCCTCACCTCGAGAAGCGTCCCTTTTCCCTTGCCAAGGCTCGAGGAGATTCCTGAGGTGTCCCTCGTTACTAGACAGGAGTCCTGACATCACTGAATAAACAAGTGTTTTGAAGGGCCAGCCCCGCCGTAACTCGAGAACATACCCCAGGTCTCCGCCACAACTCGAGAAAAACCATGAGATTTCCCATTAGAGGCGAGATGTGGCCCCATTCCCCTGCAGTGCATGCAGAGCTATTCCGTGATCCCCATCAAACAAGTCAGGAGGTTCGACTTGCTTATTGGATCTCGAGACAGTCCCCAAGAACAAGGTCACCAGTCTAGACGCACCCTGAGGTCACCGCAGCAACGCAAAGCAGCTCCATGTGCCCCAAATCAACTCGAGATGAGGCCCGATTCCCCTGAATTGACTACATAGCCATCCCCCGTTCCCCATTCAACACGACCAGTGGCTTGACTTCCTTCAGGCAAGTCCAGAGATGCCAAGAGAACACTGTCCCAAGTCTGGAGGAACACTAACATCAGCACAGCAATGCGAGGAATGCTCCGTGTACCCCAAATCGTCTCGAGATGAGAGCTGATTCCCTGGCTTAGGCTCAAGACCTATGCCAACTTTCCAGAAGCGCCTCAAGAGGAGGCTTCTCTCATCAATAGGTATGTGGGAGGGACCCCGAGTTTGCTGCCTCAAGTGGAATATACACCGAGAAGCCCTAACTTGAAAGGAGGCCGGATTTCCTTGCAGTGGCTTGAATACAGGCACGTCTTTCATCTCACAACATGAAGGGATGTCTGAATCCCCTGTGGAGACCTTAGAGAAAGCCCTAGGTCTCTGCCTCATTTTGTCGGAATGCCTCACATCCCCCTGACACCTCGAGAGGCATTCGGAGTTCACTGCTTCAAAAGGTGACGATGCCTGACTCCTCTTGAATATGGATAGGAATCCCAAAATCCCTGTGGCTACTGGAAAGGGTCCTTGAGTGCCCTGCCTCACCTCGAGAAGCGTCCCTTTTGCCTTTCCAAGCCTCGAGGAGATTCCTGAGGTGTCCCTCGTTACTAGACAAGACTCCTGACATCACTGAATAAACACGTGTTTTGAAGGGCCAGCCCCGCCATAACTCGAGAACATAGCCCAGGTCTCCGTCGCAACTCGAGAAAAACCATGAGACTTCCCACTAGAGGTGAGATGAGGCCCCATTCCCCTGCAGTGCATGCAGAGCTATTCCGTGATCCCCATGAAACAAGTCAGGAGTTTCGACTTTCTTAATGGATCTCGAGACAGTCCCCAAGAACACTGTCACAAGTCTAGGCAGAGGCTGAGGTCACACCAGCAAGGCACAGCAGCTGCATGTGCCCCAAATCAACTCGAGATGAGGCCCGATTCCCCTGCATTGACTCCAGAGCCATCCCCCGTTCCCCATTCAACACGACCAATGGCTTGACTTCATTCAGGCAACACCAGAGATGCCCCGAGAACACTGTCCCAAGTCTGGAGGAACACCAACTTCAGCACAGAAACGCGAGGAATGCTCCGTGTAACCCAAAAGTCTCGAGATGAGAGCTGATTCTCTGGCTTAGGCTCAAGACGTATGCCAACTTTCCAGAAGTACCTCAAGAGGAGGCTTCTCTCAGCAATAGGTATGTGGGAGGGACCCCGAGTTTGCTGCCTCAAGTGGAATATACAGCGAGAAGCCCTAACTTGAAAGGAGGCCGGATTTACTTGCAGTGGCTTGAATACAGGCTCGTCTTTCATCTCACAACATGAAGGGATGTCTGAATCCCCTGTGGAGACCTTAGAGAAAGCCCTAGTTCCCTGCCTCATTTTGACGGAATGCCTCACATCCCGTTGACACCTCGAGAGGCATGCGGAGTTCACTGCTTCAAAAGGTGACGATGCCTGACTCCTCTTGAATACTGATAGGAATGCCAAAATCCCTGTGGCTACTGGAAAGGGTCCTTGGGTGCCCTGCCTCACCTCGAGAAGTGTCCCTGTTGCTCTGCCAAAACTCGAAGAGATTCCTGAGGTGTCCCTCGTTACTAGACAAAGTCCTGACGTCACTGAATAAACAAGTGTTTTGAAGGACCAGCCCCGCCATAACTCGAGAACATACCCCAGGTCTCCGCCACAACTCGAGAAAAACCATGAGATTTCCCATTAGAGGCGAGATGTGGCCCCATTCCCCTGCAGTGCATGCAGAGCTATTCCGTGATCCCCATCAAACAAGTCAGGAGCTTCGACTTGCTTATTGGATCTCGAGACAGTCCCCAAGAACAAGGTCACCAGTCTAGACGCACCCTGAGGTCACCGCAGGAACGCAAAGCAGCTCCATGTGCCCCAAATCAACTCGAGATGAGGCCCGATTCCCCTGAATTGACTACATAGCCATCCCCCGTTCCCCATTCAACACGACCAGTGGCTTGACTTCCTTCAGGCAAGTCCAGAGATGCCAAGAGAACACTGTCCCAAGTCTGGAGGAACACTAACATCAGCACAGCAATGCGAGGAATGCTCCGTGTACCCCAAATCGTCTCGAGATGAGAGCTGATTCCCTGGCTTAGGCTCAAGACCTATGCCAACTTTCCAGAAGAACCTCAAGAGGAGGCTTCTCTCATCAATAGGTATGTGGGAGGGACCCCGAGTTTGCTGCCTCAAGTGGAATATACACCGAGAAGCCCTAACTTGAAAGGAGGCCGGATTTCCTTGCAGTGGCTTGAATACAGGCTCGTCTTTCATCTCACAACATGAAGGGATGTCTGAATCCCCTGTGGAGACCTTAGAGAAAGCCCTAGGTCTCTGCCTCATTTTGTCGGAATGCCTCACATCCCCCTGACACCTCGAGAGGCATTCGGAGTTCACTGCTTCAAAAGGTGACGATGCCTGACTCCTCTTGAATATGGATAGGAATCCCAAAATCCCTGTGGCTACTGGAAAGGGTCCTTGAGTGCCCTGCCTCACCTCGAGAAGCGTCCCTTTTGCCTTTCCAAGCCTCGAGGAGATTCCTGAGGTGTCCCTCGTTACTAGACAGGAGTCCTGACATCACTGAATAAAGACGTGTTTTGAAAGGCCAGCCCCGCCATAACTCGAGAACATAGCCCAGGTCTCCGTCGCAACTCGAGAAAAACAATGACACTTCCCACTAGAGGTGAGATGAGGCCCCATTACCCTGCATTGCATGCAGAGGTATTCCGTGATCCCCATGAAACAAGTCAGGAGTTTCGACTTGCTTAATGGATCTCGAGAGAGTCCCCAAGAACACTGTCACAAGTCTAAGCAGACCCTGAAGTCACACCAGCAAGGCACAGCAGCTGCATGTGCCCAAATTAAATCGAGATCAGGCCCGATTCCCCTGCATTGACTCCAGAGCCATCCCCCGTTCCCCATTCAACACGACTAATGGCTTGACTTCCTTCAGGCAACTCCAGAGATTCCCCGATAACACTGTCCCAAGTCTGGAGGAACACCAACTTCAGCACAGCAAATCGAGGAATGGTCCGTGTAACCCAAAACGTCTCGATATGAGAGCTGATTCCCTGGCTTAGGCTCAAGACCTATGCCAACTTTCCAGAAGCACTTCAGGAGGAGGCTTCTCTCAGCAATAGGTATGTGGGAGGGACCCCGAGTTTGCTGCCTCAAGTGGAATATACAGCGAGAAGCCCTAACTTGAAAGGAGGCCGGATTTCCTTGCAGTGGCTTGAATACAGGCTCGTGTTTCACCTCACAACATGAAGGGATGTCTGAATCCCCTGTGGAGACCTTAGAGAAAGCCCTAGGTCCCTGCCTCATTTTGTCAGAATGCCTCACATCCCGCTGACACCTCGAGAGGCACGCAGAGTTCACTGCTTCAAAAGGTGACGATGCCTGACTCCTCTTGAATACTGATAGGAATGCCAAAATCCCTGTGGCTACTGGAAAGGGTCCTTGGGTGCCCTGCCTCACCTCGAGAAGTGTCCATTTTGCCCTGCCAAGCCTCGAGAAGATTCCTGAGGTGTCCCTCGTTAATAGACAGGAGTCTGACGTCACTGAATAAACACGTGTTTTGAAGGGCCATCCCCACCGTAACTCGAGAACATACCCCAGGTCCCCGCCGCAACTCGAGAAAAACCATGAGACTTCCCATTAGAGGCGAGATGTGGACCCATTACCCTTCAGTGCATGCAGAGCTATTCCGTGATCCTCATCAAACAAGTCAGGAGCTTTGACTTGCTTAATGGATCTCGAGAAAGTCCCAAAGAACACTGTCACCAGTCTAGATGGACCCTGAGGTCACCCCAGCAACGCAAAGCAGCTCCATGTGCCCAAAATCAACTCGAGATGAGGCCTGATTCCCCTCAATTGACTCCAGAGCCATCCCCCATTCCCCATTCAACACGACCAGTGGCTTGACTTCCTTCAGGCAACTCCAGAGATGCCAAGAGAACACTGTCCCAATTCTGGAGGAACACCAACGTCAGCACAGCAACTCGAAGAATGCTCCGTGTACCCCAAATCGTCTCGAGATGAGAGCTGATTCCCTGGCGTAGGCTCAAGACGTATGCCAACTTTCCAGAAGCACCTCAAGAGGAGGCTTCTCTCAGCAATAGGTATGTGGGAGGGACCCCGAGTTTGGTGCCTTAAGTGGAATATACAGCGAGAAGCCCTAACTTGAAAGGAGGCCGGATTTCCTTGCAGTGGCTTGAATACAGGCGCGTATTTCATCTCACAACCTGAAGGGTTGTCTGAATCCCCTGTGGAGACGTTAGGGAAAGCCCTAGGTCCCTGCCTCATTTTGTCAGAATGCCTCACATCTCGGTGACACCTCGAGAGGCACGCGGAGTTCACTGCTTCAAAAGGTGAGGATGCCTGACTCCTCTTGAATACTGATAGGAATCCCAAAATCCCTGTGGCTACTGGAAAGGGTCCTTGGGTGCCCTGCCTCACCTCGAGAAGTGTCCCTTTTGCCCTGCCAAGCCTCGAGGAGATTCCTGAGGTGTCCCTCGTTACTAGACAGGAGTCCTGACGTCACTGAATAAACACGTGTTTTGAAGGGCCATCCCCGCCGTAACTCGAGAACATACCACAGGTCACCGCCTCAACTCGAGAAAAACCACGAGACTTCCCCCTAGAGGCGGGATGAGGCCCCATTCCCTGCTGTGCATGCAGAGCTATTCCGTGATCCACATCAAACAAGTCAGGAGCTTCGACTTGCTTAATGCATCTCGCGACAGTCCCAAAGAACACTGTCACCAGTCTAGATGGACCCTGAGGTCACCCCAGCAACGCAAAGCAGCTCCATGTGCCCCAAATCAACTCGAGATGAGGCCCGATTCTCCGGCATTGACTACATAGTCATCCCCCGTTCCCCATTTAACACGACCAGTGGCTTGACTTCCTTCAGGCAACTCCAGAGATTCCCCGAGAACACTGTCCCAAGTCTGGAGGAACACCAACGTAAGCACAGCAACTCGAGGAATGCTCCATGTACCAAAAATCGTCTCGAGATGAGAGCTGATTCCCTGGCTTAGGCTCAAGACGTATGCCAAATTTCCAGAATCACCTCAAGAGGAGGCTTCTCTCAGCAAGAGGTATGTGGGAGGGACCCCGAGTTTGCTGCCTCCAGTGGAATATACACCGAGAAGCCCTAACTTGAAAGGAGGCCGGATTTCCTTGCAGTGGCTTGAATACAGGCTCGTCTATCTTCTCACAACATGAAGGGATGTCTGAATCCCCTGTGGAGACCTTAGAGAAAGCCCTAGGTCCCTTCCTCATTTTGTCGGAATGCCTCACATCCCGCTGACAGCTCGAGAGGCACCCGGAGCTCACTGCTTCAAAAGGTGACGATGCCTGACTCCTGTTGAATAATGATAGGAATCCCAAAATCCCTGTGGCTACTGGAAAGGGTCCTTGGGTGTCCTGCCTCACCTCGAGAAGCGTCCCTTTTGCCCTGCCAAGCCTCGAAGAGATTCCTGAGGCGTCCCTGGTTACTAGACATGAGTCCTGACGTCACTGAATAAACAAGTGTTTTGAAAGGCCATCCCCGCCGTAACTCGAGAACATACCCCAGGTCCCCGCCGTAACTCGAGAAAAACCATGAGACTTCCCATTAGAGGCGAGATGTGGCCCCATTACCCTTCAGTGCATGCAGAGCTATTTCGTGATCCCCATCAAACAAGTCAGGAGCTTCGGCTTGCTTCATCGATCTCGAGAGAGTCCCAAAGAACACTGTCACCAGTCTAGATGGACCCTGAGGTCACCCCAGCAACGCAAAGCAGCTCCATGTGCCCCAAATCAACTCGAGATGAGGCCCGATTCCCATGCATTGACTACATAGCCATCCCCCGTTCCCCATTCAACACGACCAGTGGCTTGACTTCCTTTAGGCAACTCCAGAGATTCCCCGAGAACACTGTCCCAAGTCTGGAGGAACACCAACTTCAGCACAGCAACTCGAGGAATGCTCCGTGTAACCCAAATCGTCTCGAGATGAGAGCTGATTCCCTGGCTTAGGTTCAAGACCTATGCCAATTTTCCAGAAGCACCTCAAGAGGAGGCTTCTCTTAACAATAGGTATGAGGGAGGGACCCCGAGTTTGATGCCTGAAGTGGAATATACAGTGAGAAGCCCTAACTTGAAAGGAGGCCAGATTTCTTTGCAGTGGCTTGAATACAGGCTCGTCTTTCACCTCACAACATGAAGGGATGTCTGAATCCCCTGTGGAGACCTTAGAGAAAGCCCTAGGTCCCTTCCTCATTTTGTCGGAATGCCTCACATCACGTTGACACCGCGAGAGGCATGCGGAGTTCATTGCTTCAAAAGGTGACGATGCCTGACTCCTCTTGAATACTGATAGGAATCCCAAAATCCCTGTGGCTACTGGAAAGGGTCCTTGGGTGCCCTGCCTCACCTCGAGAAGTGTCCCTTTTGCCCTGCCAAGCCTCGAAGATATTCCTGAGGCGTCCCTTGTTACTAGACAGGAGTCCTGACGTCACTGAATAAACACGTGTTTTGAAAGGCCATCCCCGCCGTAACTCGAGAACATACCCCAGGTCCCCGCCACAACTCGAGAAAAACCATGAGACTTCCCATTAGAGGCGAGATGTAGCCCCATTACCCTTCAGTGCATGCAGAGCTATTTCGTGATCCCCATCAAACAAGTCAGGAGCTTCGACTTGCTTAATGGATCTCAAGACAGTCCCAAAGAACACTGTCACCAGTCTAGGTGGACCCTGAGGTCACCCCAGGAACGCAAAGCAGCTCCATGTGCCCCAAATCAACTCAAAATAAGGCCCAATTCCCCTTCATTGACTCCAGAGCCATCCCCCGTTCCCCATTAAACACGACCAGTGGCTTGACTTCCTACAGGCAACCCCAGAGATGGCCCGAGAACACTGTCACAAGTCTAGAGGAACACCAACTTCAGCACAGCAACTCGAGGAATGCTCCGTTTACCCCAAATCGTCCCGAGATGAGAGCTGATTCCCTGGCTTAGGCTCAAGACGTATGCCAACCATGCAGAAGCACCTCAAGAGGAGGCTTCTCTCAGCAATAGGTATGTGGGAGGGAACCCGAGTTTCCTGCCTCAAGTGGAATATACAGCGAGAAGAACTAACTTGAAAGGAGGCCGGATTTCCTTGCAGTGGGTTGAATACAGGCTCGTCTTTCATCTCACAACATGAAGGGATGTCTGAATCCCCTGTGGAGACCTTAGAGAAAGCCCTAGGTGCATGCCTAATTTTGACTGAATGCCTCACATCCCGTTGACACCGCGAGAGGCACGTGGAGTTCACTGCTTCAAAACATGACAATGCCTGACTCATCTTGAATACTGATAGGAATCCCAAAATCCCTGTGGCTACTGTAAAGGGTCCTTGGGTGCCCTGGCTCACCTCGAGAAGCGTCCCGAGTGCCCTGCAAAGCCTCGAAGAGATTCCTGAGGTGTCCCTCGTTACTAGACAGGAGTCTTGACGTCTCTGAATGAACACGTGTTTTGAAGGTCCATCCCCGCCGTAAGTCGAGAACATACCCCAGGTCCCCGCCGCAACTCGAGAAAAACCATGAGACTTCGCCCCAGAGGCGAGATGAGGCCCCATTCCGCTGCAGTGCATGCAGAGCTCTTCCGTGATCCCCATCAAACAAGTCAGGATCATTGACTTGCTTAATGGATCTCGAGACAGTACCCAAGAACACTGTAACAAGTCTAGACGGACCCTGAGGTCACCCAGCAACACAAAGCAGCTCCATGTGCCCAAAATAAACTCAAAATGAGGCCCGATTCCGCTGCATTGACTCCAGAGCCATCCCCCGTTCCCCATTCAACAAGACCAGTGGCTTGACTTCCTTCAGGCAACACCAGAGATGCCCCGAGAACACTGCGGCAAGTCTAGAGGAACACCAACTTCAGCACAGCACCTTGAGGAATGTTCCGTGTACCCCAAATCGTCTCGAGATGAGAGCTGATTCCCTGGCTTAGGCTCAAGACGTATGCCAACTTTCCAGAAGCACCTCAAGAGCAGGCTTCTCTCAGCAATAGGTATGTGGGAGGGACCCCGAGTTTGCTGCCTCAAGTGGAATATAGAGTGAGAAGCCCTAACTTGAAAGGAGGCCGGATTTCCTTGCAGTGGCTTGAATACAGGCTCGTCTTTCATCGCACAACATGAAGGGATGTCTGAATCCCCTGTGGAGACCTTAGAGAAAGCCCTAGGTCCCTGCCTCATTTTGACGGAATGCCTCACAACCCGTTGAAACCGCGAGAGGCACGCGGAGTTCACTGCTTCAAAAGGTGACGATGCCTGACTCCTCTTGAATACTGATAGGAATCCCAAAATCCCTGTGGCTACTGGAAAGGGTCCTTGGGTGCCCTGCCTCACCTCGAGAAGCGTCCCTTTTGCCCTGGGAAGCCTCGAGGAGATTCCTGATTTGTACCTCGTTACTAGATATGAGTCCTGACGTCATTGAATAAACACGTGTTTTGAAGGGCCATCCCCGCCGTAAGTCGAGAACATACCCCAGGTCCCGCCGCAACTCGGGAAAAAGCATGAGACTTCCCCCTAGAGCCGAGATGAGGTCCCATTCCCCTGCAGTGCATGCAGAGCTATTCCGTGATCCCCATCAAACAAGTCAGGATCTTCGACTGGCTTAATGGATCTCGAGACAGTACCCAAGAACTCTGTCACAAGTCTAGATGGACCCTGAGGACCACCCAGCAACGCAAAGCAACTCCATGTGCCCCAAATCAACTAGAGATGAGGCCCGATTCCACTGCATTGACTCCAGAGACATCTCCCGTTCCCCATTCAATATGACCAGTGGCTTGACTTCCTTCAGGCAACACAAGAGATGCCCCGAGAACACTGTCCCTAGTCGAAGAACACGAAAATCAGCACAGCAACTCGAGGAATGCTCTGTGTACCCCAAATCTTCTCGAGATGAGAGCTGATTCCTTGGCTTAGGCTCAAGATGTATATCAACTTTAAAGAATCACCTCAAGAGGAGGCTTCTCTCAGCAATAGGTATGTGGAAGGGACGCCGAGTTTGCTGCCTCAAAAGGAATATACAGCGAGAAGCCCTAACTTGAAAGGAGGCCGGATTTCCTTGCAGAGGCTTGAATACAGGCTCGTCTTTCATCTCACAACATGAAGGGATGTCTGAATCCACTGTTGAGACCTTAGAGAAAGCCCTAGGTCCCTGCCTCATTTTGACAGAATGCCTCACATCCCGTTGACACCTCGAGAGGCACACGCAGTGCACTGCTTCAAAACGTGACAATACCTGACTCCTCTTGAATACTGATAGCAATACGAAAATCACTGTGGCTACTGGAATGGTCCTTGGGTGCCCTGCCTCACCTTGAGAAGCGTCCCTTTTGGCCTGCCAAGCCTCGAAGAGATTCCTGAAGTGCCCCTCATTACTATACAGGAGTCCTGACGTCACTGAATAGACACGTGTTTTGAAGGATCATCCCCGCCATAACTCGAGAACATACCCCAGGTCCCCGCCGCAACTCGAGAAAAACCATGAGACTTCCCCCTAGAGGCGAGATGAGGCCCCATTCCCCTGCAGTGCATGCAGAGCTATTCCGTGATCCCATGAAACAAGTCCGGAGCTTCGACTTGCTTAATGGATCTCCAGACAGTCCCCAAGAACACTGTCACCAGTCTAGACGGACCCTGAGGTCACCCCAGCAACGCAAAGCAGTACCATGTGCCCCAAATAAACTCGAGATGAGGCCCGATTCCCCTGAATTGACTCTAGAGCCATCCCCCATTCCCCATTCAACACGACAAGTGGCTTGACTTCCTTCAGGGAACTCTAGAGATGCCCCGAGAACACTGTCCCAAGTTGAGAGGAACAGAAAATTCAGAACAGCAACTTGAGGAATGCCCCGTGGAAACCAAATCGTCTCGAGATGAGAGCTGATTCCCTGGCTTAGGCTCAAGACGTATGCCAATTTTCCAGAAGCACCTCAAGAGGAGGCCTCTCTCAGCAATAGGTATGTGGGAGGGACCCCGAGTTTGCTGCCTCAAGTGCAATATACAGCGAGAAGCCCTAACTTGAAAGGAGGCCAGATTTCCTTGCAGTGGCTTGAATACAGGCTCGTCTTTTATCTCACAACATGAAGGGATGTGTGAATCCCCTGTGGAAACCTTAGAGAAAGCGCTAGGTTCCTGCCTCATTTTGACGGAATGCCTCACATCCCGTTGACACCTCGAGAGGCACGCGGAGTTCACTGCTTCAAAAGGTGACGATGCCTGACTCCTCTTGAATATTGATAGGCATCCCAAAACCACTGTGGATACTGGAAAGTGTTCTTGGGTGCCCTGCCTCACCTCGAGAAGCGTCCCGAGTGCACTGCCAAGCCTCGAAGAGATTCCTGAGGTGTCCCTCGCTACAAACAGGAGTCCTGACGTCACTGAATAAACACGTGTTTTGAAGGGCCATCCCCACCGTAACTCGAGAACATACCCCAGGTCCCTGCCGCAACTCGAGAAAAACCATGAGACTTCTCCCTAGAGGCGAGATGAGGCCCCATTCCCCTGCAGTGCATGCAGAGCTATTCCGTGATCCCCATCAAACAAGTCAGGAGCTTCGACTTGCTTAATGGATCTCGAGACAGTCCCCAAGAACACTGTCACCAGTCTAGACGAACCCTGAGGTCACCCCAGCAACGCAAAGCAGCTCCATGTGACCCAAATCAACTCGAGATGAGGCCCGATTCTTCTGCTTTGACTCCAGAGCCATATCCCATTCCCCATTCAACACGACCAGTGGCTTGACTTCCTTCAGGCAACTCCAGAGATGCCCCGAGAACACTGTCCCAAGTCTAGAGGAACAACAAATTCAGAACAGCAACTCGAGGACTGCTCCGTGGAAACCAAATCGTCTCGAGATGAGAGCTGATTCCCTGGCTTAGGCTCAAGACGTATGCCAATTTTCCAGAAGCACCTCAAGAGGAGCCTTCTCTCAGCAATAGGTATGTGGGAGGGACCCCGAGTTTGCTGCCTCAAGTGGAATATACAGCGAGAAGCCCTAACTTGAAATGAGGACAGATTTCCTTGCAGTGGCTTGAATACAGGCTTGTCTTTCATCTCACAACATGAAGGGATGTGTGAATCCCCTGCGGAGACCTTAGAGAAAGCCCAAGGTCCCTGCCTCATTTTGACGGAATGCCTCACATCCAGTTGACACCTCGAGAGGCATGCGGAGTTCACTGCTTCAAAAGGTGACGATGCCTGACTCCTGGTGAATACTGATAGGAATCCCAAAATCCCTGTGGCTACTGGAAAGGGTCCTTGGGTGCCCTGCCTCACCTCGAGAAGTGTCCCTTTTTACCTGCCAAGCCTAGAAGAGATTCCTGAGGTGTCCCTCGTTACTAGACAGGAGTCCTGACCTCACTGAATAAACATGTTTTTTGAAGGGCTATCCCCGCCGTAACTCGAGAACATACCCCAGGTCCCGCCGCAACTCGAGAAAAACCATGAGACTTCCCATTAGAGGCGAGATGTGGCCCCATTCCCCTGCAGTGCATGCAGAGCTATTCCGTGATCCCCATCAAACAAGTCAGGAGCTTCGACTTGCTAAATGGATTTCGAGCCAGTCCCCAAGAACACTGTCACCAGTTTAGACGGACCCTGAGGTCACCCCAGCAACGCAAAGCAGCTCCATGTGCCCCAAATCAACTCGAGATGAGGCCCGATTCCCCTGCATTGACTACATAGCCACCCCCGTTCCCCATTCAACAAGACCAGTGGCTTGACTTCCTTCAGGCAACTCCAGAGATTCCCCGAGAACACTGTCCCAAGTCTGGAGGAACATCAACTTCAGCACAGCAACTCGAGGAATGCTCCGTGTACCCCAAATCGTCTCGAGATGAGAGCTGATTCCCTGGCTTAGGCTCAAGCCGTATGCCAACTTTCCAGAATCACCTGAAGAGGAGGCTACTCTCAGCAATAGGTATCTGGGAGGGATCCCGAGATTTCTGCCTCAAGAGAAATATACAGCGAGAAGCCCTAACTTGAAAGGAGGCCGGATTTCCTTGCAATGGCTTGACTACAGGCTCGTCTTTCATCTCACAACATGAAGGGATGTCTGAATCCCCTGTGGAGACCATAGAGAAAGCCCTAGGGCCCTGCCTCATTTTGTCGGAATGCCTCACATCCTGTTGACACCTCGAGAGGCACGCGGAGTTCACTGCTGCAAAAGGTGACGATGCCTGTCTCCTCTTGAATACTGCTAGAAATCCCAAAACCCCTATGGCTACTGGAAAGTGTCCTTGGGTGCCCTGCCTCACCTCGAGAAGCGTCCCTTTTGCCCTGCCAACCCTCGAAGAGATTCCTGAGGTGTCCCTCGTTACTAGACCGGAGTCCTGACGTCCCTGAATGAACACGTGTTTTGAAGGGCCATCCCCGCCATAAGTCGAGAACATACACCAGGTCCCCGCCGCAACTCGAGAAAAACCATGAGACTTCGCCCTAGACGCGAAATGAGGCCCCATTCCCCTGCAGTGCATGCAGAGCTCTTCCGTGATCCCCATCAAACAAGTCAGGAGCTTCGACTTGCTTAATGAATCTCGAGACAGTCCCCAAGAACACTGTAACAAGTCTAGACGGACCCTGAGGTCACCCCAGCAACGCAAAACAGCTCCATTGGCCCCAAATCAACACGAGATGAGGCCCGATTCCCCTGCATTGACTCCAGAGCCATCCCCCATTCCGCATTCAACATGACCAGTGGCTTGCCTTCCTTCAGGCAACTCCAGAGATTCCCTGAGAAGACTGTCGCAAGTCTCGAGGAACACCAACTTAAGTACAGCAACTCGAGGAATGCTCCGTGTACCCCAAATCGTCTCGAGATGAGAGCTGATTCCCTGGCTTAGGCTCAAGACGTATGCCAACTTTCCAGAAGCACCTCAAAGGAGGCTTCTCTCAGTAATAGGTATCTGGGAGGGACCCCGAGTTTGCTGCCTCAAGTGGAATATAGAGTGAGAAGCCCTAACTTGAAAGGAGGCCTGATTTCCTTGCAGTGGCTTGAATACCGGCTCGTCTTTCATCTCACAACATGAAGGGATGTCTGAATCCCCTGTGGAGACCTTAGAGAAAGACCTAGGGCCCTGCCTCATTTTGTCGGAATGCCTCACATCCAGTTGACACCTCGAGAGGCACGCAGAGTTCACTGCTTCAAAAGGTGACGATGCCTGTCTCCTCTTGAATACTGCTAGGAATCCCAAAACCCCTATGGCTACTGGAAAGGGTCCTTGGGTGCTCTGCCTCACCTTGAGAAGCGTCCCTTTGCCCTGCCAAGCATCGAAGAGATTCCTGAGGTGTCCCTCGTTACTAGACAGGAGTCCTGACGTCACTGAATGAACACGTGTTTTGAAGGGCCATCCCCGCCATAACTCGAGAACATACCCCAGGTCCCGCCGCAACTCGAGAAAAACCATGAGACTTCCCCCTAGAGGCGAGATGAGGCCCCATTCCCCTGCAGTGCATGCAGAGCTCTTCTGTGATCCCCATCAAACAAGTCAGGAGTTTCGACTTGCTTAATGAATCTCGAGACAGTCCCCAAGAACACTGTCACAAGTCTAGACGGACCCTGAGGTCACCCCAGCAACGCAAAACAGCTCCATGTGCCTCAAATCAACACGAGATGAGGCCCGATTCCCCTGCATTGACTCCAGAGCCATCCCCCATTCCGCATTCAACACGACCAGTGGCTTGCCTTCCTTCAGGAAACTCCAGAGATTCCCTGAGAAGACTGTCGCAAGTCTAGAGGAACACCAACTTAAGTACAGCAACTCGAGGAATGCTCCGTGTACCCCAAATCGTCTCGAGATGAGAGCTGATTCCCTGGCTTAGGCTCAAGACGTATGCCAACTTTCCAGAAGCACCTCAAAGGAGGCTTCTCTCAGTAATAGGTATCTGGGAGGGACACCGAGTTTGCTGCCTCAAGTGGAATATAGAGTGAGAAGCCCTAACTTGAAAGGAGGTCGGATTTCCTTGCAGTGGCTTGAATACAGGCTCGTCTTTCATCTCACAACATGAAGGGATGTCTGAAACCCCTGTGGAGACCTCAGAGAAAGCCCTAGGTCCCTGCCTCATTTTGACGGAATGCCTCACAACCCGTTGACACCGCGAGAGGCACGCGGAGTTCACTGCTTCAAAAGGTGACGATGCCTGACTCCTCTTGAATACTGATAGGAATCCCCAAATCCCTGTGGCTACTGGAAAGGGTCCTTGGGTGCTCTGCCTCACCTCGAGAAGCGTCCCTTTTGCCCTGGCAAGCCTCGAGGAGATTCCTGATTTGTCCCTCGTTAGTAGATATGAGTCCTGACGTCATTGAATAAACACGTGTTTTGAAGGGCCATCCCCGCCGTAACTCGAGAACATACCCCAGGTCCCGCCGCAACTCGAGAAAAACCATTAGACTTCCCCCTAGAGCCGAGATGAGGCCCCATTCACCTGCAGTGCATGCATAGCTACTCCGGGATCCCCATCAAACAAGTCAGGTTCATCGACTAGCTTAATGGATCTCGAGACAGTACCCAAGAACACTGTCACCAGTCTAGACGGACCCTGAGTCACCCAGCAACGCAAAGCAGATCCATGCGCCCAAATCAACTCGAGATGGGGCCCGATTCCCCTGCATTGACTCCAGAGCCATTCCCCGTTCCCCATTCAACACGACCGGTGGCTCGACTTCCTTCAGGCAACTCCAGAGATGCCCCGAGAACACTGTCCCAAGTCTAGAGGAACACCAACTTCAGCACAGCAACTCGAGGAATGCTCCGTGTACCCCAAATCGTCTCGAGATGAGAGCTGATTCCCTCGCTTAGGCTCAAGACGTATGGCAACTTTCCAGAAGCACCTCAGGAGGAGGCTTCTCTCAGCAATAGGTATGTGGGAGGGACCCCGAGTTTGCTGCCTCAAGGGGAATATACAGCGAGAAGCCCTAACTTGAAAGGAGGCCGAATTTCCTTGCAGTGGCTTGAATACAGGCTCGTCTTTCATCTCACAACATGAAGGGATGTCTGAATCCCCTGTGGAGACCTTAGAGAAAGCCCTAGGTCCCTGCCTCATTTTGACGGAATGCCTCACATCCCGCTGACACCTCGAGAGTCACGCGGAGTTCATTGCTTCAAAAGGTGACGATGCCTGACTCCGCTTGAATCCTGATAGGAATCCCGAAATCCCTGTGGCTACTGGAAAGGGTCCTTGGGTGCCCCGCCTCACCGCGAGAACCGTCCCTTTTGCCCTGGCAAGCATCGAGGAGATTCCTGAGTTTTTCCTTGTTACTAGATATGAGTCCTAATGTCATTGAATAAACACGTGTTTTGAAGGGCCATTTCCGCCGAAAATGGAGAACATATCCCAGGTCCCGCCGCAACTCGAGAAAAAGCATGAGACTTCCCCCTAGAGCCGAGATGAGTCCCCATTCACCTGCAGGGCATGCAGAGCTACTCCGTGATCACCATCAAACAAGTCAGGATCATCGACTTGCTTAATGGATCTCGAGACAGTACCCAAGAACACTGTCACAAGTCTAGACGGACCCTGAGGTCACCCAGCAACGCAAAGCAGCTCCATGTGCCCCAAATCAACTCGAGATGAGGCCCGATTCCCCTGCATTGACTCCAGAGCCATCCCCCGTTCCCCTTTCAACACGACCGGTGGCTCGACTTCCTTCAGGCAACTCCAGAGATGCCCCGAGAACACTCTCCCAAGTCTAGAGGAACAGCAACTTCAGCACAGCAACTCGAGGAATGCTCCGTGAACCCCAAATCGTCTCGAGATGACAGCTGATTCCCTGGCTTAGGTTCAAGACGTATGCCAACTTTCTAGAAGCACCTCAAGAGGAGGCTTCTCTAAGCAATAGGTATGTGGGAGGGACCCCGAGTTTGCTGCCTCAAGTGGAATATACTGCGAGAAGCCCTAACTTGAAAGGACGCCGGGTTTCCCTGTAGTGGCTTGAATACAGGCTCGTCTTTCATCTCACAACATGAAGGGATGTCTGAATACCCTGTGGAGACCTTAGAGAAAGCCCTAGGTCCCGGCCTCATTTGACGGAATGCCTCACATCCCGTTGACACCTCGAGAGGCACACGGAGTTCACTGCTTCAAAAGGTGACGATGCCTGACTCCGCTTGAATCCTGATAGGAATCCCGAAATCCCTGTGGCTACTGGAAAGGGTACTTGGGTGCCCAGCCTCACCTCGAGAGGAGTCCCTTTTGCCCTGCCAAGCCTCGAAGAGTTTCCTGAAGTGTCCCTCATTACTAGAGAGGAGTCCTGACGTCACTGAATGAACACGTGTTTTGAAGTGCCATCCCCGCCGTAACTCGAGAGCATACCCCAGGTCCCCACCGCAACCTGAGAAAATCCATGAGACTTCCCCCTAGAGGCGAGATCAGACCCCATTCCCCTGCAGTGCATGCAGAGCTATTCCGTGATCCACATCAAACAAGTCAGGAGATTCGACTTGCTTAATGGATCTCGAGACAGTCCCAAAGAACACTGTCAAAAGTCTAGATGGACTCTGAGGTCACCCCAGCAACGGAAAGCAGCTCCCTGTGCCCCTAATCAATTCGAGATGAGGCCCAGTTCCCCTGCATTCATTCGAGAGCCATCGCCCGTTCCCCATTCAACACGGCCAGTGGCTTGCCTTCCTTCAGGCAAGACCAGAGATGCCCCGAGAACACTGTCCCAAGTCTAGAGGAAAACCCACATCAGCACAGCAACTCGAGGAATGCTACGTGTACCCCAAATCGTCTCGAGATGAGAGCTAATTCCCTGGCTTAGGCTCATGACGTATGCCAACTTTCCAGAATCACCTGAAGAGGAGGCTTCTCTCGGCAATAGGTATATGTGAGAGACCCCGAGTTTGCTGCCTCAAGAGGTATATACAGCGAAAAGCCCTAACTTGAAAGGAGGCCGGATTTCCTTGTAGTGGCTTGAATAGAGGCTCGTCTTTCATCTCACAACATGAAGGGATGTCTGAATCCCCTGTGGAGACCTTAGAGAAAGCCCTAGTTCCCTGCCTCATTTTGACGGAATGCCTCCCATCCCGTTGACACCTCGAGAGGCACGCGGAGTTCACTGCTTCAAAAGGTGATGATGCCTGACTCCTCTTGAATACTGATAGGAATCCCCAAATCACTGTGGCTAATGGAAAGGGTCATTGGGTGCCCTACCTCACCTCGAGAAGCGTCCCTTTTGCCCTGGCAAGCATCGTGTAGATTCCTGAGGTGTCCCTCGTTACTAGAGAGGAGTCCTGACGTCACTGAATGAACACGTGTTTTGAAGGGCCATCCCCGCCGAAAATGGAGAACATACCCCAGGTCCCCGCCGCACCTCGAGAAAAAGCATGAGACTTCCCCCTAGAGCCGAGATGAGGCCCCATTCACCTGCAGTGCATGCAGAGCTCTTCCGTGATCCCCATCAAACAAGTCAGGAGCTTCGACTTGCTTAATGAATCTCGAGACAGTCCCCAGGAACACTGTGACAAGTCTAGACGGACCCTGAGGTCACCCCAGCAACGCAAAGCAGCTCCATGTGCCCCAAATCAACTCGAGATGAGGCCCGATTCCCCTGCATTGACTCCAGAGCCATTCCCCGTTCCCCATTCAACACGACCAATGGCTTGCCTTCCTTCAGGCAACACCAGAGATGCCCCGAGAACACTCTCCCAAGTCTAGAGGAAGAGCAACTTCTGCACAGCAACTCGAGGAATGCTCCGTGTACCCCAAATCATCTCGAGATGAGAGCTGATTCCCTGGCTTAGGATAAAGAAGTATGCCAACTATCCAGAAACACCTCAAGTCGAGGCTTCTCTCAGCAATAGGTATGTAGGAGGCACCCCGAGTTTGCTGCCTCAAGTGGAATATAGAGTGTGAAGCCCTAACTTGAAAGGAGGCCGGATTTCCTTGCATTGGCTTGAATACAGGCTCCTCTTTCATCTCACAACATGAAGGGATGTCTGAATCCCCTGTGGAGACCTTAGAGACAGCCCAGGTAGCTGCCTCATTTTGTCGGAATGCCTCACATCCGGTTGACACCTCGAGAGGCACGCGGAGTTCACTGCTTCAAAAGGTGACGATTCCTGACGCCTGTTGAATACTGATAGCAATCCCAAAATCCCTGTGGCTACTGGAAAGGGTCCTTGGATGCCTTGCCTCACCTCGAGAAGCGTCCCTTTTGCCCTGCCAAGCCTCGAAGAGATTCCTGAGGTGTCCCTCGTTACTAGACAGGAGTCCTGACGTCACTGAAGAAACTCGTGTTTTGAAGGGCCATCCACGTCGTAAGTCGAGAACATACCCCAGGTCCCCGCCGCAACTCGAGAAAAACCATGAGACTTCCCCCTAGATGCGAGATGAGGCCCCATTCCCCTACAGTGCATGCAGAGCTATTCCGTGATCCCGTTCAAACAAGTCAGGAGCTTCAACTTGCTTAATGGATCTCGACACAGTCCCCAAGAACACTGTCACCAGTCTAGACGGACCCTGAGGTCACCCCAGCAACGCAAAGCAGCTCCATGTGCCCCAAATCAACTCGAGATGAGGCCCGATTCCCCTGCATTGATACCAGAGTCATTCCCCGTTCCGCATTCAACACGACTGGTGGCTCGACTTCCTTCAGGCAACTCCACAGATGCCCCGAGAACACTGTGTCAAGTCTAGAGGAACACCAACTTCAGCACAGCAACTCGAGGAATGCTCCGTGTACACCAAATCGTCTCGAGATGAGAGCTGATTCCCTGGCTTAGGCTCAAGACGTATGCCAACTTTCCAGAAGCACCTCAGGAGGAGGCTTCTCTCAGCAATAGGTATGTGGGAGGGACCCCGAGTTTGCTGCCTCAAGGGGAATATACAGCGAGAAGCCCTAACTTGAAAGGAGGCCGGATTTCCTTGCAGTGGCTTGAATACAGGCTCGTCTTTCATCTCACAACATGAAGGGATGTCTGAATCCCCTGTGGAGACCTTAGAGAAAGCCCTAGGTCCCTGCCTCATTTTGACGGAATGCCTCACATCCCGCTGACACCTCGAGAGGCACGCGGAGTTCATTGCTTCAAAAGGTGACGATGCCTGACTCCTCTTGAATACTGATAGGAATCCCAAAATTTCTGTGGCTACTGGAAAGGGTCCTTGGTTGCCCTGTCTCACTTCGAGAAGCGTCCCTTTTGCCCTGCCAAGCCTCGAAGAGTTTCCTGAGGTGTCCCTCGTTATTAGACAGGAGTCCTGACGTCACTCAGGAAACTCGTGTTTTGAAGGGCCATCCCCGCCGTAAGTCGAGAACATACCCCAGGTCCCCGCCGCAACTCGAGAAAAACCATGAGACTTCCCCCTAGATTCGAGATGAGGCCCCATTCCCCTGCAGTGCATGCAGAGTTATTCCGTGATCCCATTCAAACAAGTCAGGAGCGTCGACTTGCTTAATGGATCTCGCGATACTCACCAAGAACACTGTCACCAGTCTAGACGGACGTTGAGGTCACCCCAGCAACGCAAAGCAGCTCCATGTGCCCCAAATCAACTCGAGATGAGGCCCGATTCCCCTGCATTGACTCCAGAGCCATTCCCCGTTCCCCATTCAACACGACCGGTGATTCGACTTCCTTCAGGCAACTCCAGAGATGCCCCGAGAACACTGTGCCAAGTCTAGAGGAACACCAACTTCAGCACAGCAACTCGAGGAATGCTCCGTGTACCCCAAATCGTCTCGAGATGAGAGCTGATTCCCTGGCTTAGGCTCAAGACGTATGCCAACTTTCCAGAAGCACCTCAGGAGGAGGCTTCTCTCAGCAATACGTATGTGGGAGGGACCCCCAGTTTGCTGCCTCAAGGGGAATATACAGCGAGAAGGCCTAACTTGAAAGGAGGCCAGATTTCCTTGCAGTGGCTTGAATACAGGTTCGTCTTTCATCTCAAAACATGAAGGGATGTCTGAATCCCCTGTGGAGACCTTAGAGAAAGCCCTAGGTCCCTGCCTCATTTTGACGGAATGCCTCACATCCCGCTGACACCTCGAGAGGCACGCGGAGTTCATTGCTTCAAAAGGTGACGACGCCTGACTCCTCTTGAATACTGATAGGAATCCCAAAATCCCTGTGGCTACTGGAAAGGGTCCTTGGGTGCCCTGCCTCACCTCGTGAAGCGTCCCTTTTGCCCTGCGAAGCCTCGAAGAGATTCCTGAGGTGTCCCTCGTTACTAGACAGGAGTCCTGACGTCACTGAAGAAACTCGTGTTTTGAAGGGCCATCCCCGCCGTAAGTCGAAAAATACCCCAGGTCCCCGCCGCAACTCGAGAAAAACCATGAGACTTCCCCCTAGAGGCGAGATGAGGCCCCATTCCTCTGCAGTGCATGCAGAGCTATTCCGTGATCCCATTCAAACAAGTCAGGAGCTCCGACTTGCTTAATGGATCTCGAGAGAGTCCCCAAGAACACTGTCACCAGTCTAGAGGGACCCTGAGGTCACCCCAGCAACGCAAAGCAGCTCCATATGCCCCAAATCAACTCGAGATGAGGCCCGATTCCCCTGCATTGACGCCAGAGCCATTTCCCGTTCCCCATTCAACACGACTGGTGGCTCGACTTCCTTCAGGCAACTCCAGAGATGCGCTGAGAACACTGTCCCAAGCCTAGAGGAACACCAACTTCACCACAGCAACTCGAGGAATGCTCCGTGTACCACAAATCGTCTCGGGATGAGAGTTGATTCCCTTGCTTAGGCTCAAGACGTATGCCAACTTTCCAGAAGCACCTCAGGAGGAGCCTTCTCTCAGCAATAGGTATGTGGGAGGGACCCCGAGTTTGCTGCCTCAAGGGGAATATACAGCGAGAATCCCTAACTTGAAAGGAGGCTGGATTTCCTTGCAGTGGCTTGAATAGAGGCTCGTCTTTCATCTCACAACATGAAGGGATGTCTGAATCCCCTGTGGAGACCTTAGAGAAAGCACTAGGTCCCAGCCTCATTTTGACGGAATGCCTCACATCTCGCTGACACCTCGAGAGGCACGCGGAGTTCACTGCTTCAAAAGGTGACGATGCCTGACTCCTCTTGAATATTGATAGGCATCCCAAAACCACTGTGGATACTGGAAAGTGTTCTTGGGTGCCCTGCCTCACCTCGAGAAGCGTCCCGAGTGCACTGCCAAGCCTCGAAGAGATTCCTGAGGTGTCCCTCGCTACAAACAGGAGTCCTGACGTCACTGAATAAACACGTGTTTTGAAGGGCCATCCCCACCGTAACTCGAGAACATACCCCAGGTCCCTGCCGCAACTCGAGAAAAACCATGAGACTTCTCCCTAGAGGCGAGATGAGGCCCCATTCCCCTGCAGTGCATGCAGAGCTATTCCGTGATCCCCATCAAACAAGTCAGGAGCTTCGACTTGCTTAATGGATCTCGAGACAGTCCCCAAGAACACTGTCACTAGTCTAGACGAACCCTGAGGTCACCCCAGCAACGCAAAGCAGCTCCATGTGACCCAAATCAACTCGAGATGAGGCCCGATTCTTCTGCTTTGACTCCAGAGCCATATCCCATTCCCCATTCAACACGACCAGTGGCTTGACTTCCTTCAGGCAACTCCAGAGATGCCCCGAGAACACTGTCCCAAGTCTAGAGGAACAACAAATTCAGAACAGCAACTCGAGGACTGCTCCGTGGAAACCAAATCGTCTCGAGATGAGAGCTGATTCCCTGGCTTAGGCTCAAGACGTATGCCAATTTTCCAGAAGCACCTCAAGAGGAGCCTTCTCTCAGCAATAGGTATGTGGGAGGGACCCCGAGTTTGCTGCCTCAAGTGGAATATACAGCGAGAAGCCCTAACTTGAAATGAGGATAGATTTCCTTGCAGTGGCTTGAATACAGGCTTGTCTTTCATCTCACAACATGAAGGGATGTGTGAATCCCCTGCGGAGACCTTAGAGAAAGCCCAAGGTCCCTGCCTCATTTTGACGGAATGCCTCACATCCAGTTGACACCTCGAGAGGCATGCGGAGTTCACTGCTTCAAAAGGTGACGATGCCTGACTCCTGGTGAATACTGATAGGAATCCCAAAATCCCTGTGGCTACTGGAAAGGGTCCTTGGGTGCCCTGCCTCACCTCGAGAAGTGTCCCTTTTTACCTGCCAAGCCTAGAAGAGATTCCTGAGGTGTCCCTCGTTACTAGACAGGAGTCCTGACCTCACTGAATAAACATGTTTTTTGAAGGGCTATCCCCGCCGTAACTCGAGAACATACCCCAGGTCCCGCCGCAACTCGAGAAAAACCATGAGACTTCCCATTAGAGGCGAGATGTGGCCCCATTCCCCTGCAGTGCATGCAGAGCTATTCCGTGATCCCCATCAAACAAGTCAGGAGCTTCGACTTGCTAAATGGATTTCGAGCCAGTCCCCAAGAACACTGTCACCAGTTTAGACGGACCCTGAGGTCACCCCAGCAACGCAAAGCAGCTCCATGTGCCCCAAATCAACTCGAGATGAGGCCCGATTCCCCTGCATTGACTACATAGCCACCCCCGTTCCCCATTCAACAAGACCAGTGGCTTGACTTCCTTCAGGCAACTCCAGAGATTCCCCGAGAACACTGTCCCAAGTCTGGAGGAACATCAACTTCAGCACAGCAACTCGAGGAATGCTCCGTGTACCCCAAATCGTCTCGAGATGAGAGCTGATTCCCTGGCTTAGGCTCAAGCCGTATGCCAACTTTCCAGAATCACCTGAAGAGGAGGCTACTCTCAGCAATAGGTATCTGGGAGGGATCCCGAGATTTCTGCCTCAAGAGAAATATACAGCGAGAAGCCCTAACTTGAAAGGAGGCCGGATTTCCTTGCAATGGCTTGACTACAGGCTCGTCTTTCATCTCACAACATGAAGGGATGTCTGAATCCCCTGTGGAGACCATAGAGAAAGCCCTAGGGCCCTGCCTCATTTTGTCGGAATGCCTCACATCCTGTTGACACCTCGAGAGGCACGCGGAGTTCACTGCTGCAAAAGGTGACGATGCCTGTCTCCTCTTGAATACTGCTAGAAATCCCAAAACCCCTATGGCTACTGGAAAGTGTCCTTGGGTGCCCTGCCTCACCTCGAGAAGCGTCCCTTTTGCCCTGCCAACCCTCGAAGAGATTCCTGAGGTGTCCCTCGTTACTAGACCGGAGTCCTGACGTCCCTGAATGAACACGTGTTTTGAAGGGCCATCCCCGCCATAAGTCGAGAACATACACCAGGTCCCCGCCGCAACTCGAGAAAAACCATGAGACTTCGCCCTAGACGCGAAATGAGGCCCCATTCCCCTGCAGTGCATGCAGAGCTCTTCCGTGATCCCCATCAAACAAGTCAGGAGCTTCGACTTGCTTAATGAATCTCGAGACAGTCCCCAAGAACACTGTAACAAGTCTAGACGGACCCTGAGGTCACCCCAGCAACGCAAAACAGCTCCATTGGCCCCAAATCAACACGAGATGAGGCCCGATTCCCCTGCATTGACTCCAGAGCCATCCCCCATTCCGCATTCAACATGACCAGTGGCTTGCCTTCCTTCAGGCAACTCCAGAGATTCCCTGAGAAGACTGTCGCAAGTCTCGAGGAACACCAACTTAAGTACAGCAACTCGAGGAATGCTCCGTGTACCCCAAATCGTCTCGAGATGAGAGCTGATTCCCTGGCTTAGGCTCAAGACGTATGCCAACTTTCCAGAAGCACCTCAAAGGAGGCTTCTCTCAGTAATAGGTATCTGGGAGGGACCCCGAGTTTGCTGCCTCAAGTGGAATATAGAGTGAGAAGCCCTAACTTGAAAGGAGGCCTGATTTCCTTGCAGTGGCTTGAATACCGGCTCGTCTTTCATCTCACAACATGAAGGGATGTCTGAATCCCCTGTGGAGACCTTAGAGAAAGACCTAGGGCCCTGCCTCATTTTGTCGGAATGCCTCACATCCAGTTGACACCTCGAGAGGCACGCAGAGTTCACTGCTTCAAAAGGTGACGATGCCTGTCTCCTCTTGAATACTGCTAGGAATCCCAAAACCCCTATGGCTACTGGAAAGGGTCCTTGGGTGCTCTGCCTCACCTTGAGAAGCGTCCCTTTGCCCTGCCAAGCATCGAAGAGATTCCTGAGGTGTCCCTCGTTACTAGACAGGAGTCCTGACGTCACTGAATGAACACGTGTTTTGAAGGGCCATCCCCGCCATAACTCGAGAACATACCCCAGGTCCCCGCCGCAACTCGAGAAAAACCATGAGACTTCCCCCTAGAGGCGAGATGAGGCCCCATTCCCCTGCAGTGCATGCAGAGCTCTTCCGTGATCCCCATCAAACAAGTCAGGAGTTTCGACTTGCTTAATGAATCTCGAGACAGTCCCCAAGAACACTGTCACAAGTCTAGACGGACCCTGAGGTCACCCCAGCAACGCAAAACAGCTCCATGTGCCTCAAATCAACACGAGATGAGGCCCGATTCCCCTGCATTGACTCCAGAGCCATCCCCCATTCCGCATTCAACACGACCAGTGGCTTGCCTTCCTTCAGGAAACTCCATAGATTCCCTGAGAAGACTGTCGCAAGTCTAGAGGAACACCAACTTAAGTACAGCAACTCGAGGAATGCTCCGTGTACCCCAAATCGTCTCGAGATGAGAGCTGATTCCCTGGCTTAGGCTCAAGACGTATGCCAACTTTCCAGAAGCACCTCAAAGGAGGCTTCTCTCAGTAATAGGTATCTGGGAGGGACACCGAGTTTGCTGCCTCAAGTGGAATATAGAGTGAGAAGCCCTAACTTGAAAGGAGGTCGGATTTCCTTGCAGTGGCTTGAATACAGGCTCGTCTTTCATCTCACAACATGAAGGGATGTCTGAAACCCCTGTGGAGACCTCAGAGAAAGCCCTAGGTCCCTGCCTCATTTTGACGGAATGCCTCACAACCCGTTGACACCGCGAGAGGCACGCGGAGTTCACTGCTTCAAAAGGTGACGATGCCTGACTCCTCTTGAATACTGATAGGAATCCCCAAATCCCTGTGGCTACTGGAAAGGGTCCTTGGGTGCTCTGCCTCACCTCGAGAAGCGTCCCTTTTGCCCTGGCAAGCCTCGAGGAGATTCCTGATTTGTCCCTCGTTAGTAGATATGAGTCCTGACGTCATTGAATAAACACGTGTTTTGAAGGGCCATCCCCGCCGTAACTCGAGAACATACCCCAGGTCCCGCCGCAACTCGAGAAAAACCATTAGACTTCCCCCTAGAGCCGAGATGAGGCCCCATTCACCTGCAGTGCATGCATAGCTACTCCGGGATCCCCATCAAACAAGTCAGGTTCATCGACTAGCTTAATGGATCTCGAGACAGTACCCAAGAACACTGTCACCAGTCTAGACGGACCCTGAGTCACCCAGCAACGCAAAGCAGATCCATGCGCCCAAATCAACTCGAGATGGGGCCCGATTCCCCTGCATTGACTCCAGAGCCATTCCCCGTTCCCCATTCAACACGACCGGTGGCTCGACTTCCTTCAGGCAACTCCAGAGATGCCCCGAGAACACTGTCCCAAGTCTAGAGGAACACCAACTTCAGCACAGCAACTCGAGGAATGCTCCGTGTACCCCAAATCGTCTCGAGATGAGAGCTGATTCCCTCGCTTAGGCTCAAGACGTATGGCAACTTTCCAGAAGCACCTCAGGAGGAGGCTTCTCTCAGCAATAGGTATGTGGGAGGGACCCCGAGTTTGCTGCCTCAAGGGGAATATACAGCGAGAAGCCCTAACTTGAAAGGAGGCCGAATTTCCTTGCAGTGGCTTGAATACAGGCTCGTCTTTCATCTCACAACATGAAGGGATGTCTGAATCCCCTGTGGAGACCTTAGAGAAAGCCCTAGGTCCCTGCCTCATTTTGACGGAATGCCTCACATCCCGCTGACACCTCGAGAGTCACGCGGAGTTCATTGCTTCAAAAGGTGACGATGCCTGACTCCGCTTGAATCCTGATAGGAATCCCGAAATCCCTGTGGCTACTGGAAAGGGTCCTTGGGTGCCCCGCCTCACCGCGAGAACCGTCCCTTTTGCCCTGGCAAGCATCGAGGAGATTCCTGAGTTTTTCCTTGTTACTAGATATGAGTCCTAATGTCATTGAATAAACACGTGTTTTGAAGGGCCATTTCCGCCGAAAATGGAGAACATATCCCAGGTCCCGCCGCAACTCGAGAAAAAGCATGAGACTTCCCCCTAGAGCCGAGATGAGTCCCCATTCACCTGCAGGGCATGCAGAGCTACTCCGTGATCACCATCAAACAAGTCAGGATCATCGACTTGCTTAATGGATCTCGAGACAGTACCCAAGAACACTGTCACAAGTCTAGACGGACCCTGAGGTCACCCAGCAACGCAAAGCAGCTCCATGTGCCCCAAATCAACTCGAGATGAGGCCCGATTCCCCTGCATTGACTCCAGAGCCATCCCCCGTTCCCCTTTCAACACGACCGGTGGCTCGACTTCCTTCAGGCAACTCCAGAGATGCCCCGAGAACACTCTCCCAAGTCTAGAGGAACAGCAACTTCAGCACAGCAACTCGAGGAATGCTCCGTGAACCCCAAATCGTCTCGAGATGACAGCTGATTCCCTGGCTTAGGTTCAAGACGTATGCCAACTTTCTAGAAGCACCTCAAGAGGAGGCTTCTCTAAGCAATAGGTATGTGGGAGGGACCCCGAGTTTGCTGCCTCAAGTGGAATATACTGCGAGAAGCCCTAACTTGAAAGGACGCCGGGTTTCCCTGTAGTGGCTTGAATACAGGCTCGTCTTTCATCTCACAACATGAAGGGATGTCTGAATACCCTGTGGAGACCTTAGAGAAAGCCCTAGGTCCCGGCCTCATTTGACGGAATGCCTCACATCCCGTTGACACCTCGAGAGGCACACGGAGTTCACTGCTTCAAAAGGTGACGATGCCTGACTCCGCTTGAATCCTGATAGGAATCCCGAAATCCCTGTGGCTACTGGAAAGGGTACTTGGGTGCCCAGCCTCACCTCGAGAGGAGTCCCTTTTGCCCTGCCAAGCCTCGAAGAGTTTCCTGAAGTGTCCCTCATTACTAGAGAGGAGTCCTGACGTCACTGAATGAACACGTGTTTTGAAGTGCCATCCCCGCCGTAACTCGAGAGCATACCCCAGGTCCCCACCGCAACCTGAGAAAATCCATGAGACTTCCCCCTAGAGGCGAGATCAGACCCCATTCCCCTGCAGTGCATGCAGAGCTATTCCGTGATCCACATCAAACAAGTCAGGAGATTCGACTTGCTTAATGGATCTCGAGACAGTCCCAAAGAACACTGTCAAAAGTCTAGATGGACTCTGAGGTCACCCCAGCAACGGAAAGCAGCTCCCTGTGCCCCTAATCAATTCGAGATGAGGCCCAGTTCCCCTGCATTCATTCGAGAGCCATCGCCCGTTCCCCATTCAACACGGCCAGTGGCTTGCCTTCCTTCAGGCAAGACCAGAGATGCCCCGAGAACACTGTCCCAAGTCTAGAGGAAAACCCACATCAGCACAGCAACTCGAGGAATGCTACGTGTACCCCAAATCGTCTCGAGATGAGAGCTAATTCCCTGGCTTAGGCTCATGACGTATGCCAACTTTCCAGAATCACCTGAAGAGGAGGCTTCTCTCGGCAATAGGTATATGTGAGAGACCCCGAGTTTGCTGCCTCAAGAGGTATATACAGCGAAAAGCCCTAACTTGAAAGGAGGCCGGATTTCCTTGTAGTGGCTTGAATAGAGGCTCGTCTTTCATCTCACAACATGAAGGGATGTCTGAATCCCCTGTGGAGACCTTAGAGAAAGCCCTAGTTCCCTGCCTCATTTTGACGGAATGCCTCCCATCCCGTTGACACCTCGAGAGGCACGCGGAGTTCACTGCTTCAAAAGGTGATGATGCCTGACTCCTCTTGAATACTGATAGGAATCCCCAAATCACTGTGGCTAATGGAAAGGGTCATTGGGTGCCCTACCTCACCTCGAGAAGCGTCCCTTTTGCCCTGGCAAGCATCGTGTAGATTCCTGAGGTGTCCCTCGTTACTAGAGAGGAGTCCTGACGTCACTGAATGAACACGTGTTTTGAAGGGCCATCCCCGCCGAAAATGGAGAACATACCCCAGGTCCCCGCCGCACCTCGAGAAAAAGCATGAGACTTCCCCCTAGAGCCGAGATGAGGCCCCATTCACCTGCAGTGCATGCAGAGCTCTTCCGTGATCCCCATCAAACAAGTCAGGAGCTTCGACTTGCTTAATGAATCTCGAGACAGTCCCCAGGAACACTGTGACAAGTCTAGACGGACCCTGAGGTCACCCCAGCAACGCAAAGCAGCTCCATGTGCCCCAAATCAACTCGAGATGAGGCCCGATTCCCCTGCATTGACTCCAGAGCCATTCCCCGTTCCCCATTCAACACGACCAATGGCTTGCCTTCCTTCAGGCAACACCAGAGATGCCCCGAGAACACTCTCCCAAGTCTAGAGGAAGAGCAACTTCTGCACAGCAACTCGAGGAATGCTCCGTGTACCCCAAATCATCTCGAGATGAGAGCTGATTCCCTGGCTTAGGATAAAGAAGTATGCCAACTATCCAGAAACACCTCAAGTCGAGGCTTCTCTCAGCAATAGGTATGTAGGAGGCACCCCGAGTTTGCTGCCTCAAGTGGAATATAGAGTGTGAAGCCCTAACTTGAAAGGAGGCCGGATTTCCTTGCATTGGCTTGAATACAGGCTCCTCTTTCATCTCACAACATGAAGGGATGTCTGAATCCCCTGTGGAGACCTTAGAGACAGCCCCAGGTAGCTGCCTCATTTTGTCGGAATGCCTCACATCCGGTTGACACCTCGAGAGGCACGCGGAGTTCACTGCTTCAAAAGGTGACGATTCCTGACGCCTGTTGAATACTGATAGCAATCCCAAAATCCCTGTGGCTACTGGAAAGGGTCCTTGGATGCCTTGCCTCACCTCGAGAAGCGTCCCTTTTGCCCTGCCACGCCTCGAAGAGATTCCTGAGGTGTCCCTCGTTACTAGACAGGAATCCTGATGTCACTGAATAAACAAGTGTTTTGACGGGCGATCCCCGCCATAACTTGAGAACATACCCCAGGTTTCCGTCGCAACTCGAGAAAAACAAGGACACTTACCCCTAGAGGCGAGATGAGGCCCCATTACCCTGCAGTGCATTCAGAGCTATTCCGTTATTCCCATCAAACAAGTCAGGAGCTTCGCCTTGCTTAATGCATCTCGAGACAGTCCCCAAGAACACTGTCACAAGTCTAGACGGACATGGAAGTCACCCCAGCAACGCAACGCAGCTCCATGTGCCCCAAGTCAACTTGAGATGAGGCTCGATTCCTGTGCATTGACTCCAGAGCCATCACCCATTCCCCATTCAACACGACCAGTGGCTTGACTTCTTTCAGACAACTCCAGAGAGGCCCCGAGAACACTGTCCCAAGTCTGGAGGAACACGAAGTTCTGCACAGCAACTCGAGGAATGCTCCGTGTACCCCAAAACGTCTCGAGATGAGAGCTGATTCCCTGGCTTAGGCTCAAGACATATGCCTACTTTTCAGAAGCACCTCAAGAGGAGGCTTCTCTCAGCAATAGGTATGTGAGACGGACCCCGAATTTGCTGCCTTAAGTGGAATATACAGCGAGAAGCCCTAACTTGAAAGGAGGCCGGATTTCCTTGCAGTGGCTTGAATACAGGCACGTCTTTCATCTCACAACATGAAGGGATGTCTGAATCCCCTGTGCAGACCTTAGAGAAAGCCCTCGGTCCCTGCATCATTTTGAAGGAATGCCTCAAATCCCGTTGAAAACTCGAGAGGCACCCAGAGTTCACTGCTTCAAAATGTGACGATGCCTGACTCCTTTTCATTATTTATAGGAATCCCAAAATCCCTGTGGCTACTGGAAAGGGTCCTTGGGTGCCCTGTCTCACCTCGAGAAGCGTCCCTTTGGCCCTGCCAAGCCTCGAAGAGATTCCTGAGGTGTCCCTCGTTACTAGACAGGAGTCCTGACGTCACTGAAGAAACTCGTGTTTTGAAGGGCCATCCACGTCGTAAGTCGAGAACATACCCCAGGTCCCCGCCGCAACTCGAGAAAAACCATGAGACTTCCCCCTAGATGCGAGATGAGGCCCCATTCCCCTACAGTGCATGCAGAGCTATTCCGTGATCCCGTTCAAACAAGTCAGGAGCTTCAACTTGCTTAATGGATCTCGACACAGTCCCCAAGAACACTGTCACCAGTCTAGACGGACCCTGAGGTCACCCCAGCAACGCAAAGCAGCTCCATGTGCCCCAAATCAACTCGAGATGAGGCCCGATTCCCCTGCATTGATACCAGAGTCATTCCCCGTTCCCCATTCAACACGACTGGTGGCTCGACTTCCTTCAGGCAACTCCACAGATGCCCCGAGAACACTGTGTCAAGTCTAGAGGAACACCAACTTCAGCACAGCAACTCGAGGAATGCTCCGTGTACACCAAATCGTCTCGAGATGAGAGCTGATTCCCTGGCTTAGGCTCAAGACGTATGCCAACTTTCCAGAAGCACCTCAGGAGGAGGCTTCTCTCAGCAATAGGTATGTGGGAGGGACGCCGAGTTTGCTGCCTCAAGGGGAATATACAGCGAGAAGCCCTAACTTGAAAGGAGGCCGGATTTCCTTGCAGTGGCTTGAATACAGGCTCGTCTTTCATCTCACAACATGAAGGGATGTCTGAATCCCCTGTGGAGACCTTAGAGAAAGCCCTAGGTCCCTGCCTCATTTTGACGGAATGCCTCACATCCCGCTGACACCTCGAGAGGCACGCGGAGTTCATTGCTTCAAAAGGTGACGATGCCTGACTCCTCTTGAATACTGATAGGAATCCCAAAATTTCTGTGGCTACTGGAAAGGGTCCTTGGTTGCACTGTCTCACTTCGAGAAGCGTCCCTTTTGCCCTGCCAAGCCTCGAAGAGTTTCCTGAGGTGTCCCTCGTTATTAGACAGGAGTCCTGACGTCACTCAGGAAACTCGTGTTTTGAAGGGCCATCCCCGCCGTAAGTCGAGAACATACCCCAGGTCCCCGCCGCAACTCGAGAAAAACCATGAGACTTCCCCCTAGATTCGAGATGAGGCCCCATTCCCCTGCAGTGCATGCAGAGTTATTCCGTGATCCCATTCAAACAAGTCAGGAGCGTCGACTTGCTTAATGGATCTCGCGATACTCACCAAGAACACTGTCACCAGTCTAGACGGACGTTGAGGTCACCCCAGCAACGCAAAGCAGCTCCATGTGCCCCAAATCAACTCGAGATGAGGCCCGATTCCCCTGCATTGACTCCAGAGCCATTCCCCGTTCCCCATTCAACACGACCGGTGATTCGACTTCCTTCAGGCAACTCCAGAGATGCCCCGAGAACACTGTGCCAAGTCTAGAGGAACACCAACTTCAGCACAGCAACTCGAGGAATGCTCCGTGTACCCCAAATCGTCTCGAGATGAGAGCTGATTCCCTGGCTTAGGCTCAAGACGTATGCCAACTTTCCAGAAGCACCTCAGGAGGAGGCTTCTCTCAGCAATACGTATGTGGGAGGGACCCCCAGTTTGCTGCCTCAAGGGGAATATACAGCGAGAAGGCCTAACTTGAAAGGAGGCCAGATTTCCTTGCAGTGGCTTGAATACAGGTTCGTCTTTCATCTCAAAACATGAAGGGATGTCTGAATCCCCTGTGGAGACCTTAGAGAAAGCCCTAGGTCCCTGCCTCATTTTGACGGAATGCCTCACATCCCGCTGACACCTCGAGAGGCACGCGGAGTTCATTGCTTCAAAAGGTGACGACCCTGACTCCTCTTGAATACTGATAGGAATCCCAAAATCCCTGTGGCTACTGGAAAGGGTCCTTGGGTGCCCTGCCTCACCTCGTGAAGCGTCCCTTTTGCCCTGCGAAGCCTCGAAGAGATTCCTGAGGTGTCCCTCGTTACTAGACAGGAGTCCTGACGTCACTGAAGAAACTCGTGTTTTGAAGGGCCATCCCCGCCGTAAGTCGAAAAATACCCCAGGTCCCCGCCGCAACTCGAGAAAAACCATGAGACTTCCCCCTAGAGGCGAGATGAGGCCCCATTCCTCTGCAGTGCATGCAGAGCTATTCCGTGATCCCATTCAAACAAGTCAGGAGCTCCGACTTGCTTAATGGATCTCGAGAGAGTCCCCAAGAACACTGTCACCAGTCTAGAGGGACCCTGAGGTCACCCCAGCAACGCAAAGCAGCTCCATATGCCCCAAATCAACTCGAGATGAGGCCCGATTCCCCTGCATTGACGCCAGAGCCATTTCCCGTTCCCCATTCAACACGACTGGTGGCTCGACTTCCTTCAGGCAACTCCAGAGATGCGCTGAGAACACTGTCCCAAGCCTAGAGGAACACCAACTTCACCACAGCAACTCGAGGAATGCTCCGTGTACCACAAATCGTCTCGGGATGAGAGTTGATTCCCTTGCTTAGGCTCAAGACGTATGCCAACTTTCCAGAAGCACCTCAGGAGGAGCCTTCTCTCAGCAATAGGTATGTGGGAGGGACCCCGAGTTTGCTGCCTCAAGGGGAATATACAGCGAGAATCCCTAACTTGAAAGGAGGCTGGATTTCCTTGCAGTGGCTTGAATAGAGGCTCGTCTTTCATCTCACAACATGAAGGGATGTCTGAATCCCCTGTGGAGACCTTAGAGAAAGCACTAGGTCCCAGCCTCATTTTGACGGAATGCCTCACATCTCGCTGACACCTCGAGAGGCACGCGGAGTTCACTGCTTCAAAAGGTGACGATGCCTGACTCCTCTTGAATATTGATAGGCATCCCAAAACCACTGTGGATACTGGAAAGTGTTCTTGGGTGCCCTGCCTCACCTCGAGAAGCGTCCCGAGTGCACTGCCAAGCCTCGAAGAGATTCCTGAGGTGTCCCTCGCTACAAACAGGAGTCCTGACGTCACTGAATAAACACGTGTTTTGAAGGGCCTTCCCCACCGTAACTCGAGAACATACCCCAGGTCCCTGCCGCAACTCGAGAAAAACCATGAGACTTCTCCCTAGAGGCGAGATGAGGCCCCATTCCCCTGCAGTGCATGCAGAGCTATTCCGTGATCCCCATCAAACAAGTCAGGAGCTTTGACTTGCTTAATGGATCTCGAGACAGTCCCCAAGAACACTGTCACCAGTCTAGACGAACCCTGAGGTCACCCCAGCAACGCAAAGCAGCTCCATGTGACCCAAATCAACTCGAGATGAGGCCCGATTCTTCTGCTTTGACTCCAGAGCCATATCCCATTCCCCATTCAACACGACCAGTGGCTTGACTTCCTTCAGGCAACTCCAGAGATGCCCCGAGAACACTGTCCCAAGTCTAGAGGAACAACAAATTCAGAACAGCAACTCGAGGACTGCTCCGTGGAAACCAAATCGTCTCGAGATGAGAGCTGATTCCCTGGCTTAGGCTCAAGACGTATGCCAATTTTCCAGAAGCACCTCAAGAGGAGCCTTCTCTCAGCAATAGGTATGTGGGAGGGACCCCGAGTTTGCTGCCTCAAGTGGAATATACAGCGAGAAGCCCTAACTTGAAATGAGGACAGATTTCCTTGCAGTGGCTTGAATACAGGCTTGTCTTTCATCTCACAACATGAAGGGATGTGTGAATCCCCTGCGGAGACCTTAGAGAAAGCCCAAGGTCCCTGCCTCATTTTGACGGAATGCCTCACATCCAGTTGACACCTCGAGAGGCATGCGGAGTTCACTGCTTCAAAAGGTGACGATGCCTGACTCCTGGTGAATACTGATAGGAATCCCAAAATCCCTGTGGCTACTGGAAAGGGTCCTTGGGTGCCCTGCCTCACCTCGAGAAGTGTCCCTTTTTACCTGCCAAGCCTAGAAGAGATTCCTGAGGTGTCCCTCGTTACTAGACAGGAGTCCTGACCTCACTGAATAAACATGTTTTTTGAAGGGCTATCCCCGCCGTAACTCGAGAACATACCCCAGGTCCCGCCGCAACTCGAGAAAAACCATGAGACTTCCCATTAGAGGCGAGATGTGGCCCCATTCCCCTGCAGTGCATGCAGAGCTATTCCGTGATCCCCATCAAACAAGTCAGGAGCTTCGACTTGCTAAATGGATTTCGAGCCAGTCCCCAAGAACACTGTCACCAGTTTAGACGGACCCTGAGGTCACCCCAGCAACGCAAAGCAGCTCCATGTGCCCCAAATCAACTCGAGATGAGGCCCGATTCCCCTGCATTGACTACATAGCCACCCCCGTTCCCCATTCAACAAGACCAGTGGCTTGACTTCCTTCAGGCAACTCCAGAGATTCCCCGAGAACACTGTCCCAAGTCTGGAGGAACATCAACTTCAGCACAGCAACTCGAGGAATGCTCCGTGTACCCCAAATCGTCTCGAGATGAGAGCTGATTCCCTGGCTTAGGCTCAAGCCGTATGCCAACTTTCCAGAATCACCTGAAGAGGAGGCTACTCTCAGCAATAGGTATCTGGGAGGGATCCCGAGATTTCTGCCTCAAGAGAAATATACAGCGAGAAGCCCTAACTTGAAAGGAGGCCGGATTTCCTTGCAATGGCTTGACTACAGGCTCGTCTTTCATCTCACAACATGAAGGGATGTCTGAATCCCCTGTGGAGACCATAGAGAAAGCCCTAGGGCCCTGCCTCATTTTGTCGGAATGCCTCACATCCTGTTGACACCTCGAGAGGCACGCGGAGTTCACTGCTGCAAAAGGTGACGATGCCTGTCTCCTCTTGAATACTGCTAGAAATCCCAAAACCCCTATGGCTACTGGAAAGTGTCCTTGGGTGCCCTGCCTCACCTCGAGAAGCGTCCCTTTTGCCCTGCCAACCCTCGAAGAGATTCCTGAGGTGTCCCTCGTTACTAGACCGGAGTCCTGACGTCCCTGAATGAACACGTGTTTTGAAGGGCCATCCCCGCCATAAGTCGAGAACATACACCAGGTCCCCGCCGCAACTCGAGAAAAACCATGAGACTTCGCCCTAGACGCGAAATGAGGCCCCATTCCCCTGCAGTGCATGCAGAGCTCTTCCGTGATCCCCATCAAACAAGTCAGGAGCTTCGACTTGCTTAATGAATCTCGAGACAGTCCCCAAGAACACTGTAACAAGTCTAGACGGACCCTGAGGTCACCCCAGCAACGCAAAACAGCTCCATTGGCCCCAAATCAACACGAGATGAGGCCCGATTCCCCTGCATTGACTCCAGAGCCATCCCCCATTCCGCATTCAACATGACCAGTGGCTTGCCTTCCTTCAGGCAACTCCAGAGATTCCCTGAGAAGACTGTCGCAAGTCTCGAGGAACACCAACTTAAGTACAGCAACTCGAGGAATGCTCCGTGTACCCCAAATCGTCTCGAGATGAGAGCTGATTCCCTGGCTTAGGCTCAAGACGTATGCCAACTTTCCAGAAGCACCTCAAAGGAGGCTCTCTCAGTAATAGGTATCTGGGAGGGACCCCGAGTTTGCTGCCTCAAGTGGAATATAGAGTGAGAAGCCCTAACTTGAAAGGAGGCCTGATTTCCTTGCAGTGGCTTGAATACCGGCTCGTCTTTCATCTCACAACATGAAGGGATGTCTGAATCCCCTGTGGAGACCTTAGAGAAAGACCTAGGGCCCTGCCTCATTTTGTCGGAATGCCTCACATCCAGTTGACACCTCGAGAGGCACGCAGAGTTCACTGCTTCAAAAGGTGACGATGCCTGTCTCCTCTTGAATACTGCTAGGAATCCCAAAACCCCTATGGCTACTGGAAAGGGTCCTTGGGTGCTCTGCCTCACCTTGAGAAGCGTCCCTTTGCCGTGCCAAGCATCGAAGAGATTCCTGAGGTGTCCCTCGTTACTAGACAGGAGTCCTGACGTCACTGAATGAACACGTGTTTTGAAGGGCCATCCCCGCCATAACTCGAGAACATACCCCAGGTCCCCGCCGCAACTCGAGAAAAACCATGAGACTTCCCCCTAGAGGCGAGATGAGGCCCCATTCCCCTGCAGTGCATGCAGAGCTCTTCCGTGATCCCCATCAAACAAGTCAGGAGTTTCGACTTGCTTAATGAATCTCGAGACAGTCCCCAAGAACACTGTCACAAGTCTAGACGGACCCTGAGGTCACCCCAGCAACGCAAAACAGCTCCATGTGCCTCAAATCAACACGAGATGAGGCCCGATTCCCCTGCATTGACTCCAGAGCCATCCCCCATTCCGCATTCAACATGACCAGTGGCTTGCCTTCCTTCAGGAAACTCCAGAGATTCCCTGAGAAGACTGTCGCAAGTCTAGAGGAACACCAACTTAAGTACAGCAACTCGAGGAATGCTCCGTGTACCCCAAATCGTCTCGAGATGAGAGCTGATTCCCTGGCTTAGGCTCAAGACGTATGCCAACTTTCCAGAAGCACCTCAAAGGAGGCTTCTCTCAGTAATAGGTATCTGGGAGGGACACCGAGTTTGCTGCCTCAAGTGGAATATAGAGTGAGAAGCCCTAACTTGAAAGGAGGTCGGATTTCCTTGCAGTGGCTTGAATACAGGCTCGTCTTTCATCTCACAACATGAAGGGATGTCTGAAACCCCTGTGGAGACCTCAGAGAAAGCCCTAGGTCCCTGCCTCATTTTGACGGAATGCCTCACAACCCGTTGACACCGCGAGAGGCACGCGGAGTTCACTGCTTCAAAAGGTGACGATGCCTGACTCCTCTTGAATACTGATAGGAATCCCCAAATCCCTGTGGCTACTGGAAAGGGTCCTTGGGTGCTCTGCCTCACCTCGAGAAGCGTCCCTTTTGCCCTGGCAAGCCTCGAGGAGATTCCTGATTTGTCCCTCGTTAGTAGATATGAGTCCTGACGTCATTGAATAAACACGTGTTTTGAAGGGCCATCCCCGCCGTAACTCGAGAACATACCCCAGGTCCCGCCGCAACTCGAGAAAAACCATTAGACTTCCCCCTAGAGCCGAGATGAGGCCCCATTCACCTGCAGTGCATGCATAGCTACTCCGGGATCCCCATCAAACAAGTCAGGTTCATCGACTAGCTTAATGGATCTCGAGACAGTACCCAAGAACACTGTCACCAGTCTAGACGGACCCTGAGTCACCCAGCAACGCAAAGCAGATCCATGCGCCCAAATCAACTCGAGATGGGGCCCGATTCCCCTGCATTGACTCCAGAGCCATTCCCCGTTCCCCATTCAACACGACCGGTGGCTCGACTTCCTTCAGGCAACTCCAGAGATGCCCCGAGAACACTGTCCCAAGTCTAGAGGAACACCAACTTCAGCACAGCAACTCGAGGAATGCTCCGTGTACCCCAAATCGTCTCGAGATGAGAGCTGATTCCCTCGCTTAGGCTCAAGACGTATGGCAACTTTCCAGAAGCACCTCAGGAGGAGGCTTCTCTCAGCAATAGGTATGTGGGAGGGACCCCGAGTTTGCTGCCTCAAGGGGAATATACAGCGAGAAGCCCTAACTTGAAAGGAGGCCGAATTTCCTTGCAGTGGCTTGAATACAGGCTCGTCTTTCATCTCACAACATGAAGGGATGTCTGAATCCCCTGTGGAGACCTTAGAGAAAGCCCTAGGTCCCTGCCTCATTTTGACGGAATGCCTCACATCCCGCTGACACCTCGAGAGTCACGCGGAGTTCATTGCTTCAAAAGGTGACGATGCCTGACTCCGCTTGAATCCTGATAGGAATCCCGAAATCCCTGTGGCTACTGGAAAGGGTCCTTGGGTGCCCCGCCTCACCGCGAGAACCGTCCCTTTTGCCCTGGCAAGCATCGAGGAGATTCCTGAGTTTTTCCTTGTTACTAGATATGAGTCCTAATGTCATTGAATAAACACGTGTTTTGAAGGGCCATTTCCGCCGAAAATGGAGAACATATCCCAGGTCCCGCCGCAACTCGAGAAAAAGCATGAGACTTCCCCCTAGAGCCGAGATGAGTCCCCATTCACCTGCAGGGCATGCAGAGCTACTCCGTGATCACCATCAAACAAGTCAGGATCATCGACTTGCTTAATGGATCTCGAGACAGTACCCAAGAACACTGTCACAAGTCTAGACGGACCCTGAGGTCACCCAGCAACGCAAAGCAGCTCCATGTGCCCCAAATCAACTCGAGATGAGGCCCGATTCCCCTGCATTGACTCCAGAGCCATCCCCCGTTCCCCTTTCAACACGACCGGTGGCTCGACTTCCTTCAGGCAACTCCAGAGATGCCCCGAGAACACTCTCCCAAGTCTAGAGGAACAGCAACTTCAGCACAGCAACTCGAGGAATGCTCCGTGAACCCCAAATCGTCTCGAGATGACAGCTGATTCCCTGGCTTAGGTTCAAGACGTATGCCAACTTTCTAGAAGCACCTCAAGAGGAGGCTTCTCTAAGCAATAGGTATGTGGGAGGGACCCCGAGTTTGCTGCCTCAAGTGGAATATACTGCGAGAAGCCCTAACTTGAAAGGACGCCGGGTTTCCCTGTAGTGGCTTGAATACAGGCTCGTCTTTCATCTCACAACATGAAGGGATGTCTGAATACCCTGTGGAGACCTTAGAGAAAGCCCTAGGTCCCGGCCTCATTTGACGGAATGCCTCACATCCCGTTGACACCTCGAGAGGCACACGGAGTTCACTGCTTCAAAAGGTGACGATGCCTGACTCCGCTTGAATCCTGATAGGAATCCCGAAATCCCTGTGGCTACTGGAAAGGGTACTTGGGTGCCCAGCCTCACCTCGAGAGGAGTCCCTTTTGCCCTGCCAAGCCTCGAAGAGTTTCCTGAAGTGTCCCTCATTACTAGAGAGGAGTCCTGACGTCACTGAATGAACACGTGTTTTGAAGTGCCATCCCCGCCGTAACTCGAGAGCATACCCCAGGTCCCCACCGCAACCTGAGAAAATCCATGAGACTTCCCCCTAGAGGCGAGATCAGACCCCATTCCCCTGCAGTGCATGCAGAGCTATTCCGTGATCCACATCAAACAAGTCAGGAGATTCGACTTGCTTAATGGATCTCGAGACAGTCCCAAAGAACACTGTCAAAAGTCTAGATGGACTCTGAGGTCACCCCAGCAACGGAAAGCAGCTCCCTGTGCCCCTAATCAATTCGAGATGAGGCCCAGTTCCCCTGCATTCATTCGAGAGCCATCGCCCGTTCCCCATTCAACACGGCCAGTGGCTTGCCTTCCTTCAGGCAAGACCAGAGATGCCCCGAGAACACTGTCCCAAGTCTAGAGGAAAACCCACATCAGCACAGCAACTCGAGGAATGCTACGTGTACCCCAAATCGTCTCGAGATGAGAGCTAATTCCCTGGCTTAGGCTCATGACGTATGCCAACTTTCCAGAATCACCTGAAGAGGAGGCTTCTCTCGGCAATAGGTATATGTGAGAGACCCCGAGTTTGCTGCCTCAAGAGGTATATACAGCGAAAAGCCCTAACTTGAAAGGAGGCCGGATTTCCTTGTAGTGGCTTGAATAGAGGCTCGTCTTTCATCTCACAACATGAAGGGATGTCTGAATCCCCTGTGGAGACCTTAGAGAAAGCCCTAGTTCCCTGCCTCATTTTGACGGAATGCCTCCCATCCCGTTGACACCTCGAGAGGCACGCGGAGTTCACTGCTTCAAAAGGTGATGATGCCTGACTCCTCTTGAATACTGATAGGAATCCCCAAATCACTGTGGCTAATGGAAAGGGTCATTGGGTGCCCTACCTCACCTCGAGAAGCGTCCCTTTTGCCCTGGCAAGCATCGTGTAGATTCCTGAGGTGTCCCTCGTTACTAGAGAGGAGTCCTGACGTCACTGAATGAACACGTGTTTTGAAGGGCCATCCCCGCCGAAAATGGAGAACATACCCCAGGTCCCCGCCGCACCTCGAGAAAAATCATGAGACTTCCCCCTAGAGCCGAGATGAGGCCCCATTCACCTGCAGTGCATGCAGAGCTCTTCCGTGATCCCCATCAAACAAGTCAGGAGCTTCGACTTGCTTAATGAATCTCGAGACAGTCCCCAGGAACACTGTGACAAGTCTAGACGGACCCTGAGGTCACCCCAGCAACGCAAAGCAGCTCCATGTGCCCCAAATCAACTCGAGATGAGGCCCGATTCCCCTGCATTGACTCCAGAGCCATTCCCCGTTCCCCATTCAACACGACCAATGGCTTGCCTTCCTTCAGGCAACACCAGAGATGCCCCGAGAACACTCTCCCAAGTCTAGAGGAAGAGCAACTTCTGCACAGCAACTCGAGGAATGCTCCGTGTACCCCAAATCATCTCGAGATGAGAGCTGATTCCCTGGCTTAGGATAAAGAAGTATGCCAACTATCCAGAAACACCTCAAGTCGAGGCTTCTCTCAGCAATAGGTATGTAGGAGGCACCCCGAGTTTGCTGCCTCAAGTGGAATATAGAGTGTGAAGCCCTAACTTGAAAGGAGGCCGGATTTCCTTGCATTGGCTTGAATACAGGCTCCTCTTTCATCTCACAACATGAAGGGATGTCTGAATCCCCTGTGGAGACCTTAGAGACAGCCCCAGGTAGCTGCCTCATTTTGTCGGAATGCCTCACATCCGGTTGACACCTCGAGAGGCACGCGGAGTTCACTGCTTCAAAAGGTGACGATTCCTGACGCCTGTTGAATACTGATAGCAATCCCAAAATCCCTGTGGCTACTGGAAAGGGTCCTTGGATGCCTTGCCTCACCTCGAGAAGCGTCCCTTTTGCCCTGCCACGCCTCGAAGAGATTCCTGAGGTGTCCCTCGTTACTAGACAGGAATCCTGATGTCACTGAATAAACAAGTGTTTTGACGGGCGATCCCCGCCATAACTTGAGAACATACCCCAGGTTTCCGTCGCAACTCGAGAAAAACAAGGACACTTACCCCTAGAGGCGAGATGAGGCCCCATTACCCTGCAGTGCATTCAGAGCTATTCCGTTATTCCCATCAAACAAGTCAGGAGCTTCGCCTTGCTTAATGCATCTCGAGACAGTCCCCAAGAACACTGTCACAAGTCTAGACGGACATGGAAGTCACCCCAGCAACGCAACGCAGCTCCATGTGCCCCAAGTCAACTTGAGATGAGGCTCGATTCCTGTGCATTGACTCCAGAGCCATCACCCATTCCCCATTCAACACGACCAGTGGCTTGACTTCTTTCAGACAACTCCAGAGAGGCCCCGAGAACACTGTCCCAAGTCTGGAGGAACACGAAGTTCTGCACAGCAACTCGAGGAATGCTCCGTGTACCCCAAATCGTCTCGAGATGAGAGCTGATTCCCTGGCTTAGGCTCAAGACATATGCCTACTTTTCAGAAGCACCTCAAGAGGAGGCTTCTCTCAGCAATAGGTATGTGAGACGGACCCCGAATTTGCTGCCTTAAGTGGAATATACAGCGAGAAGCCCTAACTTGAAAGGAGGCCGGATTTCCTTGCAGTGGCTTGAATACAGGCACGTCTTTCATCTCACAACATGAAGGGATGTCTGAATCCCCTGTGCAGACCTTAGAGAAAGCCCTCGGTCCCTGCATCATTTTGAAGGAATGCCTCAAATCCCGTTGAAAACTCGAGAGGCACCCAGAGTTCACTGCTTCAAAATGTGACGATGCCTGACTCCTTTTCATTATTTATAGGAATCCCAAAATCCCTGTGGCTACTGGAAAGGGTCCTTGGGTGCCCTGTCTCACATCGAGAAGCGTCCCTTTGGCCCTGCCAAGCCTCGAAGAGATTCCTGAGGTGTCCCTCGTTACTAGACAGGAGTCCTGACGTCACTGAAGAAACTCGTGTTTTGAAGGGCCATCCACGTCGTAAGTCGAGAACATACCCCAGGTCCCCGCCGCAACTCGAGAAAAACCATGAGACTTCCCCCTAGATGCGAGATGAGGCCCCATTCCCCTACAGTGCATGCAGAGCTATTCCGTGATCCCGTTCAAACAAGTCAGGAGCTTCGACTTGCTTAATGGATCTCGACACAGTCCCCAAGAACACTGTCACCAGTCTAGACGGACCCTGAGGTCACCCCAGCAACGCAAAGCAGCTCCATGTGCCCCAAATCAACTCGAGATGAGGCCCGATTCCCCTGCATTGATACCAGAGTCATTCCCCGTTCCCCATTCAACACGACTGGTGGCTCGACTTCCTTCAGGCAACTCCACAGATGCCCCGAGAACACTGTGTCAAGTCTAGAGGAACACCAACTTCAGCACAGCAACTCGAGGAATGCTCCGTGTACACCAAATCGTCTCGAGATGAGAGCTGATTCCCTGGCTTAGGCTCAAGACGTATGCCAACTTTCCAGAAGCACCTCAGGAGGAGGCTTCTCTCAGCAATAGGTATGTGGGAGGTACGCCGAGTTTGCTGCCTCAAGGGGAATATACAGCGAGAAGCCCTAACTTGAAAGGAGGCCGGATTTCCTTGCAGTGGCTTGAATACAGGCTCGTCTTTCATCTCACAACATGAAGGGATGTCTGAATCCCCTGTGGAGACCTTAGAGAAAGCCCTAGGTCCCTGCCTCATTTTGACGGAATGCCTCACATCCCGCTGACACCTCGAGAGGCACGCGGAGTTCATTGCTTCAAAAGGTGACGATGCCTGACTCCTCTTGAATACTGATAGGAATCCCAAAATTTCTGTGGCTACTGGAAAGGGTCCTTGGTTGCACTGTCTCACTTCGAGAAGCGTCCCTTTTGCCCTGCCAAGCCTCGAAGAGTTTCCTGAGGTGTCCCTCGTTATTAGACAGGAGTCCTGACGTCACTCAGGAAACTCGTGTTTTGAAGGGCCATCCCCGCCGTAAGTCGAGAACATACCCCAGGTCCCCGCCGCAACTCGAGAAAAACCATGAGACTTCCCCCTAGATTCGAGATGAGGCCCCATTCCCCTGCAGTGCATGCAGAGTTATTCCGTGATCCCATTCAAACAAGTCAGGAGCGTCGACTTGCTTAATGGATCTCGCGATACTCACCAAGAACACTGTCACCAGTCTAGACGGACGTTGAGGTCACCCCAGCAACGCAAAGCAGCTCCATGTGCCCCAAATCAACTCGAGATGAGGCCCGATTCCCCTGCATTGACTCCAGAGCCATTCCCCGTTCCCCATTCAACACGACCGGTGATTCGACTTCCTTCAGGCAACTCCAGAGATGCCCCGAGAACACTGTGCCAAGTCTAGAGGAACACCAACTTCAGCACAGCAACTCGAGGAATGCTCCGTGTACCCCAAATCGTCTCGAGATGAGAGCTGATTCCCTGGCTTAGGCTCAAGACGTATGCCAACTTTCCAGAAGCACCTCAGGAGGAGGCTTCTCTCAGCAATACGTATGTGGGAGGGACCCCCAGTTTGCTGCCTCAAGGGGAATATACAGCGAGAAGGCCTAACTTGAAAGGAGGCCAGATTTCCTTGCAGTGGCTTGAATACAGGTTCGTCTTTCATCTCAAAACATGAAGGGATGTCTGAATCCCCTGTGGAGACCTTAGAGAAAGCCCTAGGTCCCTGCCTCATTTTGACGGAATGCCTCACATCCCGCTGACACCTCGAGAGGCACGCGGAGTTCATTGCTTCAAAAGGTGACGACGCCTGACTCCTCTTGAATACTGATAGGAATCCCAAAATCCCTGTGGCTACTGGAAAGGGTCCTTGGGTGCCCTGCCTCACCTCGTGAAGCGTCCCTTTTGCCCTGCGAAGCCTCGAAGAGATTCCTGAGGTGTCCCTCGTTACTAGACAGGAGTCCTGACGTCACTGAAGAAACTCGTGTTTTGAAGGGCCATCCCCGCCGTAAGTCGAAAAATACCCCAGGTCCCCGCCGCAACTCGAGAAAAACCATGAGACTTCCCCCTAGAGGCGAGATGAGGCCCCATTCCTCTGCAGTGCATGCAGAGCTATTCCGTGATCCCATTCAAACAAGTCAGGAGCTCCGACTTGCTTAATGGATCTCGAGAGAGTCCCCAAGAACACTGTCACCAGTCTAGAGGGACCCTGAGGTCACCCCAGCAACGCAAAGCAGCTCCATATGCCCCAAATCAACTCGAGATGAGGCCCGATTCCCCTGCATTGACGCCAGAGCCATTTCCCGTTCCCCATTCAACACGACTGGTGGCTCGACTTCCTTCAGGCAACTCCAGAGATGCGCTGAGAACACTGTCCCAAGCCTAGAGGAACACCAACTTCACCACAGCAACTCGAGGAATGCTCCGTGTACCACAAATCGTCTCGGGATGAGAGTTGATTCCCTTGCTTAGGCTCAAGACGTATGCCAACTTTCCAGAAGCACCTCAGGAAGAGCCTTCTCTCAGCAATAGGTATGTGGGAGGGACCCCGAGTTTGCTGCCTCAAGGGGAATATACAGCGAGAATCCCTAACTTGAAAGGAGGCTGGATTTCCTTGCAGTGGCTTGAATAGAGGCTCGTCTTTCATCTCACAACATGAAGGGATGTCTGAATCCCCTGTGGAGACCTTAGAGAAAGCACTAGGTCCCAGCCTCATTTTGACGGAATGCCTCACATCTCGCTGACACCTCGAGAGGCACGCGGAGTTCACTGCTTCAAAAGGTGACGATGCCTGACTCCTCTTGAATACTGATAGGAATCCCAGAATCCCTGTGGCTACTGGAAACGGTCCTTGGGTGCCCTGCCTCACCTCGAGGAGCGTCCCTTTTGCCCTGCCAAGCCTCGAAGAGATTCCTGAGGTGTCCCTCGTTACTAGACAGGAGTCCTGACATCACTGAAGAAACTCGTGTTTTGAAGGGCCATCCCCGCCGTAAGTCGAGAACATACCCCAGGTCCCCGCCGCAACTCGAGAAAAACCATGAGACTTCCCCCTAGAGGCGAGATGAGGCCCCATTCCCCTGCAGTGCATGCAGAGCTATTCCGTGATCCCATTCAAACAAGTCAGGAGCGTGGACTTGCTTAATGGGTCTCGAGACAGTCCCCAAGAACACTGTCACCAGTCTAGACGGACCCTGAGGTCACCCCAGCAACGCAACGCAGCTCCATGCGCCCAAATCAACTCGATATGAGGCCCGATTCCCCTGCATTGACTCCAGAGCCATTCCCCGTTCCCCATTCAACACAACCGGTGGCTCGACTTCCTTCAGGCAACTCCAGAGATGCCCCGAGAACACTGTCCCAAGTCTAGAGGAACACCAACTTCAGCACAGCAACTCGAGGAATGCTCCGTGTACCCCAAATCGTCTCGAGATTAGAGCTGATTCCCTCGCTTAGGCTCAAGACGTATGCCAACTTTCCAGAAGCACCTCAGGAGGAAGCTTCTCTCAGCAATAAGTATGTGGGAGGGACCCCGAGTTTGCTGCCTCAAGGGGAATATACAGCGAGAAGCCCTAACTTGAAAGGAGGCCGAATTTCCTTGCAGTGGCTTGAATACAGGCTCGTCTTTCATCTCACAACATGAAGGGATGTCTGAATCCCCTGTGGAGACCTTAGAGAAAGCCCTAGGTCCCTGCCTCATTTTAACGGAATGCCTCACATCCCGCTGACACCTCGAGAGGCACGCGGAGTTCATTGCTTCAAAAGGTGACGATGCCTGACTCCTCTTGAATACTGATAGGAATCCCAAAATCCCTGTGGCTACTGGAAAGGGTCCTTGGGTGCCCTGCCTCACCTCGAGAAGCGTCCCTTTTGCCCTGCCAAGCCTCGAAGAGATTCCTGAGGTGTCCCTCGTTACTAGACAGGAATCCTGACGTCACGGAAGAAACTCGTGTTTTGAAGGGCCATCCCCACCGTAAGTCGAGAACATACCACAGGTCCCGGGAGCAACTCGAGAAAAACCATGAGACTTCCCCCTAGAGGCGAGATGAGGCCCCATTCCCCTGCAGTGCATGCAGAGCTATTCCGTGATCCCATTCAAACAAGTCAGGAGCGTCGACTTGCTTAATGGATCTCGAGACAGTCCCCAAGAACACTGTCACCAGTCTAGACGGACGCTGAGGTCACCGCAGCAACGCAAAGCAGCTCCATGTGCCCCAAATCAACTCGAGATGAGGCCCGATTCCCCTGCATTGACTCCAGAGCCATTCCCCGTTCCCCATTCAACACGACCGGTGGTTCGACTTCCTTCAGGCAACACCAGAGATGCCCCGAGAACATTGTGCCAAGTCTAGAGGAACACCAACTTCAGCACAGCAACTCGAGGAATGCTCCGTGTACCCCAAATCGTCTCGAGATGAGAGCTCATTCCCTGGCTTAGGCTCAAGACGTATGCCAACTTTCCAGAAGCAGCTCAGGAGGAGGCTTCTCTCAGCAATAGGTATGTGGGAGGGACCCCGAGTTTGCTGCCTCAAGGGGAATATACAGCGAGAATCCCTAACTTGAAAGGAGCCCGGATTTCCTTGCAGTGGCTTGAATACAGGCTCGTCTTTCATCTCACAACATGAAGGGATGTCTGAACCCCTGTGGAGATTTAGAGAAAGCCCTAGGTCCCTGCCTCATTTTGACGGAATGCCTCACATCCCGCTGACACCTCGAGAGGCACGCGGAGTTCACTGCTTCAAAAGGTGACGATGCCTGACTCCTCTTGAATACTGATAGGAATCCCAGAATCCCTGGAGCTACTGGAAAGGGTCCTTGGGTGCCCTGCCTCACCTCGAGAAGCGTCCCTTTTGCCCTGCCAAGCCTCGAAGAGATTCCTGATTTGTCCCTCGTTACTAGACAGCAGTCCTGACATCACTGAAGAAACTCGTGTTTTGAAGGGCCATCCCCGCCGTAAGTCGAGAACATACCCCAGGTCCACGCCGCAACTCGAGAAAAACCATGAGACTTCCCCCTAGAGGCGAGATGAGGCCCCATTCCCCTGCAGTGCATGCAGAGCTATTCCGTGATCCCATTCAAACAAGTCAGGACGGTCGACTTGCTTAATGGATCTCGAGACAGTCCCTAAGAACACTGTCACCAGTCTAGACGGACCCTGAGGTCACCCCAGCAACGCAAAGCAGCTCCATGCGCCCAAATCAACTCGAGATGAGGCCTGATTCCCCTGCCTTGACTCCAGAGCCATTCCCCGTTCCCCATTCAACACGACCGGTGGCTCGACTTCCTTCAGGCAACTCCAGAGATGCCCCGAGAACACTGTCCCAAGTCTAGAGGAACACCAACTTCAGCACAGCAACTCGAGGAATACTCCGTGTACCCCAAATTGTCTCGAGATTAGAGCTGATTCCCTCGCTTAGGCTCAAGACGTATGCCAACTTTCCAGAAGCACCTCAGGAGGAGGCTTCTCTCAGCAATAGGTATGTGGGAGGGACCCCGACTTTGCTGCCTCAAGGGGAATATACAGCGAGAAGCCCTAACTTGAAAATAGGCCGAATTTCCTTGCAGTGGCTTGAATACAGGCTCGTCTTTCATCTCACAACATGAAGGGATGTCTGAATCCCCTGTGGAGACCTTAGAGAAAGCCCTAGGTCCCTGCCTCATTTTGACGGAATGCCTCACATCCCGCTGACACCTCGAGAGGCACGCGGAGTTCATTGCTTCAAAAGGTGACGATGCCTGACTCCTCTTGAATACTGATAGGAATCCCAAAATCCCTGTGGCTACTGGAAAGGGTCCTTGGGTGCCCTGCCTCACCTCGAGAAGCGTCCCTTTTGCCCTGCCAAGCTTCGAAGAGATTCCTGAGGTGTCCCTCGTTACTAGACAGGAGTCCTGACGTCACTGAAGAAACTCGTGTTTTGAAGGGCCATCCCCGCCATAAGTCGACAACATACTCCAGGTCCCGGCCGCAACTCGAGAAAAACCATGAGACTTCCCCCTAGAGGCGAGATGAGGCCCCATTCCCCTGCAGTGCATGCAGAGGTATTCCGTGATCCCATTCAGACAAGTCAGGAGCGTCGACTTGCTTAAAGGATCTCGAGACAGTCCCCAAGAACACTGTCACCAGTCTAGACGGACGCTGAGGTCACCCCAGCAACGCAAAGCAGCTCCATGTGCCCCAAATCAACTCGAGATGAGGCCCGATTCCCCTGCATTGACTCCAGAGCCATTCCCCGTTCCCCATTCAACACGACCGGTGAGTCGACTTCCTTCAGGCAACACCAGAGATGCCCCGAGAACACTGTGCCAAGTCTAGAGAAACACCAACTTCAGCACAGCAACTCGAGGAATGCTCGGTGTACCCCAAATCGTCTCGAGATGAGAGGTGATTCCCTGGCTTAGGCTCAAGACGTATGCCAACTTTCCAGAAGCACCTCAGGAGGAGGCTTCTCTCAGCAATAGGTATGTGGGAGGGACCCCGAGTTTGCTGCCTCAAGGGGAATATACAGCGAGAATCCCTAACTTGAAAGGAGGCCGGATTTCCTTGCAGTGGCTTGAATACAGGCTCGTCTTTCATCTCACAACATGAAGGGATGTCTGAATCCCCTGTGGAGACCTTAGAGAAAGCCCTAGGTCCCTGCCTCATTTTGACGGAATGCCTCACATCCCGCTGACACCTCGAGAGGCACGCGGAGTTCATTGCTTCAAAAGGTGACGATGCCTGACTCCTCTTGAATACTGATAGGAATCCCAAAATCCCTGTGGCTACTGGAAAGGGTCTATGGTGCCCTGCCTCACCTCGAGAAGCGTCCCTTTTGCCCTACCAAGCCTCGAAGAGATTCCTGAGGTGTCCCTCGTTACTAGACAGGAGTCCTGGCGTCACTGAAGAAACTCGTGTTTTGAAGGGCCATCCCCGCCGTAAGTCGAGAACATACCCCAGGTCACCGCCGCAACTCGAGAAAAACCATGAGACTTCCCCCTAGAGGCGAGATGATGCCCCATTCCCCTGCAGTGCATGCAGAGCTATTCCGTGATCCCATTCAAAGAAGTCAAGAGCTTCGACTTGCTTAATGGATCTCGAGACAGTCCCCAACAATACTGTCACCAGTCTAGACGGACCCTGAGGTCACCCCAGCAACGCAAAGCAGCTCCATGTGCCCCAAATCAAGTCGAGATGAGGCCGGATTCCCCTGCATTGACTCCAGAGCCATTCCCCGTTCCCCATTCAACACGACCGGTGGATCGACTTCCTTCAGGCAACTCCAGAGATGCCCCGAGAACACTGTCCCAAGTCTAGAGGAACACCAACTTCACCACAGCAACTCTAGGAATGCTCCGTGTACCCCAAATCATCTCGAGATGAGAGCTGATTGCCTAGCTTAGGTTCAAGGCGTATGCCAACTTTCCAGAAGCACCTCAGGAGGAGGCTTCTCTCAGCAATAGGTATGTGGGAGGGACCCCGATTTTGATGCCTCAAGGGGAATATACAGCGAGAAGCCCTAACTTGAAAGGAGGCCGGATTTCCTTGCAGTGGCTTGAATACAGGCTCATCTTTCATCTCACAACATGAAGGGATGTCTGAATCCCCTGGGGAGACCATAGACAAAGCCCAAGATCCCTGCCTCATTTTGACGGAATGCCTCTATCCCGCTGACACCTCGAGAGGCACGCGGAGTTCATTGCTTCAAAAGGGGACGATGCCTGACTCCTCTTGAATACTGATAGGAATCCCAAAATCCCTGTGGCTACTGGAAAGGGTCCGTGGGTGCCCTGCCTGACCTCGAGAAGCGTCCCTTTTGCCCTGCCAAGCCTCGAAGAGAGTCCTGAGGTGTCCCTCATTACTAGACAGGAGTCCTGACATCACTGAAGAAACTCGTGTTTTGAAGGGCCATCCCCGCCGTAAGTCGAGAACATACTCCAGGTCCCCGCCGCAACTCGAGAAGAACCATGAGACTTCCCCCTAGAGGCGAGATGAGGCCCCATTCCCCTGCAGTGCATGCAGAGTTATTCCATGATCCCATTGAAACAAGTCAGGAGCGTCGACTTGCTTAATGGATCTCGCGATACTCACCAAGAACACTGTCACCAGTCTAGACGGACCCTGAGGTCACCCCAGCAACGCAAAGCAGCACCATGTGCCCCAAATCAACTCGAGATGAGGCCCGATTCCCCTGCATTGACTCCAGAGCCATTCCCCATTCCCCATTCAACACGACCGGTGATTCGACTTCCTTCAGGCAACACCAGAGATGCCCCGAGAACACTGTGCCAAGTCTAGAGGAACACCAACTTCAGCACAGCAACTCGAGGAATGCTCCGTGTACCCCAAATCGTCTCGAGATGAAAGCTGATTCCCTGGCTTAGGCTCAAGACGTATGCCAACTTTCCAGAAGCACCTCAGGAGGAGCCTTCTCTCAGCAATACGTATGTGGGAGGGACCCCGAGTTTGCTGCCTCAAGGGGAATATACAGCGAGAAGGCCTAACTTGAAAGGAGGCCGGATTTCCTTGCAGTGGCTTGAATACAGGTTCGTCTTTCATCTCACAACATGAAGGGATGTCTGAATCCCCTGTGGAGACCTTAGAGAAAGCCCTAGGTCCCTGCCTCATTTTGACGGAATGCCTCACATCCCGCTGACACCTCGAGAGGCACCCGGAGTTCATTGCTTCAAAAGGTGACGATGCCTGACTCCTCTTGAATACTGATAGGAATCCCAAAATCCCTGTGGCTACTGGAAAGGGTCCTTGGGTGCCCTGCCTCACCTCGAGAAGCGTCCCTTTTGCCCTGCGAAGCCTCGAAGAGATTCCTGAGGTGTCCCTCGTTACTAGACAGGAGTCCTGACGTCACTGAAGAAACTCGTGTTTTGAAGGGCCATCCCCCCGTAAGTCGAGAACATACCCCAGGTCCCCGCCGGAACTCGAGAAAAACCATGAGACTTCGCCCTAGAGGCGAGATGAAGCCCCATTCCTCTGCAGTGCATGCAGAGCTATTCCGTGATCCCATTCAAACAAGTCAGGAGCTCCGACTTGCTTAATGGATCTCGAGAGAGTCTCCAAGAACTCTGTCACCAGTCTAGACGGACCCTGAGGTCACCCCAGCAACGCAAAGCAGCTCCATATGCCCCAAATCAACTCGAGATGAGGCCCGATTCCCCTGCATTGACTCCAGAGCCATTTCCCGTTCCCCATTCAACACGACTGGTGGCTCGACTTCCTTCAGGCAACTCCAGAGATGCCCTGAGAACACTGTCTCAAGCCTAGAGGAACACCAACTTCACCACAGCAACTCGAGCAATGCTCCGTGTACCACAAATCGTCTCGAGATGAGAGCTGATTCCCTGGCTTAGGCTCAAGACGTATGCCAACTTTCCAGAAGCACCTCAGGAGGAGCCTTCTCTCAGCAATAGGTATGTGGGAGGGACCCCGAGTTTGCTGCCTCAAGGGGAATATACAGCGAGAATCCCTAACTTGAAAGGAGGCTGGATTTCCTTGCAGTGGCTTGAATAGAGGCTCGTCTTTCATCTCACAACATGAAGGGATGTCTGAATCCCCTGTGGAGACCTTAGAGAAAGCCCTAGGTCCCTGCCTCATTTTGACGGAATGCCTCACATCTCGCTGACATCTCGAGAGGCACGCGGAGTTCACTGCTTCAAAAGGTGACGATGCCTGACTCCTCTTGAATACTGATAGGAATCCCAGAATCCCTGTGGCTACTGGAAACGGTCCTTGGGTGCCCTGCCTCACCTCGAGGAGCGTCCCTTTTGCCCTGCCAAGCCTCGAAGAGATTCCTGAGGTGTCCCTCGTTACTAGACAGGAGTCCTGACATCACTGAAGAAACTCGTGTTTTGAAGGGCCATCCCCGCCGTAAGTCGAGAACATACCCCAGGTCCCCACCGCAACTCGAGAAAAACCATGAGACTTCCCCCTAGAGGCGAGATGAGGCCCCATTCCCCTGCAGTGCATGCAGAGCTATTCCGTGATCCCATTCAAACAAGTCAGGAGCGTCGACTTGTTTAATGGATCTCGAGACAGTCCCCAAGAACACTGTCACCAGTCTAGACGGGCCCTGAGGTCACCCCAGCAACGCAAAGCAGCTCCATGCGCCCAAATCAACTCGAGATGAGGCCCGATTCCCCTGCATTGACTCCAGAGCCATTCCCCCTTCCCCATTCAACACAACCGGTGGCTCGACTTCCTTCAGGCAACTACAGAGATGCCCCGAGAACACTGTCCCAAGTCTAGAGGAACACCAACTTCAGCACAGCAACTCGAGGAATGCTCCGTGTACCCCAAATCGTCTCGAGATTAGAGCTGATTCCCTCGCTTAGGCTCAAGACGTATGCCAACTTTTCAGAAGCATCTCAGGAGGAGGCTTCTCTCAGCAATAGGTATGTGGGAGGGACCCCGAGTTTGCTGCCTCAAGGGGAATATACAGCGAGAAGCCCTAACTTGAAAGGAGGCCGAATTTCCTTGCAGTGGCTTGAATACAGGCTCGTCTTTCATCTCACAACATGAAGGGATGTCTGAATCCCCTGTGGAGACCTTAGAGAAAGCCCTAGATCCCTGCCTCATTTTAACGGAATGCCTCACATCCCGCTGACACCTCGAGAGGCACGCGGAGTTCACTGCTTCAAAAGGTGACGATGCCTGACTCCTCTTGAATACTGATAGGAATCCCAAAATCCCTGTGGCTACTGGAAAGGGTCCTTGGGTGCCCTGCCTCACCTCGAGAAGCGTCCCTTTTGCCCTGCCAAGCCTCGAAGAGATTCCTGAGGTGTCCCTCGTTACTAGACAGGAATCCTGACGTCACGGAAGAAACTCGTGTTTTGAAGGGCCATCCGCACCGTAAGTCGAGAACATACCACAGGTCCCGGCCGCAACTCGAGAAAAACCATGAGACTTCCCCCTAGAGGCGAGATGAGGCCCCATTCCCCTGCAGTGCATGCAGAGCTATTCCGTGATCCCATTCAAACAAGTCAGGAGCGTCGACTTGCTTAATGGATCTCGAGACAGTCCCCAAGAACACTGTCACCAGTCTAGACGGACGCTGAGGTCACCCCAGCAACGCAAAGCAGCTCCATGTGCCCCAAATCAACTCGAGATGAGGCCCCATTCCCCTGCATTGACTCCAGAGCCATTCCCCGTTCCCCATTCAACACGACCGGTGATTCGACTTCCTTCAGGCAACACCAGAGATGCCCCGAGAACATTGTGCCAAGTCTAGAGGAACACCAACTTCAGCACAGCAACTCGAGGAATGCTCCGTGTACCCCAAATCGTCTCGAGATGAGAGCTGATTCCCTGGCTTAGGCTCAAGACGTATGCCAACTTTCCAGAAGCACCTCAGGAGGAGGCTTCTCTCAGCAATAGGTATGTGGGAGGGACCCCGAGTTTGCTGCCTCAAGGGGAATATACAGCGAGAATCCCTAACTTGAAAGGAGGCCGGATTTCCTTGCAGTGGCTTGAATACAGGCTCGTCTTTCATCTCACAACATGAAGGGATGTCTGAATCCCCTGTGGAGATTTAGAGAAAGCCCTAGGTCCCTGCCTCATTTTGACGGAATGCCTCACATCCCTCTGACACCACCAGAGGCACGCGGAGTTCACTGCTTCAAAAGGTGACGATGCCTGACTCCTCTTGAATACTGATAGGAATCCCAGAATCCCTGGGGCTACTGGAAAGGGTCCTTGGGTGCCCTGCCTCACCTCGAGGAGCGTCCCTTTTGCCCTGCCAAGCCTCGAAGAGATTCCTGAGGTGTCCCTCGTTACTAGACAGCAGTCCTGACATCACTGAAGAAACTCGTGTTTTGAAGGGCCATCCCCGCCGTAAGTCGAGAACATACCCCAGGTCCCCGCCGCAACTCGAGAAAAACCATGAGACTTCCCCCTAGAGGCGAGATGAGGCCCTATTCCTCTGCAGTGCATGCAGAGCTATTCCGTGATCCCATTCAAACAAGTCAGGACCGTCGACTTGCTTAATGGATCTCGAGACAGTCCCCAAGAACACTGTCACCAGTCCAGACGGACCCTGAGGTCACCCCAGCAACGCAAAGCAGCTCCATGCGCCCAAATCAACTCGAGATTAGGCCTGATTCCCCTGCATTGACTCCAGAGCCATTCCCCGTTACCCATTCAACACGACCGGTGGCTCGACTTCCTTCAGGCAACTCCAGAGATTCCCCGAGAACACTGTCCCCAGTCTAGAGGAACACCAACTTCAGCACAGCAACTCGAGGAATGCTCCGTGTACCCCAAATCGTCTCGAGATGAGAGCTGATTCCCTGGCTTAGGCTCAAGACGTATGCCAACTTTCCAGAAGCAACTCAGGAGGAGACTTCTCTCAGCAATAGGTATGTGGGAGGGACCCCGAGTTTGCTGCCTCATGGGGAATATACAGCGAGAATCCCTAACTTGAAAGGAGGCCGGATTTCCTTGCAGTGGCTTGAATACAGGCTCGTCTTTCATCTCACAACAGGAAGGGATGTCTGAATCCCCTGTGGAGACCTTAGAGAAAGCCCTAGGTCCCTGCCTCATTTTGACGGAATGCCTCACATCCCGCTGACACCTCGAGAGGCACACGGAGTTCACTGCTTCAAAAGGTGACGATGCCTGACTCCTCTTGAACACTGATAGGAATCCCAGAATCCCTGTGGCTACTGGAAAGGGTCCTTGGGTGCCCTGCCTCACCTCGAGGATCGTCCCTTTTGCCCTGCCAAGCCTCGAAGAGATTCCTGAGGTGTCCCTCTTTACTAGACAGGAGTCCTGACATCACTGAAGAAACTCGTGTTTTGAAGGGCCATCCCCGCCGTAAGTCGAGAACATACCCCAGGTCCCCGCCGCAACTCGAGAAAAACCATGAGACTTCCCCCTAGAGGCGAGATGAGGCCCCATTCCCCTGCAGTGCATGCCGAGCTATTCCGTGATCCCATTCAAACAAGTCAGGACGGTCGACTTGCTTAATGGATCTCGAGACAGTCCCCAAGAACAACGTCACCAGTCTAGACGGACCCTGAGGTCACCCCAGCAACGCAAAGCAGGTCCATGCGCCCAAATCAACTCGAGATGAGGCCTGATTCCCCTGCATTGACTCCAGAGCCATTCCCCGTTCCCCATTCAACACGACCGGTGGCTCGACTTCCTTCAGGCAACTCCAGAGATGCCCCGAGAACACTGTCCCAAGTCTAGAGGAACACCAACTTCAGCACAGCAACTCGAGGAATGCTCCGTGTACCCCAAATTGTCTCGAGATGAGAGCTGATTCCCTCGCTTAGGCTCAAGACGTATGCCAACTTTCCAGAAGCACCTCAGGAGGAGGCTTCTCTCAGTAATAGGTATGTGGGAGGGACCCCGAGTTTGCTGCCTCAAGGGGAATATACAGCGAGAAGCCCTAACTTGAAAATAGGCCGAATTTCCTTGCAGTGGCTTGAATACAGGCTCGTCTTTCATCTCACAACATGAAGGGATGTCTGAATCCCCTGTGGAGACCTTAGAGAAAGCCCTAGGTCCCTGTCTCATTTTGACGGAATGCCTCACATCCCGCTGACACCTCGAGAGGCACGCGGAGTTCATTGCTTCAAAAGGTGACGATGCCTGACTCCTCTTGAATACTGATAGGAATCCCAAAATCCCTGTGGCTACTGGAAAGGGTCTTTGGTGCCCTGCCTCACCTCGAGAAGCGTCCCTTTTGCCCTGCCAAGCCTCGAAGAGATTCCTGAGGTGTCCCGCGTTACTAGACAGGAGTCCTGGCGTCACTGAAGAAACTCGTGTTTTGAAGGGCCATCCCCGCCGTAAGTCGAGAACATACCCCAGGTCCCCGCCGCAACTCGAGAAAAACCATGAGACTTCCCCCTAGAGGCGAGATGAGGCCCCATTCCCCTGCAGTGCATGCAGAGCGATTCCGTGGTCCCATTCAAACAAGTCAGGAGCGTCGACTTGCTTAATGGATCTCGAGACAGTCCCCAAGAACACTGTCACCAGTCTAGAGGGACCCTGAGGTCACCCCAGCAACGCAAAGCAGCTCCATGTGCCCCAAATCAACTCGAGATGAGGCGCGATTCCCCTGCATTGACTCCGGAGCCATTCCCCCTTCCCCATTCAACAGGACCCGTGGCTCGACTTCCTTCAGGCAACTCCAGAGATGCCCGGAGAACACTGTCCCAAGTCTAGAGGAACACCAACTTCAGCACAGCAAGTCGAGGAATGCTCCGTGTACCCCAAATCGTCTCGAGATGAGAGCTGATTCCCTGGCTTAGGCTCAAGGCGTATGCCAACTTTCAAGAAGCACCTCAGGAGGAGTCTTCTCTCAGCAATAGGTATGTGGGAGAGACCCCGAGTTTGCTGCCTCAAGGGGAATATACAGCGAGAAGCCCTAACTTGAAAGGAGGCTGGATTTCCTTGCAGTGGCTTGAATACAGGCTCGTCTTTTATCTCACAACATGACGGGATGTCTGAATCCCCGGTGGAGACCTTAGAGAAAGCCCTAGGTCCCTGCCTCATTTTGACGGAATGCCTCACATCCCGCTGACACTTCGAGAGGCACGCGGAGTTCATTGCTTCAAAAGTTGACGATGCCTGACTCCTCTTGAATACTGATAGGAATCCCAAAATCCCTGTGGCTACTGGAAAGGGTCCTTGGGTGCCCTGCCTCACCTTGAGAAGCGTCCCTTTTGCCCTGCCAAGCCTCGAAGAGAGTCCTGAGGTGTCCCTCGTTACTAGACAGGAGTCCTGACGTCACTGAAGAAACTCGTGTTTTGAAGGGCCATCCCCGCCGTAAGTCGAGAACATACCCCATGTCCCCGCTGCAACTCGAGAAAAACCATGAGAGTTCCCCCTAGAGGCGAGATGAGGCCCCATTCCCCTGCAGTGCATGCAGAGCTATTCCGTGATCTCATTCAAACAAGTCAGGAGCGTCGACTTGCTTAATGGATCTCGAGACAGTCCCCAAGAACACTGTCACCTGTCTAGACGACCCTGAGGTCACCCCAGCAACGCAAAGCAGCTCCATGTGCCCCAAATCAACTCGAGATGAGGCCCGATTCCCCTGCATTGACTCCAGAGCCATTCCCCGTTCCCCATTCAACACGACCGGTTGCTCGACTACCTTCAGGCAACTACAGAGATGCCCCGAGAACACTGTCCCAAGTCTAGAGGAACACCAACTTCAGCACAGCAACTCGAGGAATGCTCCGTGTACCCCAAATCGTCTCGAGATGAGAGCTGATTTCCGGGCTTAGGCTCAAGGCGTATGCCAACTTTCCAGAAGCACCTCAGGAGGAGGCTTCTCTCAGCAATAGGTATGTGGGAGGGACCCCGAGTTTGCTGCCTCAAGGGGAATATACAGCGAGAAGCCCTAACTTGAAAGGAGGCCGGATTTCCTTGCAGTGGCTTGAATACAGGTTCGTCTTTCATCTCACAACATGAAGGGATGTCTGAATCCCCTGGGGAGACCTTAGAGAAAGCCCTAGATCCCTGCCTCATTTTGACGGAATGCCTCACATCCCGCTGACACCTCGAGAGGCACGCGGAGTTCATTGCTTCAAAAGGTGACGATGCCTGACTCCTCTTGAATACTGATAGGAATCCCAAAATTTCTGTGGCTACTGGAAAGGGTCCTTGGGTGCCCTGCCTCACCTCGAGAAGCGTCCCTTTTGCCCTGCCAAGCCTCTAAGAGTTACCTGAGGTGTCCCTCGTTACTAGACAGGTGTCCTGACGTCACTGAAGAAACTCGTGTCTTGAAGGGCCATCCCCGCCGTAAGTCGAGAACATACCCCAGGTCCCCGCCGCAACTCGAGAAAAACCATGAGACTTCCCCCTAGAGGCGAGATGAGGCCCCATTCCCCTGCAGTGCATGCAGAGCTATTCCGTGATCCCATTCAAACAAGTCAGGAGCGTGGACTTGCTTAATGGATCTCGAGACAGTCCCCAAGAACACTGTCACCAGTCTAGACGGACGCTGAGGTAACCCCAGCAATGCAAAGCAGTTCCATGTGCCCCAAATCAACTCGAGATTAGGCCCGATTCCCTTGCATTGACTCCAGAGCCATTCCGCGTTCCCCATTCAACACGACCGGTGGCTCGACTTCCTTCAGGCAACTGCAGAGATGCCCCGAGAACACTGTCCCAAGTCTAGAGGAACACCAACTTCAGCACAGCAACTCGAGGAATGCTCCGTGTACCCCAAATCGTCTCGAGATGAGAGCTGATTCCCTAGCTTAGGCTCAAGACGTATGCCAACTTTCCAGAAGCACCTCAGGAGGAGGCTTCTCTCCGCAATAGGTATGTGGGAGGGACCCCGAGTTTGCTGCCTCAAGGGGAATATACAGCGAGAAGCCCTAACTTGAAAGGAGGCTGGATTTCCTAGCAGTGGCTTGAATACAGGCTCGTCTTTCATCTCACAACATGACGGGATGTCTGAATCCCCGGTGGAGACCTTAGAGAAAGCCCTAGGTCCCTGCCTCATTTTGACGGAATGCCTCACATCTCGCTGAGACCTCGAGAGGCACGCGGAGTTCATTGCTTCAAAAGGTGACGATGCCTGACTCCTCTTGAATACTGATAGGAATTCCAAAATCCCTGTGGCTACTGGAAAGGGTCCTTGGGTGCCCTGCCTCACCTCGAGAAGCGTCCCTTTTGCCCTGCCAAGCCACGAAGGGATTCCTGAGGTGTCCCTCGTTACTAGACAGGAGTCCTGACGTCACTGAAGAAACTCGTGTTTTGAAGGGCCATCCCCGCCGTAAGTCGAGAACATACCCCAGGTCCCCGCCGCAACTCGAGAAAAACCATGAGACTTCCCCCTAGAGGCGAGATGAGGCCCCATTCCCCTGCAGTGCATGCAGAGCTATTCCGTGATCCCATTCAAACAAGTCAGGAGCGTCGACTTGCTTAATGGATCTCGAGACAGTCCCCAAGAACACTGTCACCAGTCTAGACGGACGCTGAGGTAACCCCAGCAATGCAAAGCAGTTCCATGTGCCCCAAATCAACTCGAGATGAGGCCCGATTCCCTTGCATTGACTCCAGAGCCATTCCGCGTTCCCCATTCAACACGACCGGTGGCTCGACTTCCTTCAGGCAACTGCAGAGATGCCCCGAGAACACTGTCCCAAGTCTAGAGGAACACCAACTTGAGCACAGCAACTCGAGGAATGCTCCGTGTACCCCAAATCGTCTCGAGATGAGAGCTGATTCCCTAGCTTAGGCTCAAGACGTATGCCAACTTTCCAGAAGCACCTCAGGAGGAGGCTTCTCTCCGCAATAGGTATGTGGGAGGGACCCCGAGTTTGCTGCCTCAAGGGGAATATACAGCGAGAAGCCCTAACTTGAAAGGAGGCTGGATTTCCTAGCAGTGGCTTGAATACAGGCTCGTCTTTCATCTCACAACATGACGGGATGTCTGAATCCCCGGTGGAGACCTTAGAGAAAGCCCTAGGTCCCTGCCTCATTTTGACGGAATGCCTCACATCTCGCTGAGACCTCGAGAGGCACGCGGAGTTCATTGCTTCAAAAGGTGACGATGCCTGACTCCTCTTGAATACTGATAGGAATTCCAAAATCCCTGTGGCTACTGGAAAGGGTCCTTGGGTGCCCTGCCTCACCTCGAGAAGCGTCCCTTTTGCCCTGCCAAGCCACGAAGGGATTCCTGAGGTGTCCCTCGTTACTAGACAGGAGTCCTGACGTCACAGAAGAAACTCGTGTTTTGAAGGGCCATCCCCGCCGTAAGTCGACAACATACTCCAGGTCCCGGCCGCAACTGGAGAAAAACCATGAGACTTCCCCCTAGAGGCGAGATGAGGCCCCATTCCCCTGCAGTGCATGCAGAGCTATTCCATGATCCCATTCAAACAAGTCAGGAGCGTCGACTTGCTTAATGGATCTCGAGACAGTCCCCAAGAACACTGTCACCAGTCTAGACGGACGCTGAGGTCACCCCAGCAACGCAAAGCAGCTCAATGAATCCCAAATCAACTCGAGATGAGGCCCGATTCCCCTGCATTGACTCCAGAGCCATTCCCCTTTCCCCATTCAACACGACCGGTGAGTCGACTTCCTTCAGGCAACACCAGAGATGCCCCGAGAACACTGTGCCAAGTCTAGAGGAACACCAACTTCAGCACAGCAACTCGAGGAATGCTCCGTGTACCCCAAATCGTCTCGAGATGAGAGCTGATTCCCTGGCTTAGGCTCAAGACGTATGCCAACTTTCCAGAAGCACCTCAGGAGGAGGCTTCTCTCAGTAATAGGTATGTGGGAGGGACCCCGAGTTTGCTGCCTCAAGGGGAATATACAGCGAGAAGCCCTATCTTGAAAATAGGCCCAATTTCCTTGCAGTGGCTTGAATACCGGTTCGTCTTTCATCTCACAACATGAAGGGATGTCTGAATCCCCTGGGGAGACCTTAGAGAAAGCCCTAGATCCCTGCCTCATTTTGACGGAATGCCTCACATCCCGCTGACACCTCGAGAGGCACGCGGAGTTCATTGCTTCAAAAGGTGACGATGCCTGACTCCTCTTGAATACTGATAGGAATCCCAAAATTTCTGTGGCTACTGGAAAGGGTCCTTGGGTGCCCTGCCTCACCTCGAGAAGCGTCCCTTTTGCACTGCGAAGCCTCGAAGAGTTACCTGAGGTGTCCCTCGTTACTAGACAGGAGTCCTGACGTCACTGAAGAAACTCGTGTTTTGAAGGGCCATCCCCGCCGTAAGTCGACAACATACCCCAGGTCCCCGCCGCAACTCGAGAGAAACAGTGAGACTTCCCCCTAGAGGCGAGATGAGGCCCCATTCCCCTGCAGTGCATGCAGAGCTATTCCGTGATCCCATTCAAACAAGTCAGGAGCGTGGACTTGCTTAATGGATCTCGAGACAGTCCCCAAGAACACTGTCACCAGTCTAGACGGACGCTGAGGTAACCCCAGCAATGCAAAGCAGTTCCATGTGCCCCAAATCAACTCGAGATTAGGCCCGATTCCCCTGCATTGACTCCAGAGCCATTCCCCGTTCCCCATTCAACACGACCGGTGGCTCGACTTCCTTCAGGCAACTGCAGAGATGCCCCGAGAACACTGTCCCAAGTCTAGAGGAACACCAACTTCAGCACAGCAACTCGAGGAATGCTCCGTGTACCCCAAATCTTCTCGAGATGAGAGCTGATTCCCTGGCTTAGGCTCAAGACATAGGCCAACTTTCCAGAAGCACCTCAGGAGGAGGCTTCTCTCAGCAATAGGTATGTGGGAGGGACCCCGAGTTTGCTGCCTCAAGGGGAATATACAGCGAGAAGCCCTAACTTGAAAGGAGGCCGGATTTCCTTGCAGTGGCTTGAATACAGGCTCGTCTTTCATCTCACAACATGAAGGGATGTCTGAATCCCCTGTGGAGACCTTAGAGAAAGCCCTAGGTCCCTGCCTCCTTTTGACGGAATGCCTCACATCCCGCTGACACTTCGAGAGGCACGCGGAGTTCATTGCTTCAAAAGGTGACGATGCCTGACTCCTCTTGAATACAGATAGGAATCCGAAAATTCCTTTGCTATTGGAAAGGGTCCTTGGGTGCCCTGCCTCACCTCGAGAAGCGTCCCTTTTGCCCTGCCAAGCCTCGAAGAGATTCCTGAGGTGTCCCTCGTTACTAGACAGGAGACCTGACGTCACTGAAGAAACTCGTGTTTTGAAGCGCCATCCCTGCCGTAAGTCGAGAACATACCCCAGGTCCCCGCCGCAACTCGAGAAAAACCATGAGACTTCCCCCTAGAGGCGAGATGAGGCCCCATTCCCCTGCAGTGCATGCAGAGCTATTCCGTGATCCCATTCAAAGAAGTCAAGAGCTTCGACTTGCTTAATGGATCTCGAGACAGTCCCCAACAATACTGTCACCAGTCTAGACGGACCCTGAGGTCACACCAGCAACGCAAAGCAGCTCCATGTGCCCCAAATCAAGTCGAGATGAGGCCGGATTCCCCTGCATTGACTCCAGAGCCATTCCCCGTTCCCCATTCAACACGACCGGTGGCTCGACTTCCTTCAGGCAACTCCAGAGATGCCCGGAGAACACTGTCCCAAGTCTAGAGGAACACCAACTTCACCACAGCAACTCTAGGAATGCTCCGTGTACCCCAAATCATCTCGAGATGAGAGCTGATTGCCTAGCTTAGGTTCAAGGCGTATGCCAACTTTCCAGAAGCACCTCAGGAGGAGGCTTCTCTCAGCAATAGGTATGTGGGAGGGACTCTGATTTTGTTGCCTCAAGGGGAATATACAGCGAGAAGCCCTAACTTGAAAAGAGGCCGGATTTCCTTGCAGTGGCTTGAATACAGGCTCATCTTTCATCTCACAACATGAAGGGATGTCTGAATCCCCTGGGGAGACCATAGACAAAGCCCAAGGTCCCTGCCTCATTTTGACGGAATGCCTCTATCCCGCTGACACCTCGAGAGGCATGCGGAGTTCATTGCTTCAAAAGGTGACGATGCCTGACTCTTCTTGAATACTGATAGGAATCCCAAAATCCCTGTGGCTACTGGAAAGGGTCCTTGGGTGCCCTGCCTCACCTCGAGAAGCGTCCCTTTTGCCCTGCCAAGCCTCGAAGAGAGTCCTGAGGTGTCCCTCGTTACTAGACAGGAGTCCTGACGTCACTCATGAAACTCGTGTTTTGAAGGGCCATCCCCGCCGTAACTCGAGAACATACCCCAGGTCCCCGCCGCAACTCGAGAAAAACCATGAGACTTCCCCCTAAAGGCGAGATGTGGCCCCATTCCCCTGCAGTCCATGCAGAGCTATTCCGTGATCCCATTCAAACAAGTCAGGAGCGTCGACTTGCTTAATGGATCTCGAGACAGTCCCCAAGAACACTGTCACCAGTCTAGACGGACGCTGAGGTCACCACAGCAACGCAAAGCAGCTCCATGTGCCCCAAATCAAGTCGAGATTAGGCCCGATTTCCCTGCATTGACTCCAGAGCCATTCCCCGTTCCCCATTCAACACGACCGGTGGCTCGACTTCCTTCAGGCAACTCCAGAGATGCCCGGAGAACACTGTCCCAAGTCTAGAGGAACACCAACTTCAGCACAGCAACTCGAGGAATGCTCCGTGTACCCCAAATCGTCTCGAGATGAGAGCTGATTCCCTGGCTTAGGCTCAAGGCGTATGCCAACTTTCCAGAAGCACCTCAGGAGGAGGCTTCTCACAGCAATAGGTATGTGGGAGGGACCCCGAGTTTGCTGCCTCAAGGGGAATATACAGCGAGAAGCCCTAACTTGAAAGGAGGCTGGATTTCCTTGCAGTGGCTTGAATACAGGCTCGTCTTTTATCTCACAACATGACGGGATGTCTGAATCCCCGGTGGAGACCTTAGAGAAAGCCCTAGGTCCCTGCCTCATTTTGACGGAATGCCTCACATCCCGCTGACGCCTCGAGAGGCACGCGGAGTTCATTGCTTCAAAAGGGGACAATGCCTGACTCCTCTTGAATACTGATAGGAATCCCAAAATCCCTGTGGCTACTGGAAAGGGTCCGTGGGTGCCCTGCCTGACCTCGAGAAGCGTCCCTTTTGCCCTGCCAAGCCTCGAAGAGAGTCCTGAGGTGTCCCTCGTTACTAGACAGGAGTCCTGACGTCACTGAAGAAACTCGTGTTTTGAAGGGCCATCCCCGCCGTAAGTCGAGAACATACTCCAGGTCCCCGCCGCAACTCGAGAAAAACCATGAGACTTCCCCCTAGAGGCGAGATGAGGCCCCATTCCCCTGCAGTGCATGCAGAGCTATTCCGTGATCCCATTCAAACAAGTCAGGAGCTTCGACTTGCTTAATGGATCTCGAGACAGTCCCCAAGAACACTGTCGTCTGTCTAGACAGACCCTGGGGTCACCCCAGCAACGCAAAGCAGCACCATGTGCCCCAAATCAACTCGAGAAGAGGCCCGATTCCCCTGCATTGACTCCAGAGCCATTCCCCCTTCCACATTCAACACGACCGGTGGCTCGACTTCCTTCAAGCAACTCCAGAGATGCCCCGAGAACACTGTCCCAAGTCTAGAGGAACACCAACTTCAGCACAGCAACTCGAGGAATGCTCCGTGTACCCCAAATGGTCTCGAGATGAGAGCTGATTCCCGGGCTTAGGCTCAAGGCGTATGCCAACTTTCCAGAAGCACCTCAGGAGGAGGCTTCTCTCAGCAATAGGTATGTGGGTGGGACCCCGAGTTTGCTGCCTCAAGGGGAATATACAGCGAGAAGCCCTAACTTCAAAGGAGGCCGAATTTCCTTGCAGTGGCTTGAATACAGGCTCGTCTTTCATCTCACAACATGAAGGGATGTCTGAATCCCCTGTGGAGACCTTAGAGAAAGCCCTAGGTCCCTGCCTCATTTTGACGGAATGCCTCACATCCCGCTGACACCTCGAGAGGCACGCGGAGTTCATTGCTTCAAAAGGTGACGATGCCTGACTCCTCTTGAATACTGATAGGAATCCCAAAATTTCTGTGGCTACTGGAAAGGGTCCTTGGGTGCCCTGCCTCACCTCGAGAAGCGTCCCTTTTGCCCTGCGAAGCCTCGAAGAGTTTCCTGAGGTGTCCCTCGTTACTAGACAGGAGTCCTGACGTCACTAAGGAAACTCGTGTTTTAAAGGGCCATCCCCGCCGTAAGTCGAGAACATACCCCAGGTCCCCGCCGCAACTCGAGAAAAACCATGAGACTTCCCCCTAGAGGCGAGATGAGGCCCCATTCCCCTGCAGTGCATGCAGAGTTATTCCGTGATCCCATTCAAACAAGTCAGGAGCGTCGACTTGCTTAATGGATCTCGAGACACTCACCAAGAACACTGTCACCAGTCTAGACTGACGCTGAGGTCACCCCAGCAACGCAAAGCAGCTCCATGTGCCCCAATTCAACTCGAGATGAGGCCCTATTCCCCTGCATTGACTCCAGAGCCATTCCCCGTTCCCCATTCAACACGACCGGTGATTCGACTTCCTTCAGGCAACTCCAGAGATGCCCCGAGAACACTGTGCCAAGTCTAGAGGAACACCAACTTCAGCACAGCAACTCGAGGAATGCTCCGTGTACCCCAAATCGTCTCGAGATGAGAGCTGATTCCCTGGCTTAGGCTCAAGACGTATGCCAACTTTCCAGAAGCACCTCAGGAGGAGGCTTCTCTCAGCAATACGTATGTGGGAGGGACCCCGAGTTTGCTGCCACAAGGGGAATATACACCGAGAAGCCCTAACTTGAATGGAGGCCGGATTTCCTTGCAGTGGCTTGAATACAGGCTCGTCTTTCATCTCACAACATGAAGGGATGTCTGAATCCCCATTGGAGACCTTAGAGAAAGCCATAGGTCTCTGCCTCATTTTGACGGAGTGCCTCACATCCCGCTGACACCTCGAGAGGTACGCGGAGTTCATTGCTTCAAAATGGGACGATGCCTGACTCCTCTTGAATACTGATAGGAATCCCAAAATCCCTGTGGCTACTGGAAAGGGTCCGTGGGTGCCCTGCCTGACCTCGAGAAGCGTCCGTTTTGCCCTGCCAAGCCTCGAAGAGATACCTGAGGTGTCCCTCGTTACTAGACAGGAGTCCTGACGTCACTGAAGAAACTCGTGTTTTGAAGGGCCATCCCCGCCGTAAGTCGAGAACATACTCCAGGTCCCCACCGCAACTCGAGAAAAACCATGAGACTTCCCCCTAGAGGCGAGATGAGGCCCCATTCCCCTGCAGTGCATGCAGAGCTATTCCGTGATCCCATTCAAACAAGTCAGGAGCTCCGACTTGCTTAATGGATCTCGAGACAGTCCCCAAGAACACTGTCACCTGTCTAGACGGACCCTGAGGTCACCCCAGCAACGCAAAGCAGCTCCATGTGCCCCAAATCAACTCGAGATGAGGCCCGATTCCCCTGCATTGACTCCAGAGCCATTCCCCCTTCCACATTCAACACGACCGGTGGCTCGACTTCCTTCAGGCAACTCCAGAGATGCCCGGAGAACACTGTCCCAAGTCTAGAGGAACACCAACTTCAGCACAGCAACTCGAGGAATGCTCCGTGTACCCCAAATCGTCTCGAGATGAGAGCTGATTCCTGGCTTAGGCTCAAAGCGTATGCCAACTTTCCAGAGGCACCTCAGGAGGAGGCTTCTCTCAGCAATAGGTATGTGGGAGGGACCCCGAGTTTGCTGCCTCAAGGGGAATATACAGCGAGAAGCCCTAAGTTGAAAGGAGGCCGGATTTCCTTGCAGTGGCTTGAATACAGGCTCGTCTTTCATCTCACAACATGAAGGGATGTCTGAATACCCTGTTGAGACCTTAGATAAAGCCATAGGTCCCTGCCTCATTTTGACGGAATGCCTCACATCCTGCTGAAACCTCGAGAGGCACGCGGAGTTCATTGCTTTTAAAGGTGATGATGCCTGACTCCTCTTGAATACTGATAGGAATCCCAAAATCCCTGTGGCTACTGGAAAGGGTCCTTGGGTGCCCTGCCTCACCTCGAGAAGCGTCCCTGTTGCCCTGCCAAACCTTGATGAGATTCCTGAGGTGTCCCTCGTTACTAGACAGGAGACCTGACGTCACTGAAGAAACTCGTGTTTTGAAGCGCCATCCCCGCCGTAAGTCGAGAACATTCCCCAGGTCCCCGCCGCAACTCGAGAAAAACCATGAGACTTCCCCCTAGAGGCGAGATGAGGCCCCATTCCCCTGCAGTGCATGCAGAGCTCTTCCGTGATCCCATTCAAAGAAGTCAAGAGCTTCGACTTGCTTAATGGATCTCGAGACAGTCCCCAAGAATACAGTCACCAGTCTAGACGGACCCTGAGGTCACCCCAGCAACGCAAAGCAGCTCCATGTGCCCCAAATCAAATCGAGATGAGGCCGGATTCCCCTGCATTGACTCCAGAGCCATTCCCCGTTCCCCATTCAACACGACCGGTGGCTCGACTTCCTTCAGGCAACTCCAGAGATGCCCTGAGAACACTGTCTCAAGCCTAGAGGAACACCAACTTCACCACAGCAACTCGAGGAATGCTCCGTGTACCACAAATCGTCTCGAGATGAGAGCTGATTCCCTGGCTTAGGCTCAAGACGTATGCCAACTTTCCAGAAGCACCTCAGGAGGAGCCTTCTCTCAGCAATAGGTATGTGGGAGGGACCCCGAGTTTGCTGCCTCAAGGGGAATATACAGCGAGAATCCCTAACTTGAAAGGAGGCTGGATTTCCTTGCAGTGGCTTGAATAGAGGCTCGTCTTTCATCTCACAACATGAAGGGATGTCTGAATCCCCTGTGGAGACCTTAGAGAAAGCCCTAGGTCCCTGCCTCATTTTGACGGAATGCCTCACATCTCGCTGACATCTCGAGAGGCACGCGGAGTTCACTGCTTCAAAAGGTGACGATGCCTGACTCCTCTTGAATACTGATAGGAATCCCAGAATCCCTGTGGCTACTGGAAACGGTCCTTGGGTGCCCTGCCTCACCTCGAGGAGCGTCCCTTTTGCCCTGCCAAGCCTCGAAGAGATTCCTGAGGTGTCCCTCGTTACTAGACAGGAGTCCTGACGTCACTGAAGAAACTCGTGTTTTGAAGGGCCATCCCCGCCGTAAGTCGAGAACATACCCCAGGTCCCCGCCGCAACTCGAGAAAAACCATGAGACTTCCCCCTAGAGGCGAGATGAGGCCCCATTCCCCTGCAGTGCATGCAGAGCTATTCCGTGATCCCATTCAAACAAGTCAGGAGCGTCGACTTGCTTAATGGATCTCGAGACAGTCCCCAAGAACACTGTCACCAGTCTAGACGGACCCTGAGGTCACCCCCGCAACGCAAAGCAGCTCCATGCGCCCAAATCAACTCGAGATGAGGCCCGATTCCCCTGCATTGACTCCAGAGCCATTCCCCGTTCCCCATTCAACACAACCGGTGGCTCGACTTCCTTCAGGCAACTCCAGAGATGCCCCGAGAACACTGTCCCAAGTCTAGAGGAACACCAACTTCAGCACAGCAACTCGAGGAATGCTCCGTGTACCCCAAATCGTCTCGAGATTAGAGCTGATTCCCTCGCTTAGGCTCAAGACGTATGCCAACTTTCCAGAAGCACCTCAGGAGGAGGCTTCTCTCAGCAATACGTATGTGGGAGGGACCCCGAGTTTGCTGCCTCAAGGGGAATATACAGCGAGAAGCCCTAACTTGAAAGGAGGCCGAATTTCCTTGCAGTGGCTTGAATACAGGCTCGTCTTTCATCTCACAACATGAAGGGATGTCTGAATCCCCTGTGGAGACCTTAGAGAAAGCCCTAGATCCCTGCCTCATTTTAACGGAATGCCTCACATCCCGCTGGCACCTCGAGAGGCACGCGGAGTTCATTGCTTCAAAAGGTGACGATGCCTGACTCCTCTTGAATACTGATAGGAATCCCAAAATCCCTGTGGCTACTGGAAAGGGTCCTTGGGTGCCTTGCCTCACCTCGAGAAGCGTCCCTTTTGCCCTGCCAAGCCTCGAAGAGATTCCTGAGGTGTCCCTCGTTACTAGACAGGAATCCTGACGTCACGGAAGAAACTCGTGTTTTGAAGGGCCATCCCCACCGTAAGTCGAGAACATACCACAGGTCCCGGCCGCAACTCGAGAAAAACCATGAGACTTCCCCCTAGAGGCGAGATGAGGCCCTATTCCTCTGCAGTGCATGCAGAGCTATTCCGTGATCCCATTCAAACAAGTCAGGACCGTCGACTTGCTTAATGGATCTCGAGACAGTCCCCAAGAACACTGTCACCAGTCCAGACGGACCCTGAGGTCACCCCAGCAACGCAAAGCAGCTCCATGTGCCCCAAATCAACTCGAGATGAGGCCTTATTCCCCTGCATTGACTCCAGAGCCATTCCCCGTTACCCATTCAACACGACCGGTGGCTCGACTTCCTTCAGGCAACTCCAGAGATGCCCCGAGAACACTGTCCCCAGTCTAGAGGAACACCAACTTCAGCACAGCAACTCGAGGAATGCTCCGTGTACCCCAAATCGTCTCGAGATGAGAGCTGATTCCCTGGCTTAGTCTCAAGACGCATGCCAACTTTCCAGAAGCAACTCAGGAGGAGGCTTCTCTCAGCAATAGGTATGTGGGAGGGACCCCGAGTTTGCTGCCTCAAGGGGAATATACAGCGAGAATCCCTAACTTGAAAGGAGGCCGGATTTCCTTGCAGTGGCTTGAATACAGGCTCGTCTTTCATCTCACAACATGAAGGGATGTCTGAATCCCCTGTGGAGACCTTAGAGAAAGCCCTAGGTCCCTGCCTCATTTTGACGGAATGCCTCACATCCCGCTGACACCTCGAGAGGCACACGGAGTTCACTGCTTCAAAAGGTGACGATGCCTGACTCCTCTTGAATACTGATAGGAATCCCAGAATCCCTGGGGCTACTGGAAAGGGTCCTTGGGTGCCCTGCCTCACCTCGAGGATCGTCCCTTTTGCCCTGCCAAGCCTCGAAGAGATTCCTGAGGTGTCCCTCTTTACTAGACAGGAGTCCTGACATCACTGAAGAAACTCGTGTTTTGAAGGGCCATCCCCGCCGTAAGTCGAGAACATACCCCAGGTCCCCGCCGCAACTCGAGAAAAACCATGAGACTTCCCCCTAGAGGCGAGATGAGGCCCCATTCCCCTGCAGTGCATGCAGAGCTATTCCGTGATCCCATTCAAACAAGTCAGGACGGTCGACTTGCTTAATGGATCTCGAGACAGTGCCCAAGAACAACGTCACCAGTCTAGACGGACCCTGAGGTCACCCCAGCAACGCAAAGCAGCTCCATGCGCCCAAATCAACTCGAGATGAGGCCTGATTCCCCTGCATTGACTCCAGAGCCATTCCCCGTTCCCCATTCAACACGACCGGTGGCTCGACTTCCTTCAGGCAACTCCAGAGATGCCCCGAGAACACTGTCCCAAGTCTAGAGGAACACCAACTTCAGCACAGCAACTCGAGGAATGCTCCGTGTACCCCAAATTGTCTCGAGATGAGAGCTGATTCCCTCGCTTAGGCTCAAGACGTATGCCAACTTTCCAGAAGCACCTCAGGAGGAGGCTTCTCTCAGTAATAGGTATGTGGGAGGGACCCCGAGTTTGCTGCCTCAAGGGGAATATACAGCGAGAAGCCCTAACTTGAAAATAGGCCGAATTTCCTTGCAGTGGCTTGAATACAGGCTCGTCTTTCATCTCACAACATGAAGGGATGTCTGAATCCCCTGTGGAGACCTTAGAGAAAGCCCTAGGTCCCTGTCTCATTTTGACGGAATGCCTCACATCCCGCTGACACCTCGAGAGGCACGCGGAGTTCATTGCTTCAAAAGGTGACGATGCCTGACTCCTTTTGAATACTGATAGGAATCCCAAAATTCCTGTGGCTACTGGAAAGGGTCCTTGGGTGCCCTGCCTCAGCTCGAGAAGCGTCCCTTTTGCCCTGCCAAGCCTCGAAGAGATTCCTGAGGTGTCCCTCGTTATTAGACAGGAGTCCTGACGTCACTGAAGAAACTCGTGATTTGAAGGGCCATCCCCGCCGTAAGTCGACAACATACTCCAGGTCCCGGCCGCAACTCGAGAAAAACCATGAGACTTCCCCCTAGAGGCGAGATGAGGCCCCATTCCCCTGCAGTGCATGCAGAGCCATTCCGTGATCCCATTCAAACAAGTCAGGAGCGTCGACTTGATTAATGGATCTCGAGACAGTCCCCAAGAACACTGTCACCAGTCTAGACGGACGCTGAGGTCACCCCAGCAAGGCAAAGCAGCTCCATGCGCCCAAATCAACACGAGATAAGGCCCGATTCCCCTGCATTGACTCCAGAGCCATTCCCCGTTCCCCATTCAACACGACCGGTGAGTCGACTTCCTTCAGGCAACACCAGAGATGCCCCGAGAACACTGTGCCAAGTCTAGAGGAACACCAACTTCAGCACAGCAACTCGAGGAATGCTCCGTGTACCCCAAATCGTCTCGAGATGAGAGCTGATTCCCTGGCTTAGGCTCAAGACGTATGCCAACTTTCCAGAAGCACCTCAGGAGGAGGCTTCTCTCAGCAATAGGTATGTGGGAGGGACCCCGAGTTTGCTGCCTCAAAGGGAATATACAGCGAGAATCCCTAACTTGAAAGGAGGCCGGATTTCCTTGCAGTGGCTTGAATACAGGCTCGTCTTTCATCTCACAACATGAAGGGATGTCTGAATCCCCTGGGGAGACCTTAGAGAAAGCCCTAGGTCCCTGCCTCATTTTGACGGAATGCCTCACATCCCGCTGACACCTCGAGAGGCACGCGGAGTTCATTGCTTCAAAAGGTGACGATGCCTGACTCCTCTTGAATACTGATAGGAATCCCAAAATCCCTGTGGCTACTGGAAAGGGTCTTTGGTGCCCTGCCTCACCTCGAGAAGCGTCCCTTTTGCCCTGCCAAGCCTCGAAGAGATTCCTGAGGTGTCCCTCGTTACTAGACAGGAGTCCTGGCGTCACTCAAGAAACTCGTGTTTTGAAGGGCCATCCCCGCCGTAAGTCGAGAACATACCCCAGGTCCCCGCCGCAACTCGAGAAAAACCATGAGACTTCCCCCTAGAGGCGAGATGAGGCCCCATTCCCCTGCAGTGCATGCAGAGCGATTCCGTGGTCCCATTCAAACAAGTCAGGAGCGTCGACTTGCTTAATGGATCTCGAGACAGTACCCAAGAACACTGTCACCAGTCTAGAGGGACCCTGAGGTCACCCCAGCAACGCAAAGCAGCTCCATGTGCCCCAAATCAACTCGAGATGAGGCGCGATTCCCCTGCATTGACTCCGGAGCCATTCCCCCTTCCCCATTCAACAGGACCGGTGGCTCGACTTCCTTCAGGCAACTCCAGAGATGCCCGGAGAACACTGTCCCAAGTCTGGAGGAACACCAACCTCAGCACAGCAACTCGAGGATTGCTCCGTGTACCCCAAATCGTCTCGAGATGAGAGCTGATTCCCTGGTTTAGGCTCAAGGCGTATGCCAACTTTCAAGAAGCACCTCAGGAGGAGTCTTCTCTCAGCAATAGGTATGTGGGAGGGACCCCGAGTTTGCTGCCTCAAGGGGAATATACAGCGAGAAGCCCTAACTTGAAAGGAGGCTGGATTTCCTTGCAGTGGCTTGAATACAGGCTCGTCTTTTATCTCACAACATGACGGGATGTCTGAATCCCCGGTGGAGACCTTAGAGAAAGCCCTAGGTCCCTGCCTCATTTTGACGGAATGCCTCACATCCCGCTGACACTTCGAGAGGCACGCGGAGTTCATTGCTTCAAAAGGTGACGATGCCTGACTCCTCTTGAATACTGATAGGAATCCCAAAATCCCTGTGGCTACTGGAAAGGGTCCTTGGGTGCCCTGCCTCACCTCGAGAAGCGTCCCTTTTGCCCTGCCAAGCCTCGAAGAGAGTCCTGAGGTGTCCCTCGTTACTAGACAGGAGTCCTGACGTCACTGAAGAAACTCGTGTTTTGAAGGGCCATCCCCGCCGTAAGTCGAGAACATACCCCATGTCCCCGCTGCAACTCGAGAAAAACCATGAGAGTTCCCCCTAGAGGCGAGATGAGGCCCCATTCCCCTGCAGTGCATGCAGAGCTATTCCGTGATCTCATTCAAACAAGTCAGGAGCGTCGACTTGCTTAATGGATCTCGAGACAGTCCCCAAGAACACTGTCACCTGTCTAGACGGACCCTGAGGTCACCCCAGCAACGCCAAGCAGCTCCATGTGCCCCAAATCAACTCGAGATGAGGCCCGATTCCCCTGCATTGACTCCAGAGCCATTCCCCGTTCCCCATTCAACACGACCGGTTGCTCGACTTCCTTCAGGCAACTACAGAGATGCCCCGAGAACACTGTCCCAAGTCTAGAGGAACACCAACTTCAGCACAGCAACTCGAGGAATGCTCCGTGTACCCCAAATCGTCTCGAGATGAGAGCTGATTTCCGGGCTTAGGCTCAAGGCGTATGCCAACTTTCCAGAAGCACCTCAGGAGGAGGTTTCTCTCAGCAATAGGTATGTGGGAGGGACCCCGAGTTTGCTGCCTCAAGGGGAATATACAGCGAGAAGCCCTAACTTGAAAGGAGGCCGGATTTCCTTGCAGTGGCTTGAATACAGGTTCGTCTTTCATCTCACAACATGAAGGGATGTCTGAATCCCCTGGGGAGACCTTAGAGAAAGCCCTAGATCCCTGCCTCATTTTGACGGAATGCCTCACAGCCCGCTGACACCTCGGGAGGCACGCGGAGTTCATTGCTTCAAAAGGTGACGATGCCTGACTCCTCTTGAATACTGATAGGAATCCCAAAATTTCTGTGGCTACTGGAAAGGGTCCTTGGGTGCCCTGCCTCACCTCGAGAAGCGTCCCTTTTGCCCTGCCAAGCCTCTAAGAGTTACCTGAGGTGTCCCTCGTTACTAGACAGGAGTCCTGACGTCACTGAAGAAACTCGTGTTTTGAAGGGCCATCCCCGCCGTAAGTCGAGAACATACCCCAGGTCCCCGCCGCAACTCGAGAAAAACCATGAGACTTCCCCCTAGAGGCGAGATGAGGCCCCATTCCCCTGCAGTGCATGCAGAGCTATTCCGTGATCCCATTCAAACAAGTCAGGAGCGTGGACATGCTTAATGGATCTCGAGACAGTCCCCAAGAACACTGTCACCAGTCTAGACGGACGCTGAGGTCACCACAGCAACGCAAAGCAGCTCCATGTGCCCCAAATCAAGTCGAGATTAGGCCCGATTTCCCTGCATTGACTCCAGAGCCATTCCCCGTTCCCCATTCAACACGACCGGTGGCTCGACTTCCTTCAGGCAACTCCAGAGATGCCCGGAGAACACTGTCCCAAGTCTAGAGGAACACCAACTTCAGCACAGCAACTCGAGGAATGCTCCGTGTACCCCAAATCGTCTCGAGATGAGAGCTGATTCCCTGGCTTAGGCTCAAGGCGTATGCCAACTTTCCAGAAGCACCTCAGGAGGAGGCTTCTCACAGCAATAGGTATGTGGGAGGGACCCCGAGTTTGCTGCCTCAAGGGGAATATACAGCGAGAAGCCCTAACTTGAAAGGAGGCTGGATTTCCTTGCAGTGGCTTGAATACAGGCTCGTCTTTTATCTCACAACATGACGGGATGTCTGAATCCCCGGTGGAGACCTTAGAGAAAGCCCTAGGTCCCTGCCTCATTTTGACGGAATGCCTCACATCCCGCTGACGCCTCGAGAGGCACGCGGAGTTCATTGCTTCAAAAGGGGACAATGCCTGACTCCTCTTGAATACTGATAGGAATCCCAAAATCCCTGTGGCTACTGGAAAGGGTCCGTGGGTGCCCTGCCTGACCTCGAGAAGCGTCCCTTTTGCCCTGCCAAGCCTCGAAGAGAGTCCTGAGGTGTCCCTCGTTACTAGACAGGAGTCCTGACGTCACTGAAGAAACTCGTGTTTTGAAGGGCCATCCCCGCCGTAAGTCGAGAACATACTCCAGGTCCCCGCCGCAACTCGAGAAAAACCATGAGACTTCCCCCTAGAGGCGAGATGAGGCCCCATTCCCCTGCAGTGCATGCAGAGCTATTCCGTGATCCCATTCAAACAAGTCAGGAGCTTCGACTTGCTTAATGGATCTCGAGACAGTCCCCAAGAACACTGTCGTCTGTCTAGACAGACCCTGGGGTCACCCCAGCAACGCAAAGCAGCACCATGTGCCCCAAATCAACTCGAGAAGAGGCCCGATTCCCCTGCATTGACTCCAGAGCCATTCCCCCTTCCACATTCAACACGACCGGTGGCTCGACTTCCTTCAAGCAACTCCAGAGATGCCCCGAGAACACTGTCCCAAGTCTAGAGGAACACCAACTTCAGCACAGCAACTCGAGGAATGCTCCGTGTACCCCAAATGGTCTCGAGATGAGAGCTGATTCCCGGGCTTAGGCTCAAGGCGTATGCCAACTTTCCAGAAGCACCTCAGGAGGAGGCTTCTCTCAGCAATAGGTATGTGGGTGGGACCCCGAGTTTGCTGCCTCAAGGGGAATATACAGCGAGAAGCCCTAACTTCAAAGGAGGCCGAATTTCCTTGCAGTGGCTTGAATACAGGCTCGTCTTTCATCTCACAACATGAAGGGATGTCTGAATCCCCTGTGGAGACCTTAGAGAAAGCCCTAGGTCCCTGCCTCATTTTGACGGAATGCCTCACATCCCGCTGACACCTCGAGAGGCACGCGGAGTTCATTGCTTCAAAAGGTGACGATGCCTGACTCCTCTTGAATACTGATAGGAATCCCAAAATTTCTGTGGCTACTGGAAAGGGTCCTTGGGTGCCCTGCCTCACCTCGAGAAGCGTCCCTTTTGCCCTGCGAAGCCTCGAAGAGTTTCCTGAGGTGTCCCTCGTTACTAGACAGGAGTCCTGACGTCACTAAGGAAACTCGTGTTTTAAAGGGCCATCCCCGCCGTAAGTCGAGAACATACCCCAGGTCCCCGCCGCAACTCGAGAAAAACCATGAGACTTCCCCCTAGAGGCGAGATGAGGCCCCATTCCCCTGCAGTGCATGCAGAGTTATTCCGTGATCCCATTCAAACAAGTCAGGAGCGTCGACTTGCTTAATGGATCTCGAGACACTCACCAAGAACACTGTCACCAGTCTAGACTGACGCTGAGGTCACCCCAGCAACGCAAAGCAGCTCCATGTGCCCCAATTCAACTCGAGATGAGGCCCTATTCCCCTGCATTGACTCCAGAGCCATTCCCCGTTCCCCATTCAACACGACCGGTGATTCGACTTCCTTCAGGCAACTCCAGAGATGCCCCGAGAACACTGTGCCAAGTCTAGAGGAACACCAACTTCAGCACAGCAACTCGAGGAATGCTCCGTGTACCCCAAATCGTCTCGAGATGAGAGCTGATTCCCTGGCTTAGGCTCAAGACGTATGCCAACTTTCCAGAAGCACCTCAGGAGGAGGCTTCTCTCAGCAATACGTATGTGGGAGGGACCCCGAGTTTGCTGCCACAAGGGGAATATACACCGAGAAGCCCTAACTTGAATGGAGGCCGGATTTCCTTGCAGTGGCTTGAATACAGGCTCGTCTTTCATCTCACAACATGAAGGGATGTCTGAATCCCCATTGGAGACCTTAGAGAAAGCCATAGGTCTCTGCCTCATTTTGACGGAGTGCCTCACATCCCGCTGAAACCTCGAGAGGTACGCGGAGTTCATTGCTTCAAAATGGGACGATGCCTGACTCCTCTTGAATACTGATAGGAATCCCAAAATCCCTGTGGCTACTGGAAAGGGTCCGTGGGTGCCCTGCCTGACCTCGAGAAGCGTCCGTTTTGCCCTGCCAAGCCTCGAAGAGATACCTGAGGTGTCCCTCGTTACTAGACAGGAGTCCTGACGTCACTGAAGAAACTCGTGTTTTGAAGGGCCATCCCCGCCGTAAGTCGAGAACATACTCCAGGTCCCCACCGCAACTCGAGAAAAACCATGAGACTTCCCCCTAGAGGCGAGATGAGGCCCCATTCCCCTGCAGTGCATGCAGAGCTATTCCGTGATCCCATTCAAACAAGTCAGGAGCTCCGACTTGCTTAATGGATCTCGAGACAGTCCCCAAGAACACTGTCACCTGTCTAGACGGACCCTGAGGTCACCCCAGCAACGCAAAGCAGCTCCATGTGCCCCAAATCAACTCGAGATGAGGCCCGATTCCCCTGCATTGACTCCAGAGCCATTCCCCGTTCCCCATTCAACACGACCGGTGAGTCGACTTCCTTCAGGCAACACCAGAGATGCCCCGAGAACACTGTGCCAAGTCTAGAGGAACACCAACTTCAGCACAGCAACTCGAGGAATGCTCCGTGTACCCCAAATCGTCTCGAGATGAGAGCTGATTCCCTGGCTTAGGCTCAAGACGTATGCCAACTTTCCAGAAGCACCTCAGGAGGAGGCTTCTCTCAGCAATAGGTATGTGGGAGGGACCCCGAGTTTGCTGCCTCAAAGGGAATATACAGCGAGAATCCCTAACTTGAAAGGAGGCCGGATTTCCTTGCAGTGGCTTGAATACAGGCTCGTCTTTCATCTCACAACATGAAGGGATGTCTGAATCCCCTGGGGAGACCTTAGAGAAAGCCCTAGGTCCCTGCCTCATTTTGACGGAATGCCTCACATCCCGCTGACACCTCGAGAGGCACGCGGAGTTCATTGCTTCAAAAGGTGACGATGCCTGACTCCTCTTGAATACTGATAGGAATCCCAAAATCCCTGTGGCTACTGGAAAGGGTCTTTGGTGCCCTGCCTCACCTCGAGAAGCGTCCCTTTTGCCCTGCCAAGCCTCGAAGAGATTCCTGAGGTGTCCCTCGTTACTAGACAGGAGTCCTGGCGTCACTGAAGAAACTCGTGTTTTGAAGGGCCATCCCCGCCGTAAGTCGAGAACATACCCCAGGTCCCCGCCGCAACTCGAGAAAAACCATGAGACTTCCCCCTAGAGGCGAGATGAGGCCCCATTCCCCTGCAGTGCATGCAGAGCGATTCCGTGGTCCCATTCAAACAAGTCAGGAGCGTCGACTTGCTTAATGGATCTCGAGACAGTACCCAAGAACACTGTCACCAGTCTAGAGGGACCCTGAGGTCACCCCAGCAACGCAAAGCAGCTCCATGTGCCCCAAATCAACTCGAGATGAGGCGCGATTCCCCTGCATTGACTCCGGAGCCATTCCCCCTTCCCCATTCAACAGGACCGGTGGCTCGACTTCCTTCAGGCAACTCCAGAGATGCCCGGAGAACACTGTCCCAAGTCTGGAGGAACACCAACCTCAGCACAGCAACTCGAGGATTGCTCCGTGTACCCCAAATCGTCTCGAGATGAGAGCTGATTCCCTGGTTTAGGCTCAAGGCGTATGCCAACTTTCAAGAAGCACCTCAGGAGGAGTCTTCTCTCAGCAATAGGTATGTGGGAGGGACCCCGAGTTTGCTGCCTCAAGGGGAATATACAGCGAGAAGCCCTAACTTGAAAGGAGGCTGGATTTCCTTGCAGTGGCTTGAATACAGGCTCGTCTTTTATCTCACAACATGACGGGATGTCTGAATCCCCGGTGGAGACCTTAGAGAAAGCCCTAGGTCCCTGCCTCATTTTGACGGAATGCCTCACATCCCGCTGACACTTCGAGAGGCACGCGGAGTTCATTGCTTCAAAAGGTGACGATGCCTGACTCCTCTTGAATACTGATAGGAATCCCAAAATCCCTGTGGCTACTGGAAAGGGTCCTTGGGTGCCCTGCCTCACCTCGAGAAGCGTCCCTTTTGCCCTGCCAAGCCTCGAAGAGAGTCCTGAGGTGTCCCTCGTTACTAGACAGGAGTCCTGACGTCACTGAAGAAACTCGTGTTTTGAAGGGCCATCCCCGCCGTAAGTCGAGAACATACCCCATGTCCCCGCTGCAACTCGAGAAAAACCATGAGAGTTCCCCCTAGAGGCGAGATGAGGCCCCATTCCCCTGCAGTGCATGCAGAGCTATTCCGTGATCTCATTCAAACAAGTCAGGAGCGTCGACTTGCTTAATGGATCTCGAGACAGTCCCCAAGAACACTGTCACCTGTCTAGACGGACCCTGAGGTCACCCCAGCAACGCCAAGCAGCTCCATGTGCCCCAAATCAACTCGAGATGAGGCCCGATTCCCCTGCATTGACTCCAGAGCCATTCCCCGTTCCCCATTCAACACGACCGGTTGCTCGACTTCCTTCAGGCAACTACAGAGATGCCCCGAGAACACTGTCCCAAGTCTAGAGGAACACCAACTTCAGCACAGCAACTCGAGGAATGCTCCGTGTACCCCAAATCGTCTCGAGATGAGAGCTGATTTCCGGGCTTAGGCTCAAGGCGTATGCCAACTTTCCAGAAGCACCTCAGGAGGAGGTTTCTCTCAGCAATAGGTATGTGGGAGGGACCCCGAGTTTGCTGCCTCAAGGGGAATATACAGCGAGAAGCCCTAACTTGAAAGGAGGCCGGATTTCCTTGCAGTGGCTTGAATACAGGTTCGTCTTTCATCTCACAACATGAAGGGATGTCTGAATCCCCTGGGGAGACCTTAGAGAAAGCCCTAGATCCCTGCCTCATTTTGACGGAATGCCTCACAGCCCGCTGACACCTCGGGAGGCACGCGGAGTTCATTGCTTCAAAAGGTGACGATGCCTGACTCCTCTTGAATACTGATAGGAATCCCAAAATTTCTGTGGCTACTGGAAAGGGTCCTTGGGTGCCCTGCCTCACCTCGAGAAGCGTCCCTTTTGCCCTGCCAAGCCTCTAAGAGTTACCTGAGGTGTCCCTCGTTACTAGACAGGAGTCCTGACGTCACTGAAGAAACTCGTGTTTTGAAGGGCCATCCCCGCCGTAAGTCGAGAACATACCCCAGGTCCCCGCCGCAACTCGAGAAAAACCATGAGACTTCCCCCTAGAGGCGAGATGAGGCCCCATTCCCCTGCAGTGCATGCAGAGCTATTCCGTGATCCCATTCAAACAAGTCAGGAGCGTGGACATGCTTAATGGATCTCGAGACAGTCCCCAAGAACACTGTCACCAGTCTAGACGGACGCTGAGGTCACCACAGCAACGCAAAGCAGCTCCATGTGCCCCAAATCAAGTCGAGATTAGGCCCGATTTCCCTGCATTGACTCCAGAGCCATTCCCCGTTCCCCATTCAACACGACCGGTGGCTCGACTTCCTTCAGGCAACTCCAGAGATGCCCGGAGAACACTGTCCCAAGTCTAGAGGAACACCAACTTCAGCACAGCAACTCGAGGAATGCTCCGTGTACCCCAAATCGTCTCGAGATGAGAGCTGATTCCCTGGCTTAGGCTCAAGGCGTATGCCAACTTTCCAGAAGCACCTCAGGAGGAGGCTTCTCACAGCAATAGGTATGTGGGAGGGACCCCGAGTTTGCTGCCTCAAGGGGAATATACAGCGAGAAGCCCTAACTTGAAAGGAGGCTGGATTTCCTTGCAGTGGCTTGAATACAGGCTCGTCTTTTATCTCACAACATGACGGGATGTCTGAATCCCCGGTGGAGACCTTAGAGAAAGCCCTAGGTCCCTGCCTCATTTTGACGGAATGCCTCACATCCCGCTGACGCCTCGAGAGGCACGCGGAGTTCATTGCTTCAAAAGGGGACAATGCCTGACTCCTCTTGAATACTGATAGGAATCCCAAAATCCCTGTGGCTACTGGAAAGGGTCCGTGGGTGCCCTGCCTGACCTCGAGAAGCGTCCCTTTTGCCCTGCCAAGCCTCGAAGAGAGTCCTGAGGTGTCCCTCGTTACTAGACAGGAGTCCTGACGTCACTGAAGAAACTCGTGTTTTGAAGGGCCATCCCCGCCGTAAGTCGAGAACATACTCCAGGTCCCCGCCGCAACTCGAGAAAAACCATGAGACTTCCCCCTAGAGGCGAGATGAGGCCCCATTCCCCTGCAGTGCATGCAGAGCTATTCCGTGATCCCATTCAAACAAGTCAGGAGCTTCGACTTGCTTAATGGATCTCGAGACAGTCCCCAAGAACACTGTCGTCTGTCTAGACAGACCCTGGGGTCACCCCAGCAACGCAAAGCAGCACCATGTGCCCCAAATCAACTCGAGAAGAGGCCCGATTCCCCTGCATTGACTCCAGAGCCATTCCCCCTTCCACATTCAACACGACCGGTGGCTCGACTTCCTTCAAGCAACTCCAGAGATGCCCCGAGAACACTGTCCCAAGTCTAGAGGAACACCAACTTCAGCACAGCAACTCGAGGAATGCTCCGTGTACCCCAAATGGTCTCGAGATGAGAGCTGATTCCCGGGCTTAGGCTCAAGGCGTATGCCAACTTTCCAGAAGCACCTCAGGAGGAGGCTTCTCTCAGCAATAGGTATGTGGGTGGGACCCCGAGTTTGCTGCCTCAAGGGGAATATACAGCGAGAAGCCCTAACTTCAAAGGAGGCCGAATTTCCTTGCAGTGGCTTGAATACAGGCTCGTCTTTCATCTCACAACATGAAGGGATGTCTGAATCCCCTGTGGAGACCTTAGAGAAAGCCCTAGGTCCCTGCCTCATTTTGACGGAATGCCTCACATCCCGCTGACACCTCGAGAGGCACGCGGAGTTCATTGCTTCAAAAGGTGACGATGCCTGACTCCTCTTGAATACTGATAGGAATCCCAAAATTTCTGTGGCTACTGGAAAGGGTCCTTGGGTGCCCTGCCTCACCTCGAGAAGCGTCCCTTTTGCCCTGCGAAGCCTCGAAGAGTTTCCTGAGGTGTCCCTCGTTACTAGACAGGAGTCCTGACGTCACTAAGGAAACTCGTGTTTTAAAGGGCCATCCCCGCCGTAAGTCGAGAACATACCCCAGGTCCCCGCCGCAACTCGAGAAAAACCATGAGACTTCCCCCTAGAGGCGAGATGAGGCCCCATTCCCCTGCAGTGCATGCAGAGTTATTCCGTGATCCCATTCAAACAAGTCAGGAGCGTCGACTTGCTTAATGGATCTCGAGACACTCACCAAGAACACTGTCACCAGTCTAGACTGACGCTGAGGTCACCCCAGCAACGCAAAGCAGCTCCATGTGCCCCAATTCAACTCGAGATGAGGCCCTATTCCCCTGCATTGACTCCAGAGCCATTCCCCGTTCCCCATTCAACACGACCGGTGATTCGACTTCCTTCAGGCAACTCCAGAGATGCCCCGAGAACACTGTGCCAAGTCTAGAGGAACACCAACTTCAGCACAGCAACTCGAGGAATGCTCCGTGTACCCCAAATCGTCTCGAGATGAGAGCTGATTCCCTGGCTTAGGCTCAAGACGTATGCCAACTTTCCAGAAGCACCTCAGGAGGAGGCTTCTCTCAGCAATACGTATGTGGGAGGGACCCCGAGTTTGCTGCCACAAGGGGAATATACACCGAGAAGCCCTAACTTGAATGGAGGCCGGATTTCCTTGCAGTGGCTTGAATACAGGCTCGTCTTTCATCTCACAACATGAAGGGATGTCTGAATCCCCATTGGAGACCTTAGAGAAAGCCATAGGTCTCTGCCTCATTTTGACGGAGTGCCTCACATCCCGCTGACACCTCGAGAGGTACGCGGAGTTCATTGCTTCAAAATGGGACGATGCCTGACTCCTCTTGAATACTGATAGGAATCCCAAAATCCCTGTGGCTACTGGAAAGGGTCCGTGGGTGCCCTGCCTGACCTCGAGAAGCGTCCGTTTTGCCCTGCCAAGCCTCGAAGAGATACCTGAGGTGTCCCTCGTTACTAGACAGGAGTCCTGACGTCACTGAAGAAACTCGTGTTTTGAAGGGCCATCCCCGCCGTAAGTCGAGAACATACTCCAGGTCCCCACCGCAACTCGAGAAAAACCATGAGACTTCCCCCTAGAGGCGAGATGAGGCCCCATTCCCCTGCAGTGCATGCAGAGCTATTCCGTGATCCCATTCAAACAAGTCAGGAGCTCCGACTTGCTTAATGGATCTCGAGACAGTCCCCAAGAACACTGTCACCTGTCTAGACGGACCCTGAGGTCACCCCAGCAACGCAAAGCAGCTCCATGTGCCCCAAATCAACTCGAGATGAGGCCCGATTCCCCTGCATTGACTCCAGAGCCATTCCCCCTTCCACATTCAACACGACCGGTGGCTCGACTTCCTTCAGGCAACTCCAGAGATGCCCGGAGAACACTGTCCCAAGTCTAGAGGAACACCAACTTCAGCACAGCAACTCGAGGAATGCTCCGTGTACCCCAAATCGTCTCGAGATGAGAGCTGATTCCTGGCTTAGGCTCAAAGCGTATGCCAACTTTCCAGAGGCACCTCAGGAGGAGGCTTCTCTCAGCAATAGGTATGTGGGAGGGACCCCGAGTTTGCTGCCTCAAGGGGAATATACAGCGAGAAGCCCTAAGTTGAAAGGAGGCCGGATTTCCTTGCAGTGGCTTGAATACAGGCTCGTCTTTCATCTCACAACATGAAGGGATGTCTGAATACCCTGTTGAGACCTTAGATAAAGCCATAGGTCCCTGCCTCATTTTGACGGAATGCCTCACATCCTGCTGAAACCTCGAGAGGCACGCGGAGTTCATTGCTTTAAAAGGTGATGATGCCTGACTCCTCTTGAATACTGATAGGAATCCCAAAATCCCTGTGGCTACTGGAAAGGGTCCTTGGGTGCCCTGCCTCACCTCGAGAAGCGTCCCTGTTGCCCTGCCAAACCTTGATGAGATTCCTGAGGTGTCCCTCGTTACTAGACAGGAGACCTGACGTCACTGAAGAAACTCGTGTTTTGAAGCGCCATCCCCGCCGTAAGTCGAGAACATTCCCCAGGTCCCCGCCGCAACTCGAGAAAAACCATGAGACTTCCCCCTAGAGGCGAGATGAGGCCCCATTCCCCTGCAGTGCATGCAGAGCTCTTCCGTGATCCCATTCAAAGAAGTCAAGAGCTTCGACTTGCTTAATGGATCTCGAGACAGTCCCCAAGAATACAGTCACCAGTCTAGACGGACCCTGAGGTCACCCCAGCAACGCAAAGCAGCTCCATGTGCCCCAAATCAAATCGAGATGAGGCCGGATTCCCCTGCATTGACTCCAGAGCCATTCCCCGTTCCCCATTCAACACGACCGGTGGCTCGACTTCCTTCAGGCAACTCCAGAGATGCCCTGAGAACACTGTCTCAAGCCTAGAGGAACACCAACTTCACCACAGCAACTCGAGGAATGCTCCGTGTACCACAAATCGTCTCGAGATGAGAGCTGATTCCCTGGCTTAGGCTCAAGACGTATGCCAACTTTCCAGAAGCACCTCAGGAGGAGCCTTCTCTCAGCAATAGGTATGTGGGAGGGACCCCGAGTTTGCTGCCTCAAGGGGAATATACAGCGAGAATCCCTAACTTGAAAGGAGGCTGGATTTCCTTGCAGTGGCTTGAATAGAGGCTCGTCTTTCATCTCACAACATGAAGGGATGTCTGAATCCCCTGTGGAGACCTTAGAGAAAGCCCTAGGTCCCTGCCTCATTTTGACGGAATGCCTCACATCTCGCTGACATCTCGAGAGGCACGCGGAGTTCACTGCTTCAAAAGGTGACGATGCCTGACTCCTCTTGAATACTGATAGGAATCCCAGAATCCCTGTGGCTACTGGAAACGGTCCTTGGGTGCCCTGCCTCACCTCGAGGAGCGTCCCTTTTGCCCTGCCAAGCCTCGAAGAGATTCCTGAGGTGTCCCTCGTTACTAGACAGGAGTCCTGACGTCACTGAAGAAACTCGTGTTTTGAAGGGCCATCCCCGCCGTAAGTCGAGAACATACCCCAGGTCCCCGCCGCAACTCGAGAAAAACCATGAGACTTCCCCCTAGAGGCGAGATGAGGCCCCATTCCCCTGCAGTGCATGCAGAGCTATTCCGTGATCCCATTCAAACAAGTCAGGAGCGTCGACTTGCTTAATGGATCTCGAGACAGTCCCCAAGAACACTGTCACCAGTCTAGACGGACCCTGAGGTCACCCCCGCAACGCAAAGCAGCTCCATGCGCCCAAATCAACTCGAGATGAGCCCCGATTCCCCTGCATTGACTCCAGAGCCATTCCCCGTTCCCCATTCAACACAACCGGTGGCTCGACTTCCTTCAGGCAACTCCAGAGATGCCCCGAGAACACTGTCCCAAGTCTAGAGGAACACCAACTTCAGCACAGCAACTCGAGGAATGCTCCGTGTACCCCAAATCGTCTCGAGATTAGAGCTGATTCCCTCGCTTAGGCTCAAGACGTATGCCAACTTTCCAGAAGCACCTCAGGAGGAGGCTTCTCTCAGCAATACGTATGTGGGAGGGACCCCGAGTTTGCTGCCTCAAGGGGAATATACAGCGAGAAGCCCTAACTTGAAAGGAGGCCGAATTTCCTTGCAGTGGCTTGAATACAGGCTCGTCTTTCATCTCACAACATGAAGGGATGTCTGAATCCCCTGTGGAGACCTTAGAGAAAGCCCTAGATCCCTGCCTCATTTTAACGGAATGCCTCACATCCCGCTGGCACCTCGAGAGGCACGCGGAGTTCATTGCTTCAAAAGGTGACGATGCCTGACTCCTCTTGAATACTGATAGGAATCCCAAAATCCCTGTGGCTACTGGAAAGGGTCCTTGGGTGCCCTGCCTCACCTCGAGAAGCGTCCCTTTTGCCCTGCCAAGACTCGAAGAGATTCCTGAGGTGTCCCTCGTTACTAGACAGGAGTCCTGACGTCACTGAAGAAACTCGTGTTTTGAAGGGCCATCCCCGCCGTAAGTCGACAACATACTCCAGGTCCCGGCCGCAACTGGAGAAAAACCATGAGACTTCCCCCTAGAGGCGAGATGAGGCCCCATTCCCCTGCAGTGCATGCAGAGCTATTCCATGATCCCATTCAAACAAGTCAGGAGCGTCGACTTGCTTAATGGATCTCGAGACAGTCCCCAAGAACACTGTCACCAGTCTAGACTGACGCTGAGGTCACCCCAGCAACGCAAAGCAGCTCAATGAATCCCAAATCAACTCGAGATGAGGCCCGATTCCCCTGCATTGACTCCAGAGCCATTCCCCGTTCCCCATTCAACACGACCGGTGAGTCGACTTCCTTCAGGCAACACCAGAGATGCCCCGAGAACACTGTGCCAAGTCTAGAGGAACACCAACTTCAGCACAGCAACTCGAGGAATGCTCCGTGTACCCCAAATCGTCTCGAGATGAGAGCTGATTCCCTGGCTTAGGCTCAAGACGTATGCCAACTTTCCAGAAGCACCTCAGGAGGAGGCTTCTCTCAGTAATAGGTATGTGGGAGGGACCCCGAGTTTGCTGCCTCAAGGGGAATATACAGCGAGAAGCCCTAACTTGAAAGGAGGCCGGATTTCCTTGCAGTGGCTTGAATACAGGTTCGTCTTTCATCTCACAACATGAAGGGATGTCTGAATCCCCTGGGGAGACCTTAGAGAAAGCCCTAGATCCCTGCCTCATTTTGACGGAATGCCTCACATCCCGCTGACACCTCGAGAGGCACGCGGAGTTCATTGCTTCAAAAGGTGACGATGCCTGACTCCTCTTGAATACTGATAGGAATCCCAAAATTACTGTGGCTACTGGAAAGGGTCCTTGGGTGCCCTGCCTCACCTCGAGAAGCGTCCCTTTTGCACTGCGAAGCCTCGAAGAGTTACCTGAGGTGTCCCTCGTTACTAGACAGGAGTCCTGACGTCACTGAAGAAACTCGTGTTTTGAAGGGCCATCCCCGCCGTAAGTCGAGAACATACCCCAGGTCCCCGCCGCAACTCGAGAGAAACAGTGAGACTTCCCCCTAGAGTCGAGATGAGGCCCCATTCCCCTGCAGTGCATGCAGAGCTATTCCGTGATCCCATTCAAACAAGTCAGGAGCATGGACTTGCTTAATGGATCTCGAGACAGTCCCCAAGAACACTGTCACCAGTCTAGACGGACGCTGAGGTAACCCCAGCAATGCAAAGCAGTTCCATGTGCCCCAAATCAACTCGAGATTAGGCCCGATTCCCCTGCATTGACTTCAGAGCCATTCCGCATTCCCCATTCAACACGACCGGTGGCTCGACTTCCTTCAGGCAACTCCAGAGATGCCCCGAGAACACTGTCCCAAGTCTAGAGGAACACCAACTTCAGCACAGCAACTCGAGGAATGTTCCGTGTACCCCAAATCGTCTCGAGATGAGAGCTGATTCCCTAGCTTAGGCTCAAGACGTATGCCAACTTTCCAGAAGCACCTCAGGAGGAGGCTTCTCTCAGCAATAGGTATGTGGGAGGGACCCCGAGTTTGCTGCCTCAAGGGGAATATACAGCGAGAAGCCCTAACTTGAAAGGAGGCTGGATTTCCTAGCAGTGGCTTGAATACAGGCTCGTCTTTCATCTCACAACATCACGGGATGTCTGAATCCCCGGTGGAGACCTTAGAGAAAGCCCTAGGTCCCTGCCTCATTTTGACGGAATCCCTCACATCTCGCTGAGACCTCGAGAGGCACGCGGAGTTCATTGCTTCAAAAGGTGACGATGCCTGACTCCTCTTGAATACTGATAGGAATTCCAAAATCCCTGTGGCTACTGGAAAGGGTCCTTGGGTGCCCTGCCTCACCTCGAGAAGCGTCCCTTTTGCCCTGCCAAGCCTCGAAGGGATTCCTGAGGTGTCCCTCGTTACTAGACAGGAGTCCTGACGTCACTGAAGAAACTCGTGTTTTGAAGGGCCATCCCCGCCGTAAGTCGAGAACATACCCCAGGTCCCCGCCGCAACTCGAGAAAAACCATGAGACTTCCCCCTAGAGGTGAGATGAGGCCCCATTCCCCTGCAGTGCATGCAGAGGGATTCCGTGATCCCATTCAAACAAGTCAGGAGCGTCGACTTGCTTAATGGATCTCGAGACAGTCCCCAAGAACACTGTCACCAGTCTAGACGGACCCGGAGGTCACCCCAGCAACGCAAAGCAGCTCCATGTGCCCCAAATCAACTCGAGATGAGGCCCGATTCCCCTGCATTGACTCCAGAGCCATTCCCCGTTCCCCATTCCACACGAACGGTGGCACGACTTCCTTCAGGCAACTCCAGAAATGCCCCGAGAACACTGTCCCAAGTCTAGAGGAACACCAACTTCAGCACAGAAACTCGAGGAATGCTCCGTGTACCCCAAATCTTCTCGAGATGAGAGCTGATTCCCTGGCTTAGGCTCAAGACATAGGCCAACTTTCCAGAAGCACCTCAGGAGGAGGCTTCTCTCAGCAATAGGTATGTGGGAGGGACCCCGAGTTTGCTGCCTCAAGGGGAATATACAGCGAGAAGCCCTAACTTGAAAGGAGGCCGGATTTCCTTGCAGTGGCTTGAATACAGGCTCGTCTTTCATCTCACAACATGAAGGGATGTCTGAATCCCCTGTGGAGACCTTAGAGAAAGCCCTAGGTCCCTGCCTCCTTTTGACGGAATGCCTCACATCCCGCTGACACCTCGAGAGGCACGCGGAGTTCATTGCTTCAAAAGGTGACGATGCCTGACTCCTCTTGAATACAGATAGGAATCCCAAAATCCCTTTGCTATTGGAAAGGGTCCTTGGGTGCCCTGCCTCACCTCGAGAAGCGTCCCTTTTGCCCTGCCAAGCCTCGAAGAGATTCATGAGGTGACCCTCATTACTAGACAGGAGTCCTGCCGTCACTGAAGAAACTCGTGTTTTGAAGGGCCATCCCCGCTGTAAGTCGAGAACATATCCCAGGTCCCCGCCGCAACTCGAGAAAAACCATGAGACTTCCCCCTAGAGGCGAGAAGAGGCCCCATTCCCCTTCAGTGCATGCAGAGCTATTCCGTGATCCCATTCAAACAAGTCAGGAGCGTCGACTTGATTAATGGATCTCGAGACAGTTCCCAAGAACACTGTCACCTGTTTAGACGGACCCTGAGGTCAACCCAGCAATGCAAAGCAGCTCCATGTGCCCCAAATGAACTTGAGATGAGGCCCGATTCCCTTGCATTGACTCCAGAGCCATTCCCCGTTCCCCATTCAACACGACCCGTGGCTCGACTTCCTTCAGGCAACTCCAGAGATGCCCCGAGAACACTGTCCCAAGTCTAGAGGAACACCAACTTCAGCACAGCAACTCGAGGAATGCTCCGTGTACCCCAAATCGTCTCGAGATGAGAGCTGATTCCCTGGCTTAGGCTCAAGACGTATGCCAACTTTCCAGAAGCACCTCAATAGGAGGCTTCTCTCAGCAATAGGTATGTGGGAGGGACCCCGAGTTTGCTGCCTCAAGGGGAATATACAGCGAGAAGCCCTAACTTGAAAGGAGGCTGGATTTCCTTGCAGTGGCTTGAATACAGGCTCGTCTTTCATCTCACAACATGAAGGGATATCTGAATCCCCTGTGCAGACCTTAGAGAAAGCCCTAGGTCCCTGCCTCATTTTGACGGAATGCCTCACATCCCGCTGACACCTCTAGAGGCACGCAGAGTTCATTGCTTCAAAAGGTGACGATGCCTGACTCCTCTTGAATACTGATAGGAATCCCAATTCCCTGTGGCTACTGGAAAGGGTCCTTGGGTGCCCTGCCTCAACTCGAGAAGCGTCCCTTTTGCCCTGCCAAGCTTCGAAGAGATTCCTGAGGTGTCCCTCGTTACTAGACAGGAGTCTTGACGTCACTGAAGAAACTCGGGTTTTGAAGGGCCATCCCCGCCGTAAGTCGAGAACATACCCCAGGTCCCCGCCGCAACTCGAGAAAAACCATGAGACTTCCCCGTAGAGGCGAGATGAGGCCCCATTTCCCTGCAGTGCATGCAGAGCGATTCCGTGATACCATTCAAACAAGTCTGGAGCTTCGACTTGCTTAATGGATCTCGAGACAGTCCCCAAGAACACTGTCACCAGTCTCGACGGACCCTGAGGTCACCCCAGCAAAGCAAAGCAGCTCCATGTGCCCCAAATCAACTCGAGATGAGGCCCGATTCCCCTGCATTTACTCCGGAGCCATTCCCCGTTCCCCATTCAACACGACCGGTGGCTCGACTTCCTTCAGGCAACTCCAGAGATGCCCCGAGAACACTGTCCCAAGTCTAGAGGAACACCAACTTCAGCACAGCAACTCGAGCAATGCTCCGTGTACCCCAAATCGTCTCGAAATGAGAGCTGATTCCCTGGCTTAGGCTCAAGACGTATGCCAACTTTCCAGAAGCACCTCAGGAGGAGGCTTTTCTCAGCAATTGGTATGTGGGAGGGACCCCAAGTTTGCTGCCTCAAGGGGAATATACAGCGAGAAGCCCTAAGTTGAAAGGAGGCCGGATATCCTTGCAGTGGCTTGAATACAGGCTCGTCTTTCATCTCACAACATGAAGGGATGTCTGAATACCCTGTTGAGACCTTAGATAAAGCCATAGGTCCCTGCCTCATTTTTATGGAATGCCTCACATCCCGCTGAAACCTCGAGAGGCACGCGGAGTTCATTGCTTTAAAAGGTGATGATGCCTGACTCCTCTTGAATACTGATAGGAATCCCAAAATCCCTGTGGCTACTGGAAAGGGTCCTTGGGTGCCCTGCCTCACCTCGAGAAGCGTCCCTTTTGCCCTGCCAAGCCTCGAAGAGATTCCTGAGGTGTCCCTCGTTACTAGACAGGAGACCTGACGTCACTGAAGAAACTCGTGTTTTGAAGCGCCATCCCTGCCGTAAGTCGAGAACATACCCCAGGTCCCCGCCGCAACTCGAGAAAAACCATGAGACTTCCCCCTAGAGGCGAGATGAGGCCCCATTCCCCTGCAGTGCATGCAGAGCTATTCCGTGATCCCATTCAAAGAAGTCAAGAGCTTCGACTTGCTTAATGGATCTCGAGACAGTCCCCAACAATACTGTCACCAGTCTAGACGGACCCTGAGGTCACACCAGCAACGCAAAGCAGCTCCATGTGCCCCAAATCAAGTCGAGATGAGGCCGGATTCCCCTGCATTGACTCCAGAGCCATTCCCCGTTCCCCATTCAACACGACCGGTGGCTCGACTTCCTTCAGGCAACTCCAGAGATGCCCGGAGAACACTGTCCCAAGTCTAGAGGAACACCAACTTCACCACAGCAACTCTAGGAATGCTCCGTGTACCCCAAATCATCTCGAGATGAGAGCTGATTGCCTAGCTTAGGTTCAAGGCGTATGCCAACTTTCCAGAAGCACCTCAGGAGGAGGCTTCTCTCAGCAATAGGTATGTGGGAGGGACCCCGATTTTGTTGCCTCAAGGGGAATATACAGCGAGAAGCCCTAACTTGAAAAGAGGCCGGATTTCCTTGCAGTGGCTTGAATACAGGCTCATCTTTCATCTCACAACATGAAGGGATGTCTGAATCCCCTGGGGAGACCATAGACAAAGCCCAAGGTCCCTGCCTCATTTTGACGGAATGCCTCTATCCTGCTGACACCTCGAGAGGCATGCGGAGTTCATTGCTTCAAAAGGTGACGATGCCTGACTCTTCTTGAATACTGATAGGAATCCCAAAATCCCTGTGGCTACTGGAAAGGGTCCTTGGGTGCCCTGCCTCACGTCGAGAAGCGTCCCTTTTGCCCTGCCAAGCCTCGAAGAGAGTCCTGAGGTGTCCCTCGTTACTAGACAGGAGTCCTGACGTCACTCATGAAACTCGTGTTTTGAAGGGCCATCCCCGCCGTAACTCGAGAACATACCCCAGGTCCCCGCCGCAACTCGAGAAAAACCATGAGACTTCCCCCTAAAGGCGAGATGTGGCCCCATTCCCCTGCAGTCCATGCAGAGCTATTCCGTGATCCCATTCAAACAAGTCAGGAGCGTCGACTTGCTTAATGGATCTCGAGACAGTCCCCAAGAACACTGTCACCAGTCTAGACGGACGCTGAGGTCACCACAGCAACGCAAAGCAGCTCCATGTGCCCCAAATCAAGTCGAGATTAGGCCCGATTTCCCTGCATTGACTCCAGAGCCATTCCCCGTTCCCCATTCAACACGACCGGTGGCTCGACTTCCTTCAGGCAACTCCAGAGATGCCCGGAGAACACTGTCCCAAGTCTAGAGGAACACCAACTTCAGCACAGCAACTCGAGGAATGCTCCGTGTACCCCAAATCGTCTCGAGATGAGAGCTGATTCCCTGGCTTAGGCTCAAGGCGTATGCCAACTTTCCAGAAGCACCTCAGGAGGAGGCTTCTCACAGCAATAGGTATGTGGGAGGGACCCCGAGTTTGCTGCCTCAAGGGGAATATACAGCGAGAAGCCCTAACTTGAAAGGAGGCTGGATTTCCTTGCAGTGGCTTGAATACAGGCTCGTCTTTTATCTCACAACATGACGGGATGTCTGAATCCCCGGTGGAGACCTTAGAGAAAGCCCTAGGTCCCTGCCTCATTTTGACGGAATGCCTCACATCCCGCTGACGCCTCGAGAGGCACGCGGAGTTCATTGCTTCAAAAGGGGACAATGCCTGACTCCTCTTGAATACTGATAGGAATCCCAAAATCCCTGTGGCTACTGGAAAGGGTCCGTGGGTGCCCTGCCTGACCTCGAGAAGCGTCCCTTTTGCCCTGCCAAGCCTCGAAGAGAGTCCTGAGGTGTCCCTCGTTACTAGACAGGAGTCCTGACGTCACTGAAGAAACTCGTGTTTTGAAGGGCCATCCCCGCCGTAAGTCGAGAAAATACTCCAGGTCCCCGCCGCAACTCGAGAAAAACCATGAGACTTCCCCCTAGAGGCGAGATGAGGCCCCATTCCCCTGCAGTGCATGCAGAGCTATTCCGTGATCCCATTCAAACAAGTCAGGAGCTCCGACTTGCTTAATGGATCTCGAGACAGTCCCCAAGAACACTGTCGTCTGTCTAGACAGACCCTGGGGTCACCCCAGCAACGCAAAGCAGCACCATGTGCCCCAAATCAACTCGAGAAGAGGCCCGATTCCCCTGCATTGACTCCAGAGCCATTCCCGGTTCCCCATTCAACAGGACCGGTGGCTCGACTTCCTTCAGGCAACTCCAGAGATGCCCCGAGAACACTGTCCCAAGTCTAGAGGAACACCAACTTCAGCACAGCAACTCGAGGAATGCTCCGTGTACCCCAAATCGTCTCGAGATGAGAGCTGATTCCCGGGCTTAGGCTCAAGGCGTATGCCAACTTTCCAGAAGCACCTCAGGAGGAGGCTTCTCTCAGCAATAGGTATGTGGGTGGGACCCCGAGTTTGCTGCCTCAAGGGGAATATACAGCGAGAAGCCCTAACTTCAAAGGAGGCCGAATTTCCTTGCAGTGGCTTGAATACAGGCTCGTCTTTCATCTCACAACATGAAGGGATGTCTGAATCCCCTGTGGAGACCTTAGAGAAAGCGCTAGGTCCCTGCCTCATTTTGACGGAATGCCTCACATCTGGTTGACACCTCGAGAGGCACGCGGAGTTCATTGCTTCAAAAGGTGACGATGCCTGACTCCTCTTGAATACTGATAGGAATCCCAAAATTTCTGTGGCTACTGGAAAGGGTCCTTGGGTGCCCTGCCTCACCTCGAGAAGCGTCCCTTTTGCCCTGCGAAGCCTCGAAGAGTTTCCTGAGGTGTCCCTCGTTACTAGACAGGAGTCCTGACGTCACTAAGGAAACTCGTGTTTTAAAGGGCCATCCCCGCCGTAAGTCGAGAACATACCCCAGGTCCCCGCCGCAACTCGAGAAAAACCATGAGACTTCCCCCTAGAGGCGAGATGAGGCCCCATTCCCCTGCAGTGCATGCAGAGTTATTCCGTGATCCCATTCAAACAAGTCAGGAGCGTCGACTTGCTTAATGGATCTCGAGACACTCACCAAGAACACTGTCACCAGTCTAGACTGACGCTGAGGTCACCCCAGCAACGCAAAGCAGCTCCATGTGCCCCAAATCAACTCGAGATGAGGCCCTATTCCCCTGCATTGACTCCAGAGCCATTCCCCGTTCCCCATTCAACACGACCGGTGATTCGACTTCCTTCAGGCAACTCCAGAGATGCCCCGAGAACACTGTGCCAAGTCTAGAGGAACACCAACTTCAGCACAGCAACTCGAGGAATGCTCCGTGTACCCCAAATCGTCTCGAGATGAGAGCTGATTCCCTGGCTTAGGCTCAAGACGTATGCCAACTTTCCAGAAGCACCTCAGGAGGAGGCTTCTCTCAGCAATACGTATGTGGGAGGGACCCCGAGTTTGCTGCCACAAGGGGAATATACACCGAGAAGCCCTAACTTGAATGGAGGCCGGATTTCCTTGCAGTGGCTTGAATACAGGCTCGTCTTTCATCTCACAACATGAAGGGATGTCTGAATCCCCATTGGAGACCTTAGAGAAAGCCCTAGGTCCCTGCCTCATTTTGACGGAGTGCCTCACATCCCGCTGACACCTCGAGAGGTACGCGGAGTTCATTGCTTCAAAATGGGACGATGCCTGACTCCTCTTGAATACTGATAGGAATCCCAAAATCCCTGTGGCTACTGGAAAGGGTCCGTGGGTGCCCTGCCTGACCTCGAGAAGCGTCCGTTTTGCCCTGCCAAGCCTCGAAGAGATACCTGAGGTGTCCCTCGTTACTAGACAGGAGTCCTGACGTCACTGAAGAAACTCGTGTTTTGAAGGGCCATCCCCGCCGTAAGTCGAGAACATACTCCAGGTCCCCACCGCAACTCGAGAAAAACCATGAGACTTCCCCCTAGAGGCGAGATGAGGCCCCATTCCCCTGCAGTGCATGCAGAGCTATTCCGTGATCCCATTCAAACAAGTCAGGAGCTCCGACTTGCTTAATGGATCTCGAGACAGTCCCCAAGAACACTGTCACCTGTCTAGACGGACCCTGAGGTCACCCCAGCAACGCAAAGCAGCTCCATGTGCCCCAAATCAACTCGAGATGAGGCCCGATTCCCCTGCATTGACTCCAGAGCCATTCCCCCTTCCACATTCAACACGACCGGTGGCTCGACTTCCTTCAGGCAACTCCAGAGATGCCCGGAGAACACTGTCCCAAGTCTAGAGGAACACCAACTTCAGCACAGCAACTCGAGGAATGCTCCGTGTACCCCAAATCGTCTCGAGATGAGAGCTGATTCCCTGGCTTAGGCTCAAGGCGTATGCCAACTTTCCAGAGGCACCTCAGGAGGAGGCTTCTCTCAGCAATAGGTATGTGGGAGGGACCCCGAGTTTGCTGCCTCAAGGGGAATATACAGCGAGAAGCCCTAACTTGAAAGGAGGCCGGATTTCCTTGCAGTGGCTTGAATACTGGCTCGTCTTTCATCTCACAACATGAAGGGATGTCTGAATACCCTGTTGAGACCTTAGATAAAGCCATAGGTCCCTGCCTCATTTTGACGGAATGCCTCACATCCCGCTGAAACCTCGAGAGGCACGCGGAGTTCATTGCTTTAAAAGGTGATGATGCCTGACTCCTCTTGAATACTGATAGGAATCCCAAAATCCCTGTGGCTACTGGAAAGGGTCCTTCGGTGCCCTGCCTCACCTCGAGAAGCGTCCCTTTTGCCCTGCCAAGCCTTGATGAGATTCCTGAGGTGTCCCTCGTTACTAGACAGGAGACCTGACGTCACTGAAGAAACTCGTGTTTTGAAGGGCCATCCCCGCCGTAAGTCGAGAACATACCCCAGGTCCCCGCCGCAACTCGAGAAAAACCATGAGACTTCCCCCTAGAGGCGAGATGAGGCCCCATTCCCCTGCAGTGCATGCAGAGCTCTTCCGTGATCCCATTCAAAGAAGTCAAGAGCTTCGACTTGCTTAATGGATCTCGAGACAGTCCCGAAGAATACAGTCACCAGTCTAGACGGACCCTGAGGTCACCCCAGCAACGCAAAGCAGCTCCATGTGCCCCAAATCAAATCGAGATGAGGCCGGATTCCCCTGCATTGACTCCAGAGCCATTCCCCGTTCCCCATTCAACACGACCGGTGGCTCGACTTCCTTCAGGCAAATCCAGAGATTCCCGGAGAACACTGTCCCAAGTCTAGAGGAACACCAACTTCACCACAGCACCTCTAGGAATGCTCCGTGTACCCCAAATCATCTCGAGATGAGAGCTGATTGCCTAGCTTAGGTTCAAGGCGTATGCCAACTTTCCAGAAGCACCTCAGGAGGAGGCTTCTCTCAGCAATAGGTATGTGGGAGGGACCCCGATTTTGCTGCCTCAAGGGGAATATACAGCGAGAAGCCCTAACTTGAAAGGAGGCCGGATTTCCTTGCAGTGGCTTGAATACAGGCTCATCTTTCATCTCACAACATGAAGGGATGTCTGAATCCCCTGGGCAGACCATAGACAAAGCCCTAGGTCCCTGCCTCATTTTGACGGAATGCCTCACATTCCGCTGACACCACGAGAGGCACCCGGAGTTCACTGCTTCAAAAGGTGACGATGCGTGACTCCTCTTGAATACTGATAGGAATCCCAAAATCCCTGTGGCTACTGGAAAGGGTCCTTGGGTGCCCTGCCTCGCCTCGAGAAGCGTCCCTTTTGCCCTGCCAAGCCTCGAAGAGATTCCTGAGGTGTCCCTCGTTACTAGACAGGAGTCCTGACGTCACTGAAGAAACTCGTGTTTTGAAGGGCCATCCCCGCCGTAAGTCGAGAACATACCCCAGGTCCCCGCCGGAACTCGAGAAAAACCATGAGACTTCCCCCTAGAGGCGAGATGAGGCCCCATTCCAATGCAGTGCATGCAGAGCTATTCCGTGATCCCATTCAAACAAGTGAGGAGCTTCGACTTGCTTAATGGATCTCGAGACAGTCCGCAAGAACACTGTCACCAGTCTAGACGGACCCTGAGGTCACCCCAGCAACGCAAAGCAGCTCCATGTGCCCCAAATCAACGTGAGATGAGCCCCGATTCCCCTGCATTGACTCCAGAGCCATTCCCCGTTCCCCATTCAACACGACCGGTGGCTCGACTTCCTTCAGGCAACTCCAGAGATGCCCGGAGAACACTGTCCCAAGCCTAGAGGAACACCAACTTCAGCACAGCAACTCGAGGAATGCTCCGTGTACCCCAAATCGTCTCGAGATGAGAGCTGATTCCCTGGCTTAGGCTCAAGACATATGCCAACTTTCCAGAAGCACCTCAGGAGGAGGCTTCTCTCAGCAATAGGTATGTGGGAGGGACCCCGAGTTTGCTGCCTCAAGGGGAATATACATCGAGAAGCCCTAACTTGAAAGGAGGCCGGATTTCCTTGCAGTGGCTTGACTACAGGCTCGTCTTTCATCTCACAACATGAAGGGATGTCTGAATCCCCTGTGGAGACCTTAGAGAAAGCCCTATTTCCCTGCTTCATTTTGACGGAATGCCTCACATCCCGTTGACACCTCGTGAGGCATGCGGAGTTCATTGCTTCAGAATGTGACGATGCCTGACTCCTCTTGAATACTGATAGGAATCCCAAAATTCCTTTGGCTACTGGAAAGGGTCCTTGGGTGCCCTGCCTCACTCGAGAAGCGTCCCTTTTGCCCTGCCAAGCCTCGATGAGATTCCTGAGGTGTCCCTCGTTACTAGGCTGGGGTCCTGACGTCACTGAAGAAACTCATGTTTTCAAGGGCCATCCCCGCCGTAAGTCGAGAACATACCCCAGGTCCCTGCCGCACCTCGAGAAAAACCATGAGACTTCCCCCTAGAGTCGAAATGAGGCCCCATTCCCCTGCAGTGCATGCAGAGCTATTCCGTGATCCCATTCAAACAAGTCAGGAACTTCGACTTGCTTAATGCATCTCGACACAGTCCCCAAGAACACTGTCTCCAGTCTAGATGGACCCTGAGGTCACCCCAGAAACGCAAAGCAGCTCCATGTGCCCCAAATCTACTCGAGATGAGGCCCGATTCCCCTGCATTGCCTCCAGAGCCATTCCCCATTCCCCATTTAACACGACCGGTCGCTCGACTTCCTTCAGGCAAGTCCAGAGATGCCCCGAGAACACTGTCCCAAGTCTAGAGGAACACCAACTTCAGCACAGCAACTCGAGTAATGCTCCGTGTACCCCAAATCGTCTCGAGATGAGAGCTGATTCCCTGGCTTAGGCACAAGACGTATGCCAACTTTCCAGAAGAACCTCAAGAGGAGGCTTCTGTCAGCAATATGTATGTGGAAGGGACTCCGAGTTTGCTGTCTCAAGGGGAATATACAGCAAGAAGCCCGAACTTGAATGGAGGCTGGATTTTCTTGCAGTGGCTTGAATACAGGCTCTTCTTTCATCTCACAACATGAAGGGATGTCTGAATCCCCTGTGGAGAATTTAGAGAAAGCCCTAGGTCCCTGCCTCATTTTGACGGAATGCCTCACATCCCGTTTACACCTCGAGAGGCACGCGGAGTTCATTGCTTCAAAAGGTGACGATGCCTGACTCCTCTTGAATACTGATAGGAATCCCAAAATCCCTGTGGCTACTGGAAAGGGTCCTTGGGTGCACTGCCTCACCTCGAGAAGCGTCCCTTTTGCCCTGCCAAGCCTCGAAGAGATTCCTGAGGTGTCCCTCGTTACTAGACAGGAGTCCTGACGTCACTTAATAAACACGGGTTTTGAAGGGCCATCCCCGCCGTAAGTCGAGAACATAACCCAGGTGCCCGCCGCACCTCGAGAAAAACCATGAGATTTACCCCTAGAGGCGAAATGAGTCCCCATTCCCCTGCAGTGCATGCAGAGCTATTCCGTGATCCCATTCAAACAAGTCAGGACCTTCGACTTGCTTAATGCATCTCGACACAGTCCCCAAGAACACTGTCTCCAGTCTAGACGGACCCTGAGGTCCCCCAGCATCGCAAAGCAGCACCATGTGCCCCAAATCAACTCGAGATGAGGCCCGATTCCCCTGCATTGACTCCAGAGCCATTCCCCGTTCCCCATTCAACAGGACCGGTGGCTCGACTTCCTTCAGGCAACTCCAGAGATGCCCCGAGAACACTGTCCCAAGTCTAGAGGAACACCAACTTCAGCACAGCAACTCGAGTAATGCTCCGTGCACCCCAAATCCTCTCGAGATGAGAGCTGATTCCCTGGCTTAGGCACAAGACGTATGCCAACTTTCCAGAAGAACCTCAAGAGGAGGCTTCTCTAAGCAATAGGTATGTGGAAGGGACCCCGAGTTTGCTGTCTCAAGGGGAATATACAGCAAGAAGCCCGAACTTGAAAGGAGGCTGGATTTTCTTGCAGTGGCTTGAATACAGGCTCTTCTTTCATCTCACAACATGAAGGGATGTCTGAATCCCCTGTGGAGAACTTAGAGAAAGCCCTAGGTCCCTGCCTCATTTTGACGGAATGCCTCACATCCCGTTGACACCTCGAGAGGCACGCTTAGTTCATTGCTTCAAAAGGTGACGATGCCTGACTCCTCTTGAATAGTGATAGGAATCCCAAAATCCCTGTGGCTACTGGAAAGGGTCCTTGGGTGCCCTGCTTCACCTCGAGAAACGTCCCTTTTGCCCTGCCAAGCCTCGAAGAGATTCCTGAGGTGTCCCTCGTTACTAGACAGGAGTCCTGATGTTACTGAAGAAACTCGTGTTTTGAAGGGCCATCCCCGCCGTAAGTCGAGAACATACCCCAGGTCCCCGCCGCAACTCGAGAAAAACCATGAGACTTCCCCCTAGAGGCGAGATGAGGCCCCATTCCCTTGCAGTGCATGCAGAGCTATTCCGTGATCCCATTCAAACAAGTCAGGAGCTCCGACTTGCTTAATGGATCTCGAGACAGTCCCAAGAACACTGTCAGCAGTCTAGACGGACCCTGAGGTCACCCCAGCAACGCAAAGCAGCTCCATGTGCCCCAAATCAACTCGAGATGAGGCCTGATTCCCCTGCATTGACTCCAGAGCCATTCCCCGTTCTATATTCAACACGACCGGTGGCTCGACTTCCTTCAGGCAACTCCAGAGATGCCCCGAGAACACTGTCCCAAGTCTAGAGGAACACCAACTTCAGCACCACAACTCGAGGAATGCTCCGTGTACCCCAAATCTTCTCGAGATGAGAGCTGATTCCCTGGCTTAGGCTCAAGACGTAGGCCAACTTTCCAGAAGCACCTCAGGAGGAGGCTTCTCTCAGCAATAGGTATGTGGGAGGGACCCCGAGTTTGCTGCCTCAAGGGGAATATACAGCGAGAAGCCCTAACTTGAAAGGAGGCCGGATTTCCTTGCAGTGGCTTGAATACAGGCTCGTCTTTCATCTCACAACATGAAGGGATGTCTGAATCCCCTGTGGAGACCTTAGAGAAAGCCCTAGGTCCCTGCCTCCTTTTGACGGAATGCCTCACATCCCGCTGACACCTCGAGAGGCACGCGGAGTTCATTGCTTCAAAAGGTGACGATGCCTGACTCCTCTTGAATACAGATAGGAATCCCAAAATCCCTGTGGCTACTGGAAAGGGTCCTTGGGTGCCCTGCCTCACCTCGAGAAGCGTCCCTTTTGCCCTGCCAAGCCTCGAAGAGATTCCTGAGGCGACCCTCGTTACTAGAGAGGAGTCCTGCCGTCACTGAAGAAACTCGTGTTTTGAAGGGCCATCCCCGCTGTAAGTCGAGAACATATCCCAGGTCCCCGCCGCAACTCGAGAAAAACCATGAGACTTCCCCCTAGAGGCGAGAAGAGGCCCCATTCCCCTTCAGTGCATGCAGAGCTATTCCGTGATCCCATTCAAACAAGTCAGGAGCGTCGACTTGCTTAATGGATCTCGAGACAGTCCCCAAGAACACTGTCACCTGTTTAGACGGACCCTGAGGTCAACCCAGCAATGCAAAGCAGCTCCATGTGCCCCAAATGAACTCGAGATGAGGCCCGATTCCCCTGCATTGACTCCAGAGCCATTCCCCATTCCCCATTCAACACGACCCGTGGCTCGACTTCCTTCAGGCAACTCCAGAGATGCCCCGAGAACACTGTCCCAAGTCTAGAGGAACACCAACTTCAGCACAGCAACTCGAGGAATGCTCCGTGTACCCCAAATCGTCTCGAGATGAGAGCTGATTCCCTGGCTTAGGCTCAAGACGTATGCCAACTTTCCAGAAGCACCTCAATAGGAGGCTTCTCTCAGCAATAGGTATGTGGGAGGGACCCCGAGTTTGCTGCCTCAAGGGGAATATACAGCGAGAAGCCCTAACTTGAAAGGAGGCTGGATTTCCTTGCAGTGGCTTGAATACAGGCTCGTCTTTCATCTCACAACATGAAGGGATATCTGATTCCCCTGTGCAGACCTTAGAGAAAGCCCTAGGTCCCTGCCTCATTTTGACGGAATGCCTCACATCCCGCTGACACCTCTAGAGGCACGCAGAGTTCATTGCTTCAAAAGGTGACGATGCCTGACTCCTCTTGAATACTGATAGGAATCCCAAAATCACTGTGGCTACTGGAAAGGGTCCTTGGGTGCCCTGCCTGACCTCGAGAAGCGTCCCTTTTGCCCTGCCAAGCCTCGAAGAGATTCCTGAGGTGTCCCTCGTTACTAGACAGGAGACCTGAGGTCACTGAAGAAACTCGTGTTTTGAAGCGCCATCCCCGCCGTAAGTCGAGAACATACCCCAGGTCCCCGCCGCAACTCGAGAAAAACCATGAGACTTCCCCCTAGAGGCGAGATGAGGCCCCATTCCAATGCAGTGCATGCAGAGCTCTTCCGTGATCCCATTCAAAGAAGTCAAGAGCTTCGACTTGCTTAATGGATCTCGAGACAGTCCCCAAGAACACTGTCACCAGTCTAGACGGACCCTGAGGTCACCCCAGCAAAGCAAAGCAGCTCCATGTGCCCCAAATCAACTCGAGATGACGCCGGATTCCCCTGCATTGACTCCAGAGCCATTCCCCGTTCCCCATTCAACAGGACCGGTGGCTCCACTTCCTTCAGGCAACTCCAGAGATGCCCGGAGAACACTGTCCCAAGTCTAGAGGAACACCAACTTCACCACAGCAACTCTAGGAATGCTCCGTGTACCACAAATCGTCTCGAGATGAGAGCTGATTGCCTAGCTTAGGTTCAAGGCGTATGCCAACTTTCCAGAAGCACCTCAGGAGGAGGCTTCTCTCAGCAATAGGTATGTGGGAGGGACCCCGATTTTGCTGCCTCAAGGGGAATATACAGCGAGAAGCCCTAACTTGAAAGGAGGCCGGATTTCCTTGCAGTGGCTTGAATACAGGCTCATCTTTCATCTCACAACATGAAGGGATGTCTGAATCCCCTGGGGAGACCATAGACAAAGCCCAAGGTCCCTGCCTCATTTTGACGGAATGCCTCACATCCCGCTGACACCACGAGAGGCACGCAGATTTCACTGCTTCAAAAGGTGACGATGCGTGACTCCTCTTGAATAGTTATAGGAATCCCAAAATCCCTGTGGCTACTGGAAAAGGTCCTTGGGTGCCCTGCCTCGCCTCGAGAAGCGTCCCTTTTGCCCTGCCAAGCCTCGAAGAGATTCCTGAGGTGTCCCTCGTTACTAGACAGGAGTCCTGACGTCACTGAAGAAACTCGTGTTTTGAAGGGCCATCCCCGCCGTAAGTCGAGAACATACCCCAGGTCCCCGCCGCAACTCGAGAAAAACCATGAGACTTCCCCCTAGAGGCGAGTTGAGGCCCCATTCCCCTGCAGTGCATGCAGAGATATTCCGTGATCCCATTCAAAGAAGTGAGGAGCTTCGACTTGCTCAATGGATCTCGAGACAGTCCGCAAGAACACTGTCACCAGTCTAGACGGACCCTGAGGTCACCCCAGCAACGCAAAGCAGCTCCATGTGCCCCAAATCAACGCGAGATGAGCCCCGATTCCCCTGCATTGACTCCAGAGCCATTCCCCGTTCCCCATTCAACACGACCGGTGGCTCGACTTCCTTCAGGCAACTCCAGAGATGCCCGGAGAACACTGTCCCAGGCCTATAGGAACACCAACTTCAGCACAGCAACTCGAGGAATGCTCCGTGTACCCCAAATCGTCTCGAGATGAGAGCTGATTCCCTGGCTTAGGCTCAAGACATATGCCAACTTTCCAGAAGCACCTCAGGAGGAGGCTTCTCTCAGCAATAGGTATGTGGGAGGGACCCCGAGTTTGCTGCCTCAAGGGGAATATACATCGAGAAGCCCTAACTTGAAAGGAGGCCGGATTTCCTTGCAGTGGCTTGACTACAGGCTCGTCTTTCATCTCACAACATGAAGGGATGTCTGAATCCCCTGTGGAGACCTTAGAGAAAGCCCTAGTTCCCTGCCTCATTTTGACGGAATGCCTCACATCCCGTTGACACCTCGAGAGGCATGCGGAGTTCATTGCTTCAGAATGTGACGATGCCTGACTCCTCTTGAATACTGATAGGAATCCCAAAATCCCTGTGGCTACTGGAAAGGGTCCCTGGGTGCCCTGCCTCACGTCGAGAAGCGTCCCTTTTGCCCTGCCAAGCCTCAAAGAGAGTCCTGAGGTGTCCCTCGTTACTAGACAGGAGTCCTGACGTCACTCATGAAACTCGTGTTTTGAAGGGCCATCCCCGCCGTAACTCGAGAACATACCCCAGGTCCCCGCCGCAACTCGAGAAAAACCATGAGACTTCCCCCTAAAGGCGAGATGTGGCCCCATTCCCCTGCAGTCCATGCAGAGCTATTCCGTGATCCCATTCAAACAAGTCAGGAGCGTCGACTTGCTTAATGGATCTCGAGACAGTCCCCAAGAACACTGTCACCAGTCTAGACGGACGCTGAGGTCACCACAGCAACGCAAAGCAGCTCCATGTGCCCCAAATCAAGTCGAGATTAGGCCCGATTTCCCTGCATTGACTCCAGAGCCATTCCCCGTTCCCCATTCAACACGACCGGTGGCTCGACTTCCTTCAGGCAACTCCAGAGATGCCCGGAGAACACTGTCCCAAGTCTAGAGGAACACCAACCTCAGCACAGCAACTCGAGGAATGCTCCGTGTACCCCAAATCGTCTCGAGATGAGAGCTGATTCCCTGGCTTAGGCTCAAGGCGTATGCCAACTTTCCAGAAGCACCTCAGGAGGAGGCTTCTCACAGCAATAGGTATGTGGGAGGGACCCCGAGTTTGCTGCCTCAAGGGGAATATACAGCGAGAAGCCCTAACTTGAAAGGAGGCTGGATTTCCTTGCAGTGGCTTGAATACAGGCTCGTCTTTTATCTCACAACATGACGGGATGTCTGAATCCCCGGTGGAGACCTTAGAGAAAGCCCTAGGTCCCTGCCTCATTTTGACGGAATGCCTCACATCCCGCTGACGCCTCGAGAGGCACGCGGAGTTCATTGCTTCAAAAGGGGACAATGCCTGACTCCTCTTGAATACTGATAGGAATCCCAAAATCCCTGTGGCTACTGGAAAGGGTCCGTGGGTGCCCTGCCTGACCTCGAGAAGCGTCCCTTTTGCCCTGCCAAGCCTCGAAGAGAGTCCTGAGGTGTCCCTCGTTACTAGACAGGAGTCCTGACGTCACTGAAGAAACTCGTGTTTTGAAGGGCCATCCCCGCCGTAAGTCGAGAACATACTCCAGGTCCCGGCCGCAACTCGAGAAAAACCATGAGACTTCCCCCTAGAGGCGAGATGAGGCCCCATTCCCCTGCAATGCATGCAGAGCTATTCCGTGATCGCATTCAAACAAGTCAGGAGCTCCGACTTGCTTAATGGATCTCGAGACAGTCCCCAAGAACACTGTCGTCTGTCTAGACAGACCCTGGGGTCACCCCAGCAACGCAAAGCAGCACCATGTGCCCCAAATCAACTCGAGAAGAGGCCCGATTCCCCTGCATTGACTCCAGAGCCATTCCCGGTTCCCCATTCAACAGGACCGGTGGCTCGACTTCCTTCAGGCAACTCCAGAGATGCCCCGAGAACACTGTCCCAAGTCTAGAGGAACACCAACTTCAGCACAGCAACTCGAGGAATGCTCCGTGTACCCCAAATCGTCTCGAGATGAGAGCTGATTCCCGGGCTTAGGCTCAAGACGTATGCCAACTTTCCAGAAGCACCTCAGGAGGAGGCTTCTCTCAGCAATAGGTATGTGGGTGGGACCCCGAGTTTGCTGCCTCAAGGGGAATATACAGCGAGAAGCCCTAACTTCAAAGGAGGCCGAATTTCCTTGCAGTGGCTTGAATACAGGCTCGTCTTTCATCTCACAACATGAAGGGATGACTGAATCCCCTGTGGAGACCTTAGAGAAAGCCCTAGGTCCCTGCCTCATTTTGACGGAATGCCTCACATCCCGCTGACACCTCGAGAGGCACGCGGAGTTCATTGCTTCAAAAGGTGACGATGCCTGACTCCTCTTGAATACTGATAGGAATCCCAAAATCCCTATGGCTACTGGAAAGGGTCCTTGGGTGCCCTGCCTCACCTCGAGAAGCGTCCCTTTTGCCCTGCCAAGCCTTGATGAGATTCCTGAGGTGTCCCTCGTTACTAGACAGGAGACCTGACGTCACTGAAGAAACTCGTGTTTTGAAGCGCCATCCCCGCCGTAAGTCGAGAACATACCCCAGGTCCCCGCCGCAACTCGAGAAAAACCATGAGACTTCCCCCTAGAGGCGAGATGAGGCCCCATTCCCCTGCAGTGCATGCAGAGCTCTTCCGTGATCCCATTCAAAGAAGTCAAGAGCTTCGACTTGCTTAATGGATCTCGAGACAGTCCCCAAGAATACAGTCACCAGTCTAGACGGACCCTGAGGTCACCCCAGCAACGCAAAGCAGCTCCATGTGCCCCAAATCAAATCGAGATGAGGCCGGATTCCCCTGCATTGACTCCAGAGCCATTCCCCGTTCCCCATTCAACACGACCGGTGGCTCGACTTCCTTCAGGCAAATCCAGAGATTCCCGGAGAACACTGTCCCAAGTCTAGAGGAACACCAACTTCAGCACAGCACCTCTAGGAATGCTCCGTGTACGCCAAATCATCTCGAGATGAGAGCTGATTGCCTAGCTTAGGTTCAAGGCGTATGCCAACTTTCCAGAAGCACCTCAGGAGGAGGCTTCTCTCAGCAATAGGTATGTGGGAGGGACCCCGATTTTGCTGCCTCAAGGGGAATATGCAGCGAGAAGCCCTAACTTGAAAGGAGGCCGGATTTCCTTGCAGTGGCTTGAATACAGGCTCATCTTTCATCTCACAACATGAAGGGATGTCTGAATCCCCTGGGCAGACCATAGACAAAGCCCTAGGTCCCTGCCTCATTTTGACAGAATGCCTCACATTCCGCTGACACCACGAGAGGCACGCGGAGTTCACTGCTTCAAAAGGTGACGATGCGTGACTCCTCTTGAATACTGATAGGAATCCCAAAATCCCTGTGGCTACAGGAAAGGGTCCTTGGGTGCCCTGCCTCGCCTCGAGAAGCGTCCCTTTTGCCCTGCCAAGCCTCGAAGAGATTCCTGAGGTGTCCCTCGTTACTAGACAGGAGTCCTGACGTCACTGAAGAAACTCGTGTTTTGAAGGGCCATCCCCGCCGTAAGTCGAGAACATACCCCAGGTCCCCGCCGGAACTCGAGAAAAACCATGAGACTTCCCCCTAGAGGCGAGATGAGGCCCCATTCCAATGCAGTGCATGCAGAGCTATTCCGTGATCCCATTCAAACAAGTGAGGAGCTTCGACTTGCTTAATGGATCTCGAGACAGTCCGCAAGAACACTGTCACCAGTCTAGACGGACCCTGAGGTCACCCCAGCAACGCAAAGCAGCTCCATGTGCCCCAAATCAACGTGAGATGAGCCCCGATTCCCCTGCATTGACTCCAGAGCCATTCCCCGTTCCCCATTCAACACGACCGGTGGCTCGACTTCCTTCAGGCAACTCCAGAGATGCCCGGAGAACACTGTCCCAAGCCTAGAGGAACACCAACTTCAGCACAGCAACTCGAGGAATGCTCCGTGTACCCCAAATCGTCTCGAGATGAGAGCTGATTCCCTGGCTTAGGCTCAAGACATATGCCAACTTTCCAGAAGCACCTCAGGAGGAGGCTTCTCTCAGCAATAGGTATGTGGGAGGGACCCCGAGTTTGCTGCCTCAAGGGGAATATACATCGAGAAGCCCTAACTTGAAAGGAGGCCGGATTTCCTTGCAGTGGCTTGACTACAGGCTCGTCTTTCATCTCACAACATGAAGGGATGTCTGAATCCCCTGTGGAGACCTTAGAGAAAGCCCTAGTTCCCTGCTTCATTTTGACGGAATGCCTCACATCCCGTTGACACCTCGTGAGGCATGCGGAGTTCATTGCTTCAGAATGTGACGATGCCTGACTCCTCTTGAATACTGATAGGAATCCCAAAGTTCCTTTGGCTACTGGAAAGGGTCCTTGGGTGCCCTGCCTCACTCGAGAAGTGTCCCTTTTGCCCTGCCAAGCCTCGATGAGATTCCTGAGGTGTCCCTCGTTACTAGACAGGGGTCGTGACGTCACTGAAGAAACTCATGTTTTCAAGGGCCATCCCCGCCGTAAGTCGAGAACATACCCCAGGTCCCTGCCGCACCTCGAGAAAAACCATGAGACTTCCCCCTAGAGTCGAAATGAGGCCCCATTCCCCTGCAGTGCATGCAGAGCTATTCCGTGATCCCATTCAAACAAGTCAGGAACTTCGACTTGCTTAATGCATCTCGACACAGTCCCCAAGAACACTGTCTCCAGTCTAGATGGACCCTGAGGTCACACCAGCAACGCAAAGCAGCTCCATGTGCCCCAAATCTACTCGAGATGAGGCCCGATTCCCCTCCATTGCCTCCAGAGCCATTCCCCGTTCCCCATTCAACACGACCGGTCGCTCGACTTCCTTCAGGCAAGTCCAGAGATGCCCCGAGAACACTGTCCCAAGTCTAGAGGAACACCAACTTCAGCACAGCAACTCGAGTAATGCTCCGTGTACCCCAAATCGTCTCGAGATGAGAGCTGATTCCCTGGCTTAGGCACAAGACGTATGCCAACTTTCCAGAAGAACCTCAAGAGGAGGCTTCTGTCAGCAATATGTATGTGGAAGGGACTCCGAGTTTGCTGTCTCAAGGGGAATATACAGCAAGAAGCCCGAACTTGAATGGAGGCTGGATTTTCTTGCAGTGGCTTGAATACAGGCTCTTCTTTCATCTCACAACATGAAGGGATGTCTGAATCCCCTGTGGAGAATTTAGAGAAAGCCCTAGGTCCCTGCCTCATTTTGACGGAATGCCTCACATCCCGTTTACACCTCGAGAGGCACGCGGAGTTCATTGCTTCAAAAGGTGACGATGCCTGACTCCTCTTGAATACTGATAGGAATCCCAAAATCCCTGTGGCTACTGGAAAGGGTCCTTGGGTGCACTGCCTCACCTCGAGAAGCGTCCCTTTTGCCCTGCCAAGCCTCGAAGAGATTCCTGAGGTGTCCCTCGTTACTAGACAGGAGTCCTGACGTCACTTAATAAAAACGGGTTTTGAAGGGCCATCCCCGCCGTAAGTCGAGAACATAACCCAGGTGCCCGCCGCACCTCGAGAAAAACCATGAGATTTACCCCTAGAGGCGAAATGAGTCCCCATTCCCCTGCAGTGCATGCAGAGCTATTCCGTGATCCCATTCAAACAAGTCAGGACCTTCGACTTGCTTAATGCATCTCGACACAGTCCCCAAGAACACTGTCTCCAGTCTAGACGGACCCTGAGGTCCCCCAGCATCGCAAAGCAGCACCATGTGCCCCAAATCAACTCGAGATGAGGCCCGATTCCCCTGCATTGACTCCAGAGCCATTCCCCGTTCCCCATTCAACAGGACCGGTGGCTCGACTTCCTTCAGGCAACTCCAGAGATGCCCCGAGAACACTGTCCCAAGTCTAGAGGAACACCAACTTCAGCACAGCAACTCGAGTAATGCTCCGTGCACCCCAAATCGTCTCGAGATGAGAGCTGATTCCCTGGCTTAGGCACAAGACGTATGCCAACTTTCCAGAAGAACCTCAAGAGGAGGCTTCTCTAAGCAATAGGTATGTGGAAGGGACACCGAGTTTGCTGTCTCAAGGGGAATATACAGCAAGAAGCCCGAACTTGAAAGGAGGCTGGATTTTCTTGCAGTGGCTTGAATACAGGCTCTTCTTTCATCTCACAACATGAAGGGATGTCTGAATCCCCTGTGGAGAACTTAGAGAAAGCCCTAGGTCCCTGCCTCATTTTGACGGAATGCCTCACATCCCGTTGACACCTCGAGAGGCACGCTTAGTTCATTGCTTCAAAAGGTGACGATGCCTGACTCCTCTTGAATAGTGATAGGAATCCCAAAATCCCTGTGGCTACTGGAAAGGGTCCTTGGGTGCCCTGCTTCACCTCGAGAAATGTCCCTTTTGCCCTGCCAAGCCTCGAAGAGATTCCTGAGGTGTCCCTCGTTACTAGACAGGAGTCCTGATGTTACTGAAGAAACTCGTGTTTTGAAGGGCCATCCCCGCCGTAAGTCGAGAACATACCCCAGGTCCCCGCCGCAACTCGAGAAAAACCATGAGACTTCCCCCTAGAGGCGAGATGAGGCCCCATTCCCTTGCAGTGCATGCAGAGCTATTCCGTGATCCCATTCAAACAAGTCAGGAGCTCCGACTTGCTTAATGGATCTCGAGACAGTCCCAAGAACACTGTCACCAGTCTAGACGGACCCTGAGGTCACCCCAGCAACGCAAAGCAGCTCCATGTGCCCCAAATCAACTCGAGATGAGGCCTGATTCCCCTGCATTGACTCCAGAGCCATTCCCCGTTCTCCATTCAACACGACCGGTGGCTCGACTTCCTTCAGGCAACTCCAGAGATGCCCCGAGAACACTGTCCCAAGTCTAGAGGAACACCAACTTCAGCACCACAACTCGAGGAATGCTCCGTGTACCCCAAATCTTCTCGAGATGAGAGCTGATTCCCTGGCTTAGGCTCAAGACGTAGGCCAACTTTCCAGAAGCACCTCAGGAGGAGGCTTCTCTCAGCAATAGGTATGTGGGAGGGACCCCGAGTTTGCTGCCTCAAGGGGAATATACAGCGAGAAGCCCTAACTTGAAAGGAGGCCGGATTTCCTTGCAGTGGCTTGAATACAGGCTCGTCTTTCATCTCACAACATGAAGGGATGTCTGAATCCCCTGTGGAGACCTTAGAGAAAGCCCTAGGTCCCTGCCTCCTTTTGACGGAATGCCTCACATCCCGCTGACACCTCGAGAGGCACGCGGAGTTCATTGCTTCAAAAGGTGACGATGCCTGACTCCTCTTGAATACAGATAGGAATCCCAAAATCCCTGTGGCTACTGGAAAGGGTCCTTGGGTGCCCTGCCTCACCTCGAGAAGCGTCCCTTTTGCCCTGCCAAGCCTCGAAGAGATTCCTGAGGCGACCCTCGTTACTAGAGAGGAGTCCTGCCGTCACTGAAGAAACTCGTGTTTTGAAGGGCCATCCCCGCTGTAAGTCGAGAACATATCCCAGGTCCCCGCCGCAACTCGAGAAAAACCATGAGACTTCCCCCTAGAGGCGAGAAGAGGCCCCATTCCCCTTCAGTGCATGCAGAGCTATTCCGTGATCCCATTCAAACAAGTCAGGAGCGTCGACTTGCTTAATGGATCTCGAGACAGTCCCCAAGAACACTGTCACCTATTTAGACGGACCCTGAGGTCAACCCAGCAATGCAAAGCAGCTCCATGTGCCCCAAATGACCTCGAGATGAGGCCCGATTCCCCTGCATTGACTCCAGAGCCATTCCCCATTCCCCATTCAACACGACCCGTGGCTCGACTTCCTTCAGGCAACTCCAGAGATGCCCCGAGAATACTGTCCCAAGTCTAGAGGAACACCAACTTCAGCACAGCAACTCGAGGAATGCTCCGTGTACCCCAAATCGTCTCGAGATGAGAGCTGATTCCCTGGCTTAGGCTCAAGACGTATGCCAACTTTCCAGAAGCACCTCAATAGGAGGCTTCTCTCAGCAATAGGTATGTGGGAGGGACCCCGAGTTTGCTGCCTCAAGGGGAATATACAGTGAGAAGCCCTAACTTGAAAGGAGGCCGGATTTCCTTGCAGTGGCTTGAATACAGGCTCATCTTTCATCTCACAACATGAAGGGATGTCTGAATCCCCTGGGGAGACCATAGACAAAGCCCAAGGTCCCTGCCTCATTTTGACGGAATGCCTCACATCCCGCTGACACCACGAGAGGCACGCAGATTTCACTGCTTCAAAAGGTGACGATGCGTGACTCCTCTTGAATAGTTATAGGAATCCCAAAATCCCTGTGGCTACTGGAAAAGGTCCTTGGGTGCCCTGCCTCGCCTCGAGAAGCGTCCCTTTTGCCCTGCCAAGCCTCGAAGAGATTCCTGAGGTGTCCCTCGTTACTAGACAGGAGTCCTGACGTCACTGAAGAAACTCGTGTTTTGAAGGGCCATCCCCGCTGTAAGTCGAGAACATACCCCAGGTCCCCGCCGCAACTCGAGAAAAACCATGAGACTTCCCCCTAGAGGCGAGTTGAGGCCCCATTCCCCTGCAGTGCATGCAGAGATATTCCGTGATCCCATTCAAACAAGTGAGGAGCTTCGACTTGCTCAATGGATCTCGAGACAGTCCGCAAGAACACTGTCACCAGTCTAGACGGACCCTGAGGTCACCCCAGCAACGCAAAGCAGCTCCATGTGCCCCAAATCAACGCGAGATGAGCCCCGATTCCCCTGCATTGACTCCAGAGCCATTCCCCGTTCCCCATTCAACACGCCCGGTGCCTGACTTCCTTCAGGCAACTCCAGAGATGCCCGGAGAACACTGTCCCAGGCCTATAGGAACACCAACTTCAGCACAGCAACTCGAGGAATGCTCCGTGTACCCCAAATCGTCTCGAGATGAGAGCTGATTCCCTGGCTTAGGCTCAAGACATATGCCAACTTTCCAGAAGCACCTCAGGAGGAGGCTTCTCTCAGCAATAGGTATGTGGGAGGGACCCCGAGTTTGCTGCCTCAAGGGGAATATACATCGAGAAGCCCTAACTTGAAAGGAGGCCGGATTTCCTTGCAGTGGCTTGACTACAGGCTCGTCTTTCATCTCACAACATGAAGGGATGTCTGAATCCCCTGTGGAGACCTTAGAGAAAGCCCTAGTTCCCTGCCTCATTTTGACGGAATGCCTCACATTCCGTTGACACCTCGAGAGGCATGCGGAGTTCATTGCTTCAGAATGTGACGATGCCTGACTCCTCTTGAATACTGATAGGAATCCCAAATTCCCTTTGGCTACTGGAAAGGGTCCTTGGGTGCCCTGCCTCACCTCGAGAAGCGTCCCTTTTGCCCTGCCAAGCCTCGAAGAGATTCCTGAGGTGTCCCTCGTTACTAGACCGGGGTCCTGACGTCACTGAAGAAACTCATGTTTTCAAGGGCCATCCCCGCCGTAAGTCGAGAACATACCCCAGGTCCCTGCCGCACCTCGAGAAAAACCATGAGACTTCCCCCTAAAGGCGAAATGAGGCCCCATTCAACTGCAGTGCATGCAGAGCTATTCCGTGATCCTATTCAAACAAGTCAGGAGCTTCGACTTGCTTAATGCATCTCGACAGAGTCCCCAAGAACACTGTGTCCAGTCTAGACGGACCCTGAGGTCACCCCAGAAATGCAAAGCAGATCCATGTGCCCCAAATCTACTCGAGATGAGGCCCGATTCCCCTGCATTGCCTCCAGAGTCATTCCCCGTTCCCCATTCAACACGACCGGTCGCTCGACTTCCTTCAGGCAACTCCAGAGATGCCCCGAGAACACTGTCCCAAGTCTAGAGGAACACCAACTTCAGCACAGCAACTCGAGTAATGCTCCGTGTACCCCAAATCGTCTCGAGATGAGAGCTGATTCCCTGGCTTAGGCACAAGACGTATGCCAACTTTCCAGAAGAACCTCAAGAGGAGGCTTCTGTCAGCAATATGTATGTGGAAGGGACCCCGAGTTTGCTGTCTCAAGGGGAATATACAGCAAGAAGCCCGAACTTGAATGGAGGCTGGATTTTCTTGCAGTGGCTTGAATACAGGCTCTTCTTTCATCTCACAACATGAAGGGATGTCTGAATCCCCTGTGAAGAACTTAGAGAAAGCCCTAGGTCCCTGCCTCATTTTGACGGAATGCCTCACATCCCGTTGACACCTCTAGAGGCACGCGGAGTTCATTGCTTCAAAAGGTGACGATGCCTGACTCCTCTTGAATACTGATAGGAATCCCAAAATCCCTGTGGCTACTGGAAAGGGTCCTTGGGTGCACTGCCTCACCTCGAGAAGCGTCCCTTTTGCCCTGCCAAGCCTCGAAGAGATTCCTGAGGTGTCCCTCGTTACTAGACAGGAGTCCTGACGTCACTTAATAAACACGGGTTTTGAAGGGCCATCCCCACCGTAAGTCGAGAACATAACCCAGGTGCCCGCCGCACCTCGAGAAAAACCATGAGACTTCCCCCTAGAGGCGAAATGAGTCCCCATTCCCCTGCAGTGCATGCAGAGCTATTCCGTGATCCCATTCAAACAAGTCAGGACCTTCGACTTGCTTAATGCATCTCGACACAGTCCCCAAGAACACTGTCTCCAGTCTAGACGGACCCTGAGGTCCCCCAGCATCGCAAAGCAGCACCATGTGCCCCAAATCAACTCGAGATGAGGCCCGATTCCCCTGCATTGACTCCAGAGCCATTCCCCGTTCCCCATTCAACAGGACCGGTGGCTCGACTTCCTTCAGGCAACTCCAGAGATGCCCCGAGAACACTGTCCCAAGTCTAGAGGAACACCAACTTCAGCACAGCAACTCTAGTAATGCTCCGTGTACCCCACATCGTCTCGAGATGAGAGCTGATTCCCTGGCTTAGGCACAAGACGTATGCCAACTTTCCAGAAGAACCTCAAGAGGAGGCTTCTCTAAGCAATAGGTATGTGGAAGGGACCCCGAGTTTGCTGTCTCAAGGGGAATATACAGCAAGAAGCCCGAACTTGAATGGAGGCTGGATTTTCTTGCAGTGGCTTGAATACAGGCTCTTCTTTCATCTCACAACATGAAGGGATGTCTGAATCCCCTGTGGAGAACGTAGAGAAAGCCCTAGGTCCCTGCCTCATTTTGACGGAATGCCTCACATCCCGCTGACACCTCGAGAGGCACGCTTAGTTCATTGCTTCAAAAGGTGACGATGCCTGACTCCTCTTGAATAGTGATAGGAATCCCAAAATCCCTGTCGCTACTGGAAAGGGTCCTTGGGTGCCCTGCTTCACCTCGAGAAACGTCCCTTTTGCCCTGCCAAGCCTCGAAGAGATTCCTGAGGTGTCCCTCGTTACTAGACAGGAGTCCTGATGTTACTGAAGAAACTCGTGTTTTGAAGGGCCATCCCCGCCGAAGTCGAGAACATACCCCAGGTCCCCGCCGCAACTCGAGAAAAACCATGAGACTTCCCCCTAGAGGCGAGATGAGGCCCCATTCCCCTGCAGTGCATGCAGAGCTATTCCGTGATCCCATTCAAACAAGTCAGGAGCTCCAACTTGCTTAATGGATCTCGAGACAGTCCCAAGAACACTGTCACCAGTCTAGACGGACCCTGAGGTCACCCCAGCAACGCAAAGCAGCTCCATGTGCCCCAAATCAACTCGAGATGAGGCCCGATTCCCCTGCATTGACTCCAGAGCCATTCCCCGTTCTCCATTCAACACGACCGGTGGCTCGACTTCCTTCAGGCAACTCCAGAGATGCCCCGAGGACACTGTCCCAAGTCTAGAGGAACACCAACTTCAGCACCACAACTCGAGGAATGCTCCGTGTACCCCAAATCTTCTCGAGATGAGAGCTGATTCCCTGGCTTAGGCTCAAGACGTAGGCCAACTTTCCAGAAGCACCTCAGGAGGAGGCTTCTCTCAGCAATAGGTATGTGGGAGGGACCCCGAGTTTGCTGCCTCAAGGGGAATATACAGCGAGAAGCCCTAACTTGAAAGGAGGCCGGATTTCCTTGCAGTGGCTTGAATACAGGCTCGTCTTTCATCTCACAACATGAAGGGATGTCTGAATCCCCTGTGGAGACCTTAGAGAAAGCCCTAGGTCCCTGCCTCCTTTTGACGGAATGCCTCACATCCCGCTGACACCTCGAGAGGCACGCGGAGTTCATTGCTTCAAAAGGTGACGATGCCTGACTCCTCTTGAATACAGATAGGAATCCCAAAATCCCTGTGGCTACTGGAAAGGGTCCTTGGGTGCCCTGCCTCACCTCGAGAAGCGTCCCTTTTGCCCTGCCAAGCCTCGAAGAGATTCCTGATGTGACCCTCGTTACCAGACAGGAGTCCTGCCGTCACTGAAGAAACTCGTGTTTTGAAGGGCCATCCCCGCCGTAAGTCGAGAACATATCCCAGGTCCCCGCCGCAACTCGAGAAAAACCATGAGACTTCCCCCTAGAGGCGAGAAGAGGCCCCATTCCCCTTCAGTGCATGCAGAGCTATTCCGTGATCCCATTCAAACAAGTCAGGAGCGTCGACTTGCTTAATGGATCTCGAGACAGTCCCCAAGAACACTGTCACCTGTTTAGACGGACCCTGAGGTCAACCCAGCAATGCAAAGCAGCTCCATGTGCCCCAAATGAACTCGAGATGAGGCCCTATTCCCCTGCATTGACTCCAGAGCCATTCCCCGTTCCCCATTCAACACGCCCCTTGGCTCGACTTCCTTCAGGCAACTCCAGAGATGCCCCGAGAACACTGTCCCAAGTCTAGAGGAACACCAACTTCAGCACAGCAACTCGAGGAATGCTCCGTGTACCCCAAATCGTCTCGAGATGAGAGCTGATTCCCTGGCTTAGGCTCAAGACGTATGCCAACTTTCCAGAAGCACCTCAATAGGAGGCTTCTCTCAGCAATAGGTATGTGGGAGGGACCCCGAGTTTGCTGCCTCAAGGGGAATATACAGCGAGAAGCCCTAACTTGAAAGGAGGCTGGATTTCCTTGCAGTGGCTTGAATACAGGCTCGTCTTTCATCTCACAACATGAAGGGATATCTGAATCCCCTGTGCAGACCTTAGAGAAAGCCCTAGGTCCCTGCCTCATTTTGACGGAATGCCTCACATCCCGCTGACACCTCTAGAGGCACGCAGAGTTCATTGCTTCAAAAGGTGACGATGCCTGACTCCTCTTGAATACTGATAGGAATCCCAAAATCACTGTGGCTACTGGAAAGGGTCCTTGGGTGCCCTGCCTGACCTCGAGAAGCGTCCCTTTTGCCCTGCCAAGCCTCGAAGAGATTCCTGAGGTGTCCCTCGTTACTAGACAGGAGACCTGACGTCACTGAAGAAACTCGTGTTTTGAAGCGCCATCCCCGCCGTAAGTCGAGAACATACCCCAGGTCCCCGCCGCAACTCGAGAAAAACCATGAGACTTCCCCCTAGAGGCGAGATGAGGCCCCATTCCCCTGCAGTGCATGCAGAGCTCTTCCGTGATCCCATTCAAAGAAGTCAAGAGCTTCGACTTGCTTAATGGATCTCGAGACAGTCCCCAAGAATACTGTCACCAGTCTAGACGGACCCTGAGGTCACCCCAGCAACGCAAAGCAGCTCCATGTGCCCCAAATCAACTCGAGATGAGGCCGGATTCCCCTGCATTGACTCCAGAGCCATTCCCCATTCCCCATTCAACACGACCGGTGGCTCGACTTCCTTCAGGCAACTCCAGAGATGCCCGGAGAACACTGTCCCAAGTCTAGAGGAACACCAACTTCAGCACAGCAACTCGAGGTATGCTCCGTGTACCCCAAATCGTCTCGCGATGAGAGCTGATTCCATGGCTTAGGCTCAAGACGTATGCCAACTTTCCAGAAGCACCTCAGGAGGAGGCTTCTCTCAGCAATAGGTATGTGGAAGAGACCCCGAGTTTGTTGCCTCAAGGGGAATATACAACGAGAATCCCTAACTTGAAAGGAGGCCGGATTTCCTTGCAGTGGCTTGAATACAGGCTCGTCTTTCATCTCACAACATGAAGGGATGTCTGAATCCCCTGAGGAGACCTTAGAGAAAGCCCTAGGTCCCTGCCTCATTTTGACGGAATACCTCACATCCAGCTGACACCTCGAGAGGCACGTGGAGTTCATTGCTTCAAAAGGTGACGATGCCTGACTCCTCGTGAATACTGATAGGAATCCCAAAACCCTTGTGGCTACTGGATAGGGTCCTTGGGTGCCCTGCCTCACCTCGAGAAGCGTCCCTTTTGCCCTGCCAAGCCTCGAAGAGATTCCTGAGGTGTCCCTCGTTACTAGACAGGAGTCCTGACGTCACTGAAGAAACTCGTGTTTTGAAGGGCCATCCCCGCCGTAAGTCGAGAACATACCCCAGGTCCTCGCCGCAACTCGGAAAAACCATGAGACTTCCCCCTAGAGGCGAAATGAGTCCCCATTCCCCTGCAGTGCATGCAGAGCTATTCCGTGATCCCATTCAAACAAGTCAGGAGCTTCGACTTGCTTAATGGATCTCGAGACAGCCCCCAAGAACACTGTCAACAGTCTAGACGGACCCTGAAGTCACCCCAGCAACGCAAAGCTGCTCCATGTGCCCGAAATCAACTCGTGTTGAGGCCCGATTCCCCTGCATTGCCTCCAGAGCCATTCCCCGTTCCCCATTCAACATGACCGGTGGCTCGACTTCCTTTAGGCAACTCCAGAGATGCCCCGAGAACACTGTCCCAAGTCTAGAGGAACACCAACTTCAGCACAGCACCTCGAGGAATGCTCCTTGTACCCGAAATCGTCTCGCGATGAGAGCTGAATCCCTGGCCTCGGCTCAAGACGTATGCCAACTTTCCGGAAGCACCTCAGGAGGAGGCTTCTCTCAGCAATAGGTATGTGGAAGAGACCCCTAGTTTGCTGCCTCAAGGGGAATAAACAGCGAGAAGCCCTAACTTGAAAGGAGGCCGGATTTCCTTGCAGTGGCTTGACTACAGGTTCCTCTTTCATCTCACAACATGAAGGGATGTCTGAATCCCCTGTGGATACCTGAGAGAAAGCCCTAGGTCCCTGCCTCATTTTGACGGAATGCCTCACATCCCGTTGACACCTCGAGAGGCATGTGGAGTTCATTGCTTCAAAAGGTGACGATGCCTGACTCCTCTTGAATACTGATAGGAATCCCAAAATCCTTGTGGCTACTGGAAAGGGTCCTTGGGGGCCTGCCTCACCTCGAGAAGCGTCCCTTTTTCCCTGCCAAGCCTCGAAGAGATTCCTGAGGTGTCCCTCGTTACTAGAAAGGAGTCCTGAGGTCACTGAGGTAACTCGTGTTTTGAAGGGCCATCCCCGCCGTAAGTCGAGAACTTACCGCAGGTCCTCGCCGCAACTAGAGAAAAACCATGAGACTTCCCCCTAGAGGCGAGATGAGGCCCCATTCCCCTGCAGTGCATGCAGAGCTATTCCGTGATCCCATTCAAACAAGTCAGGAGCTTCGACTTGCTTAATGGATCTCGAGACAGTCCCCAAAAACACTGTCACCAGTCTAGACCAACCCTGAGGTCACCCCAGCAACGCAAAGCAGCTCCATGTGCCTCAAATCAACTCGAGATGAGGCCCGATTCCCCTGCATTGCCTCCAGAGCCATTCCCCGTTCCCCATTCAACACGACCGGTGGCTCGACTTCCTTCAGGCAACTCGAGAGATGCCCCGAGAACACTGTTCCAAGTCTAGAGGAACACCAACTTCAGCACAGCAACTCGAGGAATGCTCCATGTACCACAAATCGTCTCCGGATGAGAGCTGATTCCCTGGCTTAGGCTCAAGACGTATGCCAACTTTCCAGAAGCACCTCAGGAGGAGGCTTCTCCCAGCAATAGGTATGTGAGAGGGACACCGAGATCGCTGCCTCAAGTGGAATATACAGCGAAAAGCCCTAACTTGAAAGGAGGCCGGATTTCCTTGCAGTGGCTTGAACACAGGCTTGTCTTTGATCTCAAAACATGAAGGGATGTCTGAATCCCCTGTGGAGACCTTAGAGAAAGCCCTAGTTCCCTGCTTCATTTTGACGGCATGCCTCACATCCCTTTGACACCTCGAGAGGCACGCGGAGTTCATTGCTTCAAAAGGTGACGATGCCTGACTCCTCTTGAATACTGTTAGGAATCCCAAAATCTCTCTGGCTACTGGAAACGGTCCTTGGGTGCCCTGCCTCACCTCGAGAAGCGTCCCTTTTTCCCTGTCAATCCTCGAAGAGATTCCTGAAGTGTCCCTCGTTACTAGCCAGGAGTCCTGACGTCAGTGAAGAAACTCGTGTTTTGAAGGGCCATCCCCGCCGTAAGTCGAGAACATACCCCAGGTCCCTGCCGCAACTCGAGAAAAACCATGAGACTTCCCCCTAGAGGTGAGATGAGGCCCCATTCCCCTGCAGTGCATGCAGAGCTATTCCGTGATCCCATTCAAACAAGTCAGTCGCTTCGACTTGCTTAATGGATCTCGAGACAGTCCCCAAGAACACTGTCACCAATCTAGACGGACCCTGAGGTCACCCCAGCAACGCAGAGCAGCTCCATGTGCCCCAAATCAAACCGAGATGAGGCCCGATTCCCCTGCATTGACTCCAGAGCCATTCCCCATTTCCCATTTAACACGACCGGTGGCTCTACTTCCTTCCGGCAACTCGAGAGATGCCCCGAGAACACTGTCCCAAGTCTAGAGGAACAACAAGTTCAGCACAGCAACTCGAGGAATGCTCCGTGTACCCGAAATCGTCTCGAGATGAGAGTTGATTCCCTGGCTTAGGCTCAAGATGTATGCCAACTTTCCAGAAGCACCTCAGGAGGAGACTTCTCTCAGCAATAGGTATGTGGGAGGGACCCCGACATCGATGCCTCAAGTGGAATATACAGCGAGAAGCCCTAACTTGAAAGGAGGCCGGATTTCCTTGCAGTGGCTTGACTACAGGCTCGTCTTTCATCTCACAACATGAAGGGATGTCTGAATCCCCTCTGGAGACCTTAGAGAAAGCCCTAGGTCCCTGCCTCATTTTGACAGAATGCCTCACTTCCCGTTGACACATCGAGAGGCACGCGGAGTTCATTGCTTCTAAAGCTGACAATGCCTGACTCCTCTTGAATACTGATAGGAATCCCAAAATCCCTGTGGCTACTGGAAAGGGTCCTTGGGTGCCCTGCCTCACCTCGAGAAGCGTCCCTTTTGCCCTGCCAAGCCTCGAAGAGATTCTTGAGGTGTCCCTCGTTACTAGAGAGGAGTACTGACGTCACTTAATAAACACGGGTTTTGAAGGGCCATCCCCGCCGTAAGTCGAGAACATACCCCAGGTGCCCGCCGCACCTCGAGAAAAACCATGAGACTTCCCCCTAGAGGCGAGATGAGGCCCCATTCCCCTGCAGTGCATGCAGAGCTATTCCGTGATCCCATTCAAACAAGTCAGGAGCGTCGACTTGATTAATGGATCTCGAGACAGTCCCCAAGAACACTGTCACCTGTTTAGACGGACCCTGAGGTCAACCCAGCAACGCAAAGCAGCTCCATGCGCCCCAAATCAACTCGAGATGAGCCCCGATTCCCCTGCATTGACTCCAGAGCCATTCCCCGTTCCCCATTCAACACGACCGGTGGCTCGACTTCCTTCAGGCAACTCCAGAGATGCCCGGAGAACACTGTCCCAAGCCTAGAGGAACACCAACTTCAGCACAGCAACTCGAGGAATGCTCCGTGTACCCCAAATCGTCTCGAGATGAGAGCTGATTCCCTGGCTTAGGCACAAGACGTATGCCAACTTTCCAGAAGAACCTCAAGAGGAGGCTTCTGTCAGCAATATGTATGTGGAAGGGACCCCGAGTTTGCTGTCTCAAGGGGAATATACAGCAAGAAGCCCGAACTTGAATGGAGCCTGGATTTTCTTGCAGTGGCTTGAATACAGGCTCTTCTTTCATCTCACAACATGAAGGGATGTCTGAATCCCCTGTGGAGAACTTAGAGAAAGCCCTAGGTCCCTGCCTCATTTTGACGGAATGCCTCACATCCCGTTGACACCTCGAGAGGCACGCGGAGTTCATTGCTTCAAAAGGTGACGATGCCTGACTCCTCTTGAATACTGATAGGAATCCCAAAATCCCTGTGGCTACTGGAAAGGGTCCTTGGGTGCACTGCCTCACCTCGAGAAGCGTCCCTTTTGCCCTGCCAAGCCTCGAAGAGATTTCTGAGGTGTCCCTCGTTACTAGACAGGAGTCCTGACGTCACTTAATAAACACGGGTTTTGAAGGGCCATCCCCGCCGTAAGTCGAGAACATAACCCAGGTGCCCGCCGCACCTCGAGAAAAACCATGAGACTTCCCCTTAGAGGCGAAATGAGTCCCCATTCCCCTGCAGTGCATGCAGAGCTATTCTGTGATCCCATTCAAACAAGTCAGGACCTTCGACTTGCTTAATGCATCTCGACACAGTCCCCAAGAACACTGTCTCCAGTCTAGACGGACCCTGAGGTCCCCCAGCATCGCAAAGCAGCACCATGTGCCCCAAATCAACTCGAGATGAGGCCCGATTCCCCTGCATTGACTCCAGAGCCATTCCCCTTTCCCCATTCAACACGACCAGTGGCTCGACTTCCTTCAGGCAACTCCAGAGATGCCCCGAGAACACTGTCCCAAGTCTAGAGGAAACCAACTTCAGCACAGCAACTCGAGCAATGCTCCGTGTACCCCAAATCGTCTCGAGATGAGAGCTGATTCCCTCACTTAGGCTCAAGACGTATGCCAACTTTCCAGAAGCACCTCAAGAGGAGACTACTCTCAGCAATAGGTAAGTGGAAGGGACCCCGAGTTTGCTGCCTCAAGTGGAATATACAGCGAGAAGCCCTAACTTGAAAGGAGGCCAGATTTCCTTGCAGTGGCTTGAATACAGGCTCGTCTTTTATCTCAAAACATGAAGGGATGTCTGAATCCCCTGTGCAGACCTTAGAGAAAACCTAAGGTCCCTGCCTCATTTTGACGGAATGCCTCACATCCCGTTGACACCTCGAGAGGCACGCGGAGTTCATTGCTTCAAATGGTGACGATGCCTGACTCCTCTTGAATACTGATAGGAATCCCAAAACCCCTGTGGCTACTGGAAAGGGTCCTTGGGTGCCCTGCCTCACCTCGAGAAGCGTCGCTTTTGCCCTGCCAAGCCTCGAAGAGATTCCTGAGGTGTCCCTCGTTACTAGACAAGAGTCCTGACGTCACTGAAGAAACTCGTGTTTTGAAGGGCCATCCCGCCGTAAGTTGAGAACATATTCCAGGTCCCCGCCGCAACTCGAGAAAAACCATGAGACTTCCCCCTAGAGGCAAGATGAGGCCCCATTCCCCTGCAGTGCATGCAGAGCTATTCCGTGATCCCATTCAAACAAGTCAGGAGCTTCAACTTGCTTAATGGATCTCCAGACAGTCACCAAGAACACTGTCACCAGTCTAGACGGAAACTGAGGTCACCCCAGCAACACAAAGCAGTTCCATGTACCCCAAATCAAATCGAGATGAGGCCCGATCCCCTGCATTGACTCCAGAGCCATTCCCCGTTCTCCATTCAACACGACCGGTGGCTCGACTTCCTTCAGGCAACTCCAGAGATGCCCCGAGAACACTGTCCCAAGTCTAGAGGAACACCAACTTCAGCACAGCAACTCAGGAAATGTTCCGTGTAACCCAAATCGTCTCGAGATGAGAGCTGATTCCCTGGCTTAGACTCAAGACGTATGCCAACTTTCCAGAAGCACCTCAGGAGGAGGCTTCTCTCAGCAATAGGTATGTGGGACGGACCCCGAGATCGCTGCCTCAAGTGGAATATACAGCGAAAAGCCCTAACTTGAAAGGAGGCCGGATTTCCTTGCAGTGGCTGGAATACAGGCTCGTCTTTCATCTCACAACATGAAGGGATGTCTGAATCCCCTGTGGAGACCTTAGAGAAAGCCCTAGGTCCCTGCCTCATTTTGACGGAATGCCTCACGTCCCGTTGACACCTCGAGAGGCACGCAGAGTTCATTGCTTAAAAGGGGACGATGCCTGACTCCTCTGGAAAACTGATAGGAGTCCCAGAATCACTGTGGTTACTGGAAAGGGTTCTTGGGTGCTCTGCCTTACCTCGAGAAGCGTCCCTTTTGCCCTGCCAAGTATCGAAGAGATTCCTGAGGTGTCCCTCGTTACTAGACAGGAGTCCTGACGTCACTTAATAAACACGGGTTTTGAAGGGCCATCCCCGCCGAAGGTCGAGCACATACCCCAGGTCCCTGCCGCAACTCGAGAAAAACACTGAGACTTCCCCCTAGAGGCGAGATGAGGCCCCATTCCCCTGCAGTGCATGCAGAGCTATTCCGTGATCCCATTCAAAGAAGTCAGGAGCTTCGACTTCCTTAATGGATCTCGAGACAGTCCGCAAGAACACTGTCACCAGTCTAGACGGACCCTGAGGTCACCCCAGCAACGCAAAGCAGCTCCATGTGCCCCAAATCAACTCGAGATGAGGCCCGATTCCCCTGCATTGACTCCAGAGCCATTCCCCGTTCCCCATTCAACACGACCTGTGGCTCGACTTCCTTCAGGCAACTCCAGAGATGCCCCTAGAACACTGTCCCAAGTCTAGAGGAACACCAACTTCAGCACAGCAACTCTAGGAATGTTCCGTGTACCTCAAATCGTCTCGAGATAAGAGCTCATTCCCTGGCTTAGGCTCAAGACGTATGCCAACTTTCCAATAGCACCTCAGGAGGAGGCTTCTCTCAGCAATAAGTATGTGGGAGGGACCCCGAGATCGCTGCCTCAAGTGGAATATACAGCGAGAAGTCCAAACTTGGAAGGAGGCAGCATTTCTTTGCAGTGGCTTGAATACAGGCTCGTCTTTGATCTCGAAACATGAAGGGATGCCTGAATCCCCTGTGGAAACCTTAGACCATGCCCTAGGTCCCTGCCTCATTTTGACGGAATGCCTCACATCCCGTTGACACCTCGAGAGGCACGCGGAGTTCATTGCTTCAAAAGGTGACGATGCCTGACTCCTCTTGAATACTGATAGGATTCCCAAAATCGCTGTGGCTACTGGAAAGGGTCCTTGGGTGCCCTGCCTCACCTCGAGGAGCGTCCCTTTTGCCCTGCCAAGCCTCGAAGAGATTCCTGAGGTGTCCCTCGTTACTAGACAGGAGTCCTGACGTCACTTAATAAACACGGGTTTTGAAGAGCCATCCCCGCCGTAAGTGGAAAACATAACCCAGGTCCCCGCCGCAACTCGAGAAAAACCATGAGACTTCCCCCTAGAGGCGAGATGAGGCCCCATTCCCCTGCAGTGCATGCAGAGCTATTCCGTGATCCCATTCAAACAAGTCAGGAGCTTCGACTTGCTTAATGGATCTCGAGACAGTCCCCAAGAGCACTGTCACCAGTCTAGACGGACCCTGAGGTCACCCCAGCAATGCAAAGCAGCTCCATGTGCCCCAAATCAACTCGAGATGAGGCCCGATTCCCCTGCATTGACTCCAGAGCTATTCCCGGTTCCCCATTCAACACGACCGGTGGCTCGACTTCTTTCAGGCAACTCCAGAGATGCCCCGAGAAACTGTCCCAAGTCTAGAGGAACACCAACTTCAGCACAGCAACTCGAGGAATGCTCCGTGTACCCCAAATCGTATCGAGATGAGAGCTGATTCCCTGGCTTAGGCTCAAGACGTATGCCAACTCTCCAGAAGCACCTCAAGAGGAGGCTTCTCTTAGCAATAGGTATGTGGAAGGGACCCCGAGTTTGCTGCCTCAAGGGGAATATACAGAAAGAAGCCCTAACTTGAAAGGAGAACGGATTTCCTTGCAGTGGCTTGAATAAAGGCTCGTCTTTCATGTCACATCATGAAGGGATGTCTGAATCCCCTGTGGAGACCTTAGAGAAAGCCCTAGGTCCCTGCCTCATTTTGACAGAATGCCTCACATCCCGTTGACACCCCGAGAGGCACGCGGAGTTCATTGCTTCAAAAGGTGACGATGCCTGACTCCTCTTGAATACTGATAGGAATCCCAAAATCCCTGTGGCTACTGGAAAGGGTCCTTGGGTGTCCTGCCTCACCTCGAGAAGCATCCCTTTTGCACTGCCAAGCCTCGAAGAGATTCCTGAGGTGTCCCTCGTTACTAGACAGGAGTCCTGACGTCAGTGAAGAAACTCGTGTTTTGAAGGGCCATCTCCGCCGTAAGTCGAGAACATACCCCAGGTCCCCGCCGCAACTCGAGAAAAACCATGAGACTTCCCCCTAGAGGCGAGATGAGGCCCCATTCCCCTGCAGTGCATGCAGAGCTTTTCCGTGATCAGATTCAAACAAGTCAGGAGCTTTGACTTGCTTAATGGATCTCGAGACAGTCGCCAAGAACACTGTCACCAGTCTAGACGGACCCTGAGGTCACCCCAGCAACGCAAAGCAGCTCCATGTGCCCCAAATCAACTCGAGATGAGGCCCGATTCCCCTGCATTGCCTCCAGAGCCATTCCCCGTTCCCCATTCAACACGACCGGTGGCTCGACTTCCTTCAGGCAACTCCAGAGATGCCCCGAGAACACTGTCCAACGTCTAGAGGAACACCAACTTCAGCATAGCAACTCGAGGAATGCTCCGTGTACCCCAAATCATCTCGATGTTAGAGCTGATTCCCTGGCTTAGGCTCAAGACGTATGCCAACTTTCCAGAAGCACCTCAAGAGGAGACTTCTCCCAGCAATAGGTATGTGGGAGGGACCCCGATATCGCTGCCTCAAGTGGAATATACAGCGAGAAGCCCTAACATGAAAGGAGGCCGGACGTCACTTAATAAACAGGGTTTTGAAGGTCCACCCCCGCCGTAAGTCGAGAACATACCCCAGGTCCCCGCCGCAACTCCAGAAAAACCATGAGACTTCCCCCTAGAGGCGAGATGAGGCCCCATTCCCCTGCAGTGCATGCAGAGCTATTCCGTGATCCCATTCAAACAAGTCAGGAGCTTCAACTTGCTTAGTGGGTCTCGAGACAGTCCCCAAGAACACTGTCACCTGTCTAGACGGACACTGAAGTCACCCCAGCAACGCAAAGCCCTAACTTGAAAGGAGGCCGGATTTCCTTGCAGTGGCTGGAATACAGGCTCGTCTTTCATCTCACAACATGAAGGGATGTCTGAATCCCCTGTGGATACCTTAGAGAAAGCCCTAGGTCCCTGCCTCATTTTGACGGAATGCCTTAGTCCCGCTGACACCTCGAGAGGCACGCAGAGTTCATTGCTTCAAAAGGTGACGATGCCTGACTCCTCTGGAAAACTGATAGGAATCCCAAAATCCCTGTGGCTACTGGAAAGGGTCCTTGGGTGCCCTGCCTCACCTCGAGATGCGTCCCTTTTGCCCTGGCAAGTATCGAAATGATTCCTGATGTGTCCCTCGTTACTAGACAGGCGTTCTGACGTCACTTAATAAACACGGGTTTTGAAGGGCCATCCCCGCCGTAGGTCGAGAACATATCCCAGGTCCCTGCCGCAACTCGAGAAAAACCATGAGACTTCCCCCTAGAGGCGAGATGAGGCCCCATTCCCCTGCAGTGCATGCAGAGCTATTCCATGATCCCATTCAAACAAGTCAGGAGCTTCGACTTGCTTAATGGATCTCGAGATAGTCCCCAAGAATACTGTCACCAGTCTCGACGGACCCTGAGGTCACCGCAGCAAAGCAAAGCAGCTCCATGTGCCCCAAATCAACTAGAGATGAGGCCCGATTCCCCTGCATTGACTCCAGAGCCATTCCCCGTTCCCCATTCAACCCGACCGGTGGCTCGACTTCTTTCAGGCATCTCCAGAAATGCCCGGAGAACACTGTCCCAAGTCTAGAGGAACACCAACTTCAGCACAGCAACTCGAGGAATGCTCCGTGTACCCCAAATCGTCTCGAGATGAGAGCTGATTCCCTGGCTTAGGCTCAAGACGTATGCCAACTTTCCAGAAGCACCTCAAGAGGAGGCATCTCTCAGGAATAGGTATGTGGAAGGGACCCCGAGTTTGCTACCTCAAGGGGAATATACAGCGAGAAGCCCTAACTTGAAAGAAGGCCGAATTTCCTTGCAGGGGCTTGAATACAGGCTCGTCTTTCATGTTACAACATGAAGGGATGTGTGAATCCCCTGTGGAGACCTTAGAGAAAACCCTAGGTCCCTGCCTCATTTTGACGGAATGCCTCACATCCCGTTGACACCTCGAGAGGCAGGCAGAGTTCATTGCTTCAAAAGGTGACGATGCCTGACTCCTCTTGAATACTGATAGGAATCCCAAAACCCCTGTGGCTACTGGAAAGGGTCCTTGGGTGCCCTGCCTCACCTCGAGAAGCGTCGCTTTTGCCCTGCCAAGCCTCGAAGAGATTCCTGAGGTGTCCCTCGTTACTAGACAAGAGTCCTGACGTCACTGAAGAAACTCGTGTTTTGAAGGGCCATCCCTGCCCTAAGTTGAGAACATACCCCAGGTCCCCGCCGCAACTCGAGAAAAACCATGAGACTTCCCCCTAGAGGCGAGATGAGGCCCCATTCCCCTGCAGTGCATGCAGAGCTATTCCGTGATCCCATTCAAACAAGTCAGGAGCTTCAACTTGCTTAATGGATCTCCAGACAGTCACCAAGAACACTGTCACCAGTCTAGACGGAAACTGAGGTAACCCCAGCAACGCAAAGCAGCTCCATGTGCCCCAAATCAACTCGAGATGAGGCCCGATTCCCCTGCATTGACTCCAGAGCCATTTCCCGTTCCCCATTCAACACGACCGGTGGCTCGACTTCCTTCAGGCAACTCCAGAGATGCCCCGAGAACACTGTCCCAAGTCTAGAGGAACACCAACTTCAGCACAGCAACTCGAGGAATGCTCCATGTACCCCAAATCGTCTTGATGTGAGAGCTGATTCCCTGGCTTAGGCTCAAGACGTATGCCAACTTTCCAGAAGCACCTCAAGAGGAGGCTTCTCTCAGCAATAGGTATGTGGGAGGGAACCCGAGTTTGCTGCCTCAAGGGGAATATACAGCGAGAAGCCCTAACTTGAAAGGAGGCCAGATTTCCTTGCAGTGGCTTGAATACAGGCTCGTCTTTCATCTCACAACATGAAGGGATGTCTGAATCCCCTGTGGACACCTTAGAGAAAGCCCTAGGTCCCTACCTCATTTGGACGGAATGCCTCACATCCCGTTGACACCTCGAGAGGCACGCGGAATTCACTGCTTCAAAAGGTGACGATGCCTGACTCCTCTTGAATACTGATAGGAATCCCAAAATCCCTGTGGCTACTGGAAAGGGTCCTTGGGTGCCCTGCCTCACCTCGATAAGCGTCCCTTTTGCCCTGCCAAGCCTCGAAGAGATTCCTGAGGTGTCCCTCGTTACTAGACAGGAGTCCTGACGTCACTTAATAAACACGGGTTTTGAAGGGCCATCCCCACCGTAAGTCGAGAACATACCCCAGGTCCCCGCCGCAACTTGAGAAATACCATTAGACTTCCCCCTAGAGCCGAGATGAGGCCCCATTCCCCTGCAGTGCATGCAGAGCTATTCCATGATCCCATTCAAACAAGTCAGGCGCTTCGACTTGCTTAATGGATCTCGAGACAGTCGCCAAGAACACTGTCACCAGTCTAGACGGACCCTGAGCTCACCCCAGCAACGCAGAGCAGCCCCATGTGCCCCAAATCCACTCGAGATGAGGCCCGATTCCCCTGCATTGACTCCAGAGCCATTCCCCGTTCCCCATTCAACACGACCGGTGGCTCGACTTCCTTCAGGCAACTCCAGATGTGCCCCGAGAACACTGTCCCAAGTCTAGAGGAACACCAACTTCAGCACAGCAACTCGAGGAATGCTCCGTGTACCCCAAATCGTCTTGATGTGAGAGCTGATTCCCTGGCTTAGGCTCAAGACGTATGCCAACTCTCCAGAAGCACCTCAAGAGGAGACTTCTCTCAGCAATAGGTATGTGGGAGGGACCCCGATATCGCTGCCTCAAGTGGAATATACAGCGAGAAGCCCTAACATGAAAGGAGGCTGGATTTCCTTGCAGTGGCTTGAATACAGGCTCATCTTTGATCTCAAAACATGAAAGGATGTCAGAATCCCCTGTGGAGACCTTAGACAAAGCCCTAGGTCCCTGCCTCATTTTGACGGAATGCCTCACATCCCGTTGACACCTCGAGAGGCACGCGGAGTTCATTGCTTCAAAAGGTGACGATGCCTGACTCATCTTTTATACTGATAGGAATCCCAAAATCCCTGTGGCTACTGGAAAGGGTCCTTGGGTGCCCTGCCTCACCTCGAGAAGCGTCCCTTTTGCACTGCCAATCCTCGAAGAGATTCCTGAGGTGTCCCTCGTTACTAGACAGGAGTCCTGACGTCACTGAAGAAACTCGTGTTTTGAAGGGCCATGCCCGCCGTAAGTCGAGAATATACCCCAGGTCCCCGCCGCAACTAGCGAAAAACCACGAGACTTCGCCATAGAGGCGAGATGAGGCCCCATTCCCCTCAGTGCTTGCAGAGCTATTCCGTGATCCCATTCAAACAAGTCAGGAGCGTGGACTTGCTTAATGGATCTCGAGACAGTCCCCAAGAACACTGTCACCAGTCTAGACGTACCCTGAGGTCACCCCAGCAACGCAAAGCAGCTCCATGTGCCCCAAATCAACTCGAGATGAGGCCCGATTCCCCTGCATTGACTCCAGAGCCATTCCCCATTCCCCATTCAACACGACCGGTGGCTCGACTTCCTTCAGGCAACTCCAGAGATGCCCCGAGAACACTGTCCCAAGTCTAGAGGAACACCAACTTCAGCACAGCAACTCGAGGAATGCTCCGTGTACCCCAAATCGTCTCGAGATGAGAGCTGATTCCCTGGCTTAGGCTCAAGACGTATGCCAACTTTCCAGAAGCACCTCAAGAGGAGGCTTCTCTCAGCAATATGTATGTGGGAGGGACCCCGATATCGCTGCCTAAATTGGAATATACAGCGAGAAGACCTAACTTGAAAGGAGGCCGGATTTCCTTGCAGTGGCTTGAATACAGGCTCATCTTTGATCTCAAAACATGAAAGGATGTCTGAATCCCCTGTGGAGACCTTAGAGAAAGCCCTAGGTCCCTGCCTCATTTTGACGGAATGCCTCACATCCCGTTGACACCTCGAGAGGCACGCGGAGTTCATTGCTTCAAAAGGTGACGATGCCTGACTCCTGTTGTATACTGAGAGGAATCCCAAAATCCCTGTGGCTACTGGAAAGGGTCCTTGGGTGACCTGCCTCACCTCGAGAAGCGTCCCTTTTGCCCTGCCAATCCTCGAAGAGATTCCTGAGGTGTCCCTCGTTACTAGACAGGAGTCCTGACGTCACTGAAGAAACTCGTGTTTTGAAGGCCATCCCCGCCCTAAGTTGAGAACATACCCCAGGTCCCCGCCGCAACTAGAGAAAAACCACGAGACTTCGCCTTAGAGGCGAGATGAGGCCCCATTCCCCTCAGTGCATGCAGAGCTATTCCGTGATCCCATTCAAACAAGTCAGGAGCTTCGACTTTCTTAATGGATCTCGAGACAGTCCCCAAGAACACTGTCACCAGTCTAGACGGACCCTGAGGTAACCCCAGCAAGGCAAAGCAGCTCCATGTGCCCCAAATCAACACGAGATGAGGCCCGATTCCCCTGCATTGACTCCAGAGCCATTCCCTTTCCCCATTCAACACGACTGGTGGCTCAACCTCCTTCAGGGAACTCCAGAGATGCCCCGAGAACACTGTCCCAAGTCTAGAGGAACACCAAATTCAGCACAGCATCTCGAGGAATGCTCCGTGTAACCCACATCGTCTCGCGATGAGAGCTGATTCCCTGGCTTAGGCTCAAGACATATGCGAACTTTCCAGAAGCAGCTCAAGAGGAGGCTTCTCTCAGCAATAGGTATGTGGAAGCGACCCCGAGTTTGCTGCCTCAAGGGGAATATACAGCGAGAAGCGCTAACTTGAAAGGAGGCCGTATTTCCTTGCAGTGGCTTGAATACAGGCTCGTCTTTCATTTCACAACATGAAGGGATGTCTGAATCCCCTGTGGAGACCTTATAGAAAACCCTAGGTCCCTGCCTCATTTTGACGGAATGCCTCACATCCCGATGACACCTCGAGAGGCACGCGGAGTTCACTGCTTCAAAAGGTGACGATGCCTGACTCCTCTTGAATACTGATAGGAATCCCAAAATCCCTGTGGCTACTGGAAAGGGTCCTTGGGTGCCCTGCCTCACCTCGAGAAGCGTCCCTTTTGCCCTGCCAAGCCTCGAAGAGATTCCTGAGGTGTCCCTCGTTACTAGACAGGAGTCCTGACGTCACTTAATAAACACGGGATTTGAAGGGCCATCCCCACCGTAAGTTGAGAACATACCTCAGGTCCCCGCCGCAACTCGAGAAATACCATTAGACTTCCCCCTAGAGCCGAGATGAGGCCCCATTCCCCTGCAGTGCATGCAGAGCTATTCCATGATCCCATTCAAACAAGTCAGGCGCTTCGACTTGCTTAATGGATCTCGAGACAGTCGCCAAGAACACTGTCACCAGTCTAGACGGACCCTGAGGTCACCCCAGCAACGCAGAGCAGCCCCATGTGCCCCAAATCCACTGGAGATGAGGCCCGATTCCCCTGCATTGACTCCAGAGCCATTCCCCGTTCCCCATTCAACACGACCGGTGGCTCGACTTCCTTCAGGCAACTCCAGATGTGCCCGGAGAACACTGTCCCAAGTCTAGAGGAACACCAACTTCAGCACAGCAACTCGAGGAATGCTCCGTGTACCCCAAATTGTCTCGAGATGAGAGCTGATTCCCTCGCTTAGGCTCAAGACGTATGCCAACTTTCCAGAAGCACCTCAAGAGGAGGCTTCTCTCAGCAATACGTATGTGGGAGGGCCCCCGATATCGCTGCCTCAAGTGGAATATACAGCGAGAAGCCCTAACATGAAAGGAGGCCGCATTTCCTTGCAGTGGCTTGAATACAGGCTCGTCTTTGATCTCAAAACATGAAGGGATGTCTGAATCCCCTGTGGAGACCTTAGAGAAAGCCCTAGGTCCCTGCCTCATTTTGACGGAATGACTCACATCCCGTTGACAACTCGAGAGGCACGCGGAGTTCATTGCTTCAAAAGGTGACGATGCCTGACTCATCTTTTATACTGATAGGAATCCCAAAATCCCTGTGGCTAATGGAAAGGGTCCTTGGGTGCCCTGCCTCACCTCGAGAAGCGTCCCTTTTGCCCTGCCAATCCTCGAAGAGATTCCTGAGGTGTCCCTCGTTACTAGACAGGAGTCCTGACGTCACTGAACAAACTCGTGTTTTGAAGGGCCATGCCCGCCGTAAGTCGAGAACATACCCCAGGTCCCCGCCGCAACTAGAGAAAAACCACGAGACTTAGCCATAGAGGCGAGATGAGGCCCCATTCCCCTCAGTGCATGCAGAGCTATTCCGTGATCCCATTCAAACAAGTCAGGAGCGTGGACTTGCTTAATGGATCTCGAGACAGTCCCCAAGAACACTGTCACCAGTCTAGACGTACCCTGAGGTCACCCCAGCAACGCAAAGCAGCTCCATGTGCCCCAAATCAACTCGAGATGAGGCCCGATTCCCCTGCATTGACTCCAGAGCCATTCCCCGTTCCCCATTCAACACGACCGGTGGCTCGACTTCCTTCAGGCAACTCCAGAGATGCCCCGAGAACACTGTCCCAAGTCTAGAGGAACACCAACTTCAGCACAGCAACTCGAGGAATGCTCCGTGTACGCCAAATCGTCTCGAGATGAGAGCTGATTCCCTGGCTTAGGCTCAAGACGTATGCCAACTTTCCAGAAGCACCTCAAGAGGAGGCTTCTCTCAGCAATAGGTATGTGGAAGGGACCCCGAGTTTGCTGCCTCAAGGGGAATATACAGCGAGAAGTCCTAACTTGAAAGGAGGCCGGATTTCCTTGCAGTGGCTTGAATACAGGATCGTCTTTCATCTCACAACATGAAGGGATGTCTGAATCCCCTGTGGAGACGTTAGAGAAATCCCTAGGTCCCTGCCTCATTTTGACGGAATGCCTCACATCCTGTTGACACCTCGAGAGGCACGCGGAGTTCATTGCTTCAAAAGGTGACGATGCCTGACTCCTCTTGAATACTGATAGGAATCCCAAAATCCCTGTGGCTACTGGAAAGGGTCCTTGGGTGCCCTGCCTCACCTCGAGAAGCGTCCCTTTTGCCCTGCCAAGCCTCGAAGAGATTCTTGAGGTGTCCCTCGTTACAAGACAGGAGTCCTGACGTCAATTAATAAACACGGGTTTTGAAGGGCCATCCCCGCCGTAAGTCGAGAAGATACCCCAGGTCCCCGCCGCAACTCGAGAAAAACCATGGGACTTCCCCCTAGAGGCGAGATGAGGCCCCATTCCCCTGCAGTGCATGCAGAGCTATTCCGTGATCCCATTCAAACAAGTCAGGAGCTTCGACATGCTTAATGGATCTCGAAACAGTCCCCAAGAACACTGCCTCCAGTCTAGACGGATCCTGAAGTCTCCCCAGCAACGCAAAGCAGCTCCATGTGCCCCAAATCAACTCGAGATGAGGCCCGATTCCCCTGCATTGACTCCAGAGCCATTACCCGTTCCCCATTCAACACGACCAGTGGCTCGACTTCTTTCAGGCAAGTCCAGAGATGCCCCAAGAACACTGTCCCAAGTCTAGAGTAACACCGACTTCAGCACAGCAACTCGAGGAATGCTCTGTGCACCTCAAATCGTCACATGATGAGAGATGATTCCCTGGCTTAGGCTCAAGACGTATGCCAACTTTCCAGAAGCACCTAAAGAGGGGGCTTCTCTCAGCAATAGGGAAGTGGAAGGGACCCCGAGTTTGCTGCTTCAAGGGGAATATACAGCAAGAAGCCCTAATTTGAAAGGAGACCGGATTTCCTTGCAGTGGCTTGAATACAGGCTCGTCTTTCATCTCACAACATGAAGTGACGTCTGAAATCCCGGAGGAGACCTTAGAGAAAGCCCTAGGTCCCTGTCTCATTTTGACGGAATGCTTCACATCCCCTTGACACCTCGAGAGGCACGCGGAGTTCATTGCTTCAAAAGGTGACGATGCCTGACTCCTCTTGAATACTGACACGAATCCCAAAATCACTATGGCTACTGGAAAGGGTCCCTGGGTGCCCTGCCTCACCTCGAGAAGCGTCCCTTTTGCCCTGCCAAGCCTCGAAGAGATTCCTGAGGTGTCCCTCGTTACTAGACATCAGTCCTGACGTTACTTAATAAACACGGGTTTGGAAGGGCCATCCCCGCCGTAAGTCGAGAACATACCACAGGTCCCCACATCAATTCAAGAAAAACCATGAGACTTCGCCCTAGAGGCAAGATGAGGCCCCATTCCCCTGCAGTGCATGCAGAACTATTCCGTGATCCCATTCAAACAAGTCAGGAGCTTCAACTTGATTTGTGGGTCTCGAGACAGTCCCCAAGAACACTGTCACCAGTCTAGACGGACCCTGAGGTCACCCCAGCAACGCAAAGCAGCTCCATGTGCCCCAAATCAAATCAAGATGAGGCCCGATTCCCCTGCATTGACTCCAGAGCCATTCCCCGTTCCCCATTCAACACGACCGGTGGCTCGACTTCCTTCAGGCAACTCCAGAGATGCCCCGAGAAAATTGTCCCAAGTCTAGAGGAACACCAAATTCAGCACAGCAACTCGAGGAATGCTCCGTGTAACCCAAATCGTCTCGCCATGAGAGCTGATTCCCTGGCTTAGGCTCAAGACATATGCCAACTTTCCAGAAGCACCTCAAGAGGAGGCTTCTCTCAGCAATAGGTATGTGGAAGGGACCCCGAGTTTGCTGCCTCAAGGGGAATATACAGCGAGAAGCGCCAACTTGAAAGGAGGCCGTATTTCCTTGCAGTGGCTTGAATACAGGCTCGTCTTTCATCTCACAACATGAAGGAATGTCTGAATCCCCTGTGGAGACCTTAGAGAAAGGCCTAGGTCCCTGCCTCATTTTGACGGAATGCCTCACATCCCGTTGACACCTCCAGAGGCACGGGGAGTTCATTGCTTCAAAAGGCGACGATGCCTGACTCGTCTCGTATACTGATAGGAATCCCAAAATCCCTGTGGCTACTGGAAAGGGTCCTTGGGTGCCCTGCCTCACGTCGAGAAGCGTCCCTTTTCCCCTGCCAAGCCTCGAAGAGATTCCTGAGGTGTCCCTCGTTACTAGACAGGAGTCCTGAGGTCACTTAATAAACACGGTTTTGACGGGCCATCCCCGCCGTAACTCGAGAACATACCCCAGGTCCCCGCCGCAACTCGAGAAAAACGATGAGACTTCCCCCTAGAGGCGAGATGAGGCCCCATTCCCCTGCAGTGCATGCAGAGCTATTCCGTGATCCCATTCAAACAAGTCAGGAGCTTCGACATGCTTAATGGATCTCGAGACAGTCCCCAAGAACACTGTCTCCAGTCTAGACGGATCCTGAAGTCACCCCAGCAACGCAGAGCAGCCCCATGTGCCCCAAATCAAGTCGAGATGAGGCCCGATTCCCCTGCATTGACTGCAGAGCCATTCCCCGTTCCCCATTCAACACGACCGGTGGCTTGTTTTCCGTCAGGCAACTCCAGCGATGCCCCAAGAACACTGTCCCAAGTCTAGAGGAACACCGAATTCAGCACAGCAACTCGAGGAATGCTCCGTGTACCCCTAATCGTCTCGAGATTAGAGCTGATTCTCTGGCTTAGGCTCAAGACGTATGCCAACTTTCCAGAAGCACCTAAAGAGGGGGCTTCTCTCAGCAATAGGTAAGTGGAGGGGACCCCGAGTTTGCTGCTTCAAGGGGAATATACAGCAAGATGCCCTAATTTGAAAGGAGACCGGATTTCCTTGCAGTGGCTTGAATACAGGCTCGTCTTTCATCTCACAACCTGAAGTGAGGTCTGAAATCCCTGTGGAGACCTTATAGAAAACCCTAGGTCCCTGCCTCATTTTGACGGAATGCTTCACATCCCCTTGACACCTCGAGAGGCACGCGGAGTTCATTGCTTCAAAAGGTGACGATGCCTGACTCCTCTTGAATACTGATAGGAATCCCAAAATCTCTGTGGCTACAGGAAAGGGTCCTTGGGTGCCCTGCCTCACCTCGAGAAGCGTCCCTTTTGCCCTGCCAAGCCTCGAAGAGATTCCTGAGGTGTCCCTCGTTACTAGACAGGAGTCCTGACGTCACTGAAGAAACTCGTGTTTTGAAGGGCCATCCCCGGCGTAAGTTGAGAACATACCCCTGGTCCCCGCCCCAATTCGAGAAAAACCATGAGACTTCCCCCTAGAGGCGAGATGAGGCCCCATTCCCCTGCAGTGCATGCAGAGGTATTCCGTGATCCCATTCAAACAAGTGAGGAGCTTCAACTTGCTTAATGGATCTCGAGACAGTCCCCAAGAACAGTGTCACCAGTCTAGACGGACCCTGAGGTCACCCCAGCAACGCAAAGCAGCTCCATGTGCCCCAAATCAACTTGAGATGAGGCCCGATTCCCCTGCACTGACTCCAGAGCCATTCCCCGTTCCCCATTCAACACGACCGGTGGCTCGACTTCCTTCAGGAAACTCCAGCGATGCCCAGAGAGCACTGTCCCAAGTCTAGAGGAACACCAACTTCAGCACAGCAACTCGAGGAATGTTCCGTGTAACCCAAATCGTCTCGAGATGAGAGCTGATTCCCTGGCTTAGGCTAAAGACGTATGCCACCTTTGCAAAAGCACCTCAAGAGGAGGCTTCTCTCAGCAATAGGTATGTGGATGGGACCCCGAGTTTGATGCCTCAAGGGGAATATACAGCGAGAAGCCCTAACTTGAATGGAGGCCGGATTTCGTTGCATTGGCTTGAATACAGGCTCCTCTTTCATCTCACAACATGAAGGGATGTCTGAATCCCCTGTGGAGACCTTAGAGAAATCCCTAGGTCCCTGCCTCATTTGGACGGAATGCCTCACATCCCGTTGACACCTCGACACGCACTCGGAGTTCATTGCTTCAAAAGGTGACGATGCCTGACTCTTCTTGAATACTGATAGGAATCCCAAAATCCCTGTGGCTACTGGAAAGGGTCCCTGGGTGCCCTGCCTCACCTCGAGAAGCATCCCTTTTGCCCTGCCAAGCCTCGAAGAGATTCCTGAGGTGTCCCTCGTTACTAGACAGCAGTCCTGATGTCACTTAATAAACACGGGTTTTGAAGGGCCATCCCCGCCGTAAGTCGAGAACAGACCCCAGGTCCCCGCCGCAAGTCGAGAAAAACCATGAGACTTCCCCCTAGAGGCGAGATGAGGCCACATTCCCCTGCAGTGCATGCAGAGCTATTCCGTGATCCCATTCAAACAAGTCAGGAGCTTCGACTTGCTTAATGGATCTCGAGACAGTCCCCAAGAACACTGTCACCAGTCTAGACGGACCCTGAGGTCACCCCAGCAACGCAGAGCAGCTCCATGTGCCCCAAATCAACTCGAGATGAGGCCCGATTCCCCTGCATTGACTCCAGAGCCATTCCCCGTTCCCCATTCAACACGACCGGTGGCTCGACTTCCTTCAGGCAACTCCAGAGATGCCCCGAGAACATTTTCCAAGGTCTAGAGGAACACCAACTTCAGCACAGCAACTCGAGGAATGCTCCGTGTACCCCAAATCGTCTCGAGATGAGAGCTGATTCCCTGGCTTAGGCTCAAGACGTATGCTAACTTTCCAGAAGCACCTCAAGAGGAGGCTTCTCTCAGCAATAGGTATGTGGAAGGGACCCCGAGTTTGCTGCCTCAAGGGAAATATACAGCGAGAAGCCCTAACGTGAAAGGAGGCCGAATTTCTTTGCAGTGGCTTTAATACAGGCTCGTCTTTCATCTTACAACATGAAGGGATGTCTGAATACCCTGTGGAGACCTTAGAGAAATCCCTAGGTCCCTGCCTCATTTTGACGGAATGCCTCACATCCCGTTGACACCTCGAGAGGCACGCGCAGTACATTGCTTCAAAAAGTGACGATGCCTGACTCCTCTTGAATACTTATAGGAATCCCAAAATGCCTGTGGCTACTGGAAAGGGTCCTTGGGTGCCCTGCCTCACCTCGAGAAGCGTCCCTTTTGCCCTGCCAAGCCTCGAAGAGATTCCTGAGGTGTCCCTCGTTACTAGACAGGAGTCCTGACGTCACTTAATAAACACGGGTTTTGAAGGTCCATCCCCGCCGTAAGTCGAGAATATACCCCAGGTCCCCGCCGCAACTTGAGAAAAACCATGACACTTCCCCCTAGAGGCGAGATGAGGCCCCATCCCCCTGCAGTGCATGCAGAGCTATTCCGTGATCACATTCAAACAAGTGAGGAGCTTCGACTTGCTTAATGGATCTCGAGACAGTCCCCAAGAACACTGTCACCAGTCTAGACGGACCCTGAGGTCACCCCAGCAACACAGAGCAGCTCCATGTGCCCCAAATCAACTCGAGATGAGGCCCGATTCCCCTGCATTGACTCCAGAGCCATTCCCCGTTCCCCATTCAACACGACCGGTGGCTCGACTTCCTTCAGGCAACTCCAGAGATGCCCCGAGAACACTGTCCCAAGCCTAGAGGAACAACAACTTCAGCACAGCAACTCGAGGAATGCTTCGTGTACCCCAAATCGTCTCGAGATGAGAGCTGATTCCCTGGCTTAGGCTCAAGACGTATGCCAACTTTCCAGAAGCACCTAAAGAGGAGGCTTCTCTCAACAATAGTTATTTGGGAGGGACCCCGATATCTCTGCCTCAAGTGGAATATACAGCGAGAAGCCCTAAAATGAAGGAGGCCGGATTTCCTTGCAGTGGCTTGAATACAGGCTCGTCTTTGATTTCAAAACATGAAGGGATGTTTGAATCCCCTGTGGAGACCTTAGAGAAATCCGTAGGTCCCTGCCTCATTTTGACGGAATGCCTCCCATCCCGTTGACACCTCGAGAGGCACGCTTAGTTCATTGCTTCAAAAGGTGACGATGGCTGACTCCTCTTGAATACTGATAGGAATCCCAAAATCAATGTGGCTACTGGAAAGGGTTCTTGGGTGCCCTGCCTCACCTCGAGAAGCGTCCCTTTTGCCCTGCCAAGCCTAGAAGAGATTCCTGAGGTGTCCCTCGTTAGTAGACAGGAGTCCTGACGTCACTTAATAAACACGGTTTTTGAAGGGCCATCCCCGCCTTAAGTCGAAAACATACCCCAATTCCCCACCGCAACTCGAGAAAAACCATGAGACTTCCCCCTAGAGGCGAGATGAGGCCCCATTCCCCTGCAGTGCATTCAGAGCTATTCCGTGATCCCATTCAAACAAGTCAGGAGCTTCGACTTGCTTAATGGAACTCGAGACAGTCCCCAAGAACACTGTCACCAGTCTAGACGGAACCTGAGGTCACCCCAGCAACACAAAGCAGATCCATGTGCCCCAAATCAACTGGAGATGAGGTCCGATTCCCCTGCATTGACTCCTGAGCCATTCCCCGTTTCCCATTCAACACGACCGGTGGCTCGACTTCCTTCAGGCAACTCCACAGATGCCCCGAAAACACTGTCCCAAGTCTAGAGGAACACAAACTTCAGCACAGCAAGTCGAGGAATGCTCCGTGTACCCCAAACGTCTCGAGATGAGAGCTGATTCCCTGGCTTAGGCTCAAGACGTATGCCAACTTTCCAGAAGCACCTCAGGAGGAGGCTTCTCTCAGCAATAGTTATGTGGGAGGGACCCCGAGATCGCTGCCTCAAGTGGAATATACAGCGAGAAGCCCTAACTTGAAAGGAGGCCGGATTCCCTTGCAGTGGCTTGAATACAGGCTTGTCTTTGATCTTAAAACATGAAGGGATGTCTGAATCCCCTGTGGAAACCTTAGAGAAAGACCTAGGTCCCTGCCTCATTTTGAGGGAATGCCTCACATCCCGTTGACAGCTCGAGAGGCACTCTTAGTTCATTGCTTCAAAAGGTGACGATGCCTGACTATTCTTGAATACTGATAGGAATCCCAAAATCCCTGTGGCTACTGGAAACCGTTTTTGGGTGCCCTGCCTCACCTCGAGAAGCGTCCCTTTTGGCCTGCCAAGCCTCAAAGAGATTCCTGAGGTGTCCCTCGTTACTAGACAGGAGTCCTGACGTCACTGAATAAACACGTGTTTTGAAGGGCCATCCCCGCCGTAAGTCGAGAACATTCCCCAGGTCCCCACCGCAACTCGAGAAAAACCATGAGACTTCCCCCTAGAGGATTGATGAGGCCCCATTCCCCTGCAGTGCATGCAGAGGTATTCCATGATCGCATTCAAACAAGTCAGGAGCTTCGACTTGATTAATGGATCTCGAGACAGTCCCCAAGAACAGTGTCACCAGTCTAGACGGACCCTGAGGTCACCCCAGCAACGCAAAGCAGCTCCATGTGCCCAAATTCAACTCGAGATGAGGCCCGATTCCCCTGCATTGACTGCAGAGCCATTCCCTGTTCCCCATTCAACACGACCCGTGGCTCGACTTCCTTCAGGCTACTCCAGAGATGCCCCGAGAACACTGTCCCAAGTCTAGAGGAACACCAACTTCAGCACAGCAACTCGAGGAATGTTCCGTGTACCGGAAATCGTCTAGCGATGAGAGCTGATTCCCTGGCTTAGGCTCAAGACGTATGCCAACTTTCCAGAAGCACCTCAAGAGGAGGCTTCTCTCAGCAATAGTTATGTAGAAGGGACCCCGTGTTTGCTGCCTCAAGGGGAATATACAGCGAGAAGCCCTAACTTGAACGGAGGCCGGATTTCCTTGCAGTGGCTTGAATACAGGCTCGTCTTTCATCTCACAACATGAAGGGATGTCTGAATCCCCTGTGGATACCTTAAGAAAGCCCTAGGTCCCTTCCTCATTTTGACGGAATGCCTCACATCCCGTTGACACCTCGAGAGGCACGCGGAATTCATTGCTTCAAAAGGGGACGAAGCCTGACTCCTCTTGAATACTGATAGGAATCCCAAAAACCCTGTGGCTACTGGAAAGTGTCCTTGGGTGCCCATCCTCACTTCAAGAAGCATCCCTTTTGCCCTGCCAAGCCTCGAAGGTATTCCAGAAGTGTCCCCCATTACTAGACAGGAGTCCTGACGTCACTGAAGAAACTCGTGTTTTGAAGGGCCATCCCCGCCGTAAGTCGAGAACATACCCCAGGTCCCCACCGCAACTCAAGAAAAACCATGAGACTTCCCCCTAGAGGCGAGATGAGGCCCCATTCCACTGCAGTGCATGCAGAGCTATTCCGTGATCCCATTCAAACAAGTCAGGAGGTTCGACTTGCTTAATGGATCTCGAGAAATTCCCCAAGAACACTGTCACCAGTCTAGACGGACCCTAGGTTCACCCCAGCAACGCAAAGCAGCTCCATGTGCCCCAAATCAACTCGAGATGAGGCCCGATTCCCCTGCATTGACTCCAGAGCCATTCCCCGTTCCCCATTCAACACGACCGGTGGCTCGCCTTCCTTCAGCAACTCCAGAGATGCCCCGAGAACACTGTCCCAAGTCTAGAGGAACACCAACTTCAGCACAGCAACTCGAGGAATGCTCCGTATACCCCAAATCGTCTCGAGATGAGAGCTGATTCCCTGGCTTAGGCTCAAGACGTATGCCAACTTTCCAGAAGCACCTCAGGAGGAGGCTTCTCTCAGCAATAGGTATGTGGGAGGGACCCCGAGATCGCTGCCTCAAGTGGAATATACAGCGAGAAGCCCTAACTTGAATGGAGGCCGGATTTCCTTGCAGTGGCTTGAATACAGGCTCGTCTTTGATCTCAAAACATGAAGGGATGTCTGAATCCCCTGTGGAGACCTTAGAGAAAGCCCTAGGCCCTGCCTCATTTTGACGGAATGCCTCACATCCCGTTGACACTTCGAGAGGCATGCGGAGTTCATTGCTTCAAAATGTGACGATGCCTGACTCCTCTTGAATACTGATAGGAATCCCAAAATCCCTGTGGCTACTGGAAAGGGTCCTTGGGTGCCCATCGTCACCTCAAGAAGCGTCCCTTTTGCCCTGCCAAGCCTCGAAGGTATTCCAGAAGTGTCCCCTGTTACTAGACAGCAATCCTGACGTCACTGTAGAAATTCGTGTTTTGAAGGGCCATCCCCGCCGTAAGTCGAGAACATACCACAGGTCCCCGCCGCAACTCGAGAAAAACCATGAGACTTCCCCCTAGAGGCGAGATGAGGCCCCATTCCCCTGCAGTGCATGCAGAGCTATTCCGTGATCCCATTCAAACAAGTCAGGAGCTTCGACTTCCTTAATGGGTCTCGAGACTGTCCCCAAGAACACTGTCACCAGCCTAGACGGACCCTGAGGTCAACCCAGCAACGCAAAGGAGCTCCATGTGCCCCAAATCAACTCGAGATGAGGCCCGATTCCCCTGCATTGACTCCAGAGCCATTCCCCGTTCCCCATTCAACACGACCGGTGGCTCGACTTCCTTCAGGCAACTCCAGAGATGCCCCGAGAACACTGTCCCAAGTCTAGAGGAACACCAACTTCAGCACAGCAACTCGAGGAATGCTCCGTGTACCCCAAATCGTCTCGAGATGAGAGCTCATTCCCTGGCTTAGGCTCAAGACGTATGCCAACTTTCCAGAAGCACCTCAGGAGGAGGCTTCTCTCAGCAATAGGTATGTGGGATGGACCCCGAGTTTGCTGCCTCAAGTGGAATATACAGCGGGAAGCACTAACTTGAAAGGAGGCCGGATTTCCTTGCAGTGGCTTGAATACAGGCTCATCTTTCATCTCACAACATGAAGGGTTGTCTGAATCCCCTGTGGAGACCTTAGAGAAAGCCTTAGTTCCCTGTCTCATTTTGACGGAATGCCTCACATCCCGTTGACCCCTCGAGAGGCACGGAGAGTTCATTGCTTCAAAAGGTGACGATGCCAGACTCCTCTTGAATACTGATAGGAATCCCCAAATCCCTGTGTCTACTGGAAAGGGTCCTTGGGTGCCCTGCCTCACCTCGAGAAGCGTCTCTTTCGCCCTGCCAAGCCTGGAAGAGATTCCTGAGGTGTCCCTCGTTACTAGACAGGAGTCCTGACGTCACTGAAGAAACTCGTGTTTTGAAGGGCCATCCCCGCCATAAGTCGAGAACATAACCCAGGTCCCCACCTCAAATCGATAAAAACCATGAGACTTCCTCCTAGAGGCGTGATGAGGCCCCATTCCCCTGGAGTGCATGCAGAGCTATTCCGTGATCCCTTCAAACAAGTCAGGAGCTTCGACTTGCTTAATGGGTCTCGAGACAGTCCCCAAGAACACTGTCACCAGCCTGGACGGACCCTGAGGTCAACCCAGCAACGCAAAGCAGCTCCATGTGCCCCAAATCAACTCGAGATGAGGCCCGATTCCCCTGCATTGACTCCAGAGCCATTCACCGTTCCCCATTCAACACGACCGGTGGCTCGACTTCCTTCAGGCAACTCAAGAGATGCCCCAAGAACACTGTCCCAAGTCTAGAGGAACACCAACTTCAGCACAGCAACTCGAGGAATGCTCTGTGTACCCCAAATCGTCTCGAGAAGAGTGCTGATTCCCTGGCATAGACTCAAGACGTATGCCAACTTTCCAGAAGCACCTCTAGAGGAGGCTTCTCTCAGCAATAGGTATGTGGAAGAGACCCAGAGTTTGCTGCCTCAAGGGGAATATACAGCGAGAAGCCCTAACTTGAAAAGAGGCCCGATTTCCTTGCAGTGGCTTGAACACAGGCTCGTCTTTCATCTCACAACATGAAGGGATGTCTGAATCCCCTGTGGAGACCTTAGAAAAGCCCTAGGTCCCTGCCTCATTTTGACGGAATGCCTCACATCCCGTTGACACCTCGAGAGTCACGCCGAGTTCATTGCTTCAAAAGTTGACGATGCCTGACTCCTCTTGAATACTGATAGGAATCCCAAAATCCTTGTTGCTACAGGAAAGGGTCCTTGGGTGCCCTTCCTCACCTCGAGAAGCGTCCCTTTTGCCCTGCCCAGCCTCGAAGAGATTCCTGAGGTGTCCCTCGTTACTAGACAGGAGTCCTGACGTCACTGAAAAAACTCGTGTTTTGAAGGGCCATCCCCGCCGTAAGTCGAGAACATAACCCAGGTCCCCGCCGCACCTCGAGAAAAACCATGAGACGTCCCCGTAGAGGCGAGATGAGGCCCCATTCCCCTGCAGTGCATGCAGAGCTATTCCGTGATCCCATTCAAACAAGTCAGGAGTTTCGACTTCCTTAATGGGTCTCGAGACAGTCCCCAAGAACACTGTCACCAGCCTAGACGGACCTTGAGGTCAACCGAGCAACGCAAAGCAACTCCATGTGTCCCAAATCAACTCGAGATGAGGCCCGATTCCCCTGCATTGACTCCAGAGCCATTCCCCGTTCCCCATTCAACACGACCGGTGGCTAGACTTCCTTCAGGTAACTCCAGAGATGCCCCGAAAACACTGTCCCAAGTCTAGAGGAACACAAACTTCAGCACAGCAACTCGAGGAATGCTCCGTGTACCCCAAACGTCTCGAGCTGAGAGCTGATTCCCTGGCTTAAGGTCAAGACGTATGCCAACTTTCCAGAAGCACCTCAGAAGGAGGCTTCTCTCAGCAATAGTTATGTGGGAGGGACCCCGAGATCGCTGCCTCAAGTGGAATATACAGCGAGAAGCCCTAACTTGAAAGGAGGCCGGATTTCCTTGCAGTGGCTTGAATACAGGCTTGTCTTTGATCTTAAAACATGAAGGGAAGTCTGAATCCCCTGTGGAAATCTTAGAGAAAGACCTAGGTCCCTGCCTCATTTTGAGGGAATGCCTCACATCCCGTTGACACCTCGAGAGGCACGCTTAGTTCATTGCTTCAAAAGGTGACGATGCCTGACTCTTCTTGAATACTGATAGGAATCCCAAAATCCCTGTGGCTACTGGAAAAGGTCCTTGGGTGCCCTGCCTCACCTCGAGAAGCGTCCCTTTTGCCCTGCCAAGTATCGAAGAGATTCCTGAGGTGTCCCTCGTTACTAGACAGGAGTCCTGACGTCACTTAATAAACACGGGTTTTGAAGGGCCATCCCCACCGTAGGTCGAGAACATACCCCAGGTCCCCACCGCAACTCGAGAAAAACCATGAGACTTTCCCCTAGAGGCGTGATGAGGACCCATTCCCCTGCAGTGCATGTAGAGCTATTCCGTGATCCCATTCCAACAAGTCAGGAGCTTTGACTTGCTTAATGGATCGCGAGACAGTCCCCAAGAGCACTGTCACCAGTCTAGACAGACACTGAGGTCACCCAGCAACGCAAAGCAGCTCCATGTGCCCCAAATCAACTCGAGATGAGGCCCGATTCCCCTGCATTGACTCCAGAGCCATTCCCCGTTCCCCATTCAACACGACCGGTGGCTTGACTTCCTTCAGGCAACTCCAGAGATGCTACGAGAACACTGTCCCAAGTCTAGAGGAACACCAACTTCAGCACAGCATCTTCAGGAATGCTCCGTGTACCCCAAATCGTCTAGCGATTAAAGCTGATTCCCTGGCTTAGGCTTAAGACGTATGCCAACTTTGCAGAAGCACCTCAGGAGGAGGCTTCTCTCAGCAATAGGTATGTGGGAGGGACCCCGAGATCGCTGCCTCAAGTGGAATATACAGCGAGAGGCCCTAACTTGAAAGGAGGCCGGATTTCCTGGCAGTGGCTTGAATACAGGCTCGTCTTTGATCTCAAAACATGAAGGGATGTCTGAATCCCCTGTGGAGACGTTAGAGAAAGCCCTAGGCCCTGCCTCATTTTGACGGAATGCCTCACATCCCGTTGACACTTCGAGAGGCATGCGGAATTCATTGCTTCAAAAGGTGACGATGCCTGACTCCTCTTGAATACTGATAGGAATCCCAAAATCCCTGTGGCTACTGGAAAGGGTCCTTGGGTGCCCATCGTCACCTCAAGAAGCGTCCCTTTTGCCCTGCCAAGCCTCGAAGGTATTCCAGAAGTGTCCCCTGTTACTAGACAGGAATCCTGTCGTCACTGAAGAAACTCGTGTTTTGAAGGGCCATCCCCGCCGTAAGTCGAGAACATACCCCAGGTCCCCACCGCAACTCAAGAAAAACCATGAGACTTCCCCCTAGAGGCGAGATGAGGCCCCATTCCACTGCAGTGCATGCAGAGCTATTCCGTGATCCCATTCAAACAAGTCAGGAGCTTCGACTTGCTTAATGGATCTCGAGACATTCCCCAAGAACACTGTCACCAGTCTAGACGGACCCTGAGGTCACCCCAGCAACGCAAAGCCGATCCATGTGCCCCAAATCAACTCGAGATGAGGCCCGATTCCCCTGCATTGACTCCAGAGGCATTCCCCGTTCCCCATTCAACACGACCGGTGGCTCGCCTTCCTTCAGCAACTCCCGAGATGCCCCGAGAACACTGTCCTAAGTCTAGAGGAACACCAACTTCAGCACAGCAACTCGAGTAATGCTCCGTGTACCCCAAATCATCTCGAGATGAGAGCTGATTCCCTGGCTTAGGCTCAAGACGTATACCAACTTTCCAGAAGCACCTCAGGAGGAGGCATCTCTCCGCCATAGGTATGTGGGAGGGACCCCGAGATCGCTGCCTCAAGTGGAATATACAGCGAGAAGCCCTAACTTGAAAGGAGGCCGGATTTCCTTGCAGTGGCTTGACTACAGGCTCGTCTTTCATCTCACAACATGAAGGGATGTCTGATACCCCTGTGAAGACCTTAGAGAAAGCCTCGGTCCCTGCCTCATTTTGACGGAATGCCTCACATCTGGTTGACACCTCGAGAGGCACGCAGAGTTCATTGCTTCAAAAGGTGACGATGACTAACTCCTCTTGAATACTGATAGGTATCGCAAAATCCCTGTGGCTACTGGAAAGGGTCCTTGGGTGCACTGCCTCACCGCGAGAAGCGTCCCTTTTGCCCTGCCAAGCCTCGAAGAGATTCCTGAGGTGTCCCTCGTTAATAGACAGGAGTCCTGACGTCACTGAAGAAACTCGAGTTTTGAAGGGCTATCCCCGCTGTAAGTCGAGAACATACCCCAGGTCACCGCCGCAACTCGAGAAAAACCATGAGACTTCCCCCTAGAGGCGAGATGAGGCCCCATTCCCCCGCAGTGCATGCAGAGCTATTCCGTGATCCCATTCAAACAAGTCAGCAGCTTCGACTTGCTTAATGGGTCTCGAGACAGTCCCCAAGAACACTGTCACCAGCCTAGACGGACCCTGAAGTCAACCCAGCAACGCAAAGCAGCTCCATGTGCCCCAAATCAACTCGAGATGAGGCCCGATTCCCCTGCATTGACTCCAGAGCCATTCCCCGTTCCCGATTCAACACGACCGGTGGCTCGACTTCCTTCAGGCAACTCCAGAGATGCCCCGAGAACACTGTCCCAAGTCTAGAGGAACACCAACTTCAGCACAGCAACTCGAGGAATGCTCCGTGTACCCCAAATCGTCTCGAGATGAGAGCTCATTCCCTGGCTTAGGCTCAAGACGTATGCCAACTTTCCAGAAGCACCTCAGGCGGAGGGTTCTCTCAGCAATAGGTATGTGGGAGGGACCCCGAGTTTGCTGCCTCTAGTGGAATATACAGCGGGAAGTCCTAACTTGAAAGGAGGCCGGATTTCCTTGCAGTGGCTTGAATACAGGCTCATCTTTCATCTCACAACATGAAGGGTTGTCTGAATCCCCTGTGGAGACCTTAGAGAAAGCCTTAGGTCCCTGTCTCATTTTGACGGAATGCCTCACATCCCGTTGACCCCTCGAGAGGCACGGGGAGTTCATTGCTTCAAAAGGTGACGATGCCTGACTCCTCTTGAATACTGATAGGAATCCCAAAATCCCTGTGTCTACTGGAAAGGGTCCTTGGGTGCCCTGCCTCACCTCGAGAAGCTTCCCTTTTGCCCTGCCAAGCCTCGAAGAGATTCCTGAGGTGTCCCTCGTTACTAGACAGGAGTCCTGACATCACTGAAGAAACTCGTGTTTTGAAGGGCCATCCCCGCCGTAAGTCGAGAACATACTCCAGGTCCCCGCCACAAATCGATAAAAACCATGAGACTTCCTCCTAGAGGCGTGTTGAGGCCCCATTCCCCTGGAGTGCATGCAGAGCTATTCCGTGATCCCATTCCAACAAGTCAGGAGCTTCGACTTGCTTAATGGATCTCGAGACAGTCCCCAAGAGCACTGTCACCAGTCTAGACAGACACTGAGGTAACCCCAGCAACGCAAAGCAGCTCCATGTGCCCCAAATCAACTCGAGATGAGGCCCGATTCCCCTGCATTGACTCCAGAGCCATTCCCCGTTCCCCATTCTACACGACCGGTGGCTTGACTTCCTTCCGGCAACTCCAGAGATGCTCCGAGAACACTGTCCCAAGTCTAGAGGAACACCAACTTCAGCACAGCATCTTCAGGAATGCTCCGTGTACCCCAAATCTTCTAGAGATTAAAGCTGATTCCCTGGCTTAGGCTCAAGACGTATGCCAACTTTCCAGAAGCACCTCAAGAGGAGGCTTGTCTCAGCAATAGGTATGTAGAAGGGACCCCGTGTTTGCTGCCTCAAGGGGAATATACAGCGAGAAGCCCTAACTTGAAAGGAGGCCGGATTTCCTTGCAGTGGCTTGAATACGGGCTCGTCTTTCATCTCACAACATGAAGGGATGTCTGAATCCCTTGTGGAGACCTTAGAGAAAGCCCTAGGTCCCTTCCTCATTTTGACGGAATGCCTCACATCCCGTTGACACCTCGAGAGGCACGCGGAGTTCATTGCTTGAAAAGGGGACGATGCCTGACTCCTCTTGAATACTGATAGGAATCCCAAAATCCCTGTGGCTACTGGAAAGGGTCCTTGGGTGCCCATCCTCACCTCAAGAAGCGTCCCTATTGCCCTGCCAAGCCTCGAAGGTATTCCAGAAGTGTCCCCCGTTACTAGACAGGAGTCCTGACGTCACTGAAGAAACTCGTGTTTTGAAGGGCCATCCCCGCCGTAAGTCGAGAACATACCCCAGGTCCCCGCCTCAAATCGATAAAAACCATGAGACTTCCTCCTAGAGGCGTGATGAGGCCCCATTCCCCTGGAGTGCATGCAGAGCTATTCCGTGATCCCATTCCAACAAGTCAGGAGCTTCGACTTGCTTAATGGATCTCGAGACAGTCCCCAAGAGCACTGTCACCAGTCTAGACAGACACTGAGGTCACCCCAGCAACGCAAAGCAGCTCCATGTGCCCCAAATCAACTCGAGGTGAGGCCCGATTCCCCTGCATTGACTCCAGAGCCGTTCCCCGTTCCCCATTCAACACGACCGGTGGCTCGCCTTCCTTCAGCAACTCCAGAGATGCCCTGAGAACACTGTCCCAAGTCTAGAGGAACACCAACTTCAGCACAGCATCTTCAGGAATGCTCCATGTACCCCAAATCGTCTCGAGATGAGAGCTCATTCCCTGGCTTAGGCTTAAGACGTATGCCAACTTTCCAGAAGCACCTCAGGAGGAGGCTTCTCTCAGCAATAGGTATGTGGGAGGGACACCGAGATCGCTGCCTCAAGTGGAATATACAGCGAGAAGCCCTAACTTGAAAGGAGGCCGGATTTCCTGGCAGTGGCTTGAATACAGGCTCGTCTTTGATCTCAAAACATGAAGGGATGTCTGAATTCCCTGTGGAGACCTTAGAGAAAGCCCTAGGCCCTGCCTCATTTTGACGGAATGCCTCACATCCCGTTGACACTTCGAGAGGCATGCGGAGTTCATTGCTTGAAAAGGTGACGATGCCTGACTCCTCTTGAATACTGATAGGAATCCCAAAATCCCTGTGGCTACTGGAAAGTGTCCTTGGGTGCCCATCGTCACCTCAAGAAGCGTCCCTTTTGCCCTGCCAAACCTCGAAGGTATTCCAGAACTGTCCCCTGTTACTAGACAGGAATCCTGTCGTCACTGAAGAAACTCGTGTTTTGAAGGGCCATCCCCGCCGTAAGTCGAGAACATACCCCAGGTCCCCACCGCAACTCAAGAAAAACCATGAGACTTCCCCCTAGAGGCGAGATGAGGCCCCATTCCACTGCAGTGCATGCAGTGCTATTCCGTGATCCCATTCAAACAAGTCAGGAGCTTCGACTTGCTTAATGGATCTCGAGACATTCCCCAAGAACACTGTCACCAGTCTAGACCGACCCTGAGGTCACCCCAGCAACGCAAAGCCGCTCCATGTGCCTCAAATCAACTCGAGATGAGGCCCGATTCCCCTGCATTGACTCCAGAGCCATTCCCCGTTCCCCATTCAACACGACCGGTGGCTCGCCTTCCTTCAGCAACTCCAGAGATGCCCCGAGAACACTGTCCCAAGTCTAGAGGAACACCAACTTCAGCACAGCAACTCGAGGAATGCTCCGTGTACCCCATATCGTCTCGAGATGAGAGCTGATTCCCTGGCTTAGGCTCAAGACGTATGCCAACTTTCCAGAAGCACCTCAGGAGGAGGCATCTCTCAGCAATAGGTATGTGGGAGGGACCCCGAGATCGCTGCCTCAAGTGGAATATACAGCGAGAAGCCCTAACTTGAAAGGAGGCCGGATTTCCTTGCAGTGGCTTGACTACAGGCTCGTCTTTCATCTCACAACATGAAGGGATGTCTGATACCCCTGTGAAGACCTTAGAGAAAGCCCTAGGTCCCTGCCTCATTTTGACGGAATGCCTCACATCTGGTTGACACCTCGAGAGGCACGCGGAGTTCATTGCTTCAAAAGGTGACGATGACTGACTCTTCTTGAATACTGATAGGAATCGCAAAATCCCTGTGGCTACTGGAAAGGGTCCTTGGGTGCACTGCCTCACCTCGAGAAGCGTCCCTTTTGCCCTGCCAAGCCTCGAAGAGATTCCTGAGGTGTCCCTCGTTAATAGACAGGAGTCCTGACGTCACTGAAGAAACTCGAGTTTTGAAGGGCTCTCCCCGCTGTAAGTCGAGAACATACCCCAGGTCACCGCCGCAACTCGAGAAAAACCATGAGACTTCCCCCTAGAGGCGAGATGAGGCCCCATTCCCCTGCAGTGCATGCAGAGCTATTCCGTGATCCCATTCAAACAAGTCAGCAGCTTCGACTTGCTTAATGGGTCTCGAGACAGTCCCCAAGAACACTGTCACCAGCCTAGACGGACCCTGAGGTCAACCCAGCAACGCAAAGCAGCTCCATGTGCCCCAAATCAACTCGAGATGAGGCCCGATTCCCCTGCATTGACTCCAGAGCCATTCCCCGTTCCCCATTCAACACGACCGGTGGCTCGACTTCCTTCAGGCAACTCCAGAGATGCCCCGAGAACACTGTCCCAAGTCTAGAGGAACACCAACTTCAGCACAGCAACTCGAGGAATGCTCCGTGTACCCCAAATCGTCTCGAGATGAGAGCTCATTCCCTGGCTTAGGCTCAAGACGTATGCCAACTTTCCAGAAGCACCTCAGGAGGAGGCTTCTCTCAGCAATAGGTATGTGGGAGGGACCCCGAGTTTGCTGCCTCTAGTGGAATATACAGCGGGAAGTCCTAACTTGAAAGGAGGCCGGATTTCCTTGCAGTGGCTTGAATACAGGCTCATCTTTCATCTCACAACATGAAGGGTTGTCTGAATCCCCTGTGGAGACCTTAGAGAAAGCCTTAGGTCCCTGTCTCATTTTGACGGAATGCCTCACATCCCGTTGACCCCTCGAGAGGCACGGGGAGTTCATTGCTTCAAAAGGTGACGATGCCTGACTCCTCTTGAATACTTGTAGGAATCCCACAATCCCTGTGTCTACTGGAAAGGGTCCTTGGGTGCCCTGCCTCACCTTGAGAAGCGTCCCTTTTGCCCTGATAAGCCTCGAAGAGATTCCTGAGGTGTCCCTCGTTACTAGACAGGAGTCCTGACGTCACTGAAGAATCTCGTGTTTTGAAGGGCTATCCCCAGCGTAAGTCGAGAACATACCCCAGGTCCCCGCCTCAAATCGATAAAAACCTTGAGACTTCCTCCTAGAGGCGTGATGAGGCCCCATTCCCCTGGAGTGCATGCAGAGCTATTCCGTGATCCCATTCCAACAAGTCAGGAGCTTCGACTTGCTTAATGGATCTCGAGACAGTCCCCAAGAGCACTGTCACCAGTCTAGACAGACACTGAGGTCACCCCAGCAACGCAAAGCAGCTCCATGTGGGCCAAATCAACTCGAGGTGAGGCCCGATTCCCCTGCATTGACTCCAGAGCCATTCCCCGTTCCCCATTCAACACGACCGGTGGCTCGCCTTCCTTCAGCAACTCCATAGATGCCCTGAGAACACTGTCACAAGTCTAGAGGAACACCAACTTCAGCACAGCATCTTCAGGAATGCTCCGTGTACCCCAAATCGTCTCACGATGAGAGCTGATTCCCTGGCTTAGGCTCAAGACGTATGCCAACTTTCCAGAAGCACCTCAGGAGGAGCCTTCTCTCAGCAATAGGTATGTGGGAGGGACCCCGAGTTTGCTGCCTCAAGTGGAATATACAGCGGGAAGCCCTAACTTGAAAGGAGGACGGATTTCCTTGCAGTGGCTTGAATACGGGCTCGTCTTTCATCTCACAACATGAAGGGATGTCTGAATCCCCTGTGGAGACCTTAGAGAAAGCCCTAGGTCCCTTCCTCATTTTGACGGAATGCCTCACATCCCGTTGACACCTCGAGAGGCACGCGGAGTTCATTGCTTCAAAAGGGGACGATGCCTGACTCCTCTTGAATACTTGTAGGAATCCCACAATCCCTGTGTCTACTGGAAAGGGTCCTTGGGTGCCCTGCCTCACCTTGAGAAGCGTCCCTTTTGCCCTGCCAAGCCTCGAAGAGATTCCTGAGGCGTCTCTCATTACTAGACAGGAGTCCTGACGTCACTGAAGAAACTCGTGTTTTGAAGGGCCATCCCCGCCGTAAGTCGAGAACGTACCCCAGGTCCCCGCCGCAACTCGAGAAAAACCATGAGACTTCCCCCTAGAGGCGAGATGAGGCCCCATTCCCCTGCAGTGCATGCAGAGCTATTCCGTGATCCCATTCAAACAAGTCAGGAGCTTCGACTTGCTTAATGGATCTCGAGACAGTCCCCAAGAACACTCTCACCAGTCTAGACGGACCCTGAGGTCACCCCAGCAACGCAAAGCCGCTCCATGTGCCCCAAATCAACTCGAGATGAGGCCCGATTCCCCTGCATTGACTCCAGAGCCATTCCTTCCCCATTCAACACGACCGGTGGCTCGCCTTCCTTCAGCAACTCCAGAGATGCCCCGAGAACACTGTCCCAAGTCTAGAGGAACACCAACTTCAGCACAGCAACTCGAGGAATGCTCCGTGTACCCCAAATCGTCTCGAGATGAGAGCTCATTCCCTGGCTTAGGCTCAAGACGTATGCCAACTTTCCAGAAGCACCTCAGGAGGAGGCTTCTCTCAGCAATAGGTATGTGGGAGGGACCCCGAGTTTGCTGCCTCAAGTGGAATATACAGCGGGAAGCCCTAACTTGAAAGGAGGCCGGATTTCCTTGCAGTGGCTTGAATACAGGCTCATCTTTCATCTCACAACATGAAGGGTTGTCTGAATCCCCTGTGGAGACCTTAGAGAAAGCCTTAGGTCCCTGTCTCATTTTGACGGAATGCCTCACATCCCGTTGACCCCTCGAGAGGCACGGGGAGTTCATTGCTTCAAAAGGTGACGATGCCTGACTCGTCTTGAATACTGATAGGAATCCCCAAATCCCTGTGTCTACTGGAAAGGGTCCTTGGGTGCACTGCCTCACCTCGAGAAGCGTCCCTTTTGCCCTGCCAAGCCTCGAAGAGATTCCTGAGGTGTCCCTCGTTACTAGACAGGAGTCCTGACGTCACTGAAGAAACTCGTGTTTTGAAGGGCCATCCCCGCCGTAAGTCGAGAACATACCCCAGGTCCCCGCCTCAAATCGATAAAAACCATGAGACTTCCTCCTAGAGGCGTGATGAGGCCCCATTCCCCTGGAGTGCATGCAGAGCTATTCCGTGATCCCATTCCAACAAGTCAGGAGCTTCGACTTGCTTAATGGATCTCGAGACAGTCCCCAAGAGCACTGTCACCAGTCAAGACAGACACTGAGGTCACCCCAGCAACGCAAAGCAGCTCCATGTGCCCCAAATCAACTCGAGATGAGGCCCGATTCCCCTGCATTGACTCCAGAGCCATTCCCCGTTCCCGATTCAACACGACCGGTGGCTTGACTTCCTTCAGGCAACTCCAGAGATGCTCTGAGAACACTGTCCCAAGTCTAGAGGAACACCAACTTCAGCACAGCATCTTCAGGAATGCTCCGTGTACCCCAAATCGTCTAGCGATTAAAGATGATTCCCTGGCTTAGGCTCAAGACGTATGCCAACTTTCCAGAAGCACCTCAAGAGGAGGCTTCTCTCAGCAATAGGTATGTAGAAGGGACCCCGTGTTTGCTGCCTCAAGGGGAATATACAGCGAGAAGCCCTAACTTGAAAGGAGGCCGGATTTCCTTCCAGTGGCTTGAATACGGGCTCGTCTTTCATCTCACAACATGAAGGGATGTCTGAATCCCCTGTGGAGACCTTAGAGAAAGCCCTAGGTCCCTTCCTCATTTTGACGGAATGCCTCACATCCCGTTGACACCTCGAGAGGCACGCGGAGTTCATTGCTTCAAAAGGGGACGATGCCTGACTCCTCTTGAATACTGATAGGAATCCCAAAATCCCTGTGGCTACTGGAAAGGGTCCTTGGGTGCCCATCCTCACCTCAAGAAGCGTCCCTTTTGCCCTGCCAAGCCTCGAAGGTATTCCAGAAGTGTCCCCCGTTACTAGACAGGAGTCCTGACGTCACTGAAGAAACTCGTGTTTTGAAGGGCCATCCCCGCCGTAAGTCGAGAACATACCCCAGGTCCCCGCCTCAAATCGATAAAAACCATGAGACTTCCTCCTAGAGGCGTGATGAGGCCCCATTCCCCTGGAGTGCATGCAGAGCTATTCCGTGATCCCATTCCAACAAGTCAGGAGCTTCGACTTGCTTAATGGATCTCGCGACAGTCCCCAAGAGCACTGTCACCAGTCTAGACAGACACTGAGGTCACCCCAGCAACGCAAAGCAGCTCCATGTGCCCCAAATCAACTCGAGGTGAGGCCCGATTCCCCTGCATTGACTCCAGAGCCATTCCCCGTTCCCCATTCAACACGACCGGTGGCTCGCCTTCCTTCAGCAACTCCAGAGATGCCCTGAGAACACTGTCCCACGTCTAGAGGAACACCAACTTCAGCACAGCAACTCGAGGAATGCTCCGTGTACCCCAAATCGTCTCGAGATGAGACCTCATTCCCTGGCTTAGACTCAAGACGTATGCCAACTTTCCAGAAGCACCTCTAGAGGAGGCTTCTCTCAACAATTGGTATGTGGAAGAGACCCAGAGTTTCCTGCCTCAAGGGGAATATACAGCGAGAAGCCCTAACTTGAAAAGAGGCCGGATTTCCTTGCAGTGGCTTGAATACAGGCTCGTCTTTCATCTCACAACATGAAGGGATGTCTGAATCCCCTGTGGAGACCTTAGAGAAAGCCCTAGGCCCAGCCTCATTTTGACGGAATGCCTCACATCCCGTTGACACTTCGAGAGGCATGCGGAGTTCATTGCTTCAAAAGGTGACGATGCCTGACTCCTCTTGAATACTGATAGGAATCCCAAAATCCCTGTGGCTACTGGAAAGGGTCCTTGGGTGCCCATCGTCACCTCAAGAAGCGTCCCTTTTGCCCTGCCAAGCCTCGAAGAGATTCCTGAGGTGTCCCTCGTTAATAGACATGAGTCCTGATGTCACTGAAGAAACTCGTGTTTTGAAGGGCTATCCCCGCTGTAAGTCGAGAACATACCCCAGGTCACCGCCGCAACTCGAGAAAAACCATGAGACTTCCCCCTAGAGGCGAGATGAGGCCCCATTCCCCTGCAGTGCATGCAGAGCTATTCCGTGATCCCATTCAAACAAGTCAGGAGCTTCGACTTGCTTAATGGGTCTCGAGACAGTCCCCAAGAACACTGTCACCAGCCTAGACGGACCCTGAGGTCAACCCAGCAACGCAAAGCAGCTCCATGTGCCCCAAATCAACTCGAGATGAGGCCCGATTCCCCTGCATTGACTCCAGAGCCATTCCCCGTTCCCCATTCAACACGACCGGTGGCTCGACTTCCTTCAGGCAACTCCAGAGATGCCCCGAGAACACTGTCCCAAGTCTAGAGGAACACCAACTTCAGCACAGCAACTCGAGGAATGCTCCGTGTACCCCAAATCGTCTCGAGATGAGAGCTCATTCCCTGGCTTAGGCTCAAGACGTACGCCAACTTTCCAGAAGCACCTCAGGAGGAGGCTTCTCTCAGCAATAGGTATGTGGGAGGGACCCCGAGTTTGCTGCCTCAAGTGGAATATACAGCGGGAAGCCCTAACTTGAAAGGAGGCCGGATTTCCTTGCAGTGGCTTGAATACAGGCTCATCTTTCATCTCACAACATGAAGGGTTGTCTGAATCCCCTGTGGAGACCTTAGAGAAAGCCTTAGGTCCCTGTCTCATTTTGACGGAATGCCTCACATCCTCTTGACCCCTCGAGAGGCACGGGGAGTTCATTGCTTCAAAAGGTGACGATGCCTGACTCCTCTTGAATACTGATAGGAATCCCCAAATCCCTGTGTCTACTGGAAAGGGTCCTTGGGTGCCCTGCCTCACCTCGAGAAGCGTCCCTTTTGCCCTGCCAAGCCTCGAAGAGATTCCTGAGGTGTCCCTCGTTAATAGACAGGAGTCCTGACGTCACTGAAGAAACTCGTGTTTTGAATGGCCATCCCCGCCGTAAGTCGAGAACATACCCCAGGTCCCCGCCTCAAATCGATAAAAAACATGAGACTTCCTCCTAGAGGCGTGATGAGGCCCCATTCCCCTGGAGTGCATGCAGAGCTATTCCGTGATCCCATTCCAACAAGTCAGGAGCTTCGACTTGCTTAATGGATCTCGAGACAGTCCCCAAGAGCACTGTCACCAGTCTAGACAGACACTGAGGTCACCCCAGCAACGCAAAGCAGCTCCATGTGCCCCAATTCAACTCGAGATGAGGCCCGATTCCCCTGCATTGACTCCAGAGCCATTCCCCGTTCCCGATTCAACACGACCGGTGGCTTGACTTCCTTCAGGCAACTCCAGAGATGCTCCGAGAACACTGTCCCAAGTCTATAGGAACACCAACTTCAGCACAGCATCTTCAGGAATGCTCCGTGTACCCCAAATCGTCTAGCGATTAAAGATGATTCCCTGGCTTAGGCTCAAGACGTATGCCAACTTTCCAGAAGCACCTCAAGAGGAGGCTTCTCTCAGCAATAGGTATGTAGAAGGGACCCCGTGTTTGCTGCCTCAAGGGGAATATACAGCGAGAAGCCCTAACTTGAAAGGAGGCCGGATTTCCTTGCAGTGGCTTGAATACGGGCTCGTCTTTCATCTCACAACATGAAGGGATGTCTGAATCCCCTGTGGAGACCTTAGAGAAAGCCCTAGGTCCCTTCCTCATTTTGACGGAATGCCTCACATCCCGTTGACACCTCGAGAGGCACGCGGAGTTCATTGCTTCAAAAGGGGACGATGCCTGACTCCTCTTGAATACTGATAGGAATCCCAAAATCCCTGTGGCCACTGGAAGGGTCCTTGGGTGCCCATCCTCACCTCAAGAAGCGTCCCTTTTGCCCTGCCAAGCCTCGAAGGTATTCCAGAAGTGTCCCCCGTTACTAGACAGGAGTCCTGACGTCACTGAAGAAACTCGTGTTTTGAAGGGCCATCCCCGCCGTAAGTCGAGAACATACCCCAGGTCCCCGCCTCAAATCGATAAAAACCATGAGACTTCCTCCTAGAGGCGTGATGAGGCCCCATTCCCCTGGAGTGCATGCAGAGCTATTCCGTGATCCCATTCCAACAAGTCAGGAGCTTCGACTTGCTTAATGGATCTCGCGACAGTCCCCAAGAGCACTGTCACCAGTCTAGACAGACACTGAGGTCACCCCAGCAACGCAAAGCAGCTCCATGTGCCCCAAATCAACTCGAGGTGAGGCCCGATTCCCCTGCATTGACTCCAGAGCCATTCCCCGTTCCCCATTCAACACGACCGGTGGCTCGCCTTCCTTCAGCAACTCCAGAGATGCCCTGAGAACACTGTCCCAAGTCTAGAGGAACACCAACTTCAGCACAGCAACTCGAGGAATGCTCCGTGTACCCCATATCGTCTCGAGATGAGAGCTGATTCCCTGGCATAGGCTCAAGACGTATGCCAACTTTCCAGAAGCACCTCAGGAGGAGGCATCTCTCAGCAATAGGTATGTGGGAGGGACCCCGAGATCGCTGCCTCAAGTGGAATATACAGCGAGAAGCCCTAACTTGAAAGGAGGCCGGATTTCCTTGCAGTGGCTTGACTACAGGCTCGTCTTTCATCTCACAACATGAAGGGATGTCTGATACCCCTGTGAAAACCTTAGAGAAAGCCCTAGGTCCCTGCCTCATTTTGACGGAATGCCTCACATCTGGTTGACACCTCGAGAGGCACGCGGAGTTCATTGCTTCAAAAGGTGACGATGACTGACTCCTCTTGAATACTGATAGGAATCGCAAAATCCCTGTGGCTACTGGAAAGGGTCCTTGGGTGCACTGCCTCACCGCGAGAAGCGTTCCTTTTGCCCTGCCAAGCCTCGAAGAGATTCCTGAGGTGTCCCTCGTTAATAGACCTGAGTCCTGATGTCACTGAAGAAACTCGTGTTTTGAAGGGCTATCCCCGCTGTAAGTCGAGAACATACCCCAGGTCACCGCCGCAACTCGAGAAAAACCATGAGACTTCCCCCTAGAGGCGAGATGAGGCCCCATTCCCCTGCAGTGCATGCAGAGCTATTCCGTGATCCCATTCAAACAAGTCAGGAGCTTCGACTTGCTTAATGGGTCTCGAGACAGTCCCCAAGAACACTGTCACCAGCCTAGACGGACCCTGAGGTCAACCCAGCAACGCAAAGCAGCTCCATGTGCCCCAAATCAACTCGAGATGAGGCCCGATTCCCCTGCATTGACTCCAGAGCCATTCCCCGTTCCCCATTCAACACGACCGGTGGCTCGACTTCCTTCAGGCAACTCCAGAGATGCCCCGAGAACACTGTCCCAAGTCTAGAGGAACACCAACTTCAGCACAGCAACTCGAGGAATGCTCCGTGTACCCCAAATCGTCTCGAGATGAGAGCTCATTCCCTGGCTTAGGCTCAAGACGTACGCCAACTTTCCAGAAGCACCTCAGGAGGAGGCTTCTCTCAGCAATAGGTATGTGGGAGGGACCCCGAGTTTGCTGCCTCAAGTGGAATATACAGCGGGAAGCCCTAACTTGAAAGGAGGCCGGATTTCCTTGCAGTGGCTTGAATACAGGCTCATCTTTCATCTCACAACATGAAGGGTTGTCTGAATCCCCTGTGGAGACCTTAGAGAAAGCCTTAGGTCCCTGTCTCATTTTGACGGAATGCCTCACATCCTCTTGACCCCTCGAGAGGCACGGGGAGTTCATTGCTTCAAAAGGTGACGATGCCTGACTCCTCTTGAATACTGATAGGAATCCCCAAATCCCTGTGTCTACTGGAAAGAGTCCTTGGGTGCCCTGCCTCACCTCGAGAAGCGTCCCTTTTGCCCTGCCAAGCCTCGAAGAGATTCCTGAGGTGTCCCTCGTTAATAGACAGGAGTCCTGACGTCACTGAAGAAACTCGTGTTTTGAATGGCCATCCCCGCCGTAAGTCGAGAACATACCCCAGGTCCCCGCCTCAAATCGATAAAAAACATGAGACTTCCTCCTAGAGGCGTGATGAGGCCCCATTCCCCTGGAGTGCATGCAGAGCTATTCCGTGATCCCATTCCAACAAGTCAGGAGCTTCGACTTGCTTAATGGATCTCGAGACAGTCCCCAAGAGCACTGTCACCAGTCTAGACAGACACTGAGGTCACCCCAGCAACGCAAAGCAACTCCATGTGCCCCAAATCAACTCGAGATGAGGCCCGATTCCCCTGCATTGACTCCAGAGCCATTCCCCGTTCCCGATTCAACACGACCGGTGGCTTGACTTCCTTCAGGCAACTCCAGAGATGCTCCGAGAACACTGTCCCCAGTCTATAGGAACACCAACTTCAGCACAGCATCTTCAGGAATGCTCCGTGTACCCCAAATCGTCTAGCGATTAAAGATGATTCCCTGGCTTAGGCTCAAGACGTATGCCAACTTTCCAGAAGCACCTCAAGAGGAGGCTTCTCTCAGCAATAGGTATGTAGAAGGGACCCCGTGTTTGCTGCCTCAAGGGGAATATACAGCGAGAAGCCCTAACTTGAAAGGAGGCCGGATTTCCTTGCAGTGGCTTGAATACGGGCTCGTCTTTCATCTCACAACATGAAGGGATGTCTGAATCCCCTGTGGAGACCTTAGAGAAAGCCCTAGGTCCCTTCCTCATTTTGACGGAATGCCTCACATCCCGTTGACACCTCGAGAGGCACGCGGAGTTCATTGCTTCAAAAGGGGACGATGCCTGACTCCTCTTGAATACTGATAGGAATCCCAAAATCCCTGTGGCCACTGGAAGGGTCCTTGGGTGCCCATCCTCACCTCAAGAAGCGTCCCTTTTGCCCTGCCAAGCCTCGAAGGTATTCCAGAAGTGTCCCCCGTTACTAGACAGGAGTCCTGACGTCACTGAAGAAACTCGTGTTTTGAAGGGCCATCCCCGCCGTAAGTCGAGAACATACCCCAGGTCCCCGCCTCAAATCGATAAAAACCATGAGACTTCCTCCTAGAGGCGTGATGAGGCCCCATTCCCCTGGAGTGCATGCAGAGCTATTCCGTGATCCCATTCCAACAAGTCAGGAGCTTCGACTTGCTTAATGGATCTCGCGACAGTCCCCAAGAGCACTGTCACCAGTCTAGACAGACACTGAGGTCACCCCAGCAACGCAAAGCAGCTCCATGTGCCCCAAATCAACTCGAGGTGAGGCCCGATTCCCCTGCATTGACTCCAGAGCCATTCCCCGTTCCCCATTCAACACGACCGGTGGCTCGCCTTCCTTCAGCAACTCCAGAGATGCCCTGAGAACACTGTCCCAAGTCTAGAGGAACACCAACTTCAGCACAGCAACTCGAGGAATGCTCCGTGTACCCCAAATCGTCTCGAGATGAGACCTCATTCCCTGGCTTAGACTCAAGACGTATGCCAACTTTCCAGAAGCACCTCTAGAGGAGGCTTCTCTCAACAATTGGTATGTGGAAGAGACCCAGAGTTTCCTGCCTCAAGGGGAATATACAGCGAGAAGCCCTAACTTGAAAAGAGGCCGGATTTCCTTGCAGTGGCTTGAATACAGGCTCGTCTTTCATCTCACAACATGAAGGGATGTCTGAATCCCCTGTGGAGACCTTAGAGAAAGCCCTAGGCCCTGCCTCATTTTGACGGAATGCCTCACATCCCGTTGACACTTCGAGAGGCATGCGGAGTTCATTGCTTCAAAAGGGGACGATGCCTGACTCCTCTTGAATACTGATAGGAATCGCAAAATCCCTGTGGCTATTGGAAAGGGTCCTTGGGTGCACTGCCTCACCGCGAGAAGCGAACCTTTTGCCCTGCCAAGCCTCGAAGAGATTCCTGAGGTGTCCCTCGTTACTAGACAGGAGTCCTGACGTCACTGAAGAAACTCGTGTTTTGAAGGGCCATCCCCGCCGTAAGTCGAGAACATAACCCAGGTCCCCGCCTCAAATCGAAGAAAACCATGAGACTTCCCCCTAGAGGTAAGATGAGGCCCATTCCCCTGGAGTGCAGGCAGAGCTATTCCGTGATCCCATTCAAACAAGTCAGGAGCTTTGACTTGCTAAATGGATCTCGAAACAGTCCCCAAGAACACTGTCACCAGTCAAGACGGACCCTGAGGTCGCCCCAGCAACGCAAAGCAGATCCATATGCTCCAAATCAACTCGAGATGAGGCCTGATTCTCCTGCATTGACTCCAGAGCCATTCCCCGTTACCCATTCAACACGACCGGTGGCTCGACTTCCTTCAGGCAACTCCAGAGATGCCCCGAGAACACTGTCCCAAGTCTAGAGGAACACCAACTTCAGCACAGCAACTCGAGGAATGGTCCGTGTACCCCAAATAGTCTCGAGATAAGAGCTCATTCCCTGGCTTAGGCTCAAGACGTATGCCAACTTTCCAGAAGCACCTCAAGAGGAGGCTTCTCTCAGCAATAGATATGTGGGAGGGACCCCGAGTTTGCTGCCTCAAGTGGAATATACAGCGAGAAGCCCTAACTGGAAAAGAGGCCGGATTTCCTTGCAGTGGCTTGAATACAGGCTCGTCTTTCATCTCACAACATGAAGGGATGTCTGAATCCCCTGTGGAGACCTTAGAGAAAGCCCTATGTCCCTGCCTCATTTTGACGGAATGCCTCACATCCCGGTGACACCTCGAGAGGCACGCGGAGTTCATTGCTTCAAAAGGTGACAATGCCTGACTCCTCTTGAATACTGATAGGAATCCCAAAATCCCTGTGGCTACTGGAAAGGGTCCTTGGGTGCCCTGCCTCACCTCGAGAAGCGTCCTTTTGCCCTGCCAAGCCTCGAAGAGATTCCTGAGGTGTCCCTCGTTACTAGACAGGAGTCCTGACGTCACTGAAGAAACTCGTGTTTTGAAGGGCCATCCCCGCCGTACGTCGAGAACATACCACAGTTCCCCGCCGCAACTCGAGAAAAAACATGAGACTTCCCCCTAGAGGCGAGATGAGGCCCCATTCCCCTGCAGTGCATGCAGAGCTATTCCGTGATCCCATTCAAACAAGTCAGGAGCTTCGACTTCCTTAATGGGTCTCGAGACAGTCCCCAAGAACACTGTCACCAGCCTAGATGGACCCTGAGGTCACCCCAGCAACGCAAAGCAGATCCATGTGCCCCAAATCAACTCGAGATGAGGCCCGATTCCCCTGCATTGACTGCAGAGCCATTCCACGTTCCCCATTCAACACGACCCGTGGCTCGACTTCATTCAGGCAACTCCAGAGATGCCCCGAGAACACTGTCCCAAGTCTAGAGGAACACCAACTTCAGCACAGCAACTCGAGGAATGTTCCGTGTACCCCAAATCGTCTCGAGATGAGAGCTGATTCCCTGGCTTAGGCTCAAAACGTATGCCAACTTTCCAGGAGCACCTCAGGAGCAGGCTTCTCTCAGCAATAGGTATGTGGGAGGGACCCCGAGATCGCTGCCTCAAATGGAATATACAGCGAGAAGCCCTAACTTGAAAGGAGGCTGGATTTCCTTGCAGTGGCTTGACTACAGGCTCGTCTATCATCTCACAACATGAAGGGATGTCTGAAACCCCTGTGGAGACCTTAGAGAAAGTCCTAGGTCCCTGCCTCATTTTGACGGAATGCCTCACATCTCGTTGACACCTCGAGATGCACGCGGAGTTCATTGCTTCAAAAGGTGACGATGCCTGACTCCTCCTGAATACTGATAGCAATCCCAAAATCTCTGTGGCTACTGGAAAGGGTCCTTGGGTGCCCTGCCTCACCTCGAGAAGCGTCCCTTTTGCCCTGCCAAGCCTCGAAGAGTTTCCTGAGGTGTCCCTCGTTACTAGACCGGAGTCCTGACGTCACTGAAGAAACTCGTGTTTTGAAGGGCCATCCCCGCCGTAAGTCGAGAACATAACCCAGGTCCCCGCCGCAACTCGAGAAAAACCATGAGACTTCCCCCTAGAGGCGAGATGAGGCCCCATTCCCCTGCAGTGCATGCAGAGCTATTCCGTGATCCCATTCAAACAAGTCAGGAGCTTCGACTTCCTTAATGGGTCTCGAGAGAGTCCCCAAGAACACTGTCACCAGCCTAGACGGACCCTGAGGTCACCCCAGCAACACAAAGCAGCTCCATGTGCCCCAAATGAACTCGAGATGAGGCCCGATTCCCCTGCATTGACTGCAGAGCCATTCCCCGTTCCCCATTCAACACGATCGGTGGCTCGACTTCATTCAGGCAACCCCAGAGATGCCCCGAGAACACTTTCCCAAGTCTAGAGGAACACCAACTTCAGCAGAGCAACTCGAGGAATGTTCCGTGTACCCCAAATCGACTCGAGATGAGAGCTGATTCCCTGGCTTAGGCTCAAGACGTATGCCAACTTTCCAGAAGCACCTCAGGAGGAGGCTTCTCTCAGCAATAGGCATGTGGGAGGGACCCCGAGATCGCTGCCTCAAGTGGAATATACAGCGAAAAGCCCTAACTTGAAAGGAGGCCGGATTTCCTTGCAGTGGCTTGACTACAGGCTCGTCTTTCATCTCACAACATGAAGGGATGTCTGAAACCCCTGTGGAGACCTTAGAGAAAGCCCTAGGTCCCTGCCTCATTTTGACGGAATGCCTCACATCTCGTTGACACCTCGAGAGGCACGCGGAGTTCATTGCTTCAAAATGTGACGATGCCTGACTCCTCTTGAATACTGATAGGAATCCCAAAATCCCTGTGGCTACTGGAAAGGGTCCTTGGGTGCCCTGCCTCACCTCAAGAAGGGTCCCTTTTGCCCTGCCAAGCCTCGAAGAGATTCCTGAGGTGTCCCTCGTTACTAGACAGGAGTCCTGACGTCACTGAAGAAACTCGTGTTTTGAAGGGCCATCCCCGCCGTAAGTCGAGAACATACCCCAGGTCCCCGCCGCAACTAGAGAAAAACCATGAGACTTCCCCCTAGAGGCGAGATGAGGCCCCATTCCCCTGCAGTGCATGCAGAGCTATTCCTTGATCCCATTCTAACAAGTCAGGAGCTTCGACTTCCTTAATAGGTCTCTAGACAGTCCCCAAGAACACTGTCAGCAGCCTAGACGGTCCCTGAGGTCACCTCAGCAACGCAAAGCAGCTCCATGTGAACCAAATCAACTCGAGATGAGGCCCGATTCCCCTGCATTGACTGCAGAGTCATTCCCCGTTCCCCATTCAACACGACCCGTGGCTCGACTTCATTCAGGCAACTCCAGAGAGGCCCCGAGAACACTGTCCCAATTCTAGAGGAACACCACCTTCAGCACAGCAACTCGAGGAATGCTGCGTGTACCCCAAATCGTCTCGAGATGGGAGCTGATTCCCTGGCTTAGGCTCAAGACGTATGCCAACTTTCCAGAAGCACCACAGGAGGAGGCTTCTCTCAGCAATAGGTATGTGGGAGGGACCCCGAGATCGCTGCCTCAAGTGGAATATACAGCGAGAAGCCCTAAGTTGAAAGGAGGCCGGATTTCCTTGCAGTGGCTTGAATACAGGCTCGTCTTTCATCTCACAAAATGAAGGGATGTCTGAATCCCCTGTGGAGACCTTAGAGAAAGCCTTAGTTCCCTGCCTCATTTTGAGGGAATGCCTCACATCCCGTTGACACCTCGAGAGGCACGCGGAGTTCATTGCTTCAAAAGGTGACGATGCCTGACTCCTCTTGAATACTGATAGGAATCCCAAAATCCTTGTGGCTACAGGAAAGGGTCCTTGGGTGCCCTTCCTCACCTCGAGAAGCGTCCCTTTTGCCCTGCCCAGTCTCGAAGAGATTCCTGAGGTGTCCCTCGTTACTAGACAGGAGTCCTGACGTCACTGAAGAAACTCGTGTTTTGAAGGCCATCCCCGCCCTAAGTCGAGAACATACCCCAGGTCCCCGCCACAACTCGAGAAAAATCATGAGACTTCCCCCTAGAGGCGTGATGAGGCCCCATTCCCTTGCAGTGCATGCAGAGCTATTCCGTGATCCCATTCAAACAAGTAAGGAGCTTCGACTTGCTTAATGGATCTCGAAACAGTAACCAAGAACACTCTCACCAGTCTAGACGGAACTTGAGGTCACCCCAGCAACGTAACGCAGATCCATGTGCCCCAAATCAACTCGAGATGAGGCCTGATTCTCCTGCATTGACTCCAGAGCCATTCCCCGTTACCCATTCAACACGACCGGTGGCTCGACTTCCTTCAGGGAACTCCAGAGATGCCCTGAGAACACTGTCCCAAGTCTAGAGGAACACCAACTTCAGCACAGCAACTCGAGGAATGCTGCGTGTATCCCAAATTGTCTCGAGATGAGAGCTCATTCCCTGGCTTAGGCTCAAGACGTATGCTAACTTTCCAGAAGCACCTCAATAGGAGGCTTCTCTCAGCAATAGGTATGTGGGAGGGACCCCGAGTTTGCTGCCTCAAGTGGAATATACAGCGAGAAGCCCTAGCTTGAAAGGAGGCCGGATTTCCTTGCAGTGGCTTGAATACAGGCTCATCTTTCATCTCACAACATGAAGGGATGTCTGAATCCCCTGTGGAGACCTTAGAGAAAGCCTGAGTTCCCTGCCTCATTTTGACGGAATGCCTCACATCCCGTTGACTCCTCGAGAGGCACGCGGAGTTCATTGCTTCAAAAGGTGACGATGCCTGACTCCTCTTGAATACTGATAGGAATCCCAAAATCCCTGTGGCTACTGGAAAGGGTCCTTGGGTGCCCTGCCTCACCTCGAGAAGCGTCCCTTTTGCCCTGCCAAGCCTCGAAGAGATTCCTGAGATGTCCCTCGTTACTAGACAGGAGTCCTGACGTCACTGAAGAAACTCGTGTTTTGAAGGGCCATCCGCGCCGTAAGTCGAGAACATACCACAGGTCCCCGCCGCAACTCGAGAAAAACCATGAGACTTCCCCCTAGAGGCGAGATGAGGCCCCATTCCCCTGCAGTGCATGCAGAGCTATTCCGTGATCCCATTCAAACAAGTCAGGAGCTTCGACTTCCTTAATGGATCTCGAAACAGTCCCCAAGAACACTGTCAACAGTCTAGACGAAACTTGAGGTCACCCCAGCAACGTAAAGCAGATCCATGTGCCCCAAATCAACTCGAGATGAGGCCTGATTCTCCTGCATTGACTCCAGAGCCATTCCCCGTTCCCCATTCAACACGACAGGTGGCTCGACTTCCTTCAGGGAACTCCAGAGATGCCCTGAGAACACTGTCCCAAGTCTAGAGGAACACCAACTTCAGCACAGCAACTCGAGGAATGCTGCGTGTACCCCAAATCGTCTCGAGATGAGAGCTCATTCCCTGGCTTAGGCTCAAGACGTAAGCCAACTTTCCAGAAGCACCTCTAGAGGAGGCTTCTCTCAGCAATAGGTATGTGGAGGAGCCCCAGGGTTTGCTGCCTCAAGGGGAATATACAGCGAGAAGCCCTAACTTGAAAAGAGGCCCGATTTCCTTGCAGTGGCTTGAATACAGGCTCGTCTTTCATCTCACAACATGAAGGGATGTCTGAAACCCCTGTGGAGACCATAGAGAAAGCCCTAGGTCCCTGCCTCATTTTGACAGAATGCCTCACATCTCGTTGACACCTCGAGAGGCACGCGGAGTTCATTGCTTCAAAAGGTGACGATGCCTGACTCCTCTTGAATACTGATAGGAATCCCAAAATCCCTGTGGCTACTGGAAAGGGTCCTTGGGTGCACTGCCTCACCTCGAGAAGCGTCCCTTTTGCCCTGCCAAGCCTCGAAGAGATTCCTGAGGTGTCCCTCGTTACTAGACAGGAGTCCTGACGTCACTGAAGAAACTCGTGTTTTGAAGGGCCATCCCCGCCGTAAGTCGAGAACATACCCCAGGTCCCCGCCGCAACTCGAGAAAAACCATGAGACTTCCCCCTAGAGGCGAGTTGAGGCCCCATTCCCCTGCAGTGCATGCAGAGCTATTCCGTGATCCCATTCAAACAAGTCAGGAGCTTCGACTTGCTTAATGGGTCTCGAGACATTCCGCAAGAACTCTGTCACTAGCCTAGACGGACCCTGAGGTCACCCCAGCAACGCAAAGCAGCTCCATGTGCCCCACGTCAACTCGAGATGAGGCCCGATTCCCCTGCATTGACTGCAGAGCCATTCCCCGTTCCCCATTCAACACGACCCGTGGCTCGACTTCTTTCAGGCAACTCCAGAGATGCCCCGAGAACTCTGTCCCAAGTCTAGAGGAACACCAACTTCAGCACAGCAACTAGAGAAATGCTCCGTGTACCCCAAATCGTCTCGAGATGAGAGCTGATTCCCTGGCTTAGGCTCAAGACGTATGCCAACTTTCCAGAAGCACCTCAGGAGGAGGCTTCTCTCAGCACTAGGTATGTGGGAGGGACCCCGAGATCGCTGCCTCAAGTGGAATATACAGCGAGAAGCCCTAACTTGAAAGGAGGCCGGATTTCCTTGCATTGGCTTGACTACAGGCTCGTCTTTCATCTCACAACATGAAGGGATGTCTGAATCCCCTGTGGAGACTTTAGAGAAAGAATTACGTCCCTGCCTCATTTAGACGGAATGCCTCACATCTCGTTGACACCTCGAGAGGCACGCGGAGTTCATTGCTTCACAAGGTGACGATGCCTGACTCCTCTTGAATACTGATAGGAATCCCAAAATTCCTGTGGCTACTGGAAAGGCTCCTTAGGTGCACTGCCTCACGTCGAGAAGCGTCCCTTTTGCCCTGCCAAGCCTCGAAGAGATTCCTGAGGTGTCCCTCGTTAATAGATATTAGTCCTGACGTCACTGAAGAAACTCGTGTTTTGAAGGGCTATCCCCAGCATAAGTCGAGAACATACCCCAGGTCACCGCTGCAACACGAGAAAAACCATGAGACTTCCCCCTAGAGGCGAGATGAAGCCCCATTCCCCTGCAGTGCATGCAGAGCTATTCCGTGATCCCATTCAAACAAGTCAGGAGCTTCGACTTGCTTAATTGGTCTCGAGACAGTCCCCAAGAACACTGTCACCAGCCTAGACGGACCCTGAGGTCAACCCAGCAACGCAAAGCAGCTCCATGTGCCCCAAATGAACTCGAGATGAGGCCCGATTCCCCTGCATTGACTCCAGAGCCTTTTCCCGTTCCCCATTCAACATGACCGGTGGCTCAACTTCCTTCAGGCAACTCCAGAGATGCCCTGAGAACACTGTCCCAAGTCTAGAGGAACACCAACTTCAGCACAGCAACTCGAGGAATGCTCCGTGTACCCTAAATCGTCTCGAGATGAGAGCTCATTCCCTGGCTTAGACTCAAGACGTATGCCAACTTTCCAGAAGCACCTCTAGAGGAGGCTTCTCTCAACAATTGGTATGTGGAAGAGACCCAGAGTTTCCTGCCTCAAGGGGAATATACAGCGAGAAGCCCTAACTTGAAAAGAGGCCGGATTTCCTTGCAGTGGCTTGAATACAGGCTCGTCTTTCATCTCACAACATGAAGGGATGTCTGAATCCCCTGTGGAGACCTTAGAGAAAGCCCTAGGCCCTGCCTCATTTTGACGGAATGCCTCACATCCCGTTGACACTTCGAGAGGCATGCGGAGTTCATTGCTTCAAAAGGGGACGATGCCTGACTCCTCTTGAATACTGATAGGAATCGCAAAATCCCTGTGGCTACTGGAAAGGGTCCTTGGGTGCACTGCCTCACCGCGAGAAGCGAACCTTTTGCCCTGCCAAGCCTCGAAGAGATTCCTGAGGTGTCCCTCGTTACTAGACAGGAGTCCTGACGTCACTGAAGAAAATCGTGTTTTGAAGGGCCATCCCCGCCTTAAGTCGAGAACATACCCCAGGTCCCCCCGCAACTCGAGAAAATCCATGAGACTTCCCCCTAGAGGCGAGATGAGGCCCCATTCCACTTCAGTGCATGCAGAGCTATTCCGTGATCCCATTCAAACAAGTCAGGAGCTTCGACTTCCTTCATGGGTCTCGAGACAGTCCCCAAGAACACTGTCACCAGCCTAGACGGACCCTGAGGTCAACCCAGCAACGCAAAGCAGCTCCATGTGCCCCAAATCAACTCGAGATGAGGCCCGATTCCCCTGCATTGACTCCAGAGCCATTCCCCGTTCCCCATTCAACACGACCGGTGGCTCGACTTCCTTCAGGCAACTCCAGAGATGCCCCGAGAACACTGTCCCAAGTCTAGAGGAACACCAACTTCAGCACAGCAACTCGAGGAATGCTCCGTGTACCCCAAATCGTCTCGAGATGAGAGCTCATTCCCTGGCTTAGGCTCAAGACGTACGCCAACTTTCCAGAAGCACCTCAGGAGGAGGCTTCTCTCAGCAATAGGTATGTGGGAGGGACCCCGAGTTTGCTGCCTCAAGTGGAATATACAGCGGGAAGCCCTAACTTGAAAGGAGGCCGGATTTCCTTGCAGTGGCTTGAATACAGGCTCATCTTTCATCTCACAACATGAAGGGTTGTCTGAATCCCCTGTGGAGACCTTAGAGAAAGCCTTAGGTCCCTGTCTCATTTTGACGGAATGCCTCACATCCTCTTGACCCCTCGAGAGGCACGGGGAGTTCATTGCTTCAAAAGGTGACGATGCCTGACTCCTCTTGAATACTGATAGGAATCCCCAAATCCCTGTGTCTACTGGAAAGGGTCCTTGGGTGCCCTGCCTCACCTCGAGAAGCGTCCCTTTTGCCCTGCCAAGCCTCGAAGAGATTCCTGAGGTGTCCCTCGTTAATAGACAGGAGTCCTGACGTCACTGAAGAAACTCGTGTTTTGAATGGCCATCCCCGCCGTAAGTCGAGAACATACCCCAGGTCCCCGCCTCAAATCGATAAAAAACATGAGACTTACTCCTAGAGGCGTGATGAGGCCCCATTCCCCTGGAGTGCATGCAGAGCTATTCCGTGATCCCATTCCAACAAGTCAGGAGCTTCGACTTGCTTAATGGATCTCGAGACAGTCCCCAAGAGCACTGTCACCAGTCTAGACAGACACTGAGGTCACCCCAGCAACGCAAAGCAGCTCCATGTGCCCCAAATCAACTCGAGATGAGGCCCTATTCCCCTGCATTGACTCCAGAGCCATTCCCCGTTCCCGATTCAACACGACCGGTGGCTTGACTTCCTTCAGGCAACTCCAGAGATGCTCCGAGAACACTGTCCCAAGTCTATAGGAACACCAACTTCAGCACAGCATCTTCAGGAATGCTCCGTGTACCCCAAATCGTCTAGCGATTAAAGATGATTCCCTGGCTTAGGCTCAAGACGTATGCCAACTTTCCAGAAGCACCTCAAGAGGAGGCTTCTCTCAGCAATAGGTATGTAGAAGGGACCCCGTGTTTGCTGCCTCAAGGGGAATATACAGCGAGAAGCCCTAACTTGAAAGGAGGCTGGATTTCCTTGCAGTGGCTTGAATACGGGCTCGTCTTTCATCTCACAACATGAAGGGATGTCTGAATCCCCTGTGGAGACCTTAGAGAAAGCCCTAGGTCCCTTCCTCATTTTGACGGAATGCCTCACATCCCGTTGACACCTCGAGAGGCACGCGGAGTTCATTGCTTCAAAAGGGGACGATGCCTGACTCCTCTTGAATACTGATAGGAATCCCAAAATCCCTGTGGCCACTGGAAGGGTCCTTGGGTGCCCATCCTCACCTCAAGAAGCGTCCCTTTTGCCCTGCCAAGCCTCGAAGGTATTCCAGAAGTGTCCCCCGTTACTAGACAGGAGTCCTGACGTCACTGAAGAAACTCGTGTTTTGAAGGGCCATCCCCGCCGTAAGTCGAGAACATACCCCAGGTCCCCGCCTCAAATCGATAAAAACCATGAGACTTCCTCCTAGAGGCGTGATGAGGCCCCATTCCCCTGGAGTGCATGCAGAGCTATTCCGTGATCCCATTCCAACAAGTCAGGAGCTTCGACTTGCTTAATGGATCTCACGACAGTCCCCAAGAGCACTGTCACCAGTCTAGACAGACACTGAGGTCACCCCAGCAACGCAAAGCAGCTCCATGTGCCCCAAATCAACTCGAGGTGAGGCCCGATTCCCCTGCATTGACTCCAGAGCCATTCCCCGTTCCCCATTCAACACGACCGGTGGCTCGCCTTCCTTCAGCAACTCCAGAGATGCCCTGAGAACACTGTCCCAAGTCTAGAGGAACACCAACTTCAGCACAGCAACTCGAGGAATGCTCCGTGTACCCCAAATCGTCTCGAGATGAGACCTCATTCCCTGGCTTAGACTCAAGACGTATGCCAACTTTCCAGAAGCACCTCTAGAGGAGGCTTCTCTCAACAATTGGTATGTGGAAGAGACCCAGAGTTTCCTGCCTCAAGGGGAATATACAGCGAGAAGCCCTAACTTGAAGAGGCCGGATTTCCTTGCAGTGGCTTGAATACAGGCTGGTCTTTCATCTCACAACATGAAGGGATGTCTGAATCCCCTGTGGAGACCTTAGAGAAAGCCCTAGGCCCTGCCTCATTTTGACGGAATGCCTCACATCCCGTTGACACTTCGAGAGGCATGCGGAGTTCATTGCTTCAAAAGGTGACGATGACTGACTCCTCTTAAATACTGATAGGAATCGCAAAATCCCTGTGGCTACTGGAAAGGGTCCTTGGGTGCCCATCCTCACCTCAAGAAGCGTCCCTTTTGCCCTGCCAAGCCTCGAAGGTATTCCAGAAGTGTCCCCTGTTACTAGATAGGAATCCTGTCGTCACTGAAGAAACTCGTGTTTTGAAGGGCCATCCCCGCCGTAAGTCGAGAACATACCCCAGGTCCCCACCGCAACTCAAGAAAAACCATGAGACTTCCCCTAGAGGCGAGATGAGGCCCATTCCACTTCAGTGCATGCAGAGCTATTCCGTGATCCCATTCAAACAAGTCAGGAGCTTCGACTTGCTTAATGGATCTCGAGACATTCCCCAAGAACCCTGTCACCAGTCTAGACGGATCCTGAGGTCACCCCAGCAACGCAAAGCCGCTCCATGTGCCCCAAATCAACTCGAGATGAGGCCCGATTCCCCTGCATTGACTCCAGAGCCATTCCCCGTTCCCCATTCAACACGACCGGTGGCTCGCCTTCCTTCAGCAACTCCAGAGATGCCCCGAGAACACTGTCCCAAGTCTAGAGGAACACCAACTTCAGCACAGAAACTCGAGGAATGCTCCGTGTACCCCATATCGTCTCGAGATGAGAGCTGATTCCCTGGCATAGGCTCAAGACGTATGCCAACTTTCCAGAAGCACCTCAGGAGGAGGCATCTCTCAGCAATAGGTATGTGGGAGGGACCCCGAGATCGCTGCCTCAAGTGGAATATACAGCGAGAAGCCCTAACTTGAAAGGAGGCCGGATTTCCTTGCAGTGGCTTGACTACAGGCTCGTCTTTCATCTCACAACATGAAGGGATGTCTGATACCCCTGTGAAGACCTTAGAGAAAGCCCTAGGTCCCTGCCTCATTTTGACGGAATGCCTCACATCTGGTTGACACCTCGAGAGGCACGCGGAGTTCATTGCTTCAAAAGGTGACGATGACTGACTCCTCTTGAATACTGATAGGAATCGCAAAATCCCTGTGGCTACTGGAAAGGGTCCTTGGGTGCACTGCCTCACCGCGAGAAGCGTCCCTTTTGCCCTGCCAAGCCTCGAAGAGATTCCTGAGGTGTCCCTCGTTAATAGACCTGAGTCCTGATGTCACTGAAGAAACTCGTGTTTTGAAGGGCTATCCCCGCTGTAAGTCGAGAACATACCCCAGGTCACCGCCGCAACTCGAGAAAAACCATGAGACTTCCCCCTAGAGGCGAGATGAGGCCCCATTCCCCTGCAGTGCATGCAGAGCTATTCCGTGATCCCATTCAAACAAGTCAGGAGCTTCGACTTGCTTAATGGGTCTCGAGACAGTCCCCAAGAACACTGTCACCAGCCTAGACGGACCCTGAGGTCAACCCAGCAACGCAAAGCAGCTCCATGTGCCCCAAATCAACTCGAGATGAGGCCCGATTCCCCTGCATTGACTCCAGAGCCATTCCCCGTTCCCCATTCAACACGACCGGTGGCTCGACTTCCTTCAGGCAACTCCAGAGATGCCCCGAGAACACTGTCCCAAGTCTAGAGGAACACCAACTTCAGCACAGCAACTCGAGGAATGCTCCGTGTACCCCAAATCGTCTCGAGATGAGAGCTCATTCCCTGGCTTAGGCTCAAGACGTACGCCAACTTTCCAGAAGCACCTCAGGAGGAGGCTTCTCTCAGCAATAGGTATGTGGGAGGGACCCCGAGTTTGCTGCCTCAAGTGGAATATACAGCGGGAAGCCCTAACTTGAAAGGAGGCCGGATTTCCTTGCAGTGGCTTGAATACAGGCTCATCTTTCATCTCACAACATGAAGGGTTGTCTGAATCCCCTGTGGAGACCTTAGAGAAAGCCTTAGGTCCCTGTCTCATTTTGACGGAATGCCTCACATCCTCTTGACCCCTCGAGAGGCACGGGGAGTTCATTGCTTCAAAAGGTGACGATGCCTGACTCCTCTTGAATACTGATAGGAATCCCCAAATCCCTGTGTCTACTGGAAAGAGTCCTTGGGTGCCCTGCCTCACTTCGAGAAGCGTCCCTTTTGCCCTGCCAAGCCTCGAAGAGATTCCTGAGGTGTCCCTCGTTAATAGACAGGAGTCCTGACGTCACTGAAGAAACTCGTGTTTTGAATGGCCATCCCCGCCGTAAGTCGAGAACATACCCCAGGTCCCCGCCTCAAATCGATAAAAAACATGAGACTTCCTCCTAGAGGCGTGATGAGGCCCCATTCCCCTGGAGTGCATGCAGAGCTATTCCGTGATCCCATTCCAACAAGTCAGGAGCTTCGACTTGCTTAATGGATCTCGAGACAGTCCCCAAGAGCACTGTCACCAGTCTAGACAGACACTGAGGTCACCCCAGCAACGCAAAGCAACTCCATGTGCCCCAAATCAACTCGAGATGAGGCCCGATTCCCCTGCATTGACTCCAGAGCCATTCCCCGTTCCCGATTCAACACGACCGGTGGCTTGACTTCCTTCAGGCAACTCCAGAGATGCTCCGAGAACACTGTCCCCAGTCTATAGGAACACCAACTTCAGCACAGCATCTTCAGGAATGCTCCGTGTACCCCAAATCGTCTAGCGATTAAAGATGATTCCCTGGCTTAGGCTCAAGACGTATGCCAACTTTCCAGAAGCACCTCAAGAGGAGGCTTCTCTCAGCAATAGGTATGTAGAAGGGACCCCGTGTTTGCTGCCTCAAGGGGAATATACAGCGAGAAGCCCTAACTTGAAAGGAGGCCGGATTTCCTTGCAGTGGCTTGAATACGGGCTCGTCTTTCATCTCACAACATGAAGGGATGTCTGAATCCCCTGTGGAGACCTTAGAGAAAGCCCTAGGTCCCTTCCTCATTTTGACGGAATGCCTCACATCCCGTTGACACCTCGAGAGGCACGCGGAGTTCATTGCTTCAAAAGGGGACGATGCCTGACTCCTCTTGAATACTGATAGGAATCCCAAAATCCCTGTGGCCACTGGAAGGGTCCTTGGGTGCCCATCCTCACCTCAAGAAGCGTCCCTTTTGCCCTGCCAAGCCTCGAAGGTATTCCAGAAGTGTCCCCCGTTACTAGACAGGAGTCCTGACGTCACTGAAGAAACTCGTGTTTTGAAGGGCCATCCCCGCCGTAAGTCGAGAACATACCCCAGGTCCCCGCCTCAAATCGATAAAAACCATGAGACTTCCTCCTAGAGGCGTGATGAGGCCCCATTCCCCTGGAGTGCATGCAGAGCTATTCCGTGATCCCATTCCAACAAGTCAGGAGCTTCGACTTGCTTAATGGATCTCGCGACAGTCCCCAAGAGCACTGTCACCAGTCTAGACAGACACTGAGGTCACCCCAGCAACGCAAAGCAGCTCCATGTGCCCCAAATCAACTCGAGGTGAGGCCCGATTCCCCTGCATTGACTCCAGAGCCATTCCCCGTTACCCATTCAACACGACCGGTGGCTCGCCTTCCTTCAGCAACTCCAGAGATGCCCTGAGAACACTGTCCCAAGTCTAGAGGAACACCAACTTCAGCACAGCAACTCGAGGAATGCTCCGTGTACCCCAAATCGTCTCGAGATGAGACCTCATTCCCTGGCTTAGACTCAAGACGTATGCCAACTTTCCAGAAGCACCTCTAGAGGAGGCTTCTCTCAACAATTGGTATGTGGAAGAGACCCAGAGTTTCCTGCCTCAAGGGGAATATACAGCGAGAAGCCCTAACTTGAAAAGAGGCCGGATTTCCTTGCAGTGGCTTGAATACAGGCTCGTCTTTCATCTCACAACATGAAGGGATGTCTGAATCCCCTGTGGAGACCTTAGAGAAAGCCCTAGGCCCTGCCTCATTTTGACGGAATGCCTCACATCCCGTTGACACTTCGAGAGGCATGCGGAGTTCATTGCTTCAAAAGGGGACGATGCCTGACTCCTCTTGAATACTGATAGGAATCGCAAAATCCCTGTGGCTACTGGAAAGGGTCCTTGGGTGCACTGCCTCACCGCGAGAAGCGAACCTTTTGCCCTGCCAAGCCTCGAAGAGATTCCTGAGGTGTCCCTCGTTACTAGACAGGAGTCCTGACGTCACTGAAGAAACTCGTGTTTTGAAGGGCCATCCCCGCCTTAAGTCGAGAACATACCCCAGGTCCCCCCGCAACTCGAGAAAATCCATGAGACTTCCCCCTAGAGGCGAGATGAGGCCCCATTCCACTTCAGTGCATGCAGAGCTATTCCGTGATCCCATTCAAACAAGTCAGGAGCTTCGACTTCCTTCATGGGTCTCGAGACAGTCCCCAAGAACACTGTCACCAGCCTAGACGGACTCTGAGGTCACCCAAGCAACGCAAAGCAGCTCCATGTGCCCCAAATCAACTCGAGATGAGGCCCGATTCCCCTGCATTGACTGCAGAGCCATTCCCCGTTCCCCATTCAACACTACCGGTGGCTCGACTTCCTTCAGGCAACTCCAGAGATGCCCTGAGAACACTGTCCCAAGTCTAGAGGAACACCAAATTCAGCACAGCAACTTGAGGAATGCTCCGTGTACCCCAAATCGTCTCGAGATGAGAGCTCATTCCCTGGCTTAGGCTCAAGAAGTATGCCAACTTTCCAGAAGCACCTCAAGAGGAGGCTTCTCTCAGCAATAGGTATGTGGGAGGGACCCCGAGTTTGCTGCCTCAAGTGGAATATACAGCGAGAAGCCCTAACTTGAAAGGAGGCCGGATTTCCTTGCAGTGGCTTGACTACAGGTTCGTCTTTTATCTCACAACTTGAAGGGATGTCTGAATCCCCTGTGGAGACCTTAGAGAAAGCCCTAGGTCCCTGCCTCATTTTGACGGAATGCCTCACATCCCGTTGACACCTCGAGAGGCACGCGGAGTTCATTGCTTCAAAATGTGACGATGCCTGACTCCTCTTGAATACTGATAGGAATCCCAAAATCCCTGTGGCTACTGGAAAGGGTCCTTGGGTGCCCTGCCTCACCTCGAGAAGCGTCCCTTTTGCCCTGCAAAGCCTCGAGGAGATTCCTGAGGTGTCCCTCGTTACTAGACAGGAGTCCTGACGTCACTGAAGAAACTCGTGTTTTGAAGGGCCATCCCCGCCGTAAGTCGAGAACATAATCCAGGTCCCCGCCTCAAATCGAAGAAAACCATGAGACTTCCCCCTAGAGGCAAGATGAGGCCCCATTCCCCTGCAGTGCAGGCAGAGCTATTCCGTGATCCCATTCAAACAAGTCAGGAGCTTTGACTTGCTAAATGGATCTCGAAACAGTCCCCAAGAACACTGTCACCAGTCAAGACGGACCCTGAGGTCGCCCCAGCAACGCAAAGCAGATCCATATGCCCCAAATCAACTCGAGATGAGGCCTGATTCTCCTGCATTGACTCCAGAGCCATTCCCCGTTCCCCATTCAACACGACCGGTGGCTCGACTTCCTTCAGGCAACTCCAGAGATGCCCCGAGAACACTGTCCCAAGTCTAGAGGAACACCAACTTCAGCACAGCAACTCGAGGAATGCTCCGTGTACCCCAAATAGTCTCGAGATAAGAGCTCATTCCCTGGCTTAGGCTCAAGACGTATGCCAACTTTCCAGAAGCACCTCAAGAGGAGGCTTCTCTCAGCAATAGATATGTGGGAGGGACCCCGAGTTTGCTGCCTGAAGTGGAATATACAGCGAGAAGCCCTAACTTGAAAGGAGGCCGGATTTCCTTGCAGTGGCTTGACTACACGTTCGTCTTTTATCTCACAACATGAAGGGATGTCTGAATCCCCTGTGGAGACCTTAGAGAAAGCCCTAGGTCCCTGCCTCATTTTGACGGAATGCCTCACATCCCGTTGACACCTCGAGAGGCACGCGGAGTTCATTGCTTCAAAATGTGACGATGCCTGACTCCTCTTGAATACTGATAGGAATCCCAAAATCCCTGTGGCTACTGGAAAGGGTCCTTGGGTGCCCTGCCTCACCTGGAGAAGCGTCCCTTTTGCCCTGCCAAGCCTCGAGGAGATTCCTGAGGTGTCCCTCGTTACTAGACAGGAGTCCTGACGTCACTGAAGAAACTCGTGTTTTGAAGGGCCATCCCCGCCGTAAGTCGAGAACATAACCCAGGTCCCCGCCTCAAATCGAAGAAAACCATGAGACTTCCCCCTAGAGGTAAGATGAGGCCCATTCCCCTGGAGTGCAGGCAGAGCTATTCCGTGATCCCATTCAAACAAGTCAGGAGCTTTGACTTGCTAAATGGATCTCGAAACAGTCCCCAAGAACACTGTCACCAGTCAAGACGGACCCTGAGGTCGCCCCAGCAACGCAAAGCAGATCCATATGCTCCAAATCAACTCGAGATGAGGCCTGATTCTCCTGCATTGACTCCAGAGCCATTCCCCGTTACCCATTCAACACGACCGGTGGCTCGACTTCCTTCAGGCAACTCCAGAGATGCCCCGAGAACACTGTCCCAAGTCTAGAGGAACACCAACTTCAGCACAGCAACTCGAGGAATGGTCCGTGTACCCCAAATAGTCTCGAGATAAGAGCTCATTCCCTGGCTTAGGCTCAAGACGTATGCCAACTTTCCAGAAGCACCTCAAGAGGAGGCTTCTCTCAGCAATAGATATGTGGGAGGGACCCCGAGTTTGCTGCCTCAAGTGGAATATACAGCGAGAAGCCCTAACTGGAAAAGAGGCCGGATTTCCTTGCAGTGGCTTGAATACAGGCTCGTCTTTCATCTCACAACATGAAGGGATGTCTGAATCCCCTGTGGAGACCTTAGAGAAAGCCCTATGTCCCTGCCTCATTTTGACGGAATGCCTCACATCCCGGTGACACCTCGAGAGGCACGCGGAGTTCATTGCTTCAAAAGGTGACAATGCCTGACTCCTCTTGAATACTGATAGGAATCCCAAAATCCCTGTGGCTACTGGAAAGGGTCCTTGGGTGCCCTGCCTCACCTCGAGAAGCGTCCTTTTGCCCTGCCAAGCCTCGAAGAGATTCCTGAGGTGTCCCTCGTTACTAGACAGGAGTCCTGACGTCACTGAAGAAACTCGTGTTTTGAAGGGCCATCCCCGCCGTACGTCGAGAACATACCACAGTTCCCCGCCGCAACTCGAGAAAAAACATGAGACTTCCCCCTAGAGGCGAGATGAGGCCCCATTCCCCTGCAGTGCATGCAGAGCTATTCCGTGATCCCATTCAAACAAGTCAGGAGCTTCGACTTCCTTAATGGGTCTCGAGACAGTCCCCAAGAACACTGTCACCAGCCTAGATGGACCCTGAGGTCACCCCAGCAACGCAAAGCAGATCCATGTGCCCCAAATCAACTCGAGATGAGGCCCGATTCCCCTGCATTGACTGCAGAGCCATTCCACGTTCCCCATTCAACACGACCCGTGGCTCGACTTCATTCAGGCAACTCCAGAGATGCCCCGAGAACACTGTCCCAAGTCTAGAGGAACACCAACTTCAGCACAGCAACTCGAGGAATGTTCCGTGTACCCCAAATCGTCTCGAGATGAGAGCTGATTCCCTGGCTTAGGCTCAAAACGTATGCCAACTTTCCAGGAGCACCTCAGGAGCAGGCTTCTCTCAGCAATAGGTATGTGGGAGGGACCCCGAGATCGCTGCCTCAAATGGAATATACAGCGAGAAGCCCTAACTTGAAAGGAGGCTGGATTTCCTTGCAGTGGCTTGACTACAGGCTCGTCTATCATCTCACAACATGAAGGGATGTCTGAAACCCCTGTGGAGACCTTAGAGAAAGTCCTAGGTCCCTGCCTCATTTTGACGGAATGCCTCACATCTCGTTGACACCTCGAGATGCACGCGGAGTTCATTGCTTCAAAAGGTGACGATGCCTGACTCCTCCTGAATACTGATAGCAATCCCAAAATCTCTGTGGCTACTGGAAAGGGTCCTTGGGTGCCCTGCCTCACCTCGAGAAGCGTCCCTTTTGCCCTGCCAAGCCTCGAAGAGTTTCCTGAGGTGTCCCTCGTTACTAGACCGGAGTCCTGACGTCACTGAAGAAACTCGTGTTTTGAAGGGCCATCCCCGCCGTAAGTCGAGAACATAACCCAGGTCCCCGCCGCAACTCGAGAAAAACCATGAGACTTCCCCCTAGAGGCGAGATGAGGCCCCATTCCCCTGCAGTGCATGCAGAGCTATTCCGTGATCCCATTCAAACAAGTCAGGAGCTTCGACTTCCTTAATGGGTCTCGAGAGAGTCCCCAAGAACACTGTCACCAGCCTAGACGGACCCTGAGGTCACCCCAGCAACACAAAGCAGCTCCATGTGCCCCAAATGAAGTCGAGATGAGGCCCGATTCCCCTGCATTGACTGCAGAGCCATTCCCCGTTCCCCATTCAACACGATCGGTGGCTCGACTTCATTCAGGCAACCCCAGAGATGCCCCGAGAACACTTTCCCAAGTCTAGAGGAACACCAACTTCAGCAGAGCAACTCGAGGAATGTTCCGTGTACCCCAAATCGACTCGAGATGAGAGCTGATTCCCTGGCTTAGGCTCAAGACGTATGCCAACTTTCCAGAAGCACCTCAGGAGGAGGCTTCTCTCAGCAATAGGCATGTGGGAGGGACCCCGAGATCGCTGCCTCAAGTGGAATATACAGCGAAAAGCCCTAACTTGAAAGGAGGCCGGATTTCCTTGCAGTGGCTTGACTACAGGCTCGTCTTTCATCTCACAACATGAAGGGATGTCTGAAACCCCTGTGGAGACCTTAGAGAAAGCCCTAGGTCCCTGCCTCATTTTTACGGAATGCCTCACATCTCGTTGACACCTCGAGAGGCACGCGGAGTTCATTGCTTCAAAATGTGACGATGCCTGACTCCTCTTGAATACTGATAGGAATCCCAAAATCCCTGTGGCTACTGGAAAGGGTCCTTGGGTGCCCTGCCTCACCTCAAGAAGGGTCCCTTTTGCCCTGCCAAGCCTCGAAGAGATTCCTGAGGTGTCCCTCGTTACTAGACAGGAGTCCTGACGTCACTGAAGAAACTCGTGTTTTGAAGGGCCATCCCCGCCGTAAGTCGAGAACATACCCCAGATCCCCGCCGCAACTAGAGAAAAACCATGAGACTTCCCCCTAGAGGCGAGATGAGGCCCCATTCCCCTGCAGTGCATGCAGAGCTATTCCTTGATCCCATTCTAACAAGTCAGGAGCTTCGACTTCCTTAATAGGTCTCTAGACAGTCCCCAAGAACACTGTCAGCAGCCTAGACGGTCCCTGAGGTCACCTCAGCAACGCAAAGCAGCTCCATGTGAACCAAATCAACTCGAGATGAGGCCCGATTCCCCTGCATTGACTGCAGAGTCATTCCCCGTTCCCCATTCAACACGACCCGTGGCTCGACTTCATTCAGGCAACTCCAGAGAGGCCCCGAGAACACTGTCCCAATTCTAGAGGAACACCACCTTCAGCACAGCAACTCGAGGAATGCTGCGTGTACCCCAAATCGTCTCGAGATGGGAGCTGATTCCCTGGCTTAGGCTCAAGACGTATGCCAACTTTCCAGAAGCACCACAGGAGGAGGCTTCTCTCAGCAATAGGTATGTGGGAGGGACCCCGAGATCGCTGCCTCAAGTGGAATATACAGCGAGAAGCCCTAAGTTGAAAGGAGGCCGGATTTCCTTGCAGTGGCTTGAATACAGGCTCGTCTTTCATCTCACAAAATGAAGGGATGTCTGAATCCCCTGTGGAGACCTTAGAGAAAGCCTTAGTTCCCTGCCTCATTTTGAGGGAATGCCTCACATCCCGTTGACACCTCGAGAGGCACGCGGAGTTCATTGCTTCAAAAGGTGACGATGCCTGACTCCTCTTGAATACTGATAGGAATCCCAAAATCCTTGTGGCTACAGGAAAGGGTCCTTGGGTGCCCTTCCTCACCTCGAGAAGCGTCCCTTTTGCCCTGCCCAGCCTCGAAGAGATTCCTGATGTGTCCCTCGTTACTAGACAGGAGTCCTGACGTCACTGAAGAAACTCGTGTTTTGAAGGCCATCCCCGCCCTAAGTCGAGAACATACCCCAGGTCCCCGCCACAACTCGAGAAAAATCATGAGACTTCCCCCTAGAGGCGTGATGAGGCCCCATTCCCTTGCAGTGCATGCAGAGCTATTCCGTGATCCCATTCAAACAAGTAAGGAGCTTCGACTTGCTTAATGGATCTCGAAACAGTAACCAAGAACACTCTCACCAGTCTAGACGGAACTTGAGGTCACCCCAGCAACGTAACGCAGATCCATGTGCCCCAAATCAACTCGAGATGAGGCCTGATTCTCCTGCATTGACTCCAGAGCCATTCCCCGTTACCCATTCAACACGACCGGTGGCTCGACTTCCTTCAGGGAACTCCAGAGATGCCCTGAGAACACTGTCCCAAGTCTAGAGGAACACCAACTTCAGCACAGCAACTCGAGGAATGCTGCGTGTATCCCAAATTGTCTCGAGATGAGAGCTCATTCCCTGGCTTAGGCTCAAGACGTATGCTAACTTTCCAGAAGCACCTCAATAGGAGGCTTCTCTCAGCAATAGGTATGTGGGAGGGACCCCGAGTTTGCTGCCTCAAGTGGAATATACAGCGAGAAGCCCTAGCTTGAAAGGAGGCCGGATTTCCTTGCAGTGGCTTGAATACAGGCTCATCTTTCATCTCACAACATGAAGGGATGTCTGAATCCCCTGTGGAGACCTTAGAGAAAGCCTGAGTTCCCTGCCTCATTTTGACGGAATGCCTCACATCCCGTTGACTCCTCGAGAGGCACGCGGAGTTCATTGCTTCAAAAGGTGACGATGCCTGACTCCTCTTGAATACTGATAGGAATCCCAAAATCCCTGTGGCTACTGGAAAGGGTCCTTGGGTGCCCTGCCTCACCTCGAGAAGCGTCCCTTTTGCCCTGCCAAGCCTCGAAGAGATTCCTGAGATGTCCCTCGTTACTAGACAGGAGTCCTGACGTCACTGAAGAAACTCGTGTTTTGAAGGGCCATCCCCGCCGTAAGTCGAGAACATACCACAGGTCCCCGCCGCAACTCGAGAAAAACCATGAGACTTCCCCCTAGAGGCGAGATGAGGCCCCATTCCCCTGCAGTGCATGCAGAGCTATTCCGTGATCCCATTCAAACAAGTCAGGAGCTTCGACTTCCTTAATGGATCTCGAAACAGTCCCCAAGAACACTGTCAACAGTCTAGACGAAACTTGAGGTCACCCCAGCAACGTAAAGCAGATCCATGTGCCCCAAATCAACTCGAGATGAGGCCTGATTCTCCTGCATTGACTCCAGAGCCATTCCCCGTTCCCCATTCAACACGACAGGTGGCTCGACTTCCTTCAGGGAACTCCAGAGATGCCCTGAGAACACTGTCCCAAGTCTAGAGGAACACCAACTTCAGCACAGCAACTCGAGGAATGCTGCGTGTACCCCAAATCGTCTCGAGATGAGAGCTCATTCCCTGGCTTAGGCTCAAGACGTAAGCCAACTTTCCAGAAGCACCTCTAGAGGAGGCTTCTCTCAGCAATAGGTATGTGGAGGAGCCCCAGGGTTTGCTGCCTCAAGGGGAATATACAGCGAGAAGCCCTAACTTGAAAAGAGGCCCGATTTCCTTGCAGTGGCTTGAATACAGGCTCGTCTTTCATCTCACAACATGAAGGGATGTCTGAAACCCCTGTGGAGACCATAGAGAAAGCCCTAGGTCCCTGCCTCATTTTGACAGAATGCCTCACATCTCGTTGACACCTCGAGAGGCACGCGGAGTTCATTGCTTCAAAAGGTGACGATGCCTGACTCCTCTTGAATACTGATAGGAATCCCAAAATCCCTGTGGCTACTGGAAAGGGTCCTTGGGTGCACTGCCTCACCTCGAGAAGCCTCCCTTTTGCCCTGCCAAGCCTCGAAGAGATTCCTGAGGTGTCCCTCGTTACTAGACAGGAGTCCTGACGTCACTGAAGAAACTCGTGTTTTGAAGGGCCATCCCCGCCGTAAGTCGAGAACATACCCCAGGTCCCCGCCGCAACTCGAGAAAAACCATGAGACTTCCCCCTAGAGGGGAGTTGAGGCCCCATTCCCCTGCAGTGCATGCAGAGCTATTCCGTGATCCCATTCAAACAAGTCAGGAGCTTCGACTTGCTTAATGGGTCTCGAGACATTCCGCAAGAACTCTGTCACTAGCCTAGACGGACCCTGAGGTCACCCCAGCAACGCAAAGCAGCTCCATGTGCCCCACGTCAACTCGAGATGAGGCCCGATTCCCCTGCATTGACTGCAGAGCCATTCCCCGTTCCCCATTCAACACGACCCGTGGCTCGACTTCTTTCAGGCAACTCCAGAGATGCCCCGAGAACTCTGTCCCAAGTCTAGAGGAACACCAACTTCAGCACAGCAACTAGAGAAATGCTCCGTGTACCCCAAATCGTCTCGAGATGAGAGCTGATTCCCTGGCTTAGGCTCAAGACGTATGCCAACTTTCCAGAAGCACCTCAGGAGGAGGCTTCTCTCAGCACTAGGTATGTGGGAGGGACCCCGAGATCGCTGCCTCAAGTGGAATATACAGCGAGAAGCCCTAACTTGAAAGGAGGCCGGATTTCCTTGCATTGGCTTGACTACAGGCTCGTCTTTCATCTCACAACATGAAGGGATGTCTGAATCCCCTGTGGAGACTTTAGAGAAAGAATTAGGTCCCTGCCTCATTTAGACGGAATGCCTCACATCTCGTTGACACCTCGAGAGGCACGCGGAGTTCATTGCTTCAAAAGGTGACGATGCCTGACTCCTCTTGAATACTGATAGGAATCCCAAAATCCCTGTGGCTACTGGAAAGGCTCCTTAGGTGCACTGCCTCACGTCGAGAAGCGTCCCTTTTGCCCTGCCAAGCCTCGAAGAGATTCCTGAGGTGTCCCTCGTTAATAGATATTAGTCCTGACGTCACTGAAGAAACTCGTGTTTTGAAGGGCTATCCCCAGCGTAAGTCGAGAACATACCCCAGGTCACCGCTGCAACACGAGAAAAACCATGAGACTTCCCCCTAGAGGCGAGATGAAGCCCCATTCCCCTGCAGTGCATGCAGAGCTATTCCGTGATCCCATTCAAACAAGTCAGGAGCTTCGACTTGCTTAATTGGTCTCGAGACAGTCCCCAAGAACACTGTCACCAGCCTAGACGGACCCTGAGGTCAACCCAGCAACGCAAAGCAGCTCCATGTGCCCCAAATGAACTCGAGATGAGGCCCGATTCCCCTGCATTGACTCCAGAGCCTTTTCCCGTTCCCCATTCAACATGACCGGTGGCTCAACTTCCTTCAGGCAACTCCAGAGATGCCCTGAGAACACTGTCCCAAGTCTAGAGGAACACCAACTTCAGCACAGCAACTCGAGGAATGCTCCGTGTACCCTAAATCGTCTCGAGATGAGAGCTCATTCCCTGGCTTAGACTCAAGACGTATGCCAACTTTCCAGAAGCACCTCTAGAGGAGGCTTCTCTCAACAATTGGTATGTGGAAGAGACCCAGAGTTTCCTGCCTCAAGGGGAATATACAGCGAGAAGCCCTAACTTGAAAAGAGGCCGGATTTCCTTGCAGTGGCTTGAATACAGGCTCGTCTTTCATCTCACAACATGAAGGGATGTCTGAATCCCCTGTGGAGACCTTAGAGAAAGACCTAGGTCCCTGCCTCATTTTGACGAAAGGCCTCACATCCCGTTGACACCTCGAGAGGCAGGCGGAGTTCATTGCTTCAAAAGGTGACGATGCCTGACTCCTCTTGAATACTGATAGGAATCCCAATATCCCTGTGGCTACTGGAAAGGGTCCTTGGGTGCCCTGCCTCACCTCGAGAAGCGTCCCTTTTGCCCTGCCAAGCCTCGAAGAGATTACTGAGGTGTTCCTCGTTACTAGACAGGAGTCCTGACGTCTCTGAAGAAACTCGTGTTTTGAAGGGCCATCCCCGATGTAAGTCGAGAACATACACAGGTCCCCGCCGCAACTCGAGAAAAAACATGAGACTTCACCCTAGAGGCGAGATGAGGCCCCATTCCCCTGCAGTGCATGCAGAGCTATTCCGTGATCCCATTCAAACAAGTCAGGAGCTTCGACTTGCTTAATGGATCTCGAAACAGTCCCCAAGAACACTCTCACCAGTCTAGACGGAACTTGAGGTCACCCCAGCAACGCAAAGCAGCTCCATGTGCCCCAAATCAACTCGAGATGAGGCCTGATTCTCCTGCATTGACTCCAGAGCCATTCCCCGTTACCCATTCAACACGACCGGTGGCTCGACTTCCTTCAGGCAACTCCAGAGATGCCCTGAGAACACTGTCCCAAGGCTAGAGGAACACCAACTTCAGCACAGCAACTTGAGGAATGCTCCGTGTACCCCAAATCGTCTCGAGATGAGAGCTCATTCCCTGGCTTAGGCTCAAGACGTATGTCAACTTTCCAGAAGCACCTCAAGAGGAGGCTTCTCTCAGCAATAGGTATGTGGGAGGGATCCCGAGTTTGCTGCCTCAAGTGGAATATACAGCGAGAAGCCCTAACTTGAAAGGAGGCCGGATTTCCTTGCAGTGGCTTGACTACAGGTTCGTCTTTCATCTCACAACATGAAGGGATGTCTGAATCCCCTGTGGAGACCTTAGAGAAAGCCTTAGTTCCCTGCCTCATTTTGACGGAATGCCTCACATCCCGGTGACACCTCGAGAGGCACGCGGAGTTCATTGCTTCAAAAGGTGACGATGGCTGACTCCTCTTGAATACTGATAGGAATCCCAAAATCTCTGTGGCTACTGGAAAGGGTCCTTGGGTGCCCTGCCTCACCTCGAGACGCGTCCCTTTTGCCCTGCCAAGCCTCGGAGAGATTCCTGAGGTGTCCCTCGTTACTAGACTGGAATCCTGACATCACTGAAGAAACTCGTGTTTTGAAGTGCCATCCCCTCCGTAAGTCGAGAACATACCCCAGGTCCCCGCGGCAACTCGAGAAAAACCATGAGACTTCCCCCTAGAGGCGAGATGAGGCCCCATTCCCCTGCAGTGCATGCACAGCTATTCCGTGATCCCATTCAAACAAGTCAGGAGCTTCGACTTGCTTAATGGATCTCTAGACAGTCCCCAAGAACACTGTCACCAGCCTAGACGGACCCTGAGGTCACCCCAGCAACGCAAAACAGCTCCATGTGCCCAAATCAACTCGAGATGAGGCCCGATTCCCCTGCATTGACTACAGAGCCATTCCCCGTTCCCCATTCAACGTGACCGGTGGCTCGACTTCATTCAGGCAACTCCAGAGATGCCCCGAGAACACTGTCCCAAGTCTAGAGGAACACCAACTTCAGCACAGCAACTCGAAGAATGATCCGTGTACCCCAAATCGTCTCGAGATGAGTGCTGATTCCCTGGCTTAGGCTCAAGACGTATGCCAACTTTCCAGAAGCACCTCAGGAGGAGGCTTCTCTCAGCAATAGGTATGTGGGAGGAACCCCGAGATCGCTGTCTCAAGTGGAATATACAGCGAGAAGCCCTAACTTGAAAGGAGGCCGGATTTCCTTGCAGTGGCTTGACTACAGGCTCGTCTTTCATCTCACAACATGAAGGGATGTCTGAAACCCCTGTGGAGACCTTAGAGAAAGCCTTAGGTCCCTGCCTCATTTTGACGGAATGCCTCACATCACGTTGTCACCTCGAGAAGCACGCGGAGTTCATTGCTTCAAAAGGTGACGATGCCTGACTCCTCTTGAATACTGATAGGAATACCAAAATCCCTGTGGCTACTGGAAAGGGTCTTTGGGTGCCCTGCCTCACTTCGAGAAGCGTCCCTTTTGCCCTGCCCAGCCTCGAAGAGATTCCTGAGGTGTCCCTCGTTACTAGACAGGAGTCCTGACGTCACTGAAGAAACTCGTGTTTTGAAGGGCCATCCCCGCCGTAAGTGGATAACATAACCCAGGTCCACGCCGCAACTCGAGAAAAACCATGAGACTTCCCCCTGGAGGCGTGATGAGGCCCCATTCCCCTGCAGTGCATGCAGAGCTATTCCGTGATCCCATTCAAACTAGTCAGGAGCTTCAACTTCCTTAATGGGTCTCGAGACAGTCCGCAGGAACACTGTCACCAGCCTAGACGGACACTGAGGTCACCCCAGCAACGCAAAGCAGCTCCATGTGCCCCAAATCAACTCGAGATGAGGCCCGATTCCCCTGCATTGACTGCAGAGCCATTCGCCGTTCCCCATTCAACACGACCCGTGGTTCGACTTCGTTCAGGCAACTCCAGGGATGCCCCGAGAACACTTTCCCAAGTCTAGAGGAACACCAACTTCAGCAGAGCAACTCGAGGAATGTTCCGTGTACCCCAAATCGTCTCGAGATGAGACCTGATTCCCTGGCTTAGGCTCAAGACGTATGCCAACTTTCCAGAAGCACCTCAGGAGGAGGCTTCTCTCAGCAATAGGCATGTGGGAGGGACCCCGAGAACGCTGCCTCAAGTGGAATATACAGCGAAAAGCCCTAACTTGAAAGGAGGCCGGATTTCCTTGCAGTGGCTTGACTACAGGCTCGTCTTTCATCTCACATCATGAAGGGATGTCTGAAACCCCTGTGGAGACCTTAGAGAAAGCCCTAGGTCCCTGCCTCATTTTGACGGAATGCCTCACATCTCGTTGACACCTCGAGAGGCACGCGGAGTTCATTGCTTAAAAAGGTGACGATGCCTGACTCCTCTTCAATACTGATAGGAATCCCAAAATCCGTGTGTCTACTGGAAAGGGTCCTTGGGTGCCCTGCCTCACTTCGAGAAGCGTCCCTTTTACCCTGCCCAGCCTCGAAGAGATTCCTGAGGTTTCCCTCGTTACTAGACAGGAGTCCTGACGTCACTGAAGAAACTCGTGTTTTGAAGGGCCATCCCCGCCGTAAGTCGAGAACATACCCCAGGTCCCCGCCACATCTCGAGAAAAATCATGAGACTTCCCCCTAGAGGCGTGATGAGGCCCCATTCCCTTGCAGTGCATGCAGAGCCATTCCGTGATCCTATTCAAACAAGTCAGAAGCTTCGACTTGCTTAATGGATCTCGAAACAGTCCCCAAGAACACTGTCACCAGTCTAGACGGAACTTGAGGTCACCCCAGCAACGCAAAGCAGATCCATGTGCCCCAAATCAACTCGAGATGAGGCCTGATTCTCCTGCATTGACCCCAGAGCCATTCCCCGTTACCCATTCAACACGACCGGTGGCTCGACTTCCTTCAGGGAACTCCAGAGATGCCCTGAGAACACTGTCCCAAGTCTAGAGGAACACCAACTTCAGCACAGCAACTCGAGGAATGCTGCGTGTACCCCAAATCGTCTCGAGATGAGAGCTCATTCCCTGGCTTAGGCTCAAGACGTATGCTAACTTTCCAGAAGCACCTCAAGTGGAGGCTTCTCTCAGCAATAGGTATGTGGGAGGGACCCCGAGTTTGCTGCCTCAAGTGGAATATACAGCGAGAAGCCCTAACTTGAAAGGAGGCCGGATTTCCTTGCAGTGGCTTGACTACAGGCTCGTCTTTCATCTCAAAACATGAAGGGATGTCTGAATCCCGTGTGGAGACCTTAGAGAAAGCCCTAGGTCCCTGCCTCATTTTGACGGAATGCCTCACATCCCGTTGAATCCTCGAGAGGCACTCGGAGTTCATTGCTTCAAAATGTGACGATGCCTGACTCTTCTTGAATACTGATAGGAATCCCAAAATCCCTGTGGCTACTGGAAAGGGTCCTTGGGTGCCCTGCCTCACCTCGAGAAGCGTCCCTTTTGCCCTGCCAAGCCTCGAAGAGATTCCTGAGGTGTCCCTCGTTAATAGACAGGAGTCCTGACGTCACTGAAGAAACTCGTGTTTTGAAGGGCTATCCCCGCCGTAAGTCGAGAACATACCCCAGGTCCCCGCCGCAACTTGAGAAAAACCATGTGAATTCCCCCTAGAGGTGAGATGAGGCCCCATTCCCCTGCAGTGCATGCAGAGCTATTCCGTGATCCCATTCAAACAAGTCAGGAGCTTCGACTTGCTTAATGGGTCTCGAGACAGTCCCCAAGAACACTGTCACCAGTCTAGACGGACCCTGAGGTCACCCCAGCAACGCAAAGCAGATCCAGGTGCCCCAAATGAACTCGAGATGAGGCCCAATTCCCCTGCATTGACTCCAGAGCCATTCCCCGTTCCCCATTCAACACCACCGGTGGCTCGACTTCCTTCAGGCAACTCCAGAGATGCCCTGAGAACACTGTCCCAAGTCTAGAGGAAAACCAACTTCAGCACAGCAACTCGAGGAATGCTGCGTGTACCCCAAAACGTCTCGAGATGAGAGCTCATTCCCTGGCTTAGGCTCAAGACGTATGCCAACTTTCCAGAAGCACCTCAAGAGGAGGCTTCTCTCAGCAATAGGTATTTGGGAGGGACCCCGAGTTTGCTGCCTCAAGTGGAATATACAGCGAGAAGCCCTAACTTGAAAGGAGGCCGGATTTCCTTGCAGTGGCTTGACTACAGGCTCGTCTTTCATCTCACAACATGAAGGGATGTCTGAATCCCCTGTGGAGAACTTAGAGAAAGACCTAGGTCCCTGCCTCATTTTGACGGAATGCCTCACATACCGTTGACTCCTCGAGAGGCACGCGGAGTTCATTGCTTCAAAATGTGACGATGCCTGATTCTTCTTGAATACTGATAGGAATCCCAAAATCCCTGTGGCCACTGGAAAGGGTCCTTGGGTGCCCTGCCTCACCTCGAGAAGCGTCCCTTTTGACCTGCCAAGCCTCGAAGAGATTCCTGAGGTGTCCCTCGTTACTAGACAGGAGTCCTGACGTCACTGAAGAAACTCGTGTTTTGAAGGGCCATCCCCGCCGTAAGTCGAGAACATACCCCAGGTCCCCGCCGCAACTCGAGAAAAACCATGAGACTTCCCCGTAGAGGCGTGTTGAGGCCCCATTCCCCTGCAGTGCATGCAGAGCTATTCCGTGATCCCATTCAAACAAGTCAGGAGCTTCGACTTCCTTAATGGGTCTCGAGACAGTCCCCAAGAACACTGTCACCAGCCTAGAGGGACCCTGAGGTCACCCCAGCAATGCAAAGCAGCTCCATGTGCCCCAAATCAACTCGAGATGAGGCCCGATTCCCCTGCATTGAGTGCAGAGCCATTCCCCGTTCCCCATTCAACACGACCGGTGGCTCGACTTCATTCAGGCAACTCCAGAGATGCCCCGAGAACACTGTCCCAAGTCTAGAGGAACACCAACTTCAGCACAGCAACTCGAGGAATGTTCCGTGTACCCCAAATCGTCTCGAGATGAGAGCTGATTCCCTGGCTTAGGCTCAAGACGTATGCCAACGTTCCAGAAGCACCTCAGGAGGAGGCTTCTCTCAGCAATAGGTATGTGGGAGGGACCCCGAGACCGCTGCCTCAAGTGCAATATACAGCGAGAAGCCCTAACTTGAAAGGAGGCCGGATTTCCGTGCAGTGGCTTGACTACAGACTCGTCTTTCATCTCACAACGTGAAGGGATGTCTGAATCCCCTGTGGAGACCTTAGAGAAAGCCCTAGGTCCCTGCCTCATTTTGACGGAATGCCTCACATCCCGTTGACTCCTCGAGAGGCACGCGGAGTTCATTGCTTCAAAATGTGACGATGCCTGACTCTTCTTGAATACTGATAGGAATCCCAAAATCCCTGTGGCTACTGGAAAGTGTCCTTGAGTGCCCTGCCTCACCTCGAGAAGCATCCCTTTTGCCCTGCCAAGCCTCGAAGAGATTCCTGAGGTGTCCCTCGTTACTAGACAGGAGTCGTGACGTCACTGAAGAAACTCGTGTTTTGAAGGGCCATCCCCGCCGTAAGTCGAGAACGTACCCCAGGTCCCCTCCGCAACTCGAGAAAAAACATGAGACTTCCCCCTAGAGGCGTGATGAAGCCCCTTCCCTTGCCGTGCATGCAGAGCTATTCCGTGATCCCATTCAAACAAGTCAGGATCTTCGACTTGCTTAATGGATCTCGAAACAGTCCCCAAGAACACTGTCACCAGTCTAGACGGAACCTGAGGTCACCCCAGCAACGCAAAGCAGATCCATGTGCCCCAAATCAACTCGAGATGAGGCCTGATTCTCCTGCATTGACTCCAGAGCCATTCCCCGTTACCCATTCAACACGACCAGTGGCTCGACTTCCTTCAGGGAACTCCAGAGATGCCCTGAGAACACTGTCTCAAGTGTAGAGGAACACAAACTTCAACACAGCAACTCGAGGAATGCTCCGTGTACCCCAAATCGTCTCGAGATAAGAGCTCATTCCCTGGCTTAGGCTCAAGACGTATGCCAACTTTCCAGAAGCACCTGAAGAGGAGGCTTCTCTCAGCAATAGTTATGTGGGAGGGACCCCGAGATTGCTGCCTCAAGTGGAATATACAGCGAGAAGCCCTAACTTGAAAGGAGGCCGGATTTCCTTGCAGTGGCTTGAATACAGGCTCATCTTTCATCTCACAACATGAAGGGATGTCTGAATCCCCAGTGGAGACCTTAGAGAAAGCCTTAGTTCCCTGCCTCATTTTGACGGAATGCCTCACATCCCGTTGACACCTCGAGAGGCACGCGGAGTTCATTGCTTCAAAAGGTGACGATGCCTGACTCCTCTTGAATACTGATAGGAATCCCAAAATCCCTGTGGCTACTGGAAAGGGTCCTTGGGTGCCCTGCCTCACCTCGAGAAGCGTCCCTTTTGCCCTGCCAAGCCTCGAAGAGATTCCTGAGGTGTCCCTCGTTACTAGACAGGAGTCCTGACGTCACTGAAGAAACTCGTGTTTTGAAGGGCCATCCCCGCCGTAAGTCGAGAACATACCCCAGGTCCCCGCCGCAACTCGAGAAAAACCATGAGACTTCCCCCTAGAGGCGAGATGAGGCCCCATTCCCCTGCAGTGCATGCAGAGCTCTTCCGTGATCCCATTCAAACAAGTCAGGAGCTTCGACTTGCTTAATGGATCTCGAAACAGTCCCCAAGAACACTGTCACCAGTCTAGACGGAACCTGAGGTCACCCCAGCAAAGCAAATCAGATCCAGGTGCCCCAAATGAACTCGAGATGAGGCCCAATTCCCCTGCATTGACTCCAGAGCCATTCCCCGTTCCCCATTCAACACGACCGGTGGCTCCACTTCATTCAGGGAACTCCAGAGATGCCCCGAGAACACTGTCCCAAGTCTAGAGGAACACCAACTTCAGCACAGCAACTCGAGGAATGTTCCGTGTACCCCAAATCATCTCGAGATGAGAGCTGATTCCCTGGCTTAGGCTCAAGACTTATGCCAACTTTCCAGAAGCACCTCAGGAGGAGGCTTCTCTCAGCACTAGGTATGTGGGAGGGACCCCGAGATCGCTGCCTCAAGTGTAATATACAGCGAGAAGCCCTAACTTGAAAGGAGGCCGGATTTCCTTGCAGTGGCTTGACTACAGGCTCGTCTTTCATCTCACAACATGAAGGGATGTCTGAATCTCCTGTGGAGACCTTAGAGAAAGCCCTAAGTCCCTGCCTCATTTTGACAGAATGCCTCACATCTCGTTGACACCTCGAGAGGCACGCGGAGTTCATTGCTTCAAAAGGTGACGATGCCTGACTCCTCTTGAATACTGATAGGAATCCCAAAATCCCTGTGGCTACTGGAAAGGGTCCTTGAGTGTACTGCCTCACCTCGAGAAGCGTCCCTTTTGCCCTGCCAAGCCTCGAAGAGATTCCTGAGGTGTCCCTCGTTAATAGACAGGAGTCCTGACGTCACTGAAGAAACTCGTGTTTTGAAGGGCTATCCCCGCCGTAAGTCGAGAACATACCCCAGGTCCCCGCCGCAACTCGAGGAAAACCATGAGACTTCCCCCTAAAGGCGTGATGAGGCCCCATTCCCTTGCAGTGCATGCAGAGCTATTCCGTGATCCCATTCAAACAAGTCAGGAGCTTCGACTTGCTTAATGGATCTCGAAACAGTCCCCAAGAACACTGTCACCAGTCTAGACGGAACCTGAGGTCACCCCAGCAAAGCAAATCAGATCCATGTGCCCCAAATCAACTCGAGATGAGGCCTGGTTCTCCTGCATTGACTCCAGAGCCATTCCACGTTACCCATTCAACACGACCGGTGGCTCGACTTCCTTCAGGCAACTCCAGAGATGCCCTGAGAACACTGTCTCAAGTCTAGAGGAACACCAACTTCAGCACAGCAACTCGAGGAATGCTCCGTGTACCCCAAATCGTCTCGAGATAAGAGCTCATTCCCTGGCTTAGGCTCAAGACGTATGCCAACTTTCCAGAAGCACCTCAAGAGCAGGCTTCTCTCAGCAAAAGGTATGTGGGAGGGACCCCGAGTTTGCTGCCTCAAGTGGAATATACAGCGAGAAGCCCTAACTTGAAAAGAGGCCCGATTTCCTTGCAGTGGCTTGAATACAGGCTCGTCTTTGATCTCAAAACATGAAGGGATGTCTGAAACCCCTGTGGATACCATAGAGAAAGCCCTAGGTCCCTGCCTCATTTTGACAGAATGCCTCACATCTCGTTGACACCTCGAGAGGCACGCGGAGTTCATTGCTTCAAAAGGTGACGATGCCTGACTCCTCTTGAATACTGATAGGAATCCCAAAATCCCTGTGGCTACTGGAAAGGGTCCTTGGGTGCACTGTCTCACCTCGAGAAGCGTCCCTTTTGCCCTGCCAAGCCTCGAAGAGATTCCTGAGGTGTCCCTCGTTGATAGACAGGAGTCCTGACGTTACTGAAGAAACTCGTGTTTTGAAGGGCCATCCCCGCCGTAAGTCGAGAACATAGCCCAGGTCCCCGCCGCAACTAGAGAAAAACCATGAGACTTCCTTCTAGAGGCGAGATGAGGCCCCATTCCCCTGCAGTGCATGCAGAGCTATTCCGTGATCCCATTCAAACAAGTCATTAGCTTCGACTTGCTTAATGGGTCTCGAAACAGTCTGCAAGAACTCTGTCACTAGCCTAGACGGACCCTGAGGTTACCCCAGCAACGCAAAGCAGCTCCATGTGCCCCCCGTCAACTCGAGATGAGGCCCGATTCCCCTGCATTGACTGCAGAGCCATTCCCCGTTCCCCATTCAACACGACCCGTGGCTCGACTTCTTTTAGGCAACTCCATAGATGCCCCGAGAACACTGTCCCAAGTCTAGAGGAACACCAACTTCAGCACAGCAACTGGAGAAATGCTCCGTGTACCCCAAATCGTCTCGAGATGAGAGCTGATTCCCTGGCTTAGGCTCAAGACGTATGCCAACGTTCCAGAAGCACCTCAGGAGGAGGCTTCTCTCAGCAATAGGTATGTGGGAGGGACCCCGAGATCGCTGCCTCAAGTGGAATATACAGCGAGAAGCCCTAACTTGAAAGGAGGCCGGATTTCCTTGCAGTGGCTTGACTACAGGCTCGTCTTTCATCTCACAACATGAAGGGATGTCTGAAACCCCTTTGGAGACCTTAGAGAAAGCCCTAGGTCCCTGCCACATTTTGACGGAATGCCTCACATCTCGTTGACACCTCGAGAGGCACGCAGAGTTCATTGCTTAAAACGGTGACGGTGCCTGACTCCTCTTGAATACTGATAGGAATCCCAAAATCGTGTGTCTACTGGAAAGGGTCCTTGGGTGCCCTGCCTCACTTCGAGAATCGTCCCTTTTGCCCTGCCCATCCTCGAAGAGATTCCTGAGGTGTCCCTCGTTAACAGACAGGAGTCCTGACGTCACTGAAGAAACTCGTGTTTTGAAGGGCCATCCCCGCCGTAAGTCGAGAACATAACCCAGGTCCCCGCCGCAACTCGAGAAAAACCATGAGACTTCCCCCTGGAGGCGTGATGAGGCCCCATTCCCCTGCAGTGCATGCAGAGCTATTCCGTGATCCCATTCAAACAAGTCAGGAGCTTCGACTTGCTTAATGGATCTCGAAACAGTCCCCAAGAACACTCTCACCAGTCTAGACGGAACTTGAGGTCACCCCAGCAACGCAACGCAGATCCATGTGCCCCAAATCAACTCGAGATGAGGCCTGATTCTCCTGCATTGACTCCAGAGCCATTCCCCGTTACCCATTCAACACGATCGGTGGCTCGACTTCCTTCAGGGAACTCCAGAGATGCCCTGAGAACACTGTCCCAAGTCTAGAGGAACACCAACTTCAGCACAGCAACTCGAGGAATGCTGCGTGTACCCCAAATCGTCTCGAGATGAGAGCTCATTCCCTGGCTTAGGCTCAAGACGTATGCTAACTTTCCAGAAGCACCTCAATAGGAGGCTTCTCTCAGCAATAGTTATGTGGGAGGGACCTCGAGTTTGCTGCCTCAAGTGGAATATACAGCGAGAAGCCCTAACTTGAAAGGAGGCCGGATTTCCTTGCAGTGGATTGACTACAGGCTCGTCTTTCATCTCACAACAAGAAGGGATGTCTGAATCCCCTGTGGAGACCTTAGAGAAAGCCCTAGGTCCCTGCCTCATTTTGACGGAATGCCTCACATCCCGTTGACTCCTCGAGAGGCACGCGGAGTTCATTGCTTCAAAATGTGACGATGCCTGACTCCTCTTGAATACTGATAGGAATTCCAAAATCCCTGTGGCGACTGGAAAGGGTCCTTGGGTGCCCTGCCTCACCTCGAGAAGCGTCCCTTTTGCCCTGCCAAGGCTCGAAGAGATTCCTGAGGTGTCCCTCGTTACTAGACAGGAGTCCTGACTTCACTGAAGAAACTCGTGTTTTGAAGGGCCATCCCCGCCGTAAGTCGAGAACTTACCACAGGTCCCCGCCGCGACTCGAGAAAAAACATGAGATTCCCCCTAGAGGCGAGATGAGGCCCCATTCCCCTGCAGTGCATGCAGAGCTATTCCGTGATCCCATTCAAACAAGTCAGGAGCTTCGACTTCCTTAATGGGTCTCGAGACAGTCCCCTAGAACACTGTCACCAGCCTAGACGGACCCTGAGGTCACCCCAGCAACGCAAAGCAGCTCCATGTCCCGAAATCAACTCGAGATGAGGCCCGATTCCCCTGCATTGACTGCAGAGCCATTCCACGTTCCCCATTCAACACGACCCGTGGCTCGACTTCATTCAGGCAACTCCAGAGGTGCCCCGAGATCACTGTCCCAAGTCTAGAGGAACACCAACTTCAGCACAGCAACTCGAGGAATGTTCCGTGTACCCCAAATCGTCTCGAGATGAGAGCTGATTCCCTGGCTTAGGCTCAAGACGTATGCCAACTTTCCAGGAGCACCTCAGGAGGAGGCTTCTCTCAGCAATAGGTATGTGGGAGGGACCCCGAGATCGCTGCCTCAAATGGAATATACAGCGAGAAGCCCTAACTTGAAAGGAGGCCGGATTTCCTTGCAGTGGCTTGACTACAGGCTCGTCTATCATCTCACAACATGAAGGGATGTCTGAAACCCCTGTGGAGACCTTAGTGAAAGCCCTAGGTCCCTGCCTCATTTTGACGGAATGCCTCACATCTCGTTGACACCTCCAGAGGCACGCGGAGTTCATTGCTTCAAAAGGTGAAGATGCCTGACTCCTCTTGAATACTGATAGGAATCCCAAAATCCCTGTGGCTACTGGAAAGGGTCCTTGGGTGCACTGCCTCACCTCGAGAAGCGTCCCTTTTGCCCTGCCAAGCCTCTAAGAGATTCCTGAGGTGTCCCTCGTTAACAGACAGGAGTCCTGACGTCACTGAAGAAACTCGTGTTTTGAAGGGCCATCCCTGCTGTAAGTCGAGAAAATACCCCAGGTCACCGCCGCAACTCGAGAAAAACCATGAGACTTCCCCCTAGAGGCGAGATGAGGCCCCATTCCCCTGCAGTGCATGCAGAGCTATTCCGTGATCCCATTCAAACAAGTCAGGAGCTTCGACTTCCTTAATGGGTCTCGAGACAGTCCCCAAGAACACTGTCACCTGCCTAGATTGAACCTGAGGTCACCTCAGCAACGCAAAGCAACTCCATGTGCCCCAAATCAACGCGAGATGAGGCCCGATTCCCCTGCATTGACTCCAGAGCCATTCCCCGTTCCCCATTCAACAAGACCGGTGGCTCGACTTCCTTCAGGCAACTCCAGAGATGCCCCGAGAACACTGTCCCAAGTCTAGAGGAACACCAACTTCAGCACAGCAACTCGAGGAATGCTTTATGTACCCCAAATCGTCTCGAGATGAGAGCTGATTCCCTGGCTTAGACTCAAGACGTATGCCAACTTTCCAGAAGCACCTCTAGAGGAGGCTTCTCTCAGCAATAGGTATGTGGAAGAGCCCCAGGGTTTGCTGCCTCAAGGGGAATATACAGCGAGAAGCCCTAACTTGAAAAGAGGCCCGATTTCCTTGCAGTGGCTTGAATACAGGCTCGTCTTTGATCTCAAAACATGAAGGGATGTCTGAATCCCCTGTGGACACCTTAGAGAAAGCCTTAGGTCCCTGCCTCATTTTGACGGAATGCCTCACATCCCGTTGACACCTCGAGAGGCACGCGGAGTTCATTGCTTCAAAAGGTGACGATGCCTGACTCCTCTTGAATACTGATAGGAATCCCAAAATTCCTGTGGCTCCTGGAAAGGGTCCTTGGGTGCCCTGCCTTACCTCGAGAAGCGTCCCTTTTGCCCTGCCAAGCCTCGAAGAGATTCCTGAGGTGTCCGTCGTTACTAGACAGGAGTCCTGACGTCACTGAAGAAACTCGTGTTTTGAAGGGCCATCCCCGCCGTAAGTCGAGAACATACCACAGGTCCCCGCCGCAACTCGAGAAAAACCATGAGAATTCCCCCTAGAGGCGAGATGAGGCCCCATTCCCCTGCAGTGCATGCAGAGCTATTCCGTGATCCCATTCAAACAAGTCAGGAGCTTCGACTTCCTTAATGGGTCTCGAGACAGTCCCCAAGAACACTGTCACCAGCCTAGACGGACCCTGAGGTCACCCCAGCAACGCAAAGCAGCTCCATGTGCCCCAAATCAACTCGAGATGAGGCCCGATTCCCCTGCATTGACTACAGAGCCATTCCCCGTTCCCCATTCAACACGACCGGTGGCTTGACTTCCTTCAGGCAACTCCAGAGATGCCCCGAGAACACTGTCCCAAGTCTAGAGGAACACCAACTTCAGCACAGCAACTCGAGGAATGCTCCATGAACCCCAAATCGTCTCGAGATGAGATCTCATTCCCTGGCTTAGGCTCAAGACGTATGCCACCTTTCCAGAAGCACCTCAAGAGGAGGCTTCTTCAGCAATAGGTATGTGGGAGGGACCCCGAGTTTGCTGCCTCAAGTTGAATATACAGCGAGAAACCCTAACTTGAAAGGAGGCCGGATTTCCTTGCAGTGGCTTGAATACAGGCTCATCTTTCATCTCACAGCATGTAGGGATGTCTGAATCCCCTGTGGAGACCTTAGAGAAAGCCTTAGGTCCCTGCCTCATTTTGACGGAATGCCTCACATCCCGTTGACACCTCGAGAGGCACGCGGAGTTCATTGCTTCAAAAGGTGACGATGCCTGACTCCTCTTGAATACTGATAGGAATCCCAAAATCCCTGTGGCTACTGGAAAGGGTCCTTGGGTGCCCTGCCTCACCTCGAGAAGCGTCCCTTTTGCCCTGCCAAGCCTCGAAGAGATTCCTGAGGTGTCCCTCGTTACTAGACAGGAGTCCTGACTTCACTGAAGAAACTCGTGTTTTGAAGGGCCATCCCCGCCATAAGTCGAGAACATACCCCAGGTCCCCGCCGCAACTCGAGAAAAACCATGAGACTTCCCCCTAGAGGCGAGATGAGGCCCCATTCCCCTGCAGTGCATGCAGAGCTATTCCGTGATCCCATTCAAACAAGTCAGGAGCTTCGACTTCCTTCATGGGTCTCGAGAGAGTCCCCAAGAACACTGTCACCGGCCTAGACGGACCTTGAGGTCACCCCAGCAACGCAAAGCAGCTCCATGTGCCCCAAATCAACTCGAGATGAGGCCCGATTCCCCTGCATTGACTGCAGAGCCATTCCACGTTCCCCATTCAACACGACCCGTGGCTCGACTTCATTCAGGCAACTCCAGAGATGCCCCGAGAACACTGTCCCAAGTCAAGAGGAACACCAACTTCAGCACAGCAACTCGAGGAATGTTCCGTGTACCCCAAATCGTCTCGAGATGAGAGCTGATTCCCTGGCTTAGGGTCAAGACGTATGCCAACTTTCCAGGAGCTCCTCAGGAGGAGGCTTCTCTCAGCAATAGGTATGTGGGAGGGACCCCGAGATCGCTGCCTCAAATGGAATATACAGCGAGAAGCCCTAACTTGAAAGGAGGCCGGATTTCCTTGCAGTGGCTTGACTACAGGCTCGTCTATCATCTCACAACATGAAGTGATGTCTGAAACCCCTGTGGAGACCTTAGAGAAAGTCCTAGGTCCCTGCCTCATTTTGACGGAATGCCTCACATCTCGTTGACACGTCGAGAGGCACGCGGAGTTCATTGCTTCAAAAGGTGACGATGCCTGACTCCTCTTGAATACTGATAGGAATCCCAAAATCCCTGTGGCTACTGGAAAGGGTCCTTGGGTGCACTGCCTCACCTCGAGAAGCGTCCCTTTTGCCCTGCCAAGCCTCTAAGAGATTCCTGAGGTGTCCCTCATTAATAGACAGGAGTCCTGACGTCACTGAAGAAACTCGTGTTTTGAAGGGCCATCCCCGCTGTAAGTCGAGAACATACCCCAGGTCACCGCCGCAACTCGAGAAAAACCATGAGACTTCCCCCTAGAGGCGAGATGAGGCCCCATTCCCCTGCAGTGCATGCAGAGCTATTACGTGATCCCATTCAAACAAGTCAGGAGCTTCGACTTGCTTAATGGGTCTCGAGACAGTCCCCAAGAACACTGTCACCAGCCTAGACGGACCCTGAGGTCACCCCAGCAACGCAAAGCAACTCCATGTGCCCCAAATCAACTCGAGATGAGGCCCGATTCCCCTGCATTGACTCCAGAGCCATTCCCCGTTCCCCATTCAACACGACCGGTGGCTCGACTTCCTTCAGGCAACTCCAGAGATGCCCGGAGAACACCGTCCCAAATCTAGAGGAACACCAACTTCAGCACAGCAACTCGAGGAATGTTCCGTGTACCCCAAATCGTCTCGAGATCAGAGCTGATTCCCTGGCTTAGACTCAAGACGTATGCCAACGTTCCAGAAGCACCTCAGGAGGAGGCTTCTCTCAGCAATAGGTATGTGGGAGGGACCCCGAGATCGCTGCCTCAAGTGGAATATACACCGAGAAGCCCTAACTTGAAAGGAGGCCGGATTTCTTTGCAGTGACTTGACTACAGGCTCGTCTTTCATCTCACAACATGAAGGGATGTCTGAAACCCCTTTGGAGACCTTAGAGAAAGCCCTAGGTCCCTGCCTCATTTTGACGGAATGCCTCACATCTCGTTGACACCTCGAGAGGCACGCGGAGTTCATTGCTTAAAACGGTGACGATGCCTGACTCCTCTTGAATACTGATAGGAATCCCAAAATCCGTGTGTCTACTGGAAAGGGTCCTTGGGTGCCCTGCCTCACTTCGAGAAGCGTCCCTTTTGCCCCGCCCATCCTCGAAGAGATTCCTGAGGTGTCCCTCGTTACTAGACAGGAGTCCTGACGTCACTGAAGAAACTCGTGTTTTGAAGGGCCATCCCCGCCGTAAGTCGAGAACATACACCAGGTCCCCGCCACAACTCGAGAAAAATCATGAGACATCCCCCTAGAGGCGTGATGAGGTCCCATTCCCTTGCAGTGCATGCAGAGCTATTCCGTGATCCCATTCAAACAAGTCAGGATTTTCGACTTGCTTAATGGATCTCGAAACAGTCCCCAAGAACACTGTCACCAGTCTAGACGGAACCTGAGGTCACCCCAGCAACGCAAAGCAGATCCATGTGCCCCAAATCAACTCGAGATGAGGCCTGATTCTCCTGCATTGACTCCAGAGCCATTCCCCGTTCCCCATTCAATACGACCGGTGGCTCGACTTCATTCAGGCAACTCCAGAGATTCCCCGAGAACACTGTCCCAAGTCTAGAGGAACACCAACTTCAGCACAGCAACTCGAGGAATGTTCCGTGTACCCCAAATCGTCTCGAGATGAGAGCTGATTCCCTGGCTTAGGCTCAAAACGTATGCCAACTTTCCAGAAGCACCTCAGGAGGAGGCTTCTCTCAGCACTAGGTATGTGGGAGGGACCCCGAGGTCGCTGCCTCAAGTGGAATATACAGCGAGAAGCCCTAACTTGAAAGGAGGCCGGATTTCCTTGCAGTGGCTTGACTACAGGCTCGTCTTTCATCTCACAACATGAAGGGATGTCTGAATCCCCTGTGGAGACCTTAGAGAAAGCCTTAGTTCCCTGCCTCATTTTGACGGAATGCCTCACATCCCGGTGACACCTCGAGAGGCACGCGGAGTTCATTGCTTCAAAAGGTGACGATGGCTGACTCCTCTTGAATACTGATAGGAATCCCAAAATCTCTGTGGCTACTGGAAAGGGTCCTTGGGTGCCCTGCCTCACCTCGAAAAGCGTCCCTTTTGCCCTGCCAAGCCTCGGAGAGATTCCTGAGGTGACCCTCGTTACTAGACTGGAGTCCTGACGTCACTGAAGAAACTCGTGTTTTGAAGGGCCATCCCCGCCGTAAGTCGAGAACATACCCCAGGTCTCCGCCGCAACTCGAGAAAAACCATGAGACTTCCCCCTAGAGGCGAGATGAGGCCCCATTCCCCTGCAGTGCATGCAGAGCTATTCCGTGATCCCATTCAAACAAGTCTGGAGCTTCGACTTGATTAATGGGTTTCGAGACAGTCCCCAAGAACACTGTCACCAGCCTAGACGGACCCTGAGGTCACCCCAGCAACGCAAAACAGCTCCATGTGCCCCAAATCAACTCAAGATGAGGCCCGATTCCCCTGCATTGACTTCGGAGCCATTCCCAGTTCCCCATTCAACACGACCCGTGGCTCGACTTCTTTTAGGCAATTCCAGAGATGCCCCGAGAACACTGTCCCAAGTCTAGAGGAACACCAACTTCAGCACAGCAACTGGAGAAATGCTCCGTGTATCCCAAATCGTCTCGAGATGAGAGCTGATTCCCTGGCTTAGGCTCAAGACGTATGCCAACGTTCCAGAAGCACCTCAGGAGGAGGATTCTCTCAGAAATAGGTATGTGGGAGGGACCCCGAGATCGCTGCCTCAAGTGGTATATACAGCGAGAAGCCCTAACTTGAAAGGAGGCCGGATTTCCTTGCAGTGGCTTGACTACAGGCTCGTCTTTCATCTCACAACATGAAGGGATGTCTGAAACCCCTTTGGAGACCTTAGAGAAAGCCCTAGGTCCCTGCCTCATTTTGACGGAATGCCTCACATCTCGTTGACACCTCGAGAGGCACGCAGAGTTCATTGCTTAAAACGGTGACGATGCCTGACTCCTCTTGAATACTGATAGGAATCCCAAAATCCGTGTGTCTACTGGAAAGGGTCCTTGGGTGCCCTGCCTCACTTCGAGAATCGTCCCTTTTGCCCTGCCCATCCTCGAAGAGAATCCTGAGGTGTCCCTCGTTACTACACAGGAGTCCTGACTTCACTGAAGAAACTCGTGTTTTGAAGGGCCATCCCCGCCGTAAGTCGAGAACATACCCCAGGTCCCCGCCGCAACTCGAGAAAAATCATGAGATTTCCCCCTAGAGGCCTGATGAGGCCCCATTCCCTTGCAGTGCAATCAGAGCTATTCCGTGATCCCATTCAAACAAGTCAGGATCTTCGACTTGCTTAATGGATCTCGAAACAGTCCCCAAGAACACTGTCACCAGTCTAGACGGAACCTGAGGTCACCCCAGCAACGCAAAGCAGATCCATGTGCCCCAAATCAACTCGAGATGAGGCCTGATTCTCCTGCATTGAATCCAGAGCCATTCCCCGTTCCCCATTCAACACGACCGGTGGCTCGACTTCATTCAGGCAACTGCAGAGATGCCCCGAGAACACTGTCCCAAGTCTAGAGGAACACCAACTTCAGCACAGCAACTCGAGGAATGTTCCGTGTACGCCAAATCGTCTCGAGATGAGAGCTGATTCCCTGACTTAGGCTCAAGACGTATGCCAACTTTCCAGAAGCACCTCAGGAGGAGGCTTCTCTCAGCACTAGGTATGTGGGAGGGACCCCGAGATCGCTGCCTCAAGTGGAATATACAGCGAGAAGCCCTAACTTGAAAGGAGGCCGGATTTCCTTGCAGTGGCTTGACTACAGGCTCGTCTTTCATCTCACAACATGAAGGGATGTCTGAATCCCCTGTGGAGACCTTAGAGAAAGCCTTAGTTCCCTGCCTCATTTTGACGGAATGCCTCACATCCCGGTGACACCTCGAGAGGCACGCGGAGTTCATTGCTTCAAAAGGTGACGATGGCTGACTCCTCTTGAATACTGATAGGAATCCTAAAATCTCTGTGGCTACTGGAAAGGGTCCTTGGGTGCCCTGCCTCACCTCGAGAAGTGTCCCTTTTGCCCTGCCAAGCCCCGAAGAGATTCCTGAGGTGTCCCTCGTTACTAGACTGGAGTCCTGACGTCACTGAAGAAACTCGTGTTTTGAAGGGCCATCCCCGCCGTAAGTCGAGAACATACCCCAGGTCTCCGCCGCAAGTCGAGAAAAACCATGAGACTTCCCCCTAGAGGCGAGATGAGGCCCCATTCCCCTGCAGTGCATGCAGAGCTATTCCGTGATCCCATTCAAACAAGTCAGGAGCTTCGACTTGATTAATGGATCTCGAAACAGTCCCCAAGAACACTGTCACCAGCCTAGACGGACCCTGAGGTCACCCCAGCAACGCAAAACAGCTCCATGTGCCCCAAATCAACTCAAGATGAGGCCCGATTCCCCTGCATTGACTCCAGAGCCATTCCCCTTTCCCCATTCAACACGACCGGTGGCTCGAATTCATTCAGGCAACTCCAGAGATGCCCTGAGAACACTGTCTCAAGCCTAGAGGAACAGAAACATCAGCACAGCAACTCGAGGAATGCTCCGTGTACCCCAAATCGTCTCGAGATGAGAGCTGATTCCCTGGCTTAGGCTCAAGACGTATGCCAACTTTCCAGAATCACCTCAGGAGGAGGCTTCTCTCAGCAATAGGTATGTGGGAGGGACCCCGAGATCGCTGCCTCAAGTGGAATATACAGCGAGAAGACCTAACTTGAAAGGAGGCCGGATTTCCTTGCAGTGGCTTGACTACAGGCTCGTCTTTCATCTCACAACATGAAGGGATTTCTGAAACCCCTGTGGAGACCTTAGAGAAAGCCCTAGGTCCCTGCCTCATTTTGATGGAAGGCCTCACATCCCGTTGACATCTCGAGAGGCACGCGGAGTTCATTGCTTCAAAATGTGACGATGCCTGACTCCTCTTGAATACTGATAGGAATCCCAAAATCCCTGTGGCTACTGGAAAGGGTCCTTGGGTGCACTGCCTCACCTCGAGAAGCGTCCCTTTTGCCCTGCCAAGCCTCGAAGAGATTCCTGAGGTGTCCCTCGTTACTAGACAGGAGTCCTGACGTCACTGAAGAAACTCGTGTTTTGAAGGGCCATCCCCGCCGTAAGTCGAGAACATAACCCAGGTCCCCGCCGCAACTCGAGAAAAACCATGAGACTTCCCCCTGGAGGCGTGATGAGGCCCCATTCCCCTGCAGTGCATGCAGAGCTATTCCGTGATCCCACTCAAACAAGTCAGGAGCTTCGACTTGCTTAATGGATCTCGAAACAGTCCCCAAGAACACTGTCACCAGTCTAGACGGAACTTGAGGTCACCCCAGCAACGCAAAGCAGCTCCATGTGCCCCAAATCAATTCGAGATGAGGCCTGATTCTCCTGCATTGACTCCAGAGCCATTCCCCGTTACCCATTCAACACGACCAGTGGCTCGACTTCCTTCAGGCAACTCCAGAGATGCCCTGAGAACACTGTCCCAAGTCTAGAGGAACACCAACTTCAGCACAGCCACTTGAGGAATGCTCCGTGTACCCCAAATCGTCTCGAGATGAGAGCTCATTCCCTGGCTTAGGCTCAAGACGTATGTCAACTTTCCAGAAGCACCTCAAGAGGAGGCTTCTCTCAGCAATAGGTATGTGGGAGGGACCCCGAGTTTGCTGCCTCTAGTGGAATATACAGCGAGAAGCCCTAACTTGAAAGGAGGCCGGATTTCCTTGCAGTGGCTTGACTACAGGTTCGTCTTTCATCTCACACATGAAGGGATGTCTGAATCCCCTGTGGAGACCTTAGAGAAAGCCCTAGGTCCCTGCCTCATTTTGACGGAATGCCTCACATCCCGTTGACACCTCGAGAGGCACGCGGAGTTCATTGCTTCAAAATGTGACGATGCCTGACTCCTCTTGAATACTGATAGGAATCCCAAAATCCCTGTGGCTACTGGAAAGTGTCCTTGGGTGCCCTGCCTCACCTGGAGAAGCGTCCCTTTTGCCCTGCCAAGCCTCGAGGAGATTCCTGAGGTGTTCCTCGTTACTAGACAGGAGTCCTGTCGTCACTGAATAAACCCGTGTTTTGAAGGGCCATCCCCGCCGTAAGTCGAGAACATAACCCAGGTCCCCGCCTCAAATCGAAGAAAATCATGAGACTTCCCCCTAGAGGCAAGATGTGGCACCATTCCCCTGCAGTGCAGGCAGAGCTATTCTGTGATCCCATTCAAACAAGTCAGGAGCTTCCACTTGCTTAATGGATCTCGAAACAGTCCCCAAGAACACTGTCACCAGTCAAGACGGACCCTGAGGTCGCCCCAGCAACGCAAAGCAGATCCATATGCCCCAAATCAACTCGAGATGAGGCCTGATTCTCCTGCATTGACTCCAGAGCCATTCCCCGTTCCCCATTCAACACGACCGGTGGCTCGACTTCATTCAGGCAACTCCAGAGATGCCCCGAGAACACTGTCCCAAGTCTAGAGGAACACCAACTTCAGCACAGCAACTCGAGGAATGTTCCGTGTACGCCAAATCGTTTCGAGATGAGAGCTCATCCCCTGGCTTAGGCTCAAGACGTATGCCAACTTTCCAGAAGCACCTCAGGAGGAGGCTTCTCTCAGCAATAGGTATGTGGGAGGGACCCCGAGATCGCTGCCTCAAGTGGAATATACAGCGAGAAGCCCTAACTTGAAAGGAGGCCGGATTTCCTTGCAGTGGGTTGACTACAGGCTCGTCTTTCATCTCACAACATGAAAGGATGTCTGAATCCCCTGTGGAGACCTTAGAGAAAGCCTTAGTTCCCTGCCTCATTTTGACGGAATGCCTCACATCCCGGTGACACCTCGAGAGGCACGCGGAGTTCATTGCTTCAAGAGGTGACGATGGCTGACTCCTCTTGAATACTGATAGGAATCCTAAAATCTCTGTGGCTACTGGAAAGGGTCCTTGGGTGCCCTGCCTCACCTCGATAAGCGTCCCTTTTGCCCTGCCAAGCCTCGAAGAGATTCCTGAGGTGTCCCTCGTTACTAGACTGGAGTCCTGACGTCACTGAAGAAACTCGTGTTTTGAGGGGCCATCCCCGCCGTAAGTCGAGAACATACCCCAGGTCTCCGCCGCAAGTCGAGAAAAACCATGAGACTTCCCCCTAGAGGCGAGATGAGGCCCCATTCCCCTGCAGTGCATGCAGAGCTATTCCGTGATCCCATTTAAACAAGTCAGGAGCTTCGACTTGATTAATGGATCTCGAGACAGTCCCCAAGATCACTGTCACCAGCCTAGACGGACCCTGAGGTCACCCCAGCAACGCAAAACAGCTCCATGTGCCCCAAATCAACTCAAGATGAGGCCCGATTCCCCTGCATTGACTCCAGAGCCATTCCCCTTTCCCCATTCAAGACGACCGGTGGCTCGACTTCCTTCAGGCAACTCCAGAGATGCCCTGAGAACACTGTCTCAAGCCTAGAGGAACACCAACTTCAGCACAGCAACACGAGGAATGCTCCGTGTACCCCAAATCGTATCGAGATGAGAGCTGATTCCCTGGCTTAGGCTCAAGACGTATGCCAACTTTCCAGAAGCACCTCAGGAGGAGGCTTCTCTCAGCAATAGGTATGTGGGAGGGACCCCGAGTTCGCTGCCTCAAGTGGAATATACAGCGAGAAGTCCTAACTTGAAAAGAGGCCGGATTTCCTTGCAGTGGCTTGACTACAGGCTCGTCTTTCATCTCACAACATGAAGGGGTGTCTGAATCCCCTGTGGAGACCGTAGAGAAAGCATTAGTTTCCTGCCTCATTTTGACGGAATGCCTCACATCCCGTTGAGACCTCGAGAGGCACGCGGAGTTCATTGCTTCAAAAGGTGACGATGCCTGACTCCTCTTGAATACTGATATTAATCCCAAAATCCCTGTGGCTACTGGAAAGGGTCCTTGGGTGCCCTGCCTCACCTCGAGAAGCGTCCCTTTTGCCCTGGAAGCCTCGAAGAGATTCCTGAGGTGTCCCTCGTTACTAGACAGGAGTCCTGACGTCACTGAAGAAACTCGTGTTTTGAAGGGCCATCCCCGCCGTAAGTCGAGAACATACCCCAGGTCCCCGCCGCAACTCGAGAAAAACCATGAGACTTCCCCCTAGAGGCGTGATGAGGCCCCATTCCCCTGCAGTGCATGCAGAGCTATTCCGTGATCCCATTCAAACAAGTCAGGAGCTTCAACTTCCTTAATGGGTCTCGAGACAGTCCCCAGGAACACTGTCACCAGCCTAGACGGACCCTGAGGTCACCCCAGCAACGCAAAGCAGCTCCATGTGCCCCAAATCAACTCGAGATGAGGCCCCATTCCCCTGCATTGACTGCAGAGCCATTCCTTGTTCCCCATTCAACACGACCCGTGGTTCGACTTCATTCAGGCAACTCCAGAAATGCCCCGAGAACACTTTCCCAAGTCTAGAGGAACACCAACTTCAGCAGAGCAATTCGAGGAATGTTCCGTGTACCCCAAATCGACTCGAGATGAGAACTGATATCCTGGCTTAGGCTCAAGACGTATGCCAACTTTCCAGAAGCACCTCAGGAGGAGGCTTCTCTCAGCAATAGGTATGTGGGAGGGACCCCGAGTTTGCTGCCTCAAGTGGAATATACAGCGAAAAGCCCTAACTTGAAAGGAGGCCGGATTTCCTTGCAGTGGCTTGACTACAGGCTCGTCTTTCATCTCACAACATGAAGGGATGTCTGAAACCCCTGTGGAGACCTTAGAGAAAGCCCTAGGTCCCTGCCTCATTTTGACGGAATGCCTCACATCCCGTTGACACCTCGAGAGTCACGCGGAGTTCATTGCTTCAAAAGGTGACGATGCCTGACTCCTCTTGAATACTGATAGGAATCCCAAAATCCTTGTGGCTACAGGAAAGGGTCCTTGGGTGCCCTTCCTCACCTCGAGAAGCGTACCTTTTGCCCTGCCCAGCCTCGAAGAGATTCCTGAGTTGTCCCTCGTTAGTAGACAGGAGTCCTGACGTCACTGAAGAAACTCGTGTTTTGAAGGCCATCCCCGCCGTAAGTCGAGAACATAACCCAGGTCCCCGCCGCAACTCGAGAAAAACCATGAGACTTCCCCCTAGAGGCGAGATGAGGCCCCATTCCCCTGCAGTGCATGCAGAGCTATTCCGTGATCCCATTCAAACAAGTCAGGAGCTTAGACTTGCTTAATGGGTCTCGAGACAGTCCCCAAGAACACTGTCACTAGTCTAGATGGACCCTGAGGTCACCCCAGCAACGCAAAGCAGATCCATGTGCCCCAAATGAACTCGAGATGAGGCCCGATACCCCTGCATTGACTGCAGAGCCATTCCCCGTTCCCCATTCAACACGACCGGTGGCTCAACTTCCTTCAGGCAACTCCACAAATGCCCTGAGAACACTGTCCCAAGTCTAGAGGAACACCAACTTCAGCACAGCAACTCGAGGAATGTTCCGTGTACCCCAAATCGTCTCGAGATGAGAGCTGATTCCCTGGCTTAGGCTCAAGACGTATGCCAGCTTTCCAGAAGCACCTCAGGAGGAGGCTTCTCTCAGCAATAGGTATGTGGGAGGGACCCCGAGATCGCTGCCTCAAGTGCAATATACAGCGAGAAGCCCTAACTTGAAAGGAGGCCGGATTTCCTTGCAGTGGCTTGACTACAGGCTCGTCTTTCATCTCACAACATGAAGGGATGTCTGAAATCCCTTTGCAGACCTTAGAGAAAGCCCTAGGTCCCTGCCTCATTTTGAAGGAATGCCTCACATCTCGTTGACACCTCGAGAGGCACGCGGAGTTCATTGCTTAAAAAGGTGACGATGCCTGACTCCTCTTGAATACTGATAGGAATCCCAAAATCCGTGTGTCTACTGGAAAAGGTCCTTGGGTGCCCTGCCTCACTTCGAGAAGCATCCCTTTTGCCCTGCCCAGCCTCGAAGAGATTCCTGAGGTGTCCCTCGTTACTAGACAGGAGTCCTGACGTCACTGAAGAAACTCGTGTTTTGAAGGGCCATCCCCGCCGTAAGTCGAGAACATAACCCAGGTCCCCGCCGCAACTCGAGAAAAATCATGAGACTTCCCCCTAGAGGCGTGATGAGGCCCCATTCCCTTGCAGTGCAGGCAGAGCAATTCCGTGATCCCATTCAAACAAGTCAGGAGCTTCGACTTGCTTAATGGATCTCGAAACAGTCCCCAAGAACACTGTCACCAGTCTAGACGGAACTTGAGGTCACCACAGCAACGCAAAGCAGATCCATGTGCCCCAAATCAACTCGAGATGAGGCCTGATTCTCCTGCATTGACTCCAGAGCCATTCCCCGTTACCCATTGAACACGACCGGTGGCTCGACTTCCTTCAGGGAACTCCAGAGATGCCCTGAGAACACTGTCCCAAGTCTAGAGGAACACCAACTTCAGCACAGCAACTCGAGGAATGCTGCGTGTACCCCAAATCGTCTCGAGATGAGAGCTCATTCCCTGGCTTAGGCTCAAGACGTATGCCAACTTTCCAGAAGCACCTCAAGAGGAGGCTTCTCTCAGCAATAGGTATTTGGGAGGGACCCCGAGTTTGCTGCCTCAAGTGGAATATACAGCGAGAAGCCCTAACTTGAAAGGAGGCCGGATTTCCTTGCAGTGGCTTGACTACAGGCTCGTCTTTCATCTCACAACATGAAGGGATGTCTGAATCCCCTGTGGAGACCTTAGAGAAAGCCCTAGGTCCCTGCCTCATTTTGACGGAATGCCTCACATCCCGTTGACTCCTCGAGAGGCACGCGGATTTCATTGCTTCAAAATGTGACGATGCCTGACTCTTCTTGAATACTGATAGGAATCCCAGAATCCCTGTGGCTACTGGAAAGGGTCCTTGGGTGCCCTGCCTCACCTCGAGAAGCGTCCCTTTTGCCCTGCCAAGCCTCGAAGAGATTCCTGAGGTGTCCCTCGTTACTAGACAGGAGTCCTGACGTCACTGAAGAAACTCGTGTTTTGAAGGGCCATCCCCGCCGTAAGTCGAGAACATACCCCAGGTCCCCGCCGCAACTCGAGAAAAAACATGAGACTTCCCTCTAGAGGCGTGATGAAGCCCCTTCACTTGCCGTGCATGCAGAGCTATTCCGTGATCCTATTCAAACAAGTCAGGATCTTCGACTTGCTTAATGGATCTCGAAACAGTCCCCAAGAATGCTGTCAGCAGTCTAGACGGAACCTGAGGTCACCCCAGCAACGCAAAGCAGATCCATGTGCCCCAAATCAACTCGAGATGAGGCCCGATTCTCCTGCATTGAATCCAGAGCCATTCCCCGTTACCCATTCAACACGACCGGTGGCTCGAGTTCCTTCAGGCAACTCCAGAGATGCCCTGAGAACACTGTCCCAAGTGTAGAGGAACACCAACTTCAGCACAGCAACTCGAGGAATGCTCCGTGTACCCCAAATCGTCTCGAGATAAGAGCTCATTCCCTGGCTTAGGCTCAAGACGTATGCCAACTTTCCAGAAGCACCTCAAGAGGAGGCTTCTCTCAGCAATAGGTATGTGGGAGGGACCCCGAGTTCGCTGCCTCAAGTGGAATATACAGCGAGAAGCCCTAACTTGAAAGGAGGCCGGATTTCCTTGCAGTGGCTTGACTACAGGCTCGTCTTTCATCTCACAACATGAAGGGATGTCTAAAACCCCTGTGGAGACCTTAGAGAAAGCCCTAAGTCCCTGCATCATTTTGACAGAATGCCTCACATCTCGTTGACACCTCGAGAGGCACGCGGAGTTCATTGCTTAAAAAGGTGACGATGCCTGACTCCTCTTGAATACTGATAGGAATCCCAAAATCCCTGTGGCTACTGGAAAGGGTCCTTGAGTGCACTGCCTCACCTCGAGAAGCGTCCCTTTTGCCCTGCCAAGCCTCGAAGAGATTCCTGAGGTGTCCCTCGTTAATAGACAGGAGTCCTGACGTCACTGAAGAAACTCGTGTTTTGAAGGGCCATCCCCGCCGTAAGTCGAGAACATACCCCAGGTCCCCGCCGCAACTCGAGAAAAACCATGAGACTTCCCCCTAGAGGCGTGATGTGGCCCCATTCCATTGCAGTGCATGCAGAGCTATTCCGTGATCCCATTCAAACAAGTCAGGAGCTTCGACTTGCTTAATGGATCTCGAAACAGTCCTCAAGAACACTGTCACCAGTCTAGACGGAACTTGAGGTCACCACAGCAACGCAAAGCAGATCCATGTGCCCCAAATCAACTCGAGATGAGGCCTGATTCTCCTGCATTGACTCCAGAGCCATTCCCCGTTACACATTCAACACGACCGGTGGCTCGACTTCCTTCAGGCAACTCCAGAGATGCCCTGAGAACACTGTCCCAAGTCTAGAGGAACACCAACTTCAGCACAGCAACTCAAGGAATGCTGCGTGTACCCCAAATCGTCTCGAGATGAGAGCTCATTCCCTGGCTTAGGCTCAAGACGTATGCCAACTTTCCAGAAGCACCTCAAGAGGAGGCTTCTCTCAGCAATAGGTATTTGGGAGGGACCCCGAGTTTGCTGCCTCAAGTGGAATATACAGCGAGAAGCCCTAACTTGAAAGGAGGCCGGATTTCCTTGCAGTGGCTTGACTACAGGCTCGTCTTTCATCTCACAACATGAAGGGATGTCTGAATCCCCTGTGGAGACCTTAGAGAAAGCCCTAGGTCCCTGCCTCATTTTGACGGAATGCCTCACATCCCGTTGACTCCTCGAGAGGCACGCGGAGTTCATTGCTTCAAAAGGTGACGATGCCTGACTCCTCTTGAATACTGATAGGAATCCCAAAATCCCTGTGGCTACTGGAAAGGGTCCTTGGGTGCCCTGCCTCACCTCGAGAAGCGTCCCTTTTGCCCTGCCATGCCTCGAAGAGATTCCTGAGGTGTCCCTCGTTACTAGACAGGAGTCCTGACGTCACTGAAGAAACTCGTGTTTTGAAGGGCCATCCCCGCCGTAAGTCGAGAACATACCCCAGGTCCCCGCCGCAACACGAGAAAAAACAGGAGACTTCCCCCTAGAGGCGTGATGAAGCCCCTTCTCTTGCCGTGCATGCAGAGCTATTCCGTGATCCTATTGAAACAAGTCAGGATCTTCGACTTGCTTAATGGATCTCGAAACAGTCCCCAAGAACACTGTCACCAGTCTAGACGGAACCTGAGGTCACCCCAGCAACGCAAAGCAGATCCATGTGCCCCAAATCAACTCGAGATGAGGCCTGATTCTCCTGCATTGAATCCAGAGCCATTCCCCGTTACCCATTCAACACGACCGGTGGCTCGACTTCCTTCAGGCAACTCCAGAGATGCCCTGAGAACACTGTCTCAAGTGTAGAGGAACACCAACTTCAGCACAGCAACTCGAGGAATGTTCCGTGTACCCCAAATCGTCTCGAGATAAGAGCTCATTCCCTGGCTTAGGCTCAAGACGTATGCAAACTTTCCAGAAGCACCTCAAGAGGAGGCTTCTCTCAGCAATAGGTATGTGGGAGGGACCCCGAGTTTGCTGCCTCAAGTGAAATATACAGCGAGAAGCCCTAACTAGAAAGCAGGCCGGATTTCCTTGCAGTGGCTTGAATACAGGCTCATCTTTCATCTCACAACATGAAGGCATGTCTGAATCCCCTGTGGAGACCGTAGAGAAAGCCCTAGGTCCCTGCCTCATTTTGATGGAATGCCTCACATCCCGTTGACACCTCGAGAGGCACGTGGAGTTCATTGCTTCAACAGGTGACGATGCCTGACTCCTCTTGAATACTGATAGGAATCCCAAAATCTCTGTGGCTACTGGAAAGGGTCCTTGGGTGCCCTGCCTCACCTCGAGAAGCGTCCCTTTTGCCCTGCCAAGCCTCGAAGAGATTCCTGAGGTGTCCCTCGTTACTAGACAGGAGTCCTGACGTCACTGAATAAACTCGTGTTTTGAAGAGCCATCCCCGCCGTAAGTCGAGAACATACCCCAGGTCCCCGCCGCAACTCGAGAAAAAACATGAGACTTCCCCCTAGAGGCGAGATGAGGCCCCATTCCCCTGCAGTGCATGCAGAGCTATTCCGTGATCCCATTCAAAGAAGTCAGGAGCTTTGACTTCCTTAATGGGTCTCGAGACAGTCCCCAAGAACACTGTCACCAGCCTAGACGGACCCTGAGGTCACCCCAGAAACGCAAAGCAGCTCCATTTGCCGCAAATCAACTCGAGATGAGGCCCGATTCCCCTGCATTGATTCCAGAGCCATTCCCCGTTCCCCATTCAACACGACCCGTGGCTCGACTTCATTCAGGCAACTCCAGAGATGCCCCGAGAACACTGTCCCAAGTCTAGAGGTAAACCAACTTCAGCACAGCAACTCGGGGAATGTTCCGTGTAACCCAAATCATCTCGAGATGAGAGCTGATTCCATGGCTTAGGCTCAAGACGTATGCCAACTTTCCAGAAGCACCTCAGGAGGAGGCTTCTCTCAGCAATAAGTATGTGGGAGGGACCCCGAGATCGCTGCCTCAAGTGGAATATACAGCGAGAAGCCCTAACATGAAAGGAGGCCGGATTTCCTTGCAGTGGCTTGAATACAGGCTCATCTTTGATCTCAAAACATGAAGGGATGTCTGAATCCCCTGTGGAGACCTTAGAGAAAGCCCTAGGTCCCTGCCTCATTTTCACGGAATGCCTCACATCCGGTTGACACCTCGAGAGGCACGCGGAGTTCATTGCTTCAAAAGGTGACGATGCCTGACTCCTCTTGTATACTGATAGGAATCCCAAAATCCCTGTGGCTACTGGAAAGGGTTCTTGGGTGCCCTGCCTCACCTCGAGAAGCGTCCCTTTTGCCCTGCCAATCCTCGAAGAGATTCCTGAGGTGTCCCTCGTTACTAGACAGGAGTCCTGACGTCACTGAAGAAACTCGTGTTTTGAAGAGCCATCACCGCCGTAAGTCGAGAACATACCCCAGGTCCCCGCCGCAACTAGAGAAAAACCACGAGACTTAGCCATAGAGGCGAGATGAGGCCCCATTCGCCTCAGTGCATGCAGAGCTATTCCGTGATCCCATTCAAACAAGTCAGGAGCTTCGACTTGCTTAATGGATCTCGAGACAGTCCCCAAGAACACTGTCACCAGTCTAGACGGACCCTGAGGTTACCCCAGCAACGCAAAGCAGCTCCATGTGCCCCAAATCAACTCGAGATGAGGCCCGATTCCCCTGCATTGATTCCAGAGCCATTCCCCGTTCCCCATTCAACACGACCGGTGGCTCGACTTCCTTCAGGCAACTCCAGAGATGCCCGAGAACACTGTCCCAAGTCTAGAGGAACACCAACTTCAGCACAGCAACTCGAAGAATGCTCCGTGTACCCCAAATCGTCTCGATGTGAGAGCTGATTCCCTGGCTTAGGCTCAAGACGTATGCCAACTTTCCAGAAGCACCTCAAGAGGAGGCTTCTCTCAACAATAGGTATGTGGGAGGGACCCCGATATCGCTGCCTAAAGTGGAATATACAGCGAGAAGCCCTAACTTGAAAGGAGGCCAGATTTCCTTGCAGTGGCTTGAATACAGGCTCGTCTTTGATCTCAAAACATGAAGGGATGTCTGAATCCCCTGTGGAGACCTTAGAGAAAACCTAAGGTCCCTGCCTCATTTTGACGGAATTCCTCACATCCCGTTGACACCTCGAGAGGCACGCGGAGTTCATTGCTTCAAATGGTGACGATGCCTGACTCCTCTTGAATACTGATAGGAATCCCAAAACCCCTGTGGCTACTGGAAAGGGTCCTTGGGTGCCCTGCCTCACCTCGAGAAGCGTCGCTTTTGCCCTGCCAAGCCTCGAAGAGATTCCTGAGGTGTCCCTCGTTACTAGACAAGAGTCCTGACGTCACTGAAGAAACTCGTGTTTTGAAGGGCCATCCGGCCGTAAGTTGAGAACATATCCCAGGTCCCCGCCGCAACTCGAGAAAAACCATGAGACTTCCCCCTAGAGGCAAGATGAGGCCCCATTCCCCTGCAGTGCATGCAGAGCTATTCCGTGATCCCATTCAAACAAGTCAGGAGCTTCAACTTGCTTAATGGATCTCCAGACAGTCACCAAGAACACTGTCACCAGTCTAGACGGAAACTGAGGTCACCCCAGCAACACAAAGCAGTTCCATGTACCCCAAATCAACTCGAGATGAGGCCCGATCCCCTGCATTGACTCCAGAGCCATTCCCCGTTCTCCATTCAACACGACCGGTGGCTCGACTTCCTTCAGGCAACTCCAGAGATGCCCCGAGAACAATGTCCCAAGTCTAGAGGAACACCAACTTCAGCACAGCAACTCAGGAAATGTTCCGTGTAACCCAAATCGTCTCGAGATGAGAGCTGATTCCCTGGCTTAGGCTCAAGACGTATGCCAACTTTCCAGAAGCACCTCAGGAGGAGGCTTCTCTCAGCAATAGGTATGTGGGACGGACCCCGAGATCGCTGCCTCAAGTGGAATATACAGCGAAAAGCCCTAACTTGAAAGGAGGCCGGATTTCCTTGCAGTGGCTGGAATACAGGCTCGTCTTTCATCTCACAACATGAAGGGATATCTGAATCCTCTGTGGAGACGTTAGAGAAATCCCTAGGTCCCTGCCTCATTTTGACGGAATGCCTCACGTCCCGTTGACACCTCGAGAGGCACGTAGAGTTCATTGCTTCAAAAGGTGACGATGCCTGACTCCTCTGGAAAACTGATAGGAATCCCAGAATCACTGTGGCTACTGGAAAGGGTCCTTGGGTGCCCTGCCTCACCTCGAGAAGCGTCCCTTTTGCCCTGCCAAGTATCGAAGAGATTCCTGAGGTGTCCCTCGTTACTAGACAGGAGTCCTGACGTCACTTAATAAACACGGGTTTTGAAGGGCCATCCCCGCCGTAGGTCGAGAACATACCCCAGGTCCCTGCCGCAACTCGAGAAAAACACTGAGACTTCCCCCTAGAGGCGAGATGAGGCCCCATTCCCCTGCAGTGCATGCAGAGCTATTCCGTGATCCCATTCAAACAAGTCAGGAGCTTCGACTTCCTTAATGGATCTCGAGACAGTCCGCAAGAACACTGTCACCAGTCTAGACGGACCCTGAGGTCACCCCAGCAACGCAAAGCAGCTCCATGTGCCCCAAATCAACTCTAGATGAGGCCCGATTCCCCTGCATTGACTCCAGAGCCATTCCCCGTTCCCCATTCAACACGACCTGTGGCTCGACTTCCTTCAGGCAACTCCAGAGATGCCCCTAGAACACTGTCCCAAGTCTAGAGGAACACGAACTTCAGCACAGCAACTCGAGGAATGTTCCGTGTACCTCAAATCGTCTCGAGATGAGAGCTCATTCCCTGGCTTAGGCTCAAGACGTATGCCAACTTTCCAATAGCACCTCAGGAGGAGGATTCTCTCAGCAATAAGTATGTGGGAGGGACCCCGAGATCGCTGCCTCAAGTGGAATATACAGCGAGAAGTCCAAACTTGGAAGGAGGCAGCATTTCTTTGCAGTGGCTTGAATACAGGCTCGTCTTTGATCTCGAAACATGAAGGGATGCCTGAATCCCCTGTGGAAACCTTAGACCATGCCCTAGGTCCCTGCCTCATTTTGAAGGAATGCCTCACATCCCGTTGACACCTCGAGAGGCACGCGGAGTTCATTGCTTCAAAAGGTGACGATGCCTGACTCCTCTTGAATACTGATAGGATTCCCAAAATCGCTGTGGCTACTGGAAAGGGTCCTTGGGTGCCCTGCCTCAACTCGAGAAGCGTCCCTTTTGCCCTGCCAAGCCTCGAAGAGATTCCTGAGGTGTCCCTCGTTACTAGACAGGAGTCCTGACGTCACTTAATAAACACGGGTTTTGAAGAGCCATCCCCGCCGTAAGTGGAAAACATACCCCAGGTCCCCGCCGCAACTCGAGAAAAACCATGAGAGTTCCCCCTAGAGGCGAGATGAGGCCCCATTCCCCTGCAGTGCAAGCAGAGCTATTCCGTGATCCCATTCAAACAAGTCAGGAGCTTCGACTTGCTTAATGGATCTCGAGACAGTCCCCAAGATCACTGTCACCAGTCTAGACGGACCCTGAGGTCACCCCAGCAACGCAAAGCAGCTCCATGTGCCCCAAATCAACTCGAGATGAGGCCCGATTCCCCTGCATTGACTCCAGAGCCATTCCCCGTTCCGCATTCAACAGGACCGTTGGCTCGACTTCTTTCAGGCAACTCCAGAGATGCCGCGAGAAACTGTCCCAAGTCTAGAGGAACACCAACTTCAGCACAGCAACTCGAGGAATGCTCCGTGTACCCCAAATCATCTCGAGATGAGAGCTGATTCTCTGGCTTAGGCTCAAGACGTATGCCAACTCTCCAGAAGCACCTCAAGAGGAGGCTTTCTCAGCAATAGGTATGTGGAAGGGACCCCGAGTTTGCTGCCTCAAGGGGAATATACAGAAAGAAGCCCTAACTTGAAAGGAGAACGGATTTCCTTGCAGTGGCTTGAATAAAGGCTCGTCTTTCATGTCACATCATGAAGGGATGTCTGAATCCCCTGTGGAGACCTTAGAGAAAGCCCTAGGTCCCTGCCTCATTTTGACGGAATGCCACACATCCCGTTGACACCTCGAGAGGCACGCGGAGTTCATTGCTTCAAAAGGTGACGATGCCTGACTCCTCTTGAATACTGATAGGAATCCCAAAATCCCTGTGGCTACTGGAAAGGGTCCTTGGGTGTCCTGCCTCACCTCGAGAAGCATCCCTTTTGCACTGCCAAGCCTCGAAGAGATTCCTGAGGTGTCCCTCGTTACTAGACAGGAGTCCTGACGTCACTGAAGAAACTCGTGTTTTGAAGGGCCATCCCCGCCGTAAGTCGAGAACATACCCCAGGTCCCCGCCGCAACTCGAGAAAAACCATGAGACTTCCCCCTAGAGGCGAGATGAGGCCCCATTCCCCTGCAGTGCATGCAGAGCTTTTCCGTGATCAGATTCAAACAAGTCAGGAGCTTTGACTTGCTTAATGGATCTCGAGACAGTCGCCAAGAACACTGTCACCAGTCTAGACGGACCCTGAGGTCACCCCAGCAACGCAAAGCAGCTCCATGTGCCCCAAATCAACTCGAGATGAGGCCCGATTCCCCTGCATTGACTCCAGAGCCATTCCCCGTTCCCCATTCAACACGACCGGTGGCTCGACTTCCTTCAAGCAACTCCAGAGATGCCCCGAGAACACTGTCCAACGTCTAGAGGAACACCAACTTCAGCACAGCAACTCGAGGAATGCTCCGTGTACCCCAAATCATCTCGATGTTAGAGCTGATTCCCTGGCTTAGGCTCAAGACGTATGCCAACTTTCCAGAAGCACCTCAAGAGGAGGCTTCTCTCAGCAATAGGTATGTGGAAGGGACCCCGAGTTTGCTACCTCAAGGGGAATATACAGCGAGAAGCCCTAACTTGAAAGAAGGCCGAATTTCCTTGCAGTGGCTTGAATACAGGCTCATCTTTCATCTCACAACATGAAGGGATGTGTGAATCCCCTGTGGAGACCTTAGAGAAAACCCTAGGTCCCTGCCTCATTTTGACGGAATGCCTCACATCCCATTGACACCTCGAGAGGCACGCAGAGTTCATTGCTTCAAAAGGTGACGATGCCTGACTCCTCTTGAATACTGATAGGAATCCCAAAACCCATGTGGCTACTGGAAAGGGTCCTTGGGTGCCCTGTCTCACCTCGAGAAGCGTCGCTTTTGCCCTGCCAAGCCTCGAAGAGATTCCTGAGGTGTCCCTCGTTACTAGACAAGAGTCCTGACGTCACTGAAGAAACTCGTGTTTTGAAGGGCCATCCCCGCTGAAAGTTGAGAACATACCCCAGGTCCCCGCCGCAACTCGAGAAAAACCATGAGACTTCCCCCTAGAGGCGAGATGAGGCCCCATTCAACTGCAGTGCATGCAGAGCTATTCCGTGATCCCATTCAAACAAGTCAGGAGCTTCGACTTGCTTAATGGATCTCGAGACAGTCCCCAAGAACACTGTCACGAGTCTAGACGGACCCTGAGGTCACCCCAGCAACGCAAAGCAGCTCCATGTGCCCCAAATCAACTCGAGATGAGGCCCGATTCCCCTGCCTTGACTCCAGAGCCATTCCCCGTTCCCCATTCAACACGACCGGTGGCTCGACTTCCTTCAGGCAACTCCAGAGATGCCCGATAACACTGTCCCAAGTCTAGAGGAACACCAACTTCAGCACAGCAACTCGAGGAATGTTCCGTGTACCCCAAATCGTCTGAGATGAGAGCTGATTCCCTGGCTTAGGCTCAAGACGTATGCCAACTTTCCAGAAGCACCTCAGGAGGAGGCTTCTCTCAGCAATAGGTATGTGGGAGGGACCCCGAGATCGCTGCCTCAAGTGGAATATACAGCGAGAAGCCCTAACTTGAAAGGAGGCCGGATTTCCTTGCAGTGGCTGGACTACAGGCTCGTCTTTCATCTCACAACATGAAGGGATGTCTGAAACCCCTGTGGAGACCTTAGAGAAAGCCCTAGGTCCCTGCCTCATTTTGACAGAATGCCTCACATCCCTTTGACACCTCGAGAGGCACGCGGAGTTCATTGCTTCAAAAGGTGACGATGCCTGACTCCTCTTGAATACTGATAGGAATCCCAAAATCCCTGTGGCTACTGGAAAGGGTCCTTGAGTGCACTGCCTCACCTCGAGAAGCGTCCCTTTTGCCCTGCCAAGCCTCGAAGAGATTCCTGAGGTGTCCCTCGTTAATAGACAGGAGTTCTGACGTCACTGAAGAAACTCGTGTTTTGAAGGGCTATCCCCGCCGTAAGTCGAGAACATACCCCAGGTCCCCGCCGCAACTCGAGAAAAACCATGAGACTTGCCCCTAGAGGCGTAATGCGGCCCCATTCACTTGCAGTGCATGTAGAGCTATTCCGTGATCCCACTCAAACAAGTCAGGAGCTTCGACTTGCTTAATGGATCTCGAAACAGTCCCCAAGAACACTGTCACCAGTCTAGACGGAACCTGAGGTCACCCCAGGAACGCAAAGCAGCTCCATGTGCCCCAAATCAACTCGAGGTGAGGCCCGATTCCCCTGCATTGACTCCAGAGCCATTCCCCGTTCCCCATTCAACACAACCGGTGGCTCGCCTTCCTTCAGCAACTCCAGAGATGCCTTGAGAACACTGTCCCAAGTCTAGAGGAACACCAACTTAACCAAAGCATCTTCAGGAATGCTCCGTGTAACCCAAATCGTCTTGCGATGAGAGCTGATTCCCTGGCTTAGGCTTAAGACGTATGCCAACTTTCCAGAAGCACCTCAAGAGGAGGCTTCTCTCAGCAATAGGTATGAAGAAGGGACCCCGTGTTTGCTGCCTAAAGGGGAATATACAGCGAGAAGCCCTAACTTGATAGGAGGCCGGATTTCCTTGCCGTGGCTTGAATACAGGCTCGTCTTTCATCTCACAACATGAAGGGATATCTGAATCCCCTGTGGAGACCTTAGAGAAAGCCCTAGGTCCCTGCCTCATTTTGACGGAATGCCTCACATCCCGTTGACACCTCCAGAGGCACGCGGAGTTCATTGCTTCAAAAGGTGACGATGCCTGACTCCTCTTGAATACTGATAGGAATCCCAAAATCCCTGTGGCTACTGGAAAGGGTCCTTGGGTGCCCTTCCTCACCTCAAGAAGCGTCCCTTTTGCCCTGCCAAGCCTCGAAGAGATTCCTGAGGTGTCCCTCGTTACTAGACAGGAGTCCTGACGTCACTGAAGAAACTCGTGTTTTGAAGGGCCATCCCCGCCGTAAGTCGAGAACATACCCCAGGTCCCCGCCGCAACTCGAGAAAAACCATGAGACTTCCCCCTAGAGGCGAGATGAGGCCCCATTCCCCTGCAGTGCATGCAGAGCTATTACGTGATCCCATTCAAACAAGTCAGGAGCTTCGACTTCCTTAATGGGTCTCGAGACAGTCCCCAAGAACACTGTCACCAGCCTAGACGGACCCTGAGATCACCCCAGCAACGCAAAGCAGCTACATGTGCCCCAAATCAACTCGAGATGAGGCCCGATTCCCCTGCATTGACTGCAGAGCCATTCCCCGTTCCCCATTCAACACGACCCGTGGCTCGACTTCATTCAGGGAACTCCAGAGATGCCCCGAGAACACTGTCCCAAGTCTAGAGGAACACCAACTCCAGCACAGCAACTCGAGGAATGTTCCATGTACCCCAAATCGTCTCGAGATGAGAGCTGATTCCCTGGCTTAGGCTCAAGACGTATGCCAACTTTCGAGAAACACCTCAGGAGGAGGCTTCTCTCAGCAATAGGTATGTGGGATGGACCCCGAGATCGCTGCCTCAAGGGGAATATACACCGAGAAGGCCTAACTTGAAAGGAGGCCGGATTTCCTTGCAGTGGCTTGACTACAGGCTCGTCTTTCATCTCACAACATGAAGGGATGTCTGAAACCCCTGTGGAGACCTTAGAGAAAGCCCTAGGTCCCTGCCTCATTTAGACGGAATGCCTCACATCTCGTTGACACCTCGAGAGGCACGCGGAGTTCATTGCTTCAAAATGTGACGATGCCTGACTCCTATTGAATATTGATAGGAATCCCAAAATCCCTGTGGCTACTGGAAAGGCTCCTTGGGTGCACTGCCTCACGTCGAGAAGCGTCCCTTTAGCCCTGCCAAGCCTCGAAGAGATTCCTGAGGTGTCCCTCATTACTAGACAGGAGTCCTGACGTCACTGAAGAAACTCGTGTTTTGAAGGGCCATCCCCGCCGTAAGTCGAGAACATACCACAGGTCCCCGCCGCAACTCGAGAAAAACCATGAGACTTCCCCCTAGAGGCGAGATGAGGCCCCATTCCCCTGCAGTACATGAAGAGCTATTCCGTGATCCCATTCAAACAAGTCAGGAGCTTCGACTTGCTTAATGGGTCTCGAGAGAGTCCCCAAGAACACTGTCACCAGCCTAGACGGACCCTGAGGTCACCCCATCAACGCAAAGCAGCTCCATGTGCCCCACATCAACTCGAGATGAGGCCCGATTCCCCTGCATTGACTCCAGAGCCATTCCCCGTTCCCCATTCAAAAGGACCGGTGGCTCGACTTCCTTCAGGCAACTCCAGAGATCCCCTGAGAACACTGTCCCAAGTCTAGAGGAACACAAACTTCAGCACAGCAACTCGAGGAATGCTCCGTGTACCCCAAATCGTCTCGAGATGAGAGCTCATTCCCTGGCTTAGACTCAAGACGTATGCCAACTTTCCAGAAGCACCTCTAGAGGAGGCTTCTCTCAGCAATATGTATGTGGAAGAGACCCAGAGTTTGCTGCCTCAAGTGGAATATACAGCGAGAAGCCCTAACTTGAAAAGAGGCCGGATTTCCTTGCAGTGGCTTGAATACAGGCTCGTCTTTCATCTCACAACATGAAGGGATGTCTGAAACCCCTGTGGAGACCTTAGAGAAAGCCCTAGGTCCCTGCCTCATTTTGACGGAATGCCTCACATCCCGTTGACACCTCGAGAGTCACCCGCAGTTCATTGCTTCAAAAGGTGACGATGCCTGACTCCTCTTCCATACTGATAGGAATCCCAAAATCTTTGTGGCTACTGGAAAGGGTCCTTGGGTGCCCTGCCTCACCTCAGGAAGCGTCCCTTTTGCCCTGCCCAGCCTCGAAGTGATTCCTGAGGTGTCCCTCTTTACTAGACAGGAGTCCTGACGTCACTGAAGAAACTCGTGTTTTGAAGGGCCATCCCCGCCGTAAGTCGAGAACATACCCCAGGTCCCCGCCACAACTGGAGAAAAACCATGAGACTTCCCCCTAGAGGCGTGATGACGCCCCATTCACCTGCAGTGCATGCAGAGTTATTCCGTGATCCCATTCAAACAAGTCAGGAGCTTCGACTTGCTTAATGGATCTCGAAACAGTCCCCAAGAACACTGTCACCAGTCTAGACGGAACCTGAGGTCACCCTAGCAACGCAAAGCAGATCCATGTGCCACAAATCAACTCGAGATGAGGCCTGATTCCCCTGCATTGACTCCAGAGCCATTCCACGTTCCCCATCAACACGACCTGTGGCTCGACTTCATTCAGGGAACTCCAGAGATGCCCCGAGAACACTGTCCCAAGTCTAGAGGAACACCAACTTCAGCACAGCAACTCGAGGAATGTTCCTTGTACCCCAAATCGTCTGAGATGAGAGCTGATTCCCTGGCTTAGGCTCAAGACGTATGCCAACTTTCCAGAAGCACCTCAGGAGGAGGCTTCTCTCAGCAATAGGTATGTGGGAGGGACCCCGAGAACGCTGCCTCAAGTGGAATATACAGCGAGAAGCCCTAACTTGAAAGGAGGCCGGATTTCCTTGCAGTGGCTTGACTACAGGTTCGTCTTTCATCTCACAACATGAAGGGATGTCTGAAACCCCTGTGGAGATCTTAGAGAAAGCCCTAGGTCCCTGCCTCATTTTGAAACAATGCCTCACATCTCGTTGACACCTCGAGAGGCACGCGGAGTTCATTGCTTCAAAAGGTGATGATGCCTGACTCCTCTTGAATACTGATAGGAATCCCCAAATCACTGTGGCTACTGGAAAGGGTCCTTCGGTGCCCTGCCTCACCTCGAAAAGCGTCCCTTTTGCCCTGCCAAGCCTCGAAGAGATTCCTGAGGTGTCCCTCGTTACTAGACAGGAGTCCTGACGTCACTGAAGAAACTCGTGTTTTGAAGGGCCATCCCGCCGTAAGTCGAGCACATACCCCAGGTCCCCGCCGCAACTCGAGAAAAACCATGAGACTTCCCCCTAGAGGCGAGATGAGGCCCCATTCCCCTGCAGTGCATGCAGAGCTATTCCGTGATCCCATTCATACATGTCAGGAGCTTCAACTTCCTTAATGGGTTTCGAGACAGTCCAAAGACCACTGTCAGCAGACTAGACGGACACTGAGGTAACCCCAGCAACGCAAAGCAGCTCCATATGCCCCAAATCAACTCGAGATGAGGCCCGATTCCCCTGCATTGACTGCAGAGCCATTCCCCGTTCCCCATTCAACACGACCGGTGGCTCGACTTCCTTCAGGCAACTCCAGAGATGCCCCGAGAACACTGTCCCAAGTCTAGAGGAATACCAACTTCAGCACAGCAACTCGAGGAATGTTCCGTGTACCCCAAATCGTCTGAGATGAGAGCTGATTCCCTGGCTTAGGCTCAAGACGTATGCCAACTTTCCAGAAGCACCTCAGGAGGAGGCTTCTCTCAGCAATAGGTATGTGGGAAGGACCCCGAGATCGCTGCCTCAAGTGGAATATACAGCGAGAAGCCCTAACTTGAAAGGAGGCCGGATTTCCTTGCAGTGGCTGGACTACAGGCTCGTCTTTCATCTCAAAACATGAAGGGATGTCTGAAACCCCTGTGGAGACCTTAGAGAAAGCCCTAGGTGCCTGCCTCATTTTGACGGAATGCCTCACATCTCGTTGACACCTCGAGCAGTAAGCAGAGTTCACTGCTTCAAAAGGTGACGATGCCTGACTCCTCTTGAATATTGATAGGCATCCCAAAATCCCTGTGGCTACTGGAAAGGGTCCTTCGGTGCCCTGCCTCACCTCGAGAAGCGTCCCTTTCGCCCTGCCAAGCCTCGAAGAAATTCCTGAGGTGTCCCTCGTTACTAGACAAGAGTCCTGACGTCACTGAAGAAACTCGTGTTTTGAAGGGCCATCCCCGCCGTAAGTCGAGAACATACCCCAGGTCCCCGCCGCAACTCGAGAAAAACCATGAGACTTCCCCCTAGAGGCGAGATGCGGCCCCATTCCCTTGCAGTGCATGCAGAGCTATTCCGTGGTCCCATTCAAACAAGTCAGGAGATTCGACTTGCTTAATGGATCTCGAAACAGTCCCCAAGAACACTGTCACCAGTCTAGACGGAACCTGAGGTCACCCCAGCAACGCAAAGAAGCTCCATGTGCCCCAAATCAACTCGAGATGAGGCCCGATTCCCCTGCATTGACTGCAGAGCCATTCCCCGTTCCCCATTCAACACGACCCGTGGCTCGACTTCATTCAGGAAACTCCAGAGATGCCCCGAGAACACTGTCCCAAGTCTAGAGGAACACCAACTTCAGCACAGCAACTCGAGGAATGTTCCGTGTACCCCAAATCGTCTCGAGATGAGAGCTGATTCCCTGGCTTAGGCTCAAGATGTATGCCAACTTTCCAGAAGCACCTCAGGAGGAGGCTTTTCTCAGCAATAGGTATGTGGGAGGGACCCCGAGTTTGCTGCCTCAAGGGGAATATACAGCGAGAAGCCCTAACTTGAAAGGAGGCAGGATTTCCTTGCAGTGGCTTGACTACAGGCTCGTCTTTCATCTCAAAACATGAAGGGATGTCTGAAACCCCTGTGGAGACCTTAGAGAAAGCCCTAGGTCCCTGCCTCATTTTGACGGAATGCCTCACATCCCTTTGACACCTCGAGAGGCACGCGGAGTTCATTGCTTCAAAAGGTGACGATGCCTGACTCCTCTTGAATACTGATAGGAATCCCAAAATCCCTGTGGCTACTGGAAAGGGTCCTTGAGTGCACTGCCTCACCTCGAGAAGCGTCCCTTTTGCCCTGCCAAGCCTCGAAGAGATTCCTGAGTTGTCCCTCGTTAATAGACAGGAGTCCTGACGTCACTGAAGAAACTCGTGTTTTGAAGGGCTATCCCCGCCGTAAGTCGAGAACATACCCCAGGTCCCCGCCGCAACTCGAGAAAAACCATGAGACTTCCCCCTAGAGGCGTGATGCGGCCCCATTCCCTTGCAGTGCATGCAGAGCTATTCCGTGATCCCATTCAAACAAGTCAGGAGCATCGACTTGCTTAATGGATCTCGAAACAGTCCCCAAGAACACTGTCACCAGTCTAGACGGAACCTGAGGTCACCCCAGCAACGCAAAGAAGCTCCATGTGCCCCAAATCAACTCGAGATGAGGCCCGATTCCCCTGCATTGACTGCAGAGCCATTCCCCGTTCCCCATTCAACACGACCCGTGGCTCGACTTCATTCAGGGAACTCCAGAGATGCCCCGAGAACACTGTCCCAAGTCTAGAGGAACACCAACTCCAGCACAGCAACTCGAGGAATGTTCCGTGTACCCCAAATCGTCTCGAGATGAGAGCTGATTCCCTGGCTTAGGCTCAAGACGTATGCCAACTTTCGAGAAACACCTCAGGAGGAGGCTTCTCTCAGCAATAGGTATGTGGGAGGGACCCCGAGATCGCTGCCTCAAGGGGAATATACACCGAGAAGGCCTAACTTGAAAGGAGGCCGGATTTCCTTGCAGTGGCTTGAATACAGGCTCGTGTTTCATCTCACAACATGAAGGCATGTCTGAATCCCCTGTGGAGACCTTAGAGAAAGCCCTAGGTCCCTGCCTCATTTTGACGGAATGCCTCACATCCCGCTGACACCTCGAGAGGCACGCGGAGTTCATTGCTTCAAAAGGTGACGATGCCTGACTCCTCTTGAATACTGATAGGAATCCCAAAATCACTGTGGCTACAGGAAAGGGTCCTTGGGTGCCCTGCCTCACCTCGAGAAGCGTCCCTTTTGCCCTGCGAAGCCTCGAAGAGATTCCTGAGGTGTCCCTCGTTACTAGACAGGAGTCCTGACGTCACTGAAGAAACTCGTGTTTTGAAGGGCCATCCCGCCGTAAGTCGAGAACATACCCCAGGTCCCCGCCGCAACTCGAGAAAAACCATGAGACTTCCCCCTAGAGGCGAGATGAGGCCCCATTCCCCTGCAGTGCATGCAGAGCTATTCCGTGATCCCATTCAAACAAGTCAGGAGCTTCGACTTGCTTAATGGATCTCAAGACAGTCCCCAAGAACAATGTCACCAGTCTAGACGGACCCTGAGGTCACCCCAGCAACGCAAAGCAGCTCCATGTGACCCAAATCAACTCGAGATGAGGCCCGATTCCCCTGCACTGACTCCAGAGCCATTCCCCGTTCCGCATTCAACACGACCGGTGGCTCGACTTCCTTCAGGTAACTCCAGAGATGCCCCGAGAACACTGTCCCAAGTCTAGAGGAACACCAACTTCAGCACAGCAACACGAGGAATGCTCCGTGTACCCCAAATCGTCTCGAGATGAGAGCTGATTCCCTGGCTTAGGCTCAAGACGTATGCCAACTTTCCAGAAGCACCTCAGGAGGAGGCTTCTCTCAGCAATAGGTATGTGGGAGGGACCCCGAGTTTGCTGCCTCAAGGGGAATATACAGCGAGAAGACCTAACTTGAAAGGAGGCCGGATTTCCTTGCAGTGGCTTGAATACAGGCTCTTCTTTGATCTCAAAACATGAAGGGATGACTGAATCCCCTGTGGAGACCTTAGAGAAAGCCCTAGGTCCATGCCTCATTTTGACGGAATGCCTCACATCCCGCTGACACCTCGTGAGGCACGCAGAGTTCATTTCTTCAAAAGGTGACGATGCCTGACTCCTCTTGAATACTGATGGAATCCCAAAATCCCCGTGGCTATTGAAAAGGGTCCTTGGGTGCCCTGCCTCACCTCGAGAAGCGTCCCTTTTGCCCTGCCAAGCCTCGAAGAGATTCCTGAGGTGTCCCTCGTTACTAGACAGGAGTCCTGACGTCACTGAACAAACTCGTGTTTTGAAGGGCCATCCCCGCCTTAAGTCGAGAACATACCCCAGGTCCCCGCCGCAACTCGAGAAAAACCATGAGACTTCCCCCTAGAGGCGAGATGAGGCCCCATTCCCCTGCAGTGCATGCAGAGCTATTCCGTGATCCCATTCAAACAAGTCAGGAGCTTCGACTGGCTTAATGGATCTCGAGACAGTCCCCAAGAACACTGTCACCAGTCTAGGCGGATCCTGAGGTCACCCCAGCAACGCAAAGCAGCTCCATGTGCCCCAAATCAACTCGAGATGAGGCCCGATTCCCCTGCATTGACTCCAGAGCCATTCCCCGTTCCCCATTCAACACGACCGGTGGCTCGACTTCCTTCAGGCAACTCCAGAGATGCCCCGAGAACACTGTCCCAAGTCTGGAGGAACACCAACTTCAGCACAGCAACTCGAGGAATGCTCCGTGTACCCCAAATCGTCTCGAGATGAGAGTTGATTCCCTGGCTTAGGCTCAAGACGCATGCAACTTTCCAGAAGCACCTCAGGAGGAGGCTTCTCTCAGCAATAGGTATGTGGGAGGGACCCCGTGTTTGCTGCCTCAAGGGGAATATACAGCGAGAAGCCCTAACTTGAAAGGAGGCCGGATTTCCTTGCAGTGGCTTGAATACAGGCTCTTCTTTGATCTCAAAACATGAAGGGATGACTGAATCCCCTGTGGAGACCTTAGAGAAAGCCCTAGGTCCATGCCTCATTTTGACGGAATGCCTCACATCCCGCTGACACCTCGAGAGGCACGCAGAGTTCATTGCTTCAAAAGGTGACGATGCCTGACTCCTCTTGAATACTGATAGGAATCCCAAAATCCCCGTGGCTACTGGAAAGGGTACTTGGGTGCCCTGCCTCACCTCGAGAAGCGTCCCTTTTGCCCTGCCAAGCCTCGAAGAGATTCCTGAGGTGTCCCTCGTTACTAGACAGGAGTCGTGACGTCACTGAAGAAACTCGTGTTTTAAAGGGCAATCCCCTCTGTAAGTCGAGAACATACCCCAGGTCCCCACCGCAACTCGAGAAAAACCATGAGACTTCCCCCTAGAGGCGAGATGAGGCCCCATTCCCCTGCAGTGCATGCAGAGCTATTCCGTGATCCCATTCAAACAAGTCAGGAGCTTCGACTTGCTTAATGGATCTCGAGACAGTCCCCAAGAACACTGTCACCAGTCTAGACGGACCCTGAGGTCACCCCAGCAACGCAAAGCAGCTCCATGTGACCCAAATCAACTCGAGATGAGGCCCGATTCCCCTGCATTGACTCCAGAGCCATTCCCCGTTCCCCATTCAACACGACCGGTGGCTCGACTTCCTTCAGGCAACTCCAGAGATGCCCCGAGAACACTGTCCCAAGTCTAGAGGAACACTAACTTCAGCACAGCAACTGGAGGAATGCTCCGTGTACCTCAAATCGTCTCGAGATGAGAGCTGATTCCCTGGCTTAGGCTCAAGACGTATGCCAACTTTCCAGCAGCACCTCAGGAGGAGGCTTCTCTCAGCAATAGGTATGTGGGAGGGACCCCGAGTTTGCTGCCTCAAGGGGAATATACAGCGAGAAGCCCTAAATTGAAAGGAGGCCCGATTTCCTTGCAGTGGCTTGAATACAGGCTCGTGTTTCATCTCACAACATGAAGGCATGTCTGAATCCCCTGTGGAGACCTTAGAGAAAGCCCTAGGTCCCTGCCTCATTTTGACGGAATGCCTCACATCCCGCTGACAACTCGAGAGGCACGCAGAGTTCATTGCTTCAAAAGGTGACGATGCCTGACTCCTCTTGAATACTGATAGGAATTCCAAAATCCCTGTGGCTACAGGAAAGGGTCCTTGGGTGCCCTGCCTCACCTCGAGAAGCGTCCCTTTCGCCCTGCGAAGCCTCGAAGAGATTCCTGAGGTGTCCCTCGTTACTAGACAGGAGTCCTGACGTCACTGAAGAAACTCGTGTTTTGAAGGGCCATCCCGCCGTAAGTCGAGAACATACCCCAGGTCCCCGCCGCAACTCGAGAAAAACCATGAGACTTCCCCCTAGAGGCGAGATGAGGCCCCATTCCCCTGCAGTGCATGCAGAGCTATTCCGTGATCCCATTCAAACAAGTCAGGAGCTTCGACTTGCTTAATGGATCTCAAGACAGTCCCCAAGAACACTGTCACCAGTCTAGACGGACCCTGAGGTCACCCCAGCAACGCAAAGCAGCTCCATGTGACCCAAATCAACTCGAGATGAGGCCCGATTCCTCTGCACTGACTCCAGAGCCATTCCCCGTTCCGCATTCAACACGACCGGTGGCTCGACTTCCTTCAGGTAACTCCAGAGATGCCCCGAGAACACTGTCCCAAGTCTAGAGGAACACCAACTTCAGCACAGCAACTCGAGGAATGCTCCGTGTACCCCAAATCGTCTCGAGATGAGCGCTGATTCCCTGGCTTAGGCTCAAGACGTATGCCAACTTTCCAGAAGCACCTCAGGAGGAGGCTTCTCTCAGCAATAGGTATGTGGGAGGGACCCCGAGTTTGCTGTCTCAAGGGGAATATACAGCGAGAAGCCCTAACTTGAAAGGAGGCCAGATTTCCTTGCAGTGGCTTGAATACAGGCTCTTCTTTGATCTCAAAACATGAAGGGATGACTGAATCCCCTGTGGAGACCTTAGAGAAAGCCCTAGGTCCATGCCTCATTTTGACGGAATGCCTCACATCCCGCTGACACCTCGAGAGGCACGCAGAGTTCATTGCTTCAAAAGGTGACGATGCCTGACTCCTCTTGAATACTGATAGGAATCCCAAAATCCCTGTGGCTACTGGAAAGGGTCCTTGGGTGCCCTGCCTCACCTCGAGAAGCGTCCCTTTGGCCCTGCCAAGCCTCGAAGAGATTCCTGAGGTGTCCCTCGTTACTAGACAGGAGTCCTGACGTCACTGAAGAAACTCGTGTTTTTTAAAGGGCCATCCCCGCCGTAAGTCGAGAACATACCCCAGGTCCCCGCCGCAACTCGAGAAAAACCATGAGACTTCCCCCTAGAGGCGAGATGAGGCCCCATTCCCCTGCAGTGCATGCAGAGCTATTCCGTGATCCCATTCAAACAAGTCAGGAGCTTCGACTTGCTTAATGGATCTCGAGACAGTCCCCAAGAACACTGTCACCAGTCTAGACGGACCCTGAGGTCACCCCAGCAACGCAAAGCAGCTCCATGTGACCCAAATCAACTCGAGATGAGGCCCGATTCCCCTGCATTGACTCCAGAGCCATTCCCCGTTCCACATTCAACACGACCGGTGGCTCGACTTCCTTCAGGTAACTCCAGAGATGTGCCGAGAACACTGTCCCAAGTGTAGAGGAACACCAAATTCAGCACAGCAACTCGAGGAATGCTCCGTGTACCCCAAGTCGTCTCGAGATGAGAGCTGATTCCCTGGCTTAGGCTCAAGACGTATGCCAACTTTCCAGAAGCACCTCAGGAGGAGGCTTCTCTAAACAATAGGTATGTGGGAGGGACCCCGAGTTTGCTGCCTCAAGGGGAATATACAGCGAGAAGCCCTAAATTGAAAGGAGGCCAGATTTCCTTGCAGTGGCTTGATTACAGGCTCATGTTTCATCTCACAACATGAAGGCATGTCTGAATCCCCTGTGGAGACCTTAGAGAAAGCCCTAGGTCCATGCCTCATTTTGACGGAATGCCTCACATCCCGCTGACACCTCGAGAGGCACGCAGAGTTCATTGCTTCAAAAGGTGACGATGCCTGACTCCTCTTGAATACTGATAGGAATCCCAAAATCCCCGTGGCTACTGGAAAGGATACTTGGGTGCCCTGCCTCACCTCGAGAAGCGTCCCTTTTGCCCTGCCAAGCCTCGAAGAGATTCCTGAGGTGTCCCTCGTTACTAGACAGGAGTCCTGACGTCACTGAAGAAACTCGTGTTTTGAAGGGCAATCCCCTCTGTAAGTCGAGAACATACCCCAGGTCCCCACCGCAACTCGAGAAAAACCATGAGACTTCCCCCTAGAGGCGAGATGAGGCCCCATTCCCCTGCAGTGCATGCAGAGCTATTCCGTGATCCCATTCAAACAAGTCAGGAGCTTCGACTTGCTTAATGGATCTCGAGACAGTCCCCAAGAACACTGTCACCAGTCTAGACGGACCCTGAAGTCACCCCAGCAACACAAAGCAGCTCCATGTGCCCCAAATCAACTCGAGATGAGGCCCGATTCCCCTGCATTGACTCCAGAGCCATTCCCCGTTCCCCATTCAACACGACCGGTGGCTCGACTTCCTTCAGGCAACTCCAGAGATGCCCCGAGAACACTGTCCCAAGTCTAGAGGAACACCAACTTCAGCACAGCAACTGGAGGAATGCTCCGTGTACCCCAAATCGTCTCGAGATGAGAGCTGATTCCCTGGCTTAGGCTCAAGACGTATGCCAACTTTCCAGAAGCACCTCAGGAGGAGGCTTCTCTCAGCAATAGGTATATGGGAGGGACCCCGAGTTTGCTGCCTCAAGGGGAATATACAGCGAGAAGCCCTAAATTGAAAGGAGGCCCGATTTCCTTGCAGTGGCTTGAATACAGGCTCGTGTTTCATCTCACAACATGAAGGCATGTCTGAATCCCCTGTGGAGACCTTAGAGAAAGCCCTAGGTCCCTGCCTCATTTTGACGGAATGCCTCACATCCCGCTGACACCTCGAGAGGCACGCGGAGTTCATTGCTTCAAAAGGTGACGATGCCTGACTCCTCTTGAATACTGATAGGAATCCCAAAATCACTGTGGCTACAGGAATGGGTCCTTGGGTGCCCTGCCTCACCTCGAGAAGCGTCCCTTTTGCCCTGCGAAGCCTCGAAGAGATTCCTGAGGTGTCCCTCGTTACTAGACAGGAGTCCTGACGTCACTGAAGAAACTCGTGTTTTGAAGGGCCATCCCGCCGTAAGTCGAGAACATACCCCAGGTCCCCGCCGCAACTCGAGAAAAACCATGAGACTTCCCCCTAGAGGCGAGATGAGGCCCCATTCCCCTGCAGTGCATGCAGAGCTATTCCGTGATCCCATTCAAACAAGTCAGGAGCTTCGACTTGCTTAATGGATCTCAAGACAGTCCCCAAGAACACTGTCACCAGTCTAGACGGACCCTGAGGTCACCCCAGCAACGCAAAGCAGCTCCATGTGACCCAAATCAACTCGAGATGAGGCCCGATTCCCCTGCACTGACTCCAGAGCCATTCCCCGTTCCGCATTCAACACGACCGGTGGCTCGACTTCCTTCAGGTAACTCCAGAGATGCCCCGAGAACACTGTCCCAAGTCTAGAGGAACACCAACTTCAGCACAGCAACTCGAGGAATGCTCCGTGTACCCCAAATCGTCTAAAGATGAGAGCTGATTCCCTGGCTTAGGCTCAAGACGTATGCCAACTTTCCAGAAGCACCTAAGAGGAGGCTTCTGTCAGCAATAGGTATGTGGGAGGGACCCCGAGTTTGCTGCCTCAAGGGGAATATACAGCGAGAAGCCCTAACTTGAAAGGAGGCCGGATTTCCTTGCAGTGGCTTGAATACAGGCTCATCTTTCATCTCACAACATGAAGGGATGTCTGATCCCATGTGGAGACCTTAGAGAAAGCCTTAGGTCCCTGCCTTATTTTGACGGAATGCCTCACATCCCGTTGACACCTCGAGAGGCACGCGGAGTTCATTGCTTCAAAAGGTGACCATGCCTGACTCCTCTTGAATACTGATAGGAATCCCAAAATCCCTGTGGCTACAGGAAAGGGTCCTTGGGTGCCCTGCCTCACCTCGAAAAGCGTCCCTTTTGCCCTGCCAAGCCTCGAAGAGATTCCTGAGGTGTCCCTCGTTACTAGACAGGAGTCCTGACCTCACTGAAGAAACTCGTGTTTTGAAGGGCCATCCCCGCCGTATGTCGAGAATATACCCCAGGTCCCTGCCGCAACTCGAGAAAAACCATGAGACTTCCCCCTAGAGGCGAGATGAGGCCCCATTCCCCTGCAGTGCATGCAGAGCTATTCCGTGATCCCATTCAAACAAGTCAGGAGCTTCGACTTCCTTAATGGGTCTCGAGACAGTCCCCAGGAACACTGTCACCAGCCTAGACGGACACTGAGGTCACCCCAGCAACGCAAAGCAGCTCCATGTGCCCCAAATCAATTCGAGATGAGGCCCGATTCCAATGAATTGACTGCAGAGTCATTCCCCGTTCCCCATTCAACACGACCCGTGGCTCGACTTCTTTCAGGCAACTCCAGAGAGGCCCCGAGAACACTGTCCCAATTCTAGAGGAACACCAACTTCAGCACAGCAACTCGAGGAATGCTCCGTGTACCACAAATCGTCTCGAGATGAGACCTGATTCCCTGGCTTAGGCTCAAGACGTATGCCAACTTTCCAGAAGCACCTCAGGAGGAGGCTTCTCTCAGCAATAGGTATGTGGGAGGGACCCCGAGTTTGCTGCCTCAAGGGGAATATACAGCGAGAAGCCCTAACTTGAAAGGAGGCCGGATTTCCTTGCAGTGGCTTGAATACAGGCTCTTCTTTGATCTCAAAACATGAAGGGATGACTGAATCCCCTGTGCAGACCTTAGAGAAAGCCCTAGGTCCATGCCTCATTTTGACGGAATGCCTCACATCCCGCTGACACCTCGAGAGGCAGGCGGAGTTCATTGCTTCAAAAGGTGACGATGCCTGACTCCTCTTGAATACTGATAGGAATCCCAAAATCCCCGTGGTTACTGGAAAGGGTCCTTGGGTGCCCTGCCTCTCCTCGAGAAGCGTCCCTTTTGCCCTGCCAAGCCTCGAAGAGATTCCTGAGGTGTCCCTCGTTACTAGACAGGAGTCCTGACGTCACTGAAGAAACTCGTGTTTTGAAGGGCCATCCCCGCTGTAAGTCAAGAACATACCCCAGGTCCCCGCCGCAACTCGAGAAAAACCATGAGACTTCCCCCTAGAGGCGAGATGAGGCCCCATTCCCCTGCAGTGCATGCAGAGCTATTCCGTGATCCCATTCAAACAAGTCAGGAGCTTCGACTTGCTTAATGGATCTCGAGACAGTCCCCAAGAACACTGTCACCAGTCTAGACGGACCCTGAGGTCACCCCAGCAACACAAAGCAGCTCCATGTGCCCCAAATCAACTCGAGATGAGGCCCGATTCCCCTGCATTGACTCCAGAGCCATTCCCCGTTCCCCATTCAACACGACCGGTGGCTCGACTTCCATCAGGCAACTCCAGAGATGCCCCGAGAACACTGTTCCAAGTCTAGAGGAATACCAACTTCAGCACAGCAACTCGAGGAATGCACCGTGTACCCCAAATCGTCTCGAGATGAGAGCTGATTCCCTGGCTTAGGCTCAAGACGTATGCCAACTTTCCAGAAGCACCTCAGGAGGAGGCTTCTCTCAGCAATAGGTATATGGGAGGGACCCCGAGTTTGCTGCCTCAAGGGGAATATACAGCGAGAAGCCCTAAATTGAAAGGAGGCCCGATTTCCTTGCAGTGGCTTGAATACAGGCTCGTGTTTCATCTCACAACATGAAGGCATGTCTGAATCCCCAGTGGAGACCTTAGAGAAAGCCCTAGGTCCCTGCCTCATTTTGACGGAATGCCTCACATCCCGCTGACACCTCGAGAGGCACGCGGAGTTCATTGCTTCAAAAGGTGACGATGCCTGACTCCTCTTGAATACTGATAGGAATCCCAAAATCCCTGTGGCTACAGGAAAGGGTCCTTGGGTGCCCTGCCTCACCTCGAGAAGCGTCCCTTTTGCCCTGCGAAGCCTCGAAGAGATTCCTGAGGTGTCCCTCGTTACTAGACAGGAGTCCTGACGTCACTGAAGAAACTCGTGTTTTGAAGGGCCATCCCGCCGTAAGTCGAGAACATACCCCAGGTCCCCGCCGCAACTCGAGAAAAACCATGAGACTTCCCCCTAGAGGCGAGATGAGGCCCCATTCCCCTGCAGTGCATGCAGAGCTATTCCGTGATCCCATTCAAACAAGTCAGGAGCTTCGACTTGCTTAATGGATCTCAAGACAGTCCCCAAGAACACTGTCACCAGTCTAGACGGACCCTGAGGTCACCCCAGCAACGCAAAGCAGCTCCATGTGACCCAAATCAACTCGAGATGAGGCCCGATTCCCCTGCACTGACTCCAGAGCCATTCCCCGTTCCGCATTCAACACGACCGGTGGCTCGACTTCCTTCAGGTAACTCCAGAGATGCCCCGAGAACACTGTCCCAAGTCTAGAGGAACACCAACTTCAGCACAGCAACTCGAGGAATGCTCCGTGTACCCCAAATCGTCTAAAGATGAGAGCTGATTCCCTGGCTTAGGCTCAAGACGTATGCCAACTTTCCAGAAGCACCTAAGAGGAGGCTTCTGTCAGCAATAGGTATGTGGGAGGGACCCCGAGTTTGCTGCCTCAAGGGGAATATACAGCGAGAAGCCCTAACTTGAAAGGAGGCCGGATTTCCTTGCAGTGGCTTGAATACAGGCTCATCTTTCATCTCACAACATGAAGGGATGTCTGATCCCATGTGGAGACCTTAGAGAAAGCCTTAGGTCCCTGCCTTATTTTGACGGAATGCCTCACATCCCGTTGACACCTCGAGAGGCACGCAGAGTTCATTGCTTCAAAAGGTGACCATGCCTGACTCCTCTTGAATACTGATAGGAATCCCAAAATCCCTGTGGCTACTGGAAAGGGTCCTTGGGTGCACTGCCTCACCTCTAGAAGCGTCCCTTTTGCCCTGCCAAGCCTCGAAGAGATTCCTGAGGTGTCCCTCGTTACTAGACAGGAGTCCTGACGTCACTGAAGAAACTCGTGTTTTGAAGGCCCATCCCCGCCGTAAGTCGAGAACACACCCCTGGTTCCCGCCGCAACTCGAGAAAAACCATGAGACTTCCCCCTAGAGGCGAGATGAGGCGCCATTCCCCTACAGTGCATGCAGAGCTATTCCGTGATCCCATTCAAACAAGTCAGGAGCTTCGCCTTCCTTAATGGGTCTCGAGACAGTCCCCAAGAACACTGTCACCAGCCTAGACGGACCCTGAGGTCACCCCAGCAACGCAAAGCAGCTCCATGTGCCCCAAATCAACTCGAGATGAGGCCTGATTCTCCTGCATTGACTCCAGAGCCATTCCCCGTTCCCCATTCAACACGACCGGTGGCTCGACTTCCTTCAGGCAACTCCAGAGATGCACCGAGAACACTGTCCCAAGTCTAGAGGAACACCTACTTAAGCACAGCAAATCGAGGAATGCTCCGTGCACCCCAAATCGTCTCGAGATGAGAGCTGATTCCCTGGCTTAGGGTCAAGACGTATGCCAACTTTCCAGAAGCACCTCAAGAGGAGGCTTCTCTCAGCAATAGGTATGTGGGAGGGACCCCGAGTTTGCTGCCTCAAGTGGAATATACAGCGAGAAGCCCAAACTTGAAAGGAGGCCAGATTTCCTTGCAGTGGCTTGACTACAGGCTCGTCTTTCATCTCACAACATGAAGGGATGTCTGAATCCCCTGTGGAGACCTTAGAGAAAGCCCTAGGTCCCTGCCTCATTTTGACGGAATGCCTCACATCCCGTTGACACCTCGAGAGGCACGCGGAGTTCATTGCTTCAAATTTTGATGATGCCTGACTCCTCTTGAATACTGATAGGAATCCCAAAATCCTTGTGGCTACTGGAAAGGGTCCTTGGGTGCCCTGCCTCACCTCGAGAAGCGTCCCTTTTGCCCTGCCAAGCCTCGAAGAGATTCCTGAGGTGTCCCTCGTTACTAGACAGGAGTCCTGACGTCACTGAAGAAACTCGTGTTTTGAAGGGCCATCCCCGCCGAAAGTCAAGAACATAACCCAGGTCCCCGCCTCAAATCGAGAAAAACCATGAGACTTCCCCCTAGAGACAAGATGAGGCCCCATTACCCTGCAGTGCATGCAGAGATATTCCGTGATCCCATTCAAACAAGTCAGGAGCTTCGACTTGCTTAATGGATCTCGAAACAGTCCCCAAGAACACTGTCACCAGTCAAGACGTTCCCTGAGGTCACCCCAGCAAAGCAAAGCAGATCCATGTGCCCCAAGTCATCTCGAGATGAGGCCTGATTCCCCTGCATTGACTCCAGAGCCATTCCCCTTTCCCCATTCAACACGACCGGTGGCTCAACTTCCTTCAGGCAACTCCAGAGATGCCCTGAGAACACTTTCGCAAGTCCAGAGGAACACCAACTTCAGCACACCAACTCGAGGAATGCTCCGTGTACCCCAAATCATCTCGAGATGAGAGCTCATTCCCTGGCTTAGGCTCAAGACGTATGCCAACTTTCCAGAAGCACCTCAAGAGGAGGCTTCTCTCAGCAATAGGTATGTGGGAGGGACCCCGATTTTGCTGCCTCAAGTGGAATATACAGCGAGAAGCCCTAACTTGAAAGGAGGCCGGATTTCCTTGCAGTGGCTTGAATACAGGCTCATCTTTCATCTCACAACATGAAGGGATGTCTGAATCCCCTGTGGAGACCTTAGAGAAAGCCTTAGGTCCCTGCCTTATTTTGACAGAATGCCTCACATCCCGTTGACACCTCGAGAGGCACGCGGAGTTCATTGCTTCAAAAGGTGACCATGCCTGACTCCTCTTGAATACTGATAGGAATCCCAAAATCCCTGTGGCTACAGGAAAGGGTCCTTGGGTGCCCTGCCTCACCTCGAAAAGCGTCCCTTTTGCCCTGCCAAGCCTCGAAGAGATTCCTGAGGTGTCCCTCGTTACTAGACAGGAGTCCTGACCTCACTGAAGAAACTCGTGTTTTGAAGGGCCATCCCCGCCGTATGTAGAGAATATTCCCCAGGTCCCTGCCGCAACTCGAGAAAAACCATGAGACTTCCCCCTAGAGGCGAGATGAGGCCCCATTCCCCTGCAGTGCATGCAGAGCTATTCCGTGATCCCATTCAAACAAGTCAGGAGCTTCGACTTCCTTAATGGGTCTCGAGACAGTCCCCAGGAACACTGTCACCAGCCTAGACGGACACTGAGGTCACCCCAGCAACGCAAAGCAGCTCCATGTGCCCCAAATCAATTCGAGATGAGGCCCGATTCCAATGAATTGACTGCAGAGTCATTCCCCGTTCCCCATTCAACACGACCCGTGGCTCGACTTCATTCAGGCAACTCCAGAGAGGCCCCGAGAACACTGTCCCAAGTCTAGAGGAACACCAACTTCAGCACAGCAACTCGAGGAATGCTCCGTGTACCCCAAATCGTCTCGAGATGAGAGCTGATTCCCTGGCTTAGGCTCAAGACGTATGCCAACTTTCCAGAAGCACCTCAGGAGGAGGCTTCTCTCAGCAATAGGTATGTGGGAGGGACCCCGAGTTTGCTGCCTCAAGGGGAATATACAGCGAGAAGCCCTAACTTGAAAGGAGGCCGGATTTCCTTGCAGTGGCTTGAATACAGGCTCTTCTTTGATCTCAAAACATGAAGGGATGACTGAATCCCCTGTGGAGACCTTAGAGAAAGCCCTAGGTCCATGCCTCATTTTGACGGAATGCCTCACATCCCGCTGACACCTCGAGAGGCAGGCGGAGTTCATTGCTTCAAAAGGTGACGATGCCTGACTCCTCTTGAATACTGATAGGAATCCCAAAATCCCCGTGGTTACTGGAAAGGGTCCTTGGGTGCCCTGCCTCACCTCGAGAAGCGTCCCTTTTGCCCTGCCAAGCCTCGAAGAGATTCCTGAGGTGTCCCTCGTTACTAGACAGGAGTCCTGACGTCACTGAAGAAACTCGTGTTTTGAAGGGCCATCCCCGCTGTAAGTCAAGAACATACCCCAGGTCCCCGCCGCAACTCGAGAAAAACCATGAGACTTCCCCCTAGAGGCGAGATGAGGCCCCATTCCCCTGCAGTGCATGCAGAGCTATTCCGTGATCCCATTCAAACAAGTCAGGAGCTTCGACTTGCTTAATGGATCTCGAGACAGTCCCCAAGAACACTGTCACCAGTCTAGACGGACCCTGAGGTCACCCCAGCAACACAAAGCAGCTCCATGTGCCCCAAATCAACTCGAGATGAGGCCCGATTCCCCTGCATTGACTCCAGAGCCATTCCCCGTTCCCCATTCAACACGACCGGTGGCTCGACTTCCATCAGGCAACTCCAGAGATGCCCCGAGAACACTGTTCCAAGTCTAGAGGAATACCAACTTCAGCACAGCAACTCGAGGAATGCACCGTGTACCCCAAATCGTCTCGAGATGAGAGCTGATTCCCTGGCTTAGGCTCAAGACGTATGCCAACTTTCCAGAAGCACCTCAGGAGGAGGCTTCTCTCAGCAATAGGTATATGGGAGGGACCCCGAGTTTGCTGCCTCAAGGGGAATATACAGCGAGAAGCCCTAAATTGAAAGGAGGCCCGATTTCCTTGCAGTGGCTTGAATACAGGCTCGTGTTTCATCTCATAACATGAAGGCATGTCTGAATCCCCAGTGGAGACCTTAGAGAAAGCCCTAGGTCCCTGCCTCATTTTGACGGAATGCCTCACATCCCGCTGACACCTCGAGAGGCACGCGGAGTTCATTGCTTCAAAAGGTGACGATGCCTGACTCCTCTTGAATACTGATAGGAATCCCAAAATCCCTGTGGCTACAGGAAAGGGTCCTTGGGTGCCCTGCCTCACCTCGAGAAGCGTCCCTTTTGCCCTGCGAAGCCTCGAAGAGATTCCTGAGGTGTCCCTCGTTACTAGACAGGAGTCCTGACGTCACTGAAGAAACTCGGGTTTTGAAGGGCCATCCCGCCGTAAGTCGAGAACATACCCCAGGTCCCCGCCGCAACTCGAGAAAAACCATGAGACTTCCCCCTAGAGGCGAGAAGAGGCCCCATTTCCCTGCAGTGCATGCAGGGCTATTCCGTGATCCCATTCAAACAAGTCAGGAGCTTCGACTTGGTTAATGGATCTCAAGAGAGTCCCCAAGAACACTGTCACCAGTCTAGACGGACCCTGAGGTCACCCCAGCAACGCAAAGCAGCTCCATGTGACCCAAATCAACTCGAGATGAGGCCCGATTCCCCTGCACTGACTCCAGAGCCATTCCCCGTTCCGCATTCAACACGACCGGTGGCTCGACTTCCTTCAGGTAACTCCAGAGATGCCCCGAGAACACTGTCCCAAGTCTAGAGGAACACCAACTTCAGCACAGCAACTCGAGGAATGCTCCGTGTACCCCAAATCGTCTCGAGATGAGAGCTGATTCCCTGGCTTAGGCTCAAGACGTATGCCAACTTTCCAGAAGCTCCTCAGGAGGAGGCTTCTCTCAGCAATAGGTATGTGGGAGGGACCCCGAGTTTGCTGCCTCAAGGGGAAAAAACAGCGAGAAGCCCTAACTTGAAAGGAGGCCGGATTTCCTTGCAGTGGCTTGAATACAGGCTCTTCTTTGATCTCAGAACATGAAGGGATGTCTGAATTCCCTGTGGAGTCCATAGAGAAAGCCCTAGTTCCCTGCCTCATTTTGACGGAATGCCTCACATCCCGCTGACACCTCGAGAGGAACGCGGAGTTCATTGCTTCAAAAGGTGACGATGCCTGACTCCTCTTGAATACTGATAGGAATCCGAAAATCCCTGTGGCAACTGGAAAGGGTCCTTGGGTGCCCTGCTTCACTTCGAGAAGCGTCCCTTTTGCCCTGCCAAGCCTCGAAGAGATTCCTGAGGTGTCCCTCGTTACTAGACAGGAGTCCTGACGTCACTGAAGAAACTCGAGTTTGAAGGGCCATCCCGCCGTAAGTCGAGAACATACCCCAGGTCCCCGCCGCAACTCGAGAAAAACCATGAGACTTCCCCCTAGAGGCGAGATGAGGCCCCATTCCCCTGCAGTGCATGCAGAGGTATTCCGTGATCCCATTCAAACAAGTCAGGAGCTTCGACTTGCTTAATGGGTCTCGAGACAGTCACCAAGAACACTGTCACCAGTCTAGACGGACCCTGAGGTCACCCCAGCAACGCAAAGCAGCTCCATGTGCCCCAAATCAACTCGAGATGAGGCCCGATTCCCCTGCATTGACTCCAGAGCCATTCCCCGTTCCCCATTCAACACGACCGGTGGCTCGACTTCCTTCAGGTAACTCCAGAGATGCCCCGAGAACACTGTCCCAAGTCTAGAGGAACACCAACTTCAGCACAGCAACTCAAGGAATGCTCCGTGTACCCCAAATCGTCGCGAGATGAGAGCTGAATCCCTGGCTTAGGCTCAAGACGTATGCCAACTTTCCAGAAGCACCTCAGGAGGAGGCTTCTCTCAGCAATAGGTATGTGGGAGGGACCCCGAGTTTGCTGCCTCAAGGGGAATATACAGCGAGAAGCCCTAAATTGAAAGGAGGCCGGATTTCCTTGCAGTGGCTTGAATAAAGGCTCGTGTTTCATCTCACAACATGAAGGCATGTCTGAATCCCCTGTGGAGACCTTAGAGAAAGCCCTAGGTCCATGCCTCATTCTGACGGAATGCCTCACATCCCGCTGACACCTCGAGAGGCACGCGGAGTTCATTGCTTCTAAAGGTGACGATGCCTGACTCCTATTGAATACTGATAGGAATCCCAAAATCACTGTGGCTACTGGAAAGGGTCCTTGGGTGCCCTGCCTCACCTCGAGAAGCGTCCCTTTTGCCCTGCAAAGCCTCGAAGGGATTCCTTAGGTGTCAATCGTTACTAGACAGGAGTCCTGACGTCACTGAAGAAACTCGTGTTTCGAAGGGCCATCCCCGCCGTAAATCGAGAACATACCCCAGGTCCCCGGCGCAACTCGAGAAAAACCATGAGACTTCCCCCTAGAGGCGAGATGAGGCCCCATTCCCCTGCAGTGCATGCAGAGCTATTCCGTGATCCCATTCAAACAAGTCAGGAACTTCGACTTGCTTAATGGATCTCGAGACAGTCCCCAAGAACACTGTCACCAGTGTAGACGGACGTTGAGGTCACCCCAGCAATGCAAAGCAGCTCCATGTGCCCCAAATCAACTCGAGATGAGGCCCAATTCCCCTGCATTGACTCCAGAGCCACTCCCCGTTCCCCATTCAACACGACCGGTGGCTCGACTTCCTTCAGACAACTCCAGAGATGCCCCGAGAACACTGTCCCAAGTCTAGAGGAATACCAACTTCAGCACAGCAACTCGAGGAATGCTCCGTGTACCCCAAATCGTCTCGAGATGAGAGCTGATTCCCTGGCTTAGGCTCAAGACGTATGCCAACTTTCCAGAAGCACCTCAGGAGGAGGCTTCTCTCAGTAATAGGTATGTGGGAGGGACCTCGAGTTTGCTGCCTCAATGGGAATATACAGCGAGAAGCCCTAACTTGAAAGGAGGCCGGATTTCCTTGCAGTGGCTTGAATACAGGCTCTTCTTTGATCTCAAAACATGAAGGGATGACTGAATCCCCTGTGGAGTCCTTAGAGAAAGCCCTAGGTCCATGCCTCATTTTGACGGAATGCCTCACATCCTGCTGACACCTCGAGAGGCACGCGGAGTTCATTGCTTCAAAAGGAGACGATGCCTGTCTCCTCTTGAATACTGATAGGAATCCCAAAATCCCTGTGGCTACTTGAAAGGGTCCTTGGGTGCCCTGCCTCACCTCGAGAAGCGTCCCTTTTGCCCTGCCAAGCCTCGAAGTGATTCCTGAGGTGTCCCTCGTTACTAGACAGGAGTCCTGACGTCACTGAAGAAACTCGTGTTTTGAAGGGCCATCCCCGCTGTAAGTCGAGAACATACCCCAGGTCCCCGCCGCAACTCGAGAAAAACCATGAGACTTCCCCCTAGAGGTGAGATGAGGCCCCATTCCCCTGCAGTGCATGCAGAGCTATTCCGTGATCCCATTCAAACAAGTCAGGAGCTTCGACTTGCTTAATGGATCTCGAGACAGTCCCCAAGAACACTGTCACCAGTCTAGACGGACCCTGAGGTCACCCCAGCAACACAAAGCAGCTCCATGTGCCCCAAATCAACTCGAGATGAGGCCCGATTCCCCTGCATTGACTCCAGAGCCATTCCCCGTTCCCCATTCAACACGACCGGTGGCTGGACTTCCTTCAGGCAACTCCAGAGATGCCCCGAGAACACTGTCCCAAGTCTAGAGGAATATCAACTTCAGCACAGCAACTGGAGGAATGCTCCGTGTACCAAAAATCGTCTCGAGATGAGAGCTGATTCCCTGGCTTAGGCTCAAGACGTATGCCAACTTTCCAGAAGCACCTCAGGAGGAGGCTTTTCTCAGCAATAGGTATATGGGAGGGACCCCGAGTTTGCTGCCTCAAGGGGAATATACAGCGAGAAGCCCTAAATTGAAAGGAGGCCCGATTTCCTTGCAGTGGCTTGAATACAGGCTCGTGTTTCATCTCACAACATGAAGGCATGTCTGAATCCCCTGTGGAGAACTTAGAGAAGGCCCTAGGTCCCTGCCTCATTTTGACGGAATGCCTCACATCACGCTGACACCTCGAGAGGCACGCGGAGTTCATTGCTTCAAAAGGTGACGATGCCTGACTCCTCTTGAATACTGATAGGAATCCCAAAATCCCTGTGGCTACAGGAAAGGGTCCTTGGGTGCCCTGCCTCACCTCGAGAAGCGTCCCTTTTGCACTGCGAAGCCTCGAAGAGATTCCTGAGGTGTCCCTCGTTACTAGACAGGAGTCCTGACGTCACTGAAGAAACTCGTGTTTTGAAGGGCCATCCCCGCCGTAGGTCGAGAACATACCCCAGGTCCCCGCCGCAACTCGAGAAAAACCATGAGACTTCCCCCTAGAGGCGAGATGAGGCCCCATTCCCCTGCAGTGCATGCAGAGCTATTCCGTGATCCCATTCAAACAAGTCAGGAGCTTCGACTTGCTTAATGGATCTCGAGACAGTCCCCAAGAACACTGTCACCAGTGTAGACGGACGCTGAGGTCACCCCAGCAATGCAAAGCAGCTCCATGTGCCCCAAATCAACTCGAGATGAGGCCCGATTCCCCTGCATTGACTCCAGAGCCATTCCCCGTTCCCCATTCAACACGACCGGTGGCTCGACTTCCTTCAGGTAACTCCAGAGATGCCCCGAGAACACTGTCCCAAGTCTAGAGGAACACCAACTTCAGCACAGCAACTCGAGGAATGCTCCGTGTACCCCAAATTGTCTCGAGATGAGAGCTGATTCCCTGGCTTAGGCTCAAGACGTATGCCAACTTTCCAGAAGCACCTCAGGAGGAGGCTTCTCTCAGCAATAAGTATGTGGGAGGGACCCCGAGTTTGCTGCCTCAAGGTGAATATACAGCGAGAAGCCCTAAATTGAAAGGAGGCCCGATTTCCTTGCAGTGGCTTGAATACAGGCTCGTGTTTCATCTCACAACATGAAGGGATGTCTGAATCCCCTGTGGAGACCTTAGAGAAAGCCCAAGGTCCCTGCCTCATTTTGACGGAATGCCTCACATCCCGCTGACACCTCGAGAGGCACGCGGAGTTCATTGCTTCAAAAGGTGACGATGCCTGACTCCTCTTGAATACTGATAGGAATCCCAAAATCCCTGTGGCTACTGGAAAGGGTCCTTGGGTGCCCTGCCTCACCTCGAGAAGCGTCCCTTTTGCCCTCCGAAACCTCGAAGAGATTCCTGAGGTGTCCCTCGTTAATAGACAGGAGTCCTGACGTCACTGAAGAAACTCGTGTTTTGAAGGGCCATCCCCGCCGTAAGTCGAGAACATACCCCAGGTCCCCGCCGCAACTCGAGAAAAACCATGAGACTTCCCCCTAGAGGCGAGATGAGGCCCCATTCCCCTGCAGTGCATGCAGAGCTATTCCGTGATCCCATTCAAACAAGTCAGGAGCTTCGACTTGCTTAATGGATCTCGAGACAGTCCCCAAGAACACTGTCACCAGTCTAGACGGACCCTGAGGTCACCCCAGCAACGCAAAGCAGCTCCATGTGCCCCAAATCAACTCGAAATGAGGCCCGATTCCCCTGCATTGACTCCAGAGCCATTCCCCGTTCCCCATTCAACACGACCGGTGGCTCGACTTCCTTCAGGCAACTCCAGAGATGCCCCGAGAACACTGTCCCAAGTCTAGAGGAACACCAACTTCAGCACAGCAACTCGAGGAATGCTCCGTGTACCCCAAATCGTCTCGAGATGAGAGCTGATTCCCTGGCTTAGGCTCAAGACGTATGCCAACTTTCCAGAAGCTCCTCAGGAGGAGGCTTCTCTCAGCAATAGGTATGTGGGAGCGACCCCGAGTATGCTGCCTCAAGGGGAAAATACAGCGAGAAGCCCTAACTTGAAAGGAGGCCGGATTTCCTTGCAGTGGCTTGAATACCGGCTCTTCTTTGATCTCAGAACATAAAGGGATGTCTGAATTCCCTGTGGAGTCCATAGAGAAAGCCCTAGTTCCCTGCCTCATTCTGAGGGAATGCCTCACATCCCGCTGACACCTCGAGAGGCACGCGGAGTTCATTGCTTCAAAAGGTGACGATGCCTGACTCCTCTTGAATACTGATAGGAATCCCAAAATCCCTGTGGCAACTGGAAAGGGTCCTTGGATGCCCTGCCTCACTTCGAGAATCGTCCCTTTTGCCCTGCCAAGCCTCGAAGAGATTCCTGAGGTGTCCCTCGTTACTAGACAGGAGTCCTGACGTCACTGAAGAAACTCGTCTTTGAAGGGACATCCCGCCGTAAGTCGAGAACATACCCCAGGTCCCCGCCGCAACTCGAGAAAAACCATGAGACTTCCCCCTAGAGGCGAGATGAGGCCCCATTCCACTGCAGTGCATGCAGAGCTATTCCGTGATCCCATTCAAACAAGTCAGGAGCTTCGACTTGCTTAATGGGTCTCGAGACAGTCACCAGGAACACTGTCACCAGTCTAGATGGACCCTGAGGTCACCCCAGAAACGCAAAGCAGCTCCATGTGCCCCAAATCAACTCGAGATGAGGCCCGATTCCCCTGCATTGACTCCAGAGCCATTCCCCGTTCCCCATTCAACACGACCGGTGGCTCGACTTCCTTCAGGCAACTCCAGAGATGCCCCGAGAACACTGTCATAAGTCTAGAGGAACACCAACTTCAGCACAGCAACTCGAGGAATGCTCCGTGTACCCCAAATCGTCTCGAGATGAGAGCTGATTCCCTGGCTTAGGCTCAAGACGTATGCCAACTTTCCAGAAGCACCTCAGGAGGAGGCTTCTCTCAGCAACAGGTATGTGGGAGGGACCTCGAGTTTGCTGCCTCAAGGGGAATATACAGCGAGAAGCCCTAACTTGAAAGGAGGCCGGATTTCCTTGCAGTTGCTTGAATACAGGCTCTTCTTTGATCTCAAAACATGAAGGGATGACTGAATCCCCTGTGGAGTCCTAAGAGAAAGCCCTAGGTCCATGCCTCATTTTGACGGAATGCATCACATCCCGCTGACACCTCGAGAGGCACGCGGAGTTCATTGCTTCATAAGGTGACGATGCCTGTCTCCTCTTGATTACTGATAGGAATCCCAAAATCCCTGTGGCTACTGGAAAGGGTCCTTGAGTGCCCTGCCTCACCTCGAGAAGCGTCCCTTTTGCCCTGCCAAGCCTCGAAGAGATTCCTGAGGTGTCCCTCGTTACTAGACAGGAGTCCTGACTTCACTGAAGAAACTCATGTTTTGAAGGGCCATGCCCGCCGTAAGTCGAGAACATACCCCAGGTCCCCGCCGCAACTCGAGAAAAACCATGAGACTTCCCCCTAGAGGCGAGATGAGGATCCATTCCCCTGCAGTGCATGCAGAGCTATTCCGTGATCCCATTCAAACAAGTCAGGAGCTTCGACTTGCTTAATGGATCTCGAGACAGTCCCCAAGAACACTGTCACCAGTCTAGGCGGACCCTGAGGTCACGCCAGCAACGCAAAGCAGCTCCATGTGCCCCAAATCAACTCGAGATGAGGCCCGATTCCCCTGCATTGACTCCAGAGCCATTCCCCGTTCCCCATTCACACGACCGGTGGCTCGACTTCCTTCAGGCAACTCCAGAGATGCCCCGAGAACACTGTCCCAAGTCTGGAGGAACACCAACTTCAGCACAGCAACTCGAGGAATGCTCCGTGTACCCCAAATCGTCTCGAGATGAGAGCTGATTCCCTGGCTTAGGCTCAAGACGTATGCCAACTTTCCAGAAGCACCTCAGGAGGAGGCTTCTCTCAGCAATAAGTATGTGGGAGGGACCCCGAGTATGCTGCCTCAAGGGGAATATACAGCGAGAAGCCCTAACTTGAAAGGAGGCCGGATTTCCTTGCAGTGGCTTGAATACAGGCTCGTCTTTGATCTCAAAACATGAAGGGATGTCTGAATCCCCTGTGGAGACCTTAGAGAAAGCCCTAGGTCCGTGCCTCATTTTGACGAATGCCTCACATCCCGTTGACGCCTCGATAGGCACGCGGAGTTCATTGCTTCAAAAGGTGACGATGCCTGACTCTTCTTGAATACTGATAGGAATCCCAAAATCCCTGTGGCTACTGGAAAGGGTCCTTGGGTGCCCTGCCTCACCTCGAGAAGCGTCCCTTTTGCCCTGCCAAGCCTCGAAGAGATTCCTGAGGTGTCCCTCGTTACTAGACAGGAGTCCTGACGTCACTGAAGAAACTCGTGTTTTGAAGGGCCATCCCCGCCGTAAGTCGAGAAAATCATGAGACTTCCCCCTAGAGGCGAGATGAGGCCCCATTCCCCTGCAGTGCATGCAGAGCTATTCCGTGATCCCATTCAAACAAGTCAGGAGCTTCGACTTGCTTAATGGATCTCGAGACAGTCCCCAAGAACACTGTCACCAGTCTAGACGGACCCTGAGGTCACCACAGCAACGCAAAGCAGCTCCATGTGCCCCAAATCAACTCGAGATGAGGCCCGATTCCCCTGCATTGACTCCAGAGCCATTCCCCGTTCCCCATTCAACACGACCGGTGGCTCGACTTCCTTCAGGCAACTCCAGAGATGCCCCGAGAACACTGTCCCAAGTCTAGAGTAACACCAACTTCAGCACAGCAACTCGAGGAATGCTCCGTGTACTCCAAATCGTCTCGAGATGAGAGCTGATTCCCTGGCTTAGGCTCAAGACGTATGCCAACTTTCCAGAAGCACCTCAGGAGGAGGCTTTTCTCAGCAATAGGTATATGGGAGGGACCCCGAGTTTGCTGCCTCAAGGGGAATATACAGCGAGAAGCCCTAAATTGAAAGGAGGCCCGATTTCCTTGCAGTGGCTTGAATACAGGCTCGTGTTTCATCTCACAACATGAAGGGATGTCTGAATCCCCTGTGGAGACCTTGGAGAAAGCCCTAGGTCCCTGCCTCATTTTGACGGAATGCCTCACATCCCGCTGACACCTCGAGAGGCACGCGGAGTTCATTGCTTCAAAAGGTGACGATGCCTGACTCCTCTTGAATACTGATAGGAATCCCAAAATCCCTGTGGCTACAGGAAAGGGTCCTTGGGTGCCCTGCCTCACCTCGAGAAGCGTCCCTTTTGCCCTGCGAAGCCTCGAAGAGATTCCTGAGGTGTCCCTCGTTACTAGACAAGAGTCCTGACGTCACTGAAGAAACTCGTGTTTTGAAGGGCCATCCCGCCGTAAGTCGAGAACATACCCCAGGTCCCCGCCGCAACTCGATAAAAACCATGAGACTTCCCCCTAGAGGCGAGATGAGCCCCCATTCCCCTGCAGTGCATGCAGAGCTATTCCGTGATCCCATTCAAACAAGTCAGGAGCTTCGACTTGCTTAATGGATCTCAAGACAGTCCCCAAGAACACTGTCACCAGTCTAGACGGACCCTGAGGTCACCCCAGCAACGCAAAGCAGCTCCATGTGACCCAAATCAACTCAAGATTAGGCCCGATTCCCCTGCACTGACTCCAGAGCCATTCCCCGTTCCGCATTAAACACGACCGGTGGCTCGACTTCCTTCAGGTAACTCCAGAGTTGCCCCGAGAACACTGTCCCAAGTCTAGAGGAACACCAACTTCAGCACAGCAACTCGAGGAATGCTCCGTGTACCCCAAATCGTCTCGAGATGAGAGCTGATTTCCTGGCTTAGGCTCAAGACCTATGCCAACTTTCCAGAAGCACCTCAGGAGGAGGCTTCTCTCAGCAATAGGTATGTGGGAGGGACCCCGAGTTTGCTGCCTCAAGGGGAATATACAGCGAGAAGCCCTAACTTGAAAGGAGGCCGGATTTCCTTGCAGTGGCTTGAATACAGGCTCTTCTTTGATCTCAAAACATGAAGGGATGACTGAATCCCCTGTGGAGACCTTAGAGAAAGCCCTAGGTCCATGCCTCATTTTGACGGAATGCCTCACATCCCGCTGACACCTGGAGAGGCACGCAGAGTTCATTGCTTCAAAAGGTGACGATGCCTGACTCCTCTTGAATACTGATAGGAATCCCAAAATCCCTGTGGCAACTGGAAAGGGTCCTTTGGTGCCCTGCCTCACCTCGAGAAGCGTCCCTTTTGCCCTGCCAAGCCTCGAAGAGATTCCTGAGGTGTCCCTCGTTACTAGACAGGAGTCCTGACGTCACTGACGAAACTCGTGTTTGAAGGGCCATCCCGCCGTAAGTCGAGAACTTACCCCAGGTCCCCGCCACAACTCGAGAAAAACCATGAGACTTCCCCCTAGAGGCGAGATGAGGCCCCATTCCCCTGCAGTGCATGCAGAGCTATTCCGTGATCCCATTCAAACAAGTCAGGAGCTTCGACTTGCTTAATGGGTCTCGAGACAGTCACCAAGAACACTGTCACCAGTCTAGACGGACCCGGAGGTCACCCCAGCAACGCAAAGCAGCTCCATGTGCCCCAAATCAACTCGAGATGAGGCCCGATTCCCATGCATTGACTCCAGAGCCATTCCCCGTTCCCCATTCAACACGACCGGTGGCTCGACTTCCTTCAGGTAACTCCAGAGATGCCCCGAGAACACTGTCCCAAGTCTAGAGGAACACCAACTTCAGCACAGCAACTCGAGGAATGCTCCGTGTACCCCAAATCGTCTCGAGATGAGAGCTGATTCCCTGGCTTAGGCTCAAGACGTATGCCAACTTTCCAGAAGCACCTCAGGAGGAGGCTTCTCTCAGCATTAGGTATGTGGGAGGGACCCCGAGTTTGCTGCCTCAAGGGGAATATACAGCGAGAAGACCTAAATTGAAAGGAGGCCGGATTTCCTTGCAGTGGCTTGAATACAGGCTCGTGTTTCATCTCACAACATGAAGGCATGTCTGAATTCCCTGTGGAGACCTTAGAGAAAGCCCTAGGTCCATGCCTCATTCTGACGGAATGCCTCACATCCCGCTGACACCTCGAGAGGCACGCGGAGTTCATTGCTTCAAAAGGTGACGATGCCTGCCTCCTCTTGAATACTGATAGGAATCCCAAAATCACTGTGGCTACTGGAAAGGGTCCTTGGGTACCCTGCCTCACCTCGAGAAGCGTCCCTTTTGCCCTGCGAAGCCTCGAAGAGATTCCTGAGGTTTCCCTCGTTACTAGACAGGAGTCCTGACGTCACTGAAGAAACTCGTGTTTTGAAGGGCCATCCCCGCCGTAAATCGAGAACATACCCCAGGTCCCCGGCGCAACTCGAGAAAAACGATGAGACTTCCCCCTAGAGGCGAGATGAGGCCCCATTCCCCTGCAGTGCATGCAGAGCTATTCCGTGATCCCATTCAAACAAGTCAGGACCTTCGACTTGCTTAATGGATCTCGAGACAGTCCCCAAGAACACTGTCACCAGTGTAGACGGACGCTGAGGTCACCCCAGCAATCAAAGCAACTTCATGTGCCCCAAATCAACTCGAGATGAGGCCCGATACCCCTGCATTGACTCCAGAGCCACTCCCCGTTCCCCATTTAACACGACCGGTGGCTCGACTTCCTTCAGGCAACTCCAGAGATGCCCCGAGAACACTGTCCCAAGGCTAGAGGAACACCAACTTCAGCACAGCAACTCGAGGAATGCTCCGTGTACCCCAAATCGTCTCGAGATGAGAGATGATTCCCTGGCTTAGGCTCAAGACGTATGCCAACTTTCCAGAAGCACCTCAGGAGGAGGCTTCTCTCAGCAATAGGTATGTGGGAGGGACCCCGAGTTTGTTGCCTCAAGGGGAATAAACAGCGAGAAGCCCTAACTTGAAAGGAGGACGGATTTCCTTGCAGTGGCTTGAATACAGGCTCTTCTTTGATCTCAAAATATGAAGGGATGACTGAATCCCCTGTGGAGACCTTAGAGAAAGCCCTAAGTCCATGCCTCATTTTGACGGAATGCCTCACATCCCGCTGACACCTCGAGAGGCACTTGGAGTTCATTGCTTCAAAAGGTGACGAGGCCTGACTCCTCTTGAATATGATAGGAATCCCAAAATCCCTGTGGCTACTGGAAAGGGTCCTTGGGTGCCCTGCCTCACCTCGAGAAGCGTCCCTTTTGCACTGCGAAGCCTCGAAGAGATTCCTGAGGTGTCCCTCGTTACTAGACAAGAGTCCTGACGTCACTGAAGAAACTCGTGTTTTGAAGGGCCATCCCCGCCGTAAGTCGAGAACATACCCCAGGTCCCCGCCGCAACTCGAGAAAAACCATGAGACTTCCCCCTAGAGGCGAGATGAGGCCCCATTCCCCTGCAGTGCATGCAGAGCTATTCCGTGATCCCATTCAAACAAGTCAGGACCTTCCACTTGCTTAATGGATCTCGAGACAGTCCCCAAGAACACTGTCACCAGTGTAGACGGACGCTGAGGTCACCCCAGCAATGCAAAGCAGCTCCATGTGCCCCAAATCAACTCGAGATGAGGCCCGATTCCCCTGCATTGACTCCAGAGCCACTCCCCGTTCCCCATTCAACACGACCGGTGGCTCGACTTCCTTCAGGCAACTCCAGAAATGCCCCGAGAACACTGTCCCAAGTCTGGAGGAACACCAACTTCAGCACAGCAACTCGAGGAATGCTCCGTGTACCCCAAATCGTCTCGAGATGAGAGCTGATTCCCTGGCTAAGGCTCAAGACGTATGCCAACTTTCCAGAAGCACCTCAGGAGGAGGCTTCTCTCAGCAATAGGTATATGGGAGGGACCCCGAGTATGCTGCCTCAAGGGGAATATACAGCGAGAAGCCCTAAATTGAAAGGAGGCCCGATTTCCTTGCAGTGGCTTGAATACAGGCTCGTCTTTGATCTCAAAACATGAAGGGATGACTGAATCCCCTGTGGAGACCTTAGAGAAAGCCCTAGGTCCCTGCCTCATTTTGACGGAATGCCTCACATCCCGCTGACACCTCGAGAGGCACGCGGAGTTCATTGCTTCAAAAGGTGACGAGGCCTGACTCCTCTTGAATACTGATAGGAATCCCAAAATCCCTGTGGCTACTGGAAAGGGTCCTTGGGTGCCCTGCCTCACCTCGAGAAGCGTCCCTTTTGCACTGCGAAGCCTCGAAGAGATTCCTGAGGTGTCCCTCGTTACTAGACAGGAGTCCTGACGTCACTGAAGAAACTCGTGTTTTGAAGGGCCATCCCCGCCGTAAGTCGAGAACATACCCCAGGTCCCCGGCGCAACTCGAGAAAAACCATGAGACTTCCCCCTAGAGGCGAGATGAGGCCCCATTCCCCTGCAGTGCATGCAGAGCTATTCCGTGATCCCATTCAAACAAGTCAGGACCTTCGACTTGCTTAATGGATCTCGAGACAGTCCCCAAGAATACTGTCACCAGTGTAGACGGACGGTGAGGTCACCCCAGCAATGCAAAGCAGCTCCATGTGCCCCAAATCAACTCGAGATGAGGCCCGATTCCCCTGCATTGACTCCAGAGCCACTCCCCGTTCCCCATTCAACACGACCGGTGGCTCGACTTCCTTCAGACAACTCAAGAGATGCCCCGAGAACACTGTCCCAAGTCTAGAGTAACACCAACTTCAGCACAGCAACTCGAGGAATGCTCCGTGTACCCCAAATCGTCTCGAGATGAGAGCTGATTCCCTGGCTTAGGGTCAATACCTATGCCAACTTTCCAGAAGCACCTCAGGAGGAGGCTTCTCTCAGCAATAGGTATGTGGGAGGGACCCCGAGTTTGCTGCCTCAAGGGGAATATACAGCGAGAAGCCCTAACTTGAAAGGAGGCCGGATTTCCTTGCAGTGGCTTGAATACAGGCTCTTCTTTGATCTCAGAACATGAAGGGATGTCTGAATTCCCTGTGGAGTCCTTAGAGAAAGCCCTAGTTCCCTGCCTCATTTTGACGGAATGCCTCACATCCCGCTGACACCTCGAGAGGCACGCGGAGTTAATTGCTTCAAAAGGTGACGATGCCTGACTCCTCTTGAATACTGACAGGAATCCCAAAATCCCTGTGGCTACTGGAAAGGGTCCTTGGGTGCCCTGCCTCACCTCGAGAATCGTCCCTTTTGCCCTGACAAGCCTCGAAGAGATTTCTGAGGTGTCCCTCGTTACTAGACAGGAGTCCTGACTTCACTGAAGAAACTCATGTTTTGAAGGGCCATCCCCGCCGTAAGTCGAGAACATACCCCAGGTCCCCGCCGCAACTCGAGAAAAACCATGAGACTTGCCCCTAGAGGCGAGATGAGGATCTATTCCCCTGCAGTGCATGCAGAGCTATTCCGTGATCCCATTCAAACAAGTCAGGAGCTTCGACTTGCTTAATGGATCTCGAGACAGTCCCCAAGAACACTGTCACCAGTCTAGGCGGACCCTGAGGTCACCCCAGCAACGCAAAGCAGCTCCATGTGCCCCAAATCAACTCGAGATGAGGCCCGATTCCAATGCATTGACTCCAGAGCCATTCCCCGTTCCCCATTCAACACGACCGGTGGCTCGACTTCCTTCAGGCAACTCCAGAGATGCCCCGAGAACACTGTCCCAAGTCTGGAGGAACACCAACTTCAGCACAGCAACTCGAGGAATGCTCCGTGTACCCCAAATCGTCTCGAGATGAGAGCTGATTCCCTGGCTTAGGTTCAAGACGTTTGCCAACTTTCCAGAAGCACCTCAGGAGGAGGCTTCTCTCAGCAATAGGTATATGGGAGGGACCCCGAGTATGCTGCCTCAAGGGGAATATACAGCGAGAAGCCCTAAATTGAAAGGAGGCCCGATTTCCTTGCAGTGGCTTGAATACAGGCTCGTCTTTGATCTCAAAACATGAAGGGATGACTGAATCCCCTGTGGAGACCTTAGAGAAAGCCCTAGGTCCCTGCCTCATTTTGACGGAATGCCTCACATCCCGCTGACACCTCGAGAGGCACGCGGAGTTCATTGCTTCAAAAGGTGACGATGCCTGACTCCTCTTGAATACTGATAGGAATCCCAAAATCCCTGTGGCTACTGGAAAGGGTCCTTGGGTGCCCTGCCTCACCTCGAGAAGCGTCCCTTTTGCCCTCCGAAACCTCGAAGAGATTCCTGAGGTGTCCCTCGTTACTAGACAGGAGTCCTGACGTCACTGAAGAAACTCGTGTTTTGAAGGGCCATCCCCGCCGTAAGTCGAGAACATACCCCAGGTCCCCGCCGCAACTCGAGAAAAACCATGAGACTTCCCCCTAGAGGCGAGATGAGGCCCCATTCCACTGCAGTGCATGCAGAGCTATTCCGTGATCCCATTCAAACAAGTCAGGAGCTTCGACTTGCTTAATGGATCTCGAGACAGTCCCCAAGAACACTGTCACCAGTCTAGACGGACCCTGAGGTCACCCCAGCAACGCAAAGCAGCTCCATGTGCCCCAAATCAACTCGAGATGAGGCCCGATTCCCCTGCATTGACTCCAGAGCCATTCCCCGTTCCCCATTCAACACGACCGGTGGCTCGACTTCCTTCAGGTAACTCCAGAGATGCCCCGAGAACACTGTCCCAAGTCTAGAGGAACACCAACTTCAGCACAGCAACTCGCGGAATGCTCCGTGTAGCCCAAATTGTCTCGAGATGAGAGCTGATTCCCTGGCTTAGGCTCAAGACGTATGCCAACTTTCCAGAAGCACCTCAGGAGGAGGCTTCTCTCAGCAATAGGTATGTGGGAGGGACCCCGAGTTTGCTGCCTCAAGGGGAATATACAGCGAGAAGCCCTAAATTGAAAGGAGGCCCGATTTCCTTGCAGTGGCTTGAATACAGGCTCGTGTTTCATCTCACAACATGAAGGGATGTCTGAATCCCCTGTGGAGACCTTAGAGAAAGCCCAAGTTCCCTGCCTCATTTTGACGGAATGCCTCACATCCCGCTGACACCTCGAGAGGCACGCGTAGTTCATTGCATCAAAAGGTGACGATGCCTGACTCCTCTTGAATACTGATAGGAATCCCAAAATCCCTGTGGCTACTGGAAAGGGTAATTGGGTGCCCTGCCTCACCTCGAGAAGCGTCCCTTTTGCACTGTGAAGCCTCGAAGAGATTCCTGAGGTGTCCCTCGTTACTAGACAGGAGTCCTGACGTCACTGAAGAAACTCGTGTTTTGAAGGGCCATCCCCGCCGTAAATCGAGAACATAACCCAGGTCCCCGGCGCAACTCGAGAAAAACCATGAGACTTCCCTCTAGAGGCGAGATGAGGCCCCATTCCCCTGCAGTGCATGCAGAGCTATTCCGTGATCCCATTCAAACAAGTCAGGACCTTCGACTTGCTTAATGGATCTCGAGACAGTCCCCAAGAACACTGTCACCAGTGTAGACGGACGCTGAGGTCACCCCAGCAATGCAAAGCAGCTCCATGTGCCCCAAATCAACTCGAGATGAGGCCCGATACCCCTGCATTGACTCCAGAGCCACTCCCCGTTCCCCATTCAACACGACCGGTGGCTCGACTTCCTTCAGGCAACTCCAGAGATGCCCCGAGAACACTGTCCCAAGTCTAGAGGAACACCAACTTCAGCACAGCAACTCGAGGAATGCTCCGTTTACCCCAAATCGTCTCGAGATGAGAGATGATTCCCTGGCTTAGGCTCAAGACGTATGCCAACTTTCCAGAAGCACCTCAGGAGGAGGCTTCTCTCAGCAATAGGTATGTGGGAGGGACCCCGAGTTTGCTGCCTCAAGGGGAATATACAGCGAGAAGCCCTAACTTGAAAGGAGGACGGATTTCCTTGCAGTGGCTTGAATACAGGCTCTTCTTTGATCTCAAAACATGAAGGGATGACTGAATCCCCTGTGGAGACCTTAGAGAAAGCCCTAGGTCCATGCCTCATTTTGACGGAATGCCTCACATCCCGCTGACACCTCGAGAGGCACGCGGAGTTCATTGCTTCAAAAGGTGACGAGGCCTGACTCCTCTTGAATACTGATAGGAATCCCAAAATCCCTGTGGCTACTGGAAAGGGTCCTTGGGTGCCCTGCCTCACATCGAGAAGCGTCCCTTTTGCACTGCGAAGCCTCGAAGAGATTCCTGAGGTGTCCCTCGTTACTAGACAAGAGTCCTGACGTCACTGAAGAAACTCGTGTTTTGAAGGGCCATCCCCGCCGTAAGTCGAGAACATACCCCAGGTCCCCGCGCAACTCGAGAAAAACCATGAGACTTCCCCCTAGAGGGGAGATGAGGCCCCATTCCCCTGCAGTGCATGCAGAGCTATTCCGTGATCCCATTCAAACAAGTCAGGACCTTCGACTTGCTTAATGGATCTCGAGACAGTCCCCAAGAATACTGTCACCAGTGTAGACGGACGCTGAGGTCACCCCAGCAATGCAAAGCAGCTCCATGTGCCCCAAATCAACTCGAGATGAGGCCCGATTCCCCTGCATTGACTCCAGAGCCACTCCCCGTTCCCCATTCAACACGACCGGTGGCTCGACTTCCTTCAGACAACTCAAGAGATGCCCCGAGAACACTGTCCCAAGTCTAGAGTAACACCAACTTCAGCACAGCAACTCGAGGAATGCTCCGTGTACCCCAAATCGTCTCGAGATGAGAGCTGATTCCCTGGCTTAGGGTCAATACGTATGCCAACTTTCCAGAAGCACCTCAGGAGGAGGCTTCTCTCAGCAATAGGTATGTGGGAGGGACCCCGAGTTTGCTGCCTCAAGGGGAATATACAGCGAGAAGCCCTAACTTGAAAGGAGGCCGGATTTCCTTGCAGTGGCTTGAATACAGGCTCTTCTTTGATCTCAGAACATGAAGGGATGTCTGAATTCCCTGTGGAGTCCTTAGAGAAAGCCCTAGTTCCCTGCCTCATTTTGACGGAATGCCTCACATCCCGCTGACACCTCGAGAGGCACGCGGAGTTCATTGCTTCAAAAGGGGACGATGCCTGACTCCTCTTGAATACTGATAGGAATCCCAAAATCCCTGTGGCTACTGGAAAGGGTCCTTGGGTGCCCTGTCTCACCTCGAGAAGCGTCCCTTTTGCCCTGACAAGCCTCGAAGAGATTTCTGAGGTGTCCCTCGTTACTAGACAGGAGTCCTGACTTCACTGACGAAACTCATGTTTTGAAGGGCCATCCCCGCCGTAAGTCGAGAACATACCCCAGGTCCCCGCCGCAACTCGAGAAAAACCATGAGACTTGCCCCTAGAGGCGAGATGAGGATCTATTCCCCTGCAGTGCATGCAGAGCTATTCCGTGATCCCATTCATACAAGTCAGGAGCTTCGACTTGCTTAATGGATCTCGAGACAGTCCCCAAGAACACTGTCACCAGTCTAGACGGACCCTGAGGTCACCCCAGCAACGCAAAGCAGCTCCATGTGCCCCAAATCAACTCGAGATGAGGCCCGATTCCCCTGCATTGACTCCAGAGCCATTCCCCGTTCCCCATTCAACACGACCGGTGGCTCGACTTCCTTCAGGCAACTCCAGAGATGCCCCGAGAACACTGTCCCAAGTCTGGAGGAACACCAACTTCAGCACAGCAACTCGAGGAATGCTCCGTGTACCCCAAATCGTCTCGAGATGAGAGCTGATTCCCTGGCTTAGGCTCAAGACGTATGCCAACTTTCCAGAAGCACCTCAGGAGGAGGCTTCTCTCGGCAATAGGTATATGGGAGGGACCCCGAGTATATTGCCTCAAGGGGAACATACAGCGAGAAGCCCTAAATTGAAAGGAGGCCCGATTTCTTTGCAGTGGCTTGAATACAGGCTCGTCTTTGATCTCAAAACATGAAGGGATGACTGAATCCCCTGTGGAGACCTTAGAGAAAGCCCTAGGTCCCTGCCTCATTTTGACGGAATGCCTCACATCCCGCTGACACCTCGAGAGGCACGCGGAGTTCATTGCTTCAAAAGGTGACGATGCCTGACTCCTCTTGAATACTGATAGGAATCCCAAAATCCCTGTGGCTACTGGAAAGGGTCCTTGGGTGCCCTGCCTCACCTCGAGAAGCGTCCCTTTTGCCCTCCGAAACCTCGAAGAGATTCCTGAGGTGTCCCTCGTTACTAGACAGGAGTCATGACGTCACTGAAGAAACTCGTGTTTTGAAGGGCCATCCCCGCCGTAAGTCGAGAACATACCCCAGGTCCCCGCCGCAACTCGAGAAAAACCATGAGACTTCCCCCTAGAGGCGAGATGAGGCCCCATTCCCCTGCAGTGCATGCAGAGCTATTCCGTGATCCCATTCAAACAAGTCAGGAGCTTCGACTTGCTTAATGGATCTCGAGACAGTCCCCAAGAACATTGTCACCAGTCTAGACGGACCCTGAGGTCACCCCAGCAATGCAAAGCAGCTCCATGTGCCCCAAATCAACTCTAGATGAGGCCCGATTCCCCTGCATTGACTCCAGAGCCATTCCCCGTTCCCCATTCAACACGACCGGTGGCTCGACTTCCTTCAGGTAACTCCAGAGATGCCCCGAGAACACTGTCCCAAGTCTAGAGGAACACCAACTTCAGCACAGCAACTCGAGGAATGCTCCGTGTACCCCAAATTGTCTCGAGATGAGAGCTGATTCCCTGGCTTAGGCTCAAGACGTATGCCAACTTTCCAGAAGCACCTCAGGAGGAGGCTTCTCTCAGCAATAGGTATGTGGGAGGGACCCCGAGTTTGCTGCCTCAAGGGGAATATACAGCGAGAAGCCCTAACTTGAAAGGAGGCCGGATTTCCTTGCAGTGGCTTGAATACAGGCTCTTCTTTGATCTCAGAACATGAAGGGATGTCTGAATTCCCTGTGGAGTCCTTAGAGAAAGCCTTAGTTCCCTGCCTCATTTTGACGGAATGCCTCACATCCCGCTGACACCTCGAGAGGCACGCGGAGTTAATTGCTTCAAAAGGTGACGATGCCTGACTCCTCTTGAATACTGACAGGAATCCCAAAATCCCCGTGGCTACTGGAAAGGGTCCTTGGGTGCCCTGCCTCACCTCGAGAAGCGTCCCTTTTGCCCTGACTAGCCTCGAAGAGATTTCTGAGGTGTCCCTCGTTACTAGACAGGAGTCCTGACTTCACTGAAGAAACTCATGTTTTGAAGGGCCATCCCCGCCGTAAGTCGAGAACATACCCCAGGTCCCCGCCGCAACTCGAGAAAAACCATGAGACTTGCCCCTAGAGGCGAGATGAGGATCTATTCCCCTGCAGTGCATGCAGAGCTATTCCGTGATCCCATTCAAACAAGTCAGGAGCTTCGACTTGCTTAATGGATCTCGAGACAGTCCCCAAGAACACTGTCACCAGTCTAGGCGGACCCTGAGGTCACCCCAGCAACGCAAAGCAGCTCCATGTGCCCCAAATCAACTCGAGATGAGGCCCGATTCCCCTGCATTGACTCCAGAGCCATTCCCCGTTCCCCATTCAACACGACCGGTGGCTCGACTTCCTTCAGGCAACTCCAGAGATGCCCCGAGAACACTGTCCCAAGTCTGGAGGAACACCAACTTCAGCACAGCAACTCGAGGAATGCTCCTTGTACCCCAAATCGTCTCGAGATGAGAGCTGATTCCCTGGCTTAGGTTCAAGACGTATGCCAACTTTCCAGAAGCACCTCAGGAGGAGGCTTCTCTCAGCAATAGGTATATGGGAGGGACCCCGAGTATGCTGCCTCAAGGGGAATATACAGCGAGAAGCCCTAAATTGAAAGGAGGCCCGATTTCCTTGCAGTGGCTTGAATACAGGCTCGTCTTTGATCTCAAAACATGAAGGGATGACTGAATCCCCTGTGGAGACCTTAGAGAAAGCCCTAGGTCCCTGCCTCATTTTGACGGAATGCCTCACATCCCGCTGACACCTCGAGAGGCACGCGGAGTTCATTGCTTCAAAAGGTGACGATGCCTGACTCCTCTTGAATACTGATAGGAATCCCAAAATCCCTGTGGCTACTGGAAAGGGTCCTTGGGTGCCCTGCCTCACCTCGAGAAGCGTCCCTTTTGCCCTCCGAAACCTCGAAGAGATTCCTGAGGTGTCCCTCGTTACTAGACAGGAGTCCTGACGTCACTGAAGAAACTCGTGTTTTGAAGGGCCATCCCCGCCGTAAGTCGAGAACATACCCCAGGTCCCCGCCGCAACTCGAGAAAAACCATGAGACTTCCCCCAGGAGGCGAGATGAGGCCCCATTCCCCTGCAGTGCATGCAGAGCTATTCCGTGATCCCATTCAAACAAGTCAGGACCTTCGACTTGCTTAATGGATCTCGAGACAGTCCCCAAGAACACTGTCACCTGTGTAGACGGACGCTGAGGTCACCCCAGCAATGCAAAGCAGCTCCATGTGCCCCAAATCAACTCGAGATGAGGCCCGATACCCCTGCATTGACTCCAGAGCCACTCCCCGTTCCCCATTCAACACGACCGGTGGCTCGACTTCCTTCAGGCAACTCCAGAGATGCCCCGAGAACACTGTCCCAAGTCTAGAGGAACACCAACTTCAGCACAGCAACTCGAGGAATGCTCCGTGTACCCCAAATCGTCTCGAGATGAGAGATGATTCCCTGGCTTAGGCTCAAGACGTATGCCAACTTTCCAGAAGCACCTCAGGAGGAGGCTTCTCTCAGCAATAGGTATGTGGGAGGGACCCCGAGTTTGCTGCCTCAAGGGGAATATACAGCGAGAAGCCCTAACTTGAAAGGAGGACGGATTTCCTTGCAGTGGCTTGAATACAGGCTCTTCTTTGATCTCAAAACATGAAGGGATGACTGAATCCCCTGTGGAGACCTTAGAGAAAGCCCTAGGTCCATGCCTCATTTTGACGGAATGCCTCACATCCCGCTGACACCTCGAGAGGCACGCGGAGTTCATTGCTTCAAAAGGTGACGATTCCTGTCTCCTCTTGAATACTGATAGGAATACCAAAATCCCTGTGGCTACTGGAAAGGGTCCTTGGGTGCCCTGCCTCACCTCGAGAAGCGTCCCTTTTTCCCTGCCAAGCCTCGAAGAGATTCCTGAGGTGTCCCTCGTTACAAGACAGGAGTCCTGACTTCACTGAAGAAACTCATGTTTTGAAGGGCCATCCCCGCCGTAAGTCGAGAACATACCCCAGTTCCCCGCCGCAACTTGAGAAAAACCAAGAGACTTCCCCCTAGAGGCGAGATGAGGATCCATTCCCCTGCAGTGCATGCAGAGCTATTCCGTGATCCCATTCAAACAAGTCAGGAGCTTCGACTTGCTTAATGGATCTCGAGACAGTCCCCAAGAACACTGTCACCAGTCTAGGCGGACCCTGAGGTCACCCCAGCAACGCAAAGCAGCTCCATGTGCCCCAAATCAACTCGAGATGAGGCCCGATTCCCCTGCATTGACTCCAGAGCCATTCCCCGTTCCCCATTCAACACGACCGGTGGCTCGACTTCCTTCAGGCAACTCCAGAGATGCCCCGAGAACACTGTCCCAAGTCTAGAGGAACACCAACTTCAGCACAGCAACTCTAGGAATGCTCCGTGTACACTCAATTGTCTCGAGATGAGAGCTGATTCCCGGGCTTAGGCTCAAGACGTATGCCAACTTTCCAGAAGCACCTCAGGAGGAGGCTTCTCTCAGCCATAGGTATGTGGGAGGGACCTCCAGTTTGCTGCCTCAAGGGGAATATACAGCGAGAAGCCCTAACTTGAAAGGAGGCCGGATTTCCTTGCAGTGGCTTGAATACAGGCTCTTCTTTGATCTCAAAACATGAAGGGATGACTGAATCCCCTGTGGAGTCCTTAGAGAAAGCCCTAGGTCCATGCCTCATTTTGACGGAATGCCTCACATCGTGCTGACACCTCGAGAGGCACGCGGAGTTCATTGCTTCAAAAGGTGACGATTCCTGTCTCCTCTTGAATACTGATAGGAATACCAAAATCCCTGTGGCTACTGGAAAGGGTCCTTGGGTGCCCTGCCTCACCTCGAGAAGCGTCCCTTTTTCCCTGCCAAGCCTCGAAGAGATTCCTGAGGTGTCCCTCGTTACAAGACAGGAGTCCTGACTTCACTGAAGAAACTCATGTTTTGAAGGGCCATCCCCGCCGTAAGTCGAGAACATACCCCAGTTCCCCGCCGCAACTTGAGAAAAACCAAGAGACTTCCCCCTAGAGGCGAGATGAGGATCCATTCCCCTGCAGTGCATGCAGAGCTATTCCGTGATCCCATTCAAACAAGTCAGGAGCTTCGACTTGCTTAATGGATCTCGAGACAGTCCCCAAAAACACTGTCACCAGTCTAGGCGGACCCTGAGGTCACCCCAGCAACGCAAAGCAGCTCCATGTGCCCCAAATCAACTCGAGATGAGGCCCGATTCCCCTGCATTGACTCCAGAGCCATTCCCCGTTCCCCATTCAACACGACCGGTGGCTCGACTTCCTTCAGGCAACTCCAGAGATGCCCCGAGAACACTGTCCCAAGTCTAGAGGAGCACCAACTTCAGCACAGCAACTCGAGGAATGCTCCGTGTACCCCAAATCGTCTTGAGATGAGAGCTGATTCCCTGGCTTAAGCTCAAGACGTATGCCAACTTTCTAGAAGCACCTCAGGAGGAGGCTTCTCTCAGCAATAAGTATGTGGGAGGGACCCCGAGTATGCTGCCTCAAGGGGAATATACAGCGAGAAGCCCTAACTTGAAAGGAGGCCGGATTTCCTTGCAGTGGCTTGAATACAGGCTCGTCTTTGATCTCAAAACATGAAGGGATGTCTGATCCCCTGTGGAGACCTTAGAGAAAGCCCTAGGTCCCTGCCTCATTTTGACGAATGCCTCACATCCCGTTGACGCCTCGAGAGGCACGCGGAGTTCATTGCTTCAAAAGGTGACGATGCCTGACTCTTCTTGAATACTGATAGGAATCCCAAAATCCCTGTGGCTACTGGAAAGGGTCCTTGGGTGCCCTGCCTCACCTCGAGAAGCGTCCCTTTTGCCCTGCCAAGCCTCGAAGAGATTCCTGAGGTGTCCCTCGTTACTAGACAGGAGTCCTGACGTCACTGAAGAAACTCGGGTTTTTAAGGGCCATCCGCGCCGTAAGTCGAGAACATACCCCAGGTCCCCGCCGCAACTCGAGAAAAACCATGAGACTTCCCCCTAGAGGCGATATGAGGCCCCATTCCCCTGCAGTGCATGCATAGCTATTCCGTGATCCCATTCAAACAAGTCAGGAGCTACGACTTGCTTAATGGATCTCGAGAGAGTCCCCAAGAACACTGTCACCAGTCTAGACGGACCCTGAGGTCACCCCAGCAACGCAAAGCAGCTCCATGTGCCCCAAATCAACTCGAGATGAGGCCCGATTCCCCTGCATTGACTCCAGAGCTAATCCCCGTTCCCCATTCAACACGACCGGTCGCTCGACTTCCTTCAGGCAACTCCAGACATGCCCCGTGAACACTGTCCCAAGTCTAGAGGAACACCAACTTCAGCACAGCAACTCGAGGAATGCTCCGTGTACCCCAAATCGTCTCGAGATGAGAGCTGATTCCCTGGCTTAGGCTCAAGACGTATGCCAACTTTCCAGAAGCACCTCAGGAGGAGGCTTCTCTCAGCAATAGGTATGTGGGAGGGACCCCGAGTTTGCTGCCTCAAGGGGAATATACAGCGAGAAGCCCTAACTTGAAAGGAGGCCGGATTTCCTTGCAGTGGCTTGAATACAGGCTCTTCTTTGATCTCAAAACATGAAGGGATGACTGAATCCCCTGTGGAGACCTTAGAGAAAGCCCTAGGTCCATGCCTCTTTTTGACGGAATGCCTCACATCCCGCTGACACCTCGAGAGGCACGCAGAGGTCATTGCTTCAAAAGGTGACGATGCCTGACTCCTCTTGAATACTGATAGGAACCCCAAAATCCCCGTGGCTACTGGAAAGTGTCCTTGGGTGCCCTGCCTCACCTCGAGAAGCATCCCTTTTGCCCTGCCAAGCCTCGAAGTGATTCCTGAGGTGTCCCTCGTTACTAGACAGGAGTCCTGACGTCACTGAAGAAACTCGTGTTTTGAAGGGCCATCCCCGCTGTAAGTCGAGAACATACCCCAGGTCCCCGCCGCAACTCGAGAAAAACCATGAGACTTCCCCCTAGAGGTGAGATGAGGCCCCATTCCCCTGCAGTGCATGCAGAGCTATTCCGTGATCCCATTCAAACAAGTCAGGAGCTTCGACTTGCTTAATGGATCTCGAGACAGTCCCCAAGAACACTGTCACCAGTCTAGACGGACCCTGAGGTCACCCCAGCAACACAAAGCAGCTCCATGTGCCCCAAATCAACTCGAGATGAGGCCCGATTCCCCTGCATTGACTCCAGAGCCATTCCCCGTTCCCCATTCAACACGACCGGTGGCTCGACTTCCTTCAGGCAACTCCAGAGATGCCCCGAGAACACTGTCCCAAGTCTAGAGGAATACCAACTTCAGCACAGCAACTGGAGGAATGCGCCATGTACCAAAAATCGTCTCGAGATGAGAGCTGATTCCCTGGCTTAGGCTCAAGACGTATGCCAACTTTCCAGAAGCACCTCAGGAGGAGGCTTTTCTCAGCAATAGGTATATGGGAGGGACCCTGAGTTTGCTGCCTCAAGGGGAATATACAGCGAGAAGCCCTAAATTGAAAGGAGGCCCGATTTCCTTGCAGTGGCTTGAATACAGGCTCGTGTTTCATCTCACAACATGAAGGCATGTCTGAATCCCCTGTGGAGAACTTAGAGATGGCCCTAGGTCCCTGCCTCATTTTGACGGAATGCCTCACATCCCGCTGACACCTCGAGAGGCACGCGGAGTTCATTGCTTCAAAAGGTGACGATGCCTGACTCCTCTTGAATACTGATAGGAATCCCAAAATCCCTGTGGCTACTGGAAAGGTTTCTTGGGTGCCCTGCCTCACCTGGAGAAGCGTACCTTTTGCCCTCCGAAACCTCGAAGAGATTCCTGAGGTGACCCTCGTTACTAGAAGGAGTCCTGACGTCACTGAAGAAACTCGTGTTTTGAAGGGCCATCCCCGCCGTAAGTCGAGAACATACCCCAGGTCCCCGCCGCAACTCGAGAAAAACCATGAGACTTCCCCCTAGAGGCGAGATGAGGCCCCATTCCCCTGCAGTGCATGCAGAGCTATTCCGTGATCCCATTCAAACAAGTCAGGAGCTTCGACCTGCTTAATGGATCTCGAGACAGTCCCCAAGAACACTGTCACCAGTCTAGACGGACCCTGAGGTCACCCCAGCAACGCAAAGCAGCTCCATGTGCCCCAAATCAACTCGAGATGAGGTCCGATTCCCCTGCATTGACTCCAGAGCTAATCCCCGGTCCCCATTCAACACGACCGGTGGCTCGACTTCCTTCAGGCAACTCCAGAGATGCCCCGTGAACACTGTCCCAAGTCTAGAGGAACACCAACTTCAGCACAGCAACTCGAGGAATGCTCCGTGTACCCCAAATCGTCTCGAGATGAGAGCTGATTCCCTGGCTTAGGCTCAAGACGTATGCCAACTTTCCAGAAGCACCTCAGGAGGAGGCTTCTCTCAGCAATAGGTATGTGGGAGGGACCCCGAGTTTGCTGCCTCAAGGGGAATATACAGCGAGAAGCCCTAACTTGAAAGGAGGCCGGATTTCCTTGCAGTGGCTTGAATACAGGCTCTTCTTTGATCTCAAAACATGAAGGGATGACTGAATCCCCTGTGGAGACCTTAGAGAAAGCCCTAGGTCCATGCCTCTTTTTGACGGAATGCCTCACATCCCGCTGACACCTCGAGAGGCACGCGGAGTTCATTGCTTCAAAAGGTGACGATGCCTGACTCCTCTTGAATACTGATAGGAATCCCAAAATCCCCGTGGCTACTGGAAAGGGTCCTTGGGTGCCCTGCCTCACCTCGAGAAGCGTCCCTTTTGCCCTGCCAAGCCTGGAAGAGATTCCTGAGGAGTCCTTCGTTACTAGACAGGAGTCCTGACGTCACTGAAGAAACTCGTGTTTTGAAGGGCCATCCCCGCCGTAAGTCGAGAACATACCCCAGGTCCCCACCGCAACTCGAGAAAAACCATGAGACTTCCCCCTAGAGGCGAGATGAGGCCCCATTCCCCTTCAGTGCATGCAGAGCTATTCCTTGATCCCATTCAAACAAGTCAGCAGCTTCGACTTGCTTAATGGATCTCGAGATAGTCTCCAAGAACATTGTCACCAGTCTAGATGGATCCTGAGTTCACCCCAGCAACACAAAGCAGCTCCATGTGCCCCAAATCAACTCGAGATGAGGCCCGATTCCCCCGCATTGACTCCAGAGCCATTCCCCGTTCCCCATTCAACACGATCGGTGGCTCGACTTCCTTTAGGCAACTCCAGAGATGCCCCGAGAACACTGTTCCAAGTCTAGAGGAATACCACCTTCAGCACAGCAACTCGAGGAATGCTCCGTGTACCCCAAATCGTCTCGAGATGAGAGCTGATTCCCTGGCTTAGGCTCAAGACGTATGCCAACTTTCCAGAAGCACCTCAGGAGGAGGCTTCTCTCAGCAATAAGTATGTGGGAGGGACCCCGAGTATGCTGCCTCAAGGGGAATATTCAGCGAGAAGCCCTAACTTGAAAGGAGGCGGATTTCCTTGCAGTGGCTTGAATACAGGCTCGTCTTTGATCTCAAAACATGAAGGGATATCTGAATCCCCTGTGGAGACCTTAGAGAAAGCCCTAGGTACCTGCCTCATTTTGACGAATGCCTCACATCCCGTTGACGCCTCGAGAGGCACGCGGAGTTCATTGCTTCAAAAGGTGACGATGCCTGACTCTTCTTGAATACTGATAGGAATCCCAAAATCCCTGTGGCTACTGGAAAGGGTCCTTGGGTGCCCTGCCTCACCTCGAGAAGCGTCCCTTTTGCCCTGCCAAGCCTCGAAGGGATTCCTGAGGTGTCCCTCGTTACTAGACAGGAGTCCTGACGTCACTGAAGAAACTCGTGTTTTGAAGGGCCATCCCCGCCGTAAGTCGAGAACATACCCCAGGTCCCCGCCGCAACTCGAGAAAAACCATGAGACTTCCCCCTAGAGGCGAGATGAGGCGCCATTCCCCTGCAGTGCATGCAGAGCTATTCCGTGATCCCATTCAAACAAGTCAGGAGATTCGACTTGCTTAATGGATCTCGAGACAGTCCCCAAGAACACTGTCACCAGTCTAGACGGACCCTGAGGTCACCACAGCAACGCAAAGCAGCTCCATGTGCCCCAAATCAACTCGAGATGAGGCCCGATTCCCCTGCATTGACTCCAGAGCCATTCCCCGTTCCCCATTTAACACGACCGGTGGCTCGACTTCCTTCAGGTAACTCCAGAGATGCCCCGAGAACACTGTCCCAAGTCGAGAGGAACACCAACTTCAGCACAGCAAATCGAGGAATGCCCCGTGTACCCCATATTGTCTCGAGATGAGAGCTGATTCCCTGGCTTAGGCTCAAGACGTATGCCAACTTTCCAGAAGCACCTCAGGAGGAGGCTTCTCTCAGCAATAGGTATGTGGGAGGGACCCCGAGTTTGCTGCCTCAAGGGGAATATACAGCGAGAAGCCCTAAATAGAAAAGAGGCCCGATTTCCTTGCAGTGGCTTGAATACAGGCTCGTGTTTCATGTCACAACTTGAAGGGATGTCTGAATCCCCTGTGGAGACCTTAGAGAAAGCCCTAGGTCCCTGCCTCATTTTGACGGAATGCCTCACATCCCGCTGACACCTCGAGAGGCACGCGGAGTTCATTGCTTCAAAAGGTGACGATGCCTGACTCCTCTTGAATACTGATAGGAATCCCAAAATCCTTGTGGCTACTGGAAAGGGTCCTTGGGTGCCCTGCCTCACCTCGAGAAGCGTCCCTTTTGCCCTCTGAAACCTCGAAGATATTCCTGAGGTGACCCTCGTTACTAGACAGGAGTCCTGACGTCACTGAAGAAACTCGTGTTTTGAAGGGCCATCCCCGCCGTAAGTCGAGAACATACCCCAGGTCCCCGCCGCAACTCGAGAAAAACCATGAGACTTCCCCCTAGAGGCGATATGAGGCCCCATTCCCCTGCAGTGCATGCAGAGCTATTCCGTGATCCCATTCAAACAAGTCAGGAGCTACGACTTTCTTAATGGATCTCGAGACAGTCCCCAAGAACACTGTCACCAGTCTAGACGGACCCTGAGGTCACCCCAGCAACGCAAAGCAGCTCCATGTGCCCCAAATCAACTCTAGATGAGGCCCGATTCCCCTGCATTGACTCCAGAGCCATTCCCCGTTCCCCATTCAACACGACCGGTGGCTCGACTTCCTTCAGGTAACTGCAGAGATGCCCCGAGAACACTGTCCCAAGTCTAGAGGAGCACCAACTTCAGCACAGCAACTCGAGGAATGCTCCGTGTACCCCAAATTGTCTCGAGATGAGAGCTGATTCCCTGGCTTAGGCTCAAGACGTATGCCAACTTTCCAGAAGCACCTCAGGAGGAGGCTTCTCTCAGCAATAGGTATGTGGGAGGGACCCCGAGTTTGCTGCCTAAAGGGGAATATACAGCGAGAAGCCCTAAATTGAAAGGAGGCCCGATTTCCTTGCAGTGGCTTGAATACAGGCTCGTGTTTCATCTCACAACATGAAGGGATGTCTGAATCCCCTGTGGAGACCTTAGAGAAAGACCTAGGTCCCTGCCTCATTTTGACGGAATGCCTCACATCCCGCTGACACCTCGAGAGGCACGCGGAGTTCATTGCTTCAAAAGGTGACTATGCCTGACTCCTCTTGAATACTGATAGGAATCCCAAAATCCCTGTGGCTACTGGAAAGGTTTCTTGGGTGCCCTGCCTCACCTCGAGAAGCGTACCTTTTGCCCTCCGAAACCTCGAAGAGATTCCTGAGGTGACCCTCGTTACTAGAAGGAGTCCTGACGTCACTGAAGAAACTCGTGTTTTGAAGGGCCATCCCCGCCGTAAGTCGAGAACATACCCCAGGTCCCCGCCGCAACTCGAGAAAAATCATGAGACTTCCCCATAGAGGCGAGATGAGGCCCCATTCCCCTGCAGTGCATGCAGAGCTATTCCGTGATCCCATTGAAACAAGTCAGGAGCTTCGACCTGCTTAATGGATCTCGAGAGAGTCCCCAAGAACACTGTCACCAGTCTAGACGGACCCTGAGGTCACCCCAGCAACGCAAAGCAGCTCCATGTGCCCCAAATCAACTCGAGATGAGGCCCGATTCCCCTGCATTGACTCCAGAGCTAATCCCCGTTCCCCATTCAACACGACCGGTCGCTCGACTTCCTTCAGGCAACTCCAGACATGCCCCGTGAACACTGTCCCAAGTCTAGAGGAACACCAACTTCAGCACAGCAACTCGAGGAATGCTCCGTGTACCCCAAATCGTCTCGAGATGAGAGCTGATTCCCTGGCTTAGGCTCAAGACGTATGCCAACTTTCCAGAAGCACCTCAGGAGGAGGCTTCTCTCAGCAATAGGTATGTGGGAGGGACCCCGAGTTTGCTGCCTCAAGGGGAATATACAGCGAGAAGCCCTAACTTGAAAGGAGGCCGGATTTCCTTGCAGTGGCTTGAATACAGGCTCTTCTTTGATCTCAAAACATGAAGGGATGACTGAATCCCCTGTGGAGACCTTAGAGAAAGCCCTAGGTCCATGCCTCTTTTTGACGGAATGCCTCACATCCCGCTGACACCTCGAGAGGCACGCAGAGGTTATTGCTTCAAAAGGTGATGATGCCTGACTCCTCTTGAATACTGATAGGAACCCCAAAATCCCCGTGGCTACTGGAAAGTGTCCTTGGGTGCCCTGCCTCACCTCGAGAAGCATCCCTTTTGCCCTGCCAAGCCTCGAAGTGATTCCTGAGGTGTCCCTCGTTACTAGACAGGAGTCCTGACGTCACTGAAGAAACTCGTGTTTTGAAGGGCCATCCCCGCTGTAAGTCGAGAACATACCCCAGGTCCCCGCCGCAACTCGAGAAAAACCATGAGACTTCCCCCTAGAGGTGAGATGAGGCCCCATTCCCCTGCAGTGCATGCAGAGCTATTCCGTGATCCCATTCAAACAAGTCAGGAGCTTCGACTTGCTTAATGGATCTCGAGACAGTCCCCAAGAACACTGTCACCAGTCTAGACGGACCCTGAGGTCACCCCAGCAACACAAAGCAGCTCCATGTGCCCCAAATCAACTCGAGATGAGGCCCGATTCCCCTGCATTGACTCCAGAGCCATTCCCCGTTCCCCATTCAACACGACCGGTGGCTCGACTTCCTTCAGGCAACTCCAGAGATGCCCCGAGAACACTGTCCCAAGTCTAGAGGAATACCAACTTCAGCACAGCAACTGGAGGAATGCGCCATGTACCAAAAATCGTCTCGAGATGAGAGCTGATTCCCTGGCTTAGGCTCAAGACGTATGCCAACTTTCCAGAAGCACCTCAGGAGGAGGCTTTTCTCAGCAATAGGTATATGGGAGGGACCCCGAGTTTGCTGCCTCAAGGGGAATATACAGCGAGAAGCCCTAAATTGAAAGGAGGCCCGATTTCCTTGCAGTGGCTTGAATACAGGCTCGTGTTTCATCTCACAACATGAAGGCATGTCTGAATCCCCTGTGGAGAACTTAGAGATGGCCCTAGGTCCCTGCCTCATTTTGACGGAATGCCTCACATCCCGCTGACACCTCGAGAGGCACGCGGAGTTCATTGCTTCAAAAGGTGACGATGCCTGACTCCTCTTGAATACTGATAGGAATCCCAAAATCCCTGTGGCTACTGGAAAGGTTTCTTGGGTGCCCTGCCTCACCTCGAGAAGCGTACCTTTTGCCCTCCGAAACCTCGAAGAGATTCCTGAGGTGACCCTCGTTACTAGAAGGAGTCCTGACGTCACTGAAGAAACTCGTGTTTTGAAGGGCCATCCCCGCCGTAAGTCGAGAACATACCCCAGGTCCCCGCCGCAACTCGAGAAAAACCATGAGACTTCCCCCTAGAGGCGAGATGAGGCCCCATTCCCCTGCAGTGCATGCATAGCTATTCCGTGATCCCATTCAAACAAGTCAGGAGCTTCGACCTGCTTAATGGATCTCGAGACAGTCCCCAAGAACACTGTCACCAGTCTAGGCGGACCCTGAGGTCACCCCAGCAACGCAAAGCAGCTCCATGTGCCCCAAATCAACTCGAGATGAGGTCCGATTCCCCTGCATTGACTCCAGAGCTAATCTCCGTTCCCCATTCAACACGACCGGTGGCTCGACTTCCTTCAGGCAACTCCAGAGATGCCCCGTGAACACTGTCCCAAGTCTAGAGGAACACCAACTTCAGCACAGCAACTCGAGGAATGCTCCGTGTACCCCAAATCGTCTCGAGATGAGAGCTGATTCCCTGGCTTAGGCTCAAGACGTATGCCAACTTTCCAGAAGCACCTCAGGAGGAGGCTTCTCTCAGCAATAGGTATGTGGGAGGGACCCCGAGTTTGCTGCCTCAAGGGGAATATACAGCGAGAAGCCCTAACTTGAAAGGAGGCTGGATTTCCTTGCAGTGGCTTGAATACAGGCTCTTCTTTGATCTCAAAACATGAAGGGATGACTGAATCCCCTGTGGAGACCTTAGAGAAAGCCCTAGGTCCATGCCTCTTTTTGACGGAATGCCTCACATCCCGCTGACACCTCGAGAGGCACGCGGAGTTCATTGCTTCAAAAGGTGACGATGCCTGACTCCTCTTGAATACTGATAGGAATCCCAAAATCCCCGTGGCTACTGGAAAGGGTCCTTGGGTGCCCTGCCTCACCTCGAGAAGCGTCCCTTTTGCCCTGCCAAGCCTGGAAGAGATTCCTGAGGAGTCCTTCGTTACTAGACAGGAGTCCTGACGTCACTGAAGAAACTCGTGTTTTGAAGGGCCATCCCCGCTGTAAGTCGAGAACATACCCCAGGTCCCCACCGCAACTCGAGAAAAACCATGAGACTTCCCCCTAGACGCGAGATGAGGCCCCATTCCCCTGCAGTGCATGCAGAGCTATTCCGTGATCCCATTCAAACAAGTCAGCAGCTTCGACTTGCTTAATGGATCTCGAGATAGTCTCCAAGAACATTGTCACCAGTCTAGATGGATCCTGAGGTCACCCCAGCAACACAAAGCAGCTCCATGTGCCCCAAATCAACTCGAGATGAGGCCCGATTCCCCCGCATTGACTCCAGAGCCATTCCCCGTTCCCCATTCAACACGACCGGTGGCTCGACTTCCTTCAGGCAACTCCAGAGATGCCCCGAGAACACTGTTCCAAGTCTAGAGGAATACCACCTTCAGCACAGCAACTCGAGGAATGCTCCGTGTACCCCAAATCGTCTCGAGATGAGAGCTGATTCCCTGGCTTAGGCTCAAGACGTATGCCAACTTTCCAGAAGCACCTCAGGAGGAGGCTTCTCTCAGCAATAAGTATGTGGGAGGGACCCCGAGTATGCTGCCTCAAGGGGAATATTCAGCGAGAAGCCCTAACTTGAAAGGAGGCGGATTTCCTTGCAGTGGCTTGAATACAGGCTCGTCTTTGATCTCAAAACATGAAGGGATATCTGAATCCCCTGTGGAGACCTTAGAGAAAGCCCTAGGTACCTGCCTCATTTTGACGAATGCCTCACATCCCGTTGACGCCTCTAGAGGCACGCGGAGTTCATTGCTTCAAAAGGTGACGATGCCTGACTCTTCTTGAATACTGATAGGAATCCCAAAATCCCTGTGGCTACTGGAAAGGGTCCTTGAGTGCCCTGCCTCACCTCGAGAAGCGTCCCTTTTGCCCTGCCAAGCCTCGAAGCGATTCCTGAGGTGTCCCTCGTTACTAGACAGGAGTCCTGACGTCACTGAAGAAACTCGTGTTTTGAAGGGCCATCCCCGCCGTAAGTCGAGAACATACCCCAGGTCCCCGCCGCAACTCGAGAAAAACCATGAGACTTCCCCCTAGAGGCGAGATGAGGCGCCATTCCCCTGCAGTGCATGCAGAGCTATTCCGTGATCCCATTCAAACAAGTCAGGAGATTCAACTTGCTTAATGGATCTCGAGACAGTCCCCAAGAACACTGTCACCAGTCTAGACGGACCCTGAGGTCACCACAGCAACGCAAAGCAGCTCCATGTGCCCCAAATCAACTCGAGATGAGGCCCGATTCCCCTGCATTGACTCCAGAGCCATTCCCCGTTCCCCATTTAACACGACCGGTGGCTCGACTTCCTTCAGGTAACTCCAGAGATGCCCCGAGAACACTGTCCCAAGTCGAGAGGAACACCAACTTCAGCACAGCAAATCGAGGAATGCCCCGTGTACCCCATATTGTCTCGAGATGAGAGCTGATTCCCTGGCTTAGGCTCAAGACGTATGCCAACTTTCCAGAAGCACCTCAGGAGGAGGCTTCTCTCAGCAATAGGTATGTGGGTGGGACCCCGAGTTTGCTGCCTCAAGGGGAATATACAGCGAGAAGCCCTAAATAGAAAAGAGGCCCGATTTCCTTGCAGTGGCTTGAATACAGGCTCGTGTTTCATGTCACAACTTGAAGGGATGTCTGAATCCCCTGTGGAGACCTTAGAGAAAGCCCTAGGTCCCTGCCTCATTTTGACGGAATGCCTCACATCCCGCTGACACCTCGAGAGGCACGCGGAGTTCATTGCTTCAAAAGGTGACGATGCCTGACTCCTCTTGAATACTGATAGGAATCCCAAAATCCTTGTGGCTACTGGAAAGGGTCCTTGGGTGCCCTGCCTCACCTCGAGAAGCGTCCCTTTTGCCCTCTGAAACCTCGAAGATATTCCTGAGGTGACCCTCGTTACTAGACAGGAGTCCTGACGTCACTGAAGAAACTCGTGTTTTGAAGGGCCATCCCCGCCGTAAGTCGAGAACATACCCCAGGTCCCCGCCGCAACTCGAGAAAAACCATGAGACTTCCCCCTAGAGGCGAGATGAGGCCCCATTCCCCTGCAGTGCATGCAGAGCTATTCCGTGATCCCATTCAAACAAGTCAGGAGCTTCGACCTGCTTAATGGATCTCGAGACAGTCCCCAAGAACACTGTCACCAGTCTAGACGGACCCGGAGGTCACCCCAGCAACGCAAAGCAGCTCCATGTGCCCCAAATCAACTCGAGATGAGGCCCGATTCCCCTGCATTGACTCCAGAGCCATTCCCCGTTCCCCATTCAACACGACCGGTGGCTCGACTTCCTTCAGGCAACTCCACAGATGCCCCGAGAACACTGTCCCAAGTCTAGAGGAACACCAACTTCAGCACAGCAAATCGAGGAATGCTCCGTGTACCTCAAATCGTCTCGAGATGAGAGCTGATTCCCTGGCTTAGGCTCAAGACGTATGCCAACTTTCCAGAAGCACCTCAGGAGGAGGCTTCTCTCAGCAATAGGTATGTGGGAGGGACCCCGAGTTTGCTGCCTCAAGGGGAATATACAGCGAGAAGCCCTAACTTGAAAGGAGGCCGGATTTCCTTGCAGTGGCTTGAATACAGGCTCTTCTTTGATCTCAAAACATGAAGGGATGACTGAATCCCCTGTGGAGACCTTAGAGAAAGCCCTAGGTCCATGCCTCATTTTGACGGAATGCCTCACATCCCGCTGACACCTCGAGAGGCACGCAGAGATCATTGCTTCAAAAGGTGACGATGCCTTACTCCTCTTGAATACTGATAGGAATCCCAAAATCCTTGTGGCTACTGGAAAGTGTCCTTGGGTGCCCTGCCTCACCTCGAGAAGCATCCCTTTTGCCCTGCCAAGCCTCGAAGTGATTCCTGAGGTGTCCCTCGTTACTAGACAGGAGTCCTGACGTCACTGAAGAAACTCGTGTTTTGAAGGGCCATCCCCGCTGTAAGTCGAGAACATACCCCAGGTCCCCGCCGCAACTCGAGAAAAACAATGAGACTTCCCCCTAGAGGTGAGATGAGGCCCCATTCCCCTGCAGTGCATGCAGAGCTATTCCGTGATCCCATTCAAACAAGTCAGGAGCTTCGACTTGCTTAATGGATCTCGAGACAGTCCCCAAGAACACTGTCACCAGTCTAGACGGACCCTGAGGTCACCCCAGCAACACAAAGCAGCTCCATGTGCCCCAAATCAACTCGAGATGAGGCCCGATTCCCCTGCATTGACTCCAGAGCCATTCCCCGTTCCCCATTCAACACGACCGGTGGCTCGACTTCCTTCAGGCAACTCCAGAGATGCCCCGAGAACACTGTCCCAAGTCTAGAGGAATACCAACTTCAGCACAGCAACTGGAGGAATGCGCCGTGTACCAAAAATCGTCTCGAGATGAGAGCTGATTCCCTGGCTTAGGCTCAAGACGTATGCCAACTTTCCAGAAGCACCTCAGGAGGAGGCTTTTCTCAGCAATAGGTATATGGGAGGGACCCCGAGTTTGCTGCCTCAAGGGGAATATACAGCGAGAAGCCCTAAATTGAAAGGAGGCCCGATTTCCTTGCAGTGGCTTGAATACAGGCTCGTGTTTCATCTCACAACATGAAGGGATGTCTGAATCCCCTGTGGAGACCTTAGAGAAAGCCCTAGGTCCCTGCCTCATTTTGACGGAATGCCTCACATCCCGCTGACACCTCGAGAGGCACGCGGAGTTCATTGCTTCAAAAGGTGACTATGCCTGACTCCTCTTGAATACTGATAGGAATCCCAAAATCCCTGTGGCTACTGGAAAGGTTTCTTGGGTGCCCTGCCTCACCTCGAGAAGCGTACCTTTTGCCCTCCGAAACCTCGAAGAGATTCCTGAGGTGACCCTCGTTACTAGAAGGAGTCCTGACGTCACTGAAGAAACTCGTGTTTTGAAGGGCCATCCCCGCCGTAAGTCGAGAACATACCCCAGGTCCCCGCCGCAACTCGAGAAAAACCATGAGACTTCCCCCTAGAGGCGAGATGAGGCCCCATTCCCCTGCAGTGCATGCAGAGCTATTCCGTGATCCCATTCAAACAAGTCAGGAGGTTCGACCTGCTTAATGGATCTCGAGACAGTCCCCAAGAACACTGACACCAGTCTAGACGGACCCTGAGGTCACCCCAGCAACGCAAAGCAGCTCCATGTGCCCCAAATCAACTCGAGATGAGGCCCGATTCCCCTACACTGACTCCAGAGCCATTCCCCGTTCCGCATTCAACACGACCGGTGGCTCGACTTCCTTCAGGTAACTCCAGAGATGCCCCGAGAACACTGTCCCAAGTCTAGAGGAACACCAACTTCAGCACAGCAACTCGAGGAATGCTCCGTGTACCTCAAATCGTCTCGAGATGAGAGCTGATTCCCTGGCTTAGGCTCAAGATGTATGCCAACTTTCCAGAAGCAACTCAGGAGGAGGCTTCTCTCAGCAATAGGTATGTGGGAGGGACCCCGAGTTTGCTGCCTCAAGGGGAATATACAGCGAGAAGCCCTAAATTGAAAGGAGGCCCGATTTCCTTGCAGTGGCTTGAATACAGGCTCGTGTTTCATCTCACAACATGAAGGGATGTCTGCATCCCGTGTGGAGACCTTAGAGAAAGCCCTAGGTCCCTGCCTCATTTTGACGGAATGCCTCACATCCCGCTGACACCTCGAGAGGCACGCGGAGTTCATTGCTTCAAAAGGTGACGAGGCCTGACTCCTCTTGAATACTGATAGGAATCCCAAAATCCCTGTGGCTACTGGAAAGGGTCCTTGGGTGCCCTGCCTCACCTCGAGAAGCGTCCCTTTTGCCCTGCCAAGCCTCGAAGAGATTCCTGAGGTGTCCCTCGTTACTAGACAGGAGTCCTGACTTCACTGAAGAAACTCATGTTTTGAAGGGCCATCCCCGCCGTAAGTCGAGAACATACCCCAGTTCCACGCCGCAACTTGAGAAAAACCATGAGACTTCCCCCTAGAGGCGAGATGAGGATCCATTCCCCTGCAGTGCATGCAAAGCTATTCCGTGATCCCATTCAAACAAGTCAGGAGCTTCGACTTGCTTAATTGATCTCGAGACAGTCCCCAAGAACACTGTCACCAGTCTAGGCGGACCCTGAGGTCACCCCAGCAACGCAAAGCAGCTCCATGTGCCCCAAATCAACTCGAGATGAGGCCCGATTCCCCTGCATTGACTCCAGAGCCATTCCCCGTTCCCCATTTAACACGACCGGTGGCTCGACTTCCTTCAGGCAACTCCAGAGATGCCCCGAGAACACTGTCCCAAGCCTGGAGGAACACCAACTTCAGCACAGCAACTCGAGGAATGCTCCGTGTACCCCAAATCGTCTCGAGATGAGAGCTGATTCCCTGGCTTAAGCTCAAGACGTATGCCAACTTTCCAGAAGCACCTCAGGAGGAGGCTTCTCTCAGCAATAAGTATGTGGGAGGGACCCCGAGTATGCTGCCTCAAGGGGAATATACAGCGAGAAGCCCTAACTTGAAAGGAGGCCGGATTTCCTTGCAGTGGCTTGAATACAGGCTCGTCTTTGATCTCAAAACATGAAGGGATGTCTGAATCCCCTGTGGAGACCTTAGAGAAAGCCCTAGGTCCCTGCCTCATTTTGACGAATGCCTCACATCCCGTTGACGCCTCGAGAGGCACGCGGAGTTCATTGCTTCAAAAGGTGACGATGCCTGACTCTTCTTGAATACTGATAGGAATCCCAAAATCCTTGTGGCTACTGGAAAGGGTCCTTGGGTGCCCTGCCTCACCTCGAGAAGCGTCCCTTTTGCCCTGCCAAGCCTCGAAGAGATTCCTGAGGTGTCCCTCGTTACTAGACAGGAGTCCTGACGTCACTGAAGAAACTCGTGTTTTTAAGGGCCATCCGCGCCGTAAGTCGAGAACATACCCCAGGTCCCCGCCGCAACTCGAGAAAAACCATGAGACTTCCCCCTAGAGGCGATATGAGGCCCCATTCCCCTGCAGTGCATGCAGAGCTATTCCGTGATCCCATTCAAACAAGTCAGGAGCTTCGACTTGCTTAATGGATCTCGAGACAGTCCCCAAGAACACTGTCACCAGTCTAGACGGACCCTGAGGTCACCCCAGCAACGCAAAGCAGCTCCATGTGCCCCAAATCAACTCTAGATGAGGCCCGATTCCCCTGCATTGACTCCAGAGCCATTCCCCGTTCCCCATTCAACACGACCGGTGGCTCGACTTCCTTCAGGTAACTGCAGAGATGCCCCGAGAACACTGTCCCAAGTCTAGAGGAATACCAACTTCAGCACAGCAACTCGAGGAATGCTCCGTGTACCCCAAATTGTCTCGAGATGAGAGCTGATTCCCTGGCTTAGGCTCAAGACGTATGCCAACTTTCCAGAAGCACCTCAGGAGGAGGCTTCTCTCAGCAATAGGTATGTGGGAGGGACCCCGAGTTTGCTGCCTCAAGGGGAATATACAGCGAGAAGCCCTAAATTGAAAGGAGGCCCGATTTCCTTGCAGTGGCTTGAATACAGGCTCGTGTTTCATCTCACAACATGAAGGGATGTCTGAATCCCCTGTGGAGACCTTAGAGAAAGCCCTAGGTCCCTGCCTCATTTTGACGGAATGCCTCACATCCCGCTGACACCTCGAGAGGCACGCGGAGTTCATTGCTTCAAAAGGTGACTATGCCTGACTCCTCTTGAATACTGATAGGAATCCCAAAATCCCTGTGGCTACTGGAAAGGTTTCTTGGGTGCCCTGCCTCACCTCGAGAAGCGTACCTTTTGCCCTCCGAAACCTCGAAGAGATTCCTGAGGTGACCCTCGTTACTAGAAGGAGTCCTGACGTCACTGAAGAAACTCGTGTTTTGAAGGGCCATCCCCGCCGTAAGTCGAGAACATACCCCAGGTCCCCGCCGCAACTCGAGAAAAACCATGAGACTTCCCCCTAGAGGCGAGATGAGGCCCCATTCCCCTGCAGTGCATGCAGAGCTATTCCGTGATCCCATTCAAACAAGTCAGGAGCTTCGACCTGCTTAATGGATCTCGAGACAGTCCCCAAGAACACTGTCACCAGTCTAGACGGACCCTGAGGTCACCCCAGCAACGCAAAGCAGCTCCATGTGCCCCAAATCAACTCGAGATGAGGTCCGATTCCCCTGCATTGACTCCAGAGCTAATCCCCGTTCCCCATTCAACACGACCGGTGGCTCGACTTCCTTCAGGCAACTCCAGAGATGCCCCGTGAACACTGTCCCAAGTCTAGAGGAACACCAACTTCAGCACAGCAACTCGAGGAATGCTCCGTGTACCCCAAATCGTCTCGAGATGAGAGCTGATTCCCTGGCTTAGGCTCAAGACGTATGCCAACTTTCCAGAAGCACCTCAGGAGGAGGCTTCTCTCAGCAATAGGTATGTGGGAGGGACCCCGAGTTTGCTGCCTCAAGGGGAATATACAGCGAGAAGCCCTAACTTGAAAGGAGGCCGGATTTCCTTGCAGTGGCTTGAATACAGGCTCGTCTTTGATCTCAAAACATGAAGGGATGTCTGAATCCCCTGTGGAGACCTTAGAGAAAGCCCTAGGTCCATGCCTCTTTTTGACGGAATGCCTCACATCCCGCTGACACCTCGAGAGGCACGCAGAGGTCATTGCTTCAAAAGGTGACGATGCCTGACTCCTCTTGAATACTGATAGGAATCCCAAAATCCCCGTGGCTACTGGAAAGGGTCCTTGGGTGCCCTGCCTCACCTCGAGAAGCGTCCCTTTTGCCCTGCCAAGCCTGGAAGAGATTCCTGAGGAGTCCCTCGTTACTAGACAGGAGTCCTGACGTCACTGAAGAAACTCGAGTTTTGAAGGGCCATCCCCGCCGTAAGTCGAGAACATACCCCAGGTCCCCGCCGCAACTCGAGAAAAACCATGAGACTTCCCCCTAGAGGCGAGATGAGGCCCCATTCCCCTGCAGTGCATGCAGAGCTATTCCGTGATCCCATTCAAACAAGTCAGGAGATTCGACTTGCTTAATGGATCTCGAGACAGTCCCCAAGAACACTGTCACCAGTCTAGACGGACCCTGAGGTCACCCCAGCAACGCAAAGCAGCTCCATGTGCCCCAAATCAACTCGAGATGAGGCCCGATTCCCCTGCATTGACTCCAGAGCCATTCCCCGTTCCCCATTTAACACGACCGATGGCTCGACTTCCTTCAGGTAACTCCAGAGATGCCCCGAGAACACTGTCCCAAGTCTAGAGGAGCACCAACTTCAGCACAGCAAATCGAGGAATGCCCCGTGTACCCCATATTGTCTCGAGATGAGAGCTGATTCCCTGGCTTAGGCTCAAGACGTATGCCAACTTTCCAGAAGCACCTCAGGAGGAGGCTTCTCTCAGCAATAGGTATGTGGGAGGGACCCCGAGTTTGCTGCCTCAAGGGGAATATACAGCGAGAAGCCCTAAATTGAAAGGAGGCCCGATTTCCTTGCAGTGGCTTGAATACAGGCTCGTGTTTCATCTCACAACATGAAGGGATGTCTGAATCCCCTGTGGAGACCTTAGAGAAAGCCCTAGGTCCCTGCCTCATTTTGACGGAATGCCTCACATCCCGCTGACACCTCGAGAGGCACGCGGAGTTCATTGCTTCAAAAGGTGACGATGCCTGACTCCTCTTGAATACTGATAGGAATCCCAAAATCCCTGTGGCTACTGGAAAGGTTTCTTGGGTGCCCTGCCTCACCTCGAGAAGCGGACCTTTTGCCCTCCGAAACCTCGAAGAGATTCCTGAGGTGACCCTCGTTACTAGAAGGAGTCCTGACGTCACTGAAGAAAGTCGTGTTTTGAAGGGCCATCCCCGCCGTAAGTCGAGAACATACCCCAGGTCCCCGCCGCAACTCGAGAAAAACCATGAGACTTCCCCCTAGAGGCGAGATGAGGCCCCATTCCCCTGCAGTGCATGCAGAGCTATTCCGTGATCCCATTCAAACAAGTCAGGAGCTTCGACCTGCTTAATGGATCTCGAGACAGTCCCAAAGAACACTGTCACCAGTCTAGACGGACCCTGAGGTCACCCCAGCAACACAAAGCAGCTCCATGTGCCCCAAATCAACTCGAGATGAGGCCCAATTCCCCTGCATTGACTCCAGAGCCATTCCCCGTTCCCCATTCAACACGACCGGTGGCTCGACTTCCTTCAGGCAACTCCAGAGATGCCCCGAGAACACTGTCCCAAGTCTAGAGGAATACCAACTTCAGCACAGCAACTGGAGGAATGCTCCGTGTACCCAAAATCGTCTCGAGATGAGAGCTGATTCCCTGGCTTAGGCTCAAGACGTATGCCAACTTTCCAGAAGCACCTCACTAGGAGGCTTTTCTCTGCAATAGGTATATGGGAGGGACCCCGAGTTTGCTGCCTCAAGGGGAATATACAGCGAGAAGCCCTAAATTGAAAGGAGGCCCGATTTCCTTGCAGTGGCTTGAATACAGGCTCGTGTTTCATCTCACAACATGAAGGCATGTCTGAATCCCCTGTGGAGACCTTAGAGAAAGCCCTAGGTCCCTGCCTCATTTTGACGGAATGCCTCACATCCCGCTGACACCTCGAGAGGCACGCGGAGTTCATTGCTTCAAAAGGTGACGATGCCTGACTCATCTTGAATACTGATAGGAATCCCAAAACCCCTGTGGCTACAGGAAAGGGTCCTTGGGTGCCCTGCCTCACCTCGAGAAGCGTCCCTTTTGCCCTGCGAAGCCTCGAAGAGATTCCTGAGGTGTCCCTCGTTACTAGACAAGAGTCCTGACGTCACTGAAGAAACTCGTGTTTTGAAGGGCCATCCCGCCGTAAGTCGAGAACATACCCCAGGTCCCCGCCGCAACTCGAGAAAAACCATGAGACTTCCCCCTAGAGGCGAGATGAGGCCCCATTCCCCTGCAGTGCATGCAGAGCTATTCCGTGATCCCATTCAAACAAGTCAGGAGCTTCGACTTGCTTAATGGATCTCAAGACAGTCCCCAAGAACACTGTCACCAGTCTAGACGGACCCTGAGGTCACCCCAGCAACGCAAAGCAGCTCCATGTGCCCCAAATCAACTCGAGATGAGGCCCGATTCCCCTGCACTGACTCCAGAGCCATTCCCCGTTCCGCATTCAACACGACCGGTGGCTCGACTTCCTTCAGGTAACTCCAGAGATGCCCCGAGAACACTGTCCCAAGTCTAGAGGAACACCAACTTCAGCACAGCAACTCGAGGAATGCTCCGTGTACCTCAAATCGTCTCGAGATGAGAGCTGATTCCCTGGCTTAGGCTCAAGACGTATGCCAACTTTCCAGAAGCACCTCAGGAGGAGGCATCTCTCAGCAATAGGTATGTGGGAGGGACCCCGAGTTTGCTGCCTCAAGGGGATTATACAGCGAGAAGCCCTAAATTGAAAGGAGGCCCGATTTCCTTGCAGTGGCTTGAATACAGGCTCGTGTTTCATCTCACAACATGAAGGGATGTCTGCATCCCCTGTGGAGACCTTAGAGAAAGCCCTAGGTCCCTGCCTCATTTTGACGGAATGCCTCACATCCCGCTGACACCTCGAGAGGCACGCGGAGTTCATTGCTTCAAAAGGTGACGAGGCCTGACTCCTCTTGAATACTGATAGGAATCCCAAAATCCCTGTGGCTACTGGAAAGGGTCCTTGGGTGCCCTGCCTCACCTCGAGAAGCGTCCCTTTTGCCCTGCCAAGCCTCGAAGAGATTCCTGAGGTGTCCCTCGTTACTAGACAGGAGTCCTGACTTCACTGAAGAAACTCATGTTTTGAAGGGCCATCCCCGCCGTAAGTCGAGAACATACCCCAGTTCCACGCCGCAACTTGAGAAAAACCATGAGACTTCCCCCTAGAGGCGAGATGAGGATCCATTCCCCTGCAGTGCATGCAGAGCTATTCCGTGATCCCATTCAAACAAGTCAGGAGCTTCGACTTGCTTAATGGATCTCGAGACAGTCCCCAAGAACACTGTCACCAGTCTAGGCGGACCCTGAGGTCACCCCAGCAACGCAAAGCAGCTCCATGTGCCCCAAATCAACTCGAGATGAGGCCCGATTCCCCTGCATTGACTCCAGAGCCATTCCCCGTTCCCCATTCAACACGACCGGTGGCTCGACTTCCTTCAGGCAACTCCAGAGATGCCCCGAGAACACTGTCCCAAGTCTGGAGGAACACCAACTTCAGCACAGCAACTCGAGGAATGCTCCGTGTACCCCAAATCGTCTCGAGATGAGAGCTGATTCCCTGGCTTAAGCTCAAGACGTATGCCAACTTTCCAGAAGCACCTCAGGAGGAGGCTTCTCTCAGCAATAAGTATGTGGGAGGGACCCCGAGTATGCTGCCTCAAGGGGAATATACAGCGAGAAGCCCTAACTTGAAAGGAGGCCGGATTTCCTTGCAGTGGCTTGAATACAGGCTCGTCTTTGATCTCAAAACATGAAGGGATGTCTGAATCCCCTGTGGAGACCTTAGAGAAAGCCCTAGGTCCCTGCCTCATTTTGACGAATGCCTCACATCCCGTTGACGCCTCGAGAGGCACGCGGAGTTCATTGCTTCAAAAGGTGACGATGCCTGACTCTTCTTGAATACTGATAGGAATCCCAAAATCCCTGTGGCTACTGGAAAGGGTCCTTGGGTGCCCTGCCTCACCTCGAGAAGCGTCCCTTTTGCCCTGCCAAGCCTAGAAGAGATTCCTGAGGTGTCCCTCGTTACTAGACAGGAGTCCTGACGTCACTGAAGAAACTCGTGTTTTGAAGGGCCATCCGCGCCGTAAGTCGAGAACATACCCCAGGTCCCCGCCGCAACTCGAGAAAAACCATGAGACTTCCCCCTAGAGGCGAGATGAGGCCCCATTCCCCTGCAGTGCATGCAGAGGTATTCCGTGATCCCATTCAAACAAGTCAGGAGCTTCGACCTGCTTAATGGATCTCGAGACAGTCCCCAAGAACACTGTCACCAGTCTAGACGGACCCGGAGGTCACCCCAGCAACGCAAAGCAGCTCCATGTGCCCCAAATCAACTCGAGATGAGGTCCGATTCCCCTGCATTGACTCCAGAGCTAATCCCCGTTCCCCATTCAACACGACCGGTGGCTCGACTTCCTTCAGGCAACTCCAGAGATGCCCCGTGAACACTGTCCCAAGTCTAGAGGAACACCAACTTCAGCACAGCAACTCGAGGAATGCTCCGTGTACCCCAAATCGTCTCGAGATGAGAGCTGATTCCCTGGCTTAGGCTCAAGACGTATGTCAACCTTCCAGAAGCACCTCAGGAGGAGGCTTCTCTCAGCAATAGGTATGTGGGAGGGACCCCGAGTTTGCTGCCTCAAGGGGAATATACAGCGAGAAGCCCTAACTTGAAAGGAGGCCGGATTTCCTTGCAGTGGCTTGAATACAGGCTCGTCTTTGATCTCAAAACATGAAGGGATGTCTGAATCCCCTGTGGAGACCTTAGAGAAAGCCCTAGGTCCATGCCTCTTTTTGACGGAATGCCTCACATCCCGCTGACACCTCGAGAGGCACGCAGAGGTCATTGCTTCAAAAGGTGACGATGCCTGACTCCTCTTGAATACTGATAGGAATCCCAAAATCCCCGTGGCTACTGGAAAGGGTCCTTGGGTGCCCTGCCTCACCTCGAGAAGCGTCCCTTTTGCCCTGCAAAGCCTGGAAGAGATTCCTGAGGAGTCCCTCGTTACTAGACAGGAGTCCTGACGTCACTGAAGAAACTCGTGTTTTGAAGGGCCATCCCCGCCGTAAGTCGAGAACATACCCCAGGTCCCCGCCGCAACTCGAGAAAAACCATGAGACTTCCCCCTAGAGGCGAGATGAGGCCCCAATCCCCTGCAGTGCATGCAGAGCTATTCCGTGATCCCATTCAAACAAGTCAGGAGATTCGACTTGCTTAATGGATCTCGAGACAGTCCCCAAGAACACTGTCACCAGACTAGACGGACCCTCAGGTCACCCCAGCAACGCAAAGCAGCTCCATGTGCCCCAAATCAACTCGAGATGAGGCCCGATTCCCCTGCATTGACTCCAGAGCCATTCCCCGTTCCCCATTTAACACGACCGGTGGCTCGACTTCCTTCAGGTAACTCCAGAGATGCCCCGAGAACACTGTCCCAAGTCTAGAGGAGCACCAACTTCAGCACAGCAAATCGAGGAATGCCCCGTGTACCCCATATTGTCTCGAGATGAGAGCTGATTCCCTGGCTTAGGCTCAAGACGTATGCCAACTTTCCAGAAGCACCTCAGGAGGAGGCTTCTCTCAGCAATAGGTATGTGGGAGGGACCCCGAGTTTGCTGCCTCAAGGGGAATATACAGCGAGAAGCCCTAAATTGAAAGGAGGCCCGATTTCCTTGCAGTGGCTTGAATACAGGCTCGTGTTTCATCTCACAACATGAAGGGATGTCTGAATCCCCTGTGGAGACCTTAGAGAAAGCCCTAGGTCCCTGCCTCATTTTGACGGAATGCCTCACATCCCGCTGACACCTCGAGAGGCAAGCGGAGTTCATTGCTTCAAAAGGTGACTATGCCTGACTCCTCTTGAATACTGATAGGAATCCCAAAATCCCTGTGGCTACTGGAAAGGTTTCTTGGGTGCCCTGCCTCACCTCGAGAAGCGTACCTTTTGCCCTCCGAAACCTCGAAGAGATTCCTGAGGTGACCCTCGTTACTAGAAGGAGTCCTGACATCACTGAAGAAACTCGTGTTTTGAAGGGCCATCCCCGCCGTAAGTCGAGAACATACCCCAGGTCCCCGCCGCAACTCGAGAAAAACCATGAGACTTCCCCCTAGAGGCGAGATGAGGCCCCATTCCCCTGCAGTGCATGCAGAGCTATTCCGTGATCCCATTCAAACAAGTCAGGAGCTTCGACCTGCTTAATGGATCTCGAGACAGTCCCCAAGAACACTGTCACCAGTCTAGACGGACCCTGAGGTCACCCCAGCAACGCAAAGCAGCTCCATGTGCCCCAAATCAACTCGAGATGAGGTCCGATTCCCCTGCATTGACTCCAGAGCTAATCCCCGTTCCCCATTCAACACGACCGGTGGCTCGACTTCCTTCAGGCAACTCCAGAGATGCCCCGTGAACACTGTCCCAAGTCTAGAGGAACACCAACTTCAGCACAGCAACTCGAGGAATGCTCCCTGTACCCCAAATCGTCTCGAGATGAGAGCTGATTCCCCGGCTTAGGCTCAAGACGTATGCCAACTTTCCAGAAGCACCTCAGGAGGAGGCTTCTCTCAGCAATAGGTATGTGGGAGGGACCCCGAGTTTGCTGCCTCAAGGGGAACATACAGCGAGAAGCCCTAACTTGAAAGGAGGCCGGATTTCCTTGCAGTGGCTTGAATACAGGCTCTTCTTTGATCTCAAAACATGAAGGGATGACTGAATCCCCTGTGGAGACCTTAGAGAAAGCCCTAGGTCCATGCCTCTTTTTGACGGAATGCCTCACATCCCGCTGACACCTCGAGAGGCACGCAGAGGTCATTGCTTCAAAAGGTGACGATGCCTGACTCCTCTTCAATACTGATAGGAATCCCAAAATCCCCGTGGCTTCTGGAAAGGGTCCTTGGGTGCCCTGCCTCACCTCGAGAAGCGTCCCTTTTGCCCTGCCAAGCCTGGAAGAGATTCCTGAGGAGTCCCTCGTTACTAGACAGGAGTCCTGACGTCACTGAAGAAACTCGTGTTTTTAAGGGCCATCCGCGCCGTAAGTCGAGAACATACCCCAGGTCCCCGCCGCAACTCGAGAAAAACCATGAGACTTCCCCCTAGAGGCGATATGAGGCCCCATTCCCCTGCAGTGCATGCAGAGCTATTCCGTGATCCCATTCAAACAAGTCAGGAGCTTCGACTTGCTTAATGGATCTCGAGACAGTCCCCAAGAACACTGTCACCAGTCTAGACGGACCCTGAGGTCACCCCAGCAACGCAAAGCAGCTCCATGTGCCCCAAATCAACTCGAGATGAGGCCCGATTCCCCTGCATTGACTCCAGAGCCATTCCCCGTTCCCCATTCAACACGACCGGTGGCTCGACTTCCTTCAGGTAACTGCAGAGATGCCCCGAGAACACTGTCCCAAGTCTAGAGGAGCACCAACTTCAGCACAGCAACTCGAGGAATGCTCCGTGTACCCCAAATTGTCTCGAGATGAGAGCTGATTCCCCGGCTTAGGCTCAAGACGTATGCCAACTTTCCAGAAGCACCTCAGGAGGAGGCTTCTCTCAGCAATAGGTATGTGGGAGGGACCCCGAGTTTGCTGCCTCAAGGGGAATATACAGCGAGAAGCCCTAAATTGAAAGGAGGCCCGATTTCCTTGCAGTGGCTTGAATACAGGCTCGTGTTTCATCTCACAACATGAAGGGATGTCTGAATCCCCTGTGGAGACCTTAGAGAAAGCCCTAGGTCCCTGCCTCATTTTGACGGAATGCCTCACATCCCGCTGACACCTCGAGAGGCACGCAGAGTTCATTGCTTCAAAAGGTGACTATGCCTGACTCCTCTTGAATACTGATAGGAATCCCAAAATCCCTGTGGCTACTGGAAAGGTTTCTTGGGTGCCCTGCCTCACCTCGAGAAGCGTACCTTTTGCCCTCCGAAACCTCGAAGAGATTCCTGAGGTGACCCTCGTTACTAGAAGGAGTCCTGACGTCACTGAAGAAACTCGTGTTTTGAAGGGCCATCCCCGCCGTAAGTCGAGAACATACCCCAGGTCCCCGCCGCAACTCGAGAAAAACCATGAGACTTCCCCCTAGAGGCGAGATGAGGCCCCATTCCCCTGCAGTGCATGCAGAGCTATTCCGTGATCCCATTCAAACAAGTCAGGAGCTTCGACATGCTTAATGGATCTCGAGACAGTCCCCAAGAACACTGTCACCAGTCTAGACGGACCCTGAGGTCACCCCAGCAACGCAAAGCAGCTCCATGTGCCCCAAATCAACTCGAGATGAGGTCCGATTCCCCTGCATTGACTCCAGAGCTAATCCCCGTTCCCCATTCAACACGACCGGTGGCTCGACTTCCTTCAGGCAACTCCAGAGATGCCCCGTGAACACTGTCCCAAGTCTAGAGGAACACCAACTTCAGCACAGCAACTCGAGGAATGCTCCGTGTACCCCAAATCGTCTCGAGATGAGAGCTGATTCCCTGGCTTAGGCTCAAGACGTATGCCAACTTTCCAGAAGCACCTCAGGAGGAGGCTTCTCTCAGCAATAGGTATGTGGGAGGGACCCCGAGTTTGCTGCCTCAAGGGGAATATACAGCGAGAAGCCCTAACTTGAAAGGAGGCCGGATTTCCTTGCAGTGGCTTGAATACAGGCTCGTCTTTGATCTCAAAACATGAAGGGATGTCTGAATCCCCTGTGGAGACCTTAGAGAAAGCCCTAGGTCCATGCCTCTTTTTGACGGAATGCCTCACATCCCGCTGACACCTCGAGAGGCACGCAGAGGTCATTGCTTCAAAAGGTGACGATGCCTGACTCCTCTTGAATACTGATAGGAATCCCAAAATCCCCGTGGCTACTGGAAAGGGTCCTTGGGTGCCCTGCCTCACCTCGAGAAGCGTCCCTTTTGCCCTGCCAAGCCTGGAAGAGATTCCTGAGGAGTCCCTCGTTACTAGACAGGAGTCCTGACGTCACTGAAGAAACTCGTGTTTTGAAGGGCCATCCCCGCCGTAAGTCGAGAACATACCCCAGGTCCCCGCCGCAACTCGAGAAAAACCATGAGACTTCCCCCTAGAGGCGAGATGAGGCCCCATTCCCCTGCAGTGCATGCAGAGCTATTCCGTGATCCCATTCAAACAAGTCAGGAGATTCGACTTGCTTAATGGATCTCGAGACAGTCCCCAAGAACACTGTCACCAGTCTAGACGGACCCTGAGGTCACCCCAGCAACGCAAAGCAGCTCCATGTGCCCCAAATCAACTCGAGATGAGGCCCGATTCCCCTGCATTGACTCCAGAGCCATTCCCCGTTCCCCATTTAACACGACCGATGGCTCGACTTCCTTCAGGTAACTCCAGAGATGCCCCGAGAACACTGTCCCAAGTCTAGAGGAGCACCAACTTCAGCACAGCAAATCGAGGAATGCCCCGTGTACCCCATATTGTCTCGAGATGAGAGCTGATTCCCTGGCTTAGGCTCAAGACGTATGCCAACTTTCCAGAAGCACCTCAGGAGGAGGCTTCTCTCAGCAATAGGTATGTGGGAGGGACCCCGAGTTTGCTGCCTCAAGGGGAATATACAGCGAGAAGCCCTAAATTGAAAGGAGGCCCGATTTCCTTGCAGTGGCTTGAATACAGGCTCGTGTTTCATCTCACAACATGAAGGGATGTCTGAATCCCCTGTGGAGACCTTAGAGAAAGCCCTAGGTCCCTGCCTCATTTTGACGGAATGCCTCACATCCCGCTGACACCTCGAGAGGCACGCGGAGTTCATTGCTTCAAAAGGTGACTATGCCTGACTCCTCTTGAATACTGATAGGAATCCCAAAATCCCTGTGGCTACTGGAAAGGTTTCTTGGGTGCCCTGCCTCACCTCGAGAAGCGTACCTTTTGCCCTCCGAAACCTCGAAGAGATTCCTGAGGTGACCCTCGTTACTAGAAGGAGTCCTGACGTCACTGAAGAAACTCGTGTTTTGAAGGGCCATCCCCGCCGTAAGTCGAGAACATACCCCAGGTCCCCGCCGCAACTCGAGAAAAACCATGAGACTTCCCCCTAGAGGCGAGATGAGGCCCCATTCCCCTGCAGTGCATGCAGAGCTATTCCGTGATCCCATTCAAACAAGTCAGGAGCTTCGACCTGCTTAATGGATCTCGAGACAGTCCCCAAGAACACTGTCACCAGTCTAGACGGACCCTGAGGTCACCCCAGCAACACAAAGCAGCTCCATGTGCCCCAAATCAACTCGAGATGAGGCCCAATTCCAGTGCATTGACTCCAGAGCCATTCCCCGTTCCGCATTCAACACGACCGGTGGCTCGACTTCCTTCAGGCAACTCCAGAGATGCCCCGAGAACACTGTCCCAAGTCTAGAGGAACACCAACTTCAGCACAGCAACTGGAGGAATGCTCCGTGTACCCAAAATCGTCTCGAGATGAGAGCTGATTCCCTGGCTTAGGCTCAAGACGTATGCCAACTTTCCAGAAGCACCTCAGGAGGAGGCTTCTCTCTGCAATAGGTATATGGGAGGGACCCCGAGTTTGCTGCCTCAAGGGGAATATACAGCGAGAAGCCCTAAATTGAAAGGAGGCCCGATTTCCTTGCAGTGGCTTGAATACAGGCTCGTGTTTCATCTCACAACATGAAGGGATGTCTGCATCCCCTGTGGAGACCTTAGAGAAAGCCCTAGGTCCCTGCCTCATTTTGACGGAATGCCTCACATCCCGCTGACACCTCGAGAGGCACGCGGAGTTCATTGCTTCAAAAGGTGACGATGCCTGACTCATCTTGAATACTGATAGGAATCCCAAAATCCCTGTGGCTACTGGAAAGGGTCCTTGGGTGCCCTGCCTCACCTCGAGAAGCGTCCCTTTTGCCCTGCCAAGCCTCGAAGAGATTCCTGAGGTGTCCCTCGTTACTAGACAGGAGTCCTGACTTCACTTAAGAAACTCATGTTTTGAAGGGCCATCCCGCCGTAAGTCGAGAACATACCCCAGTTCCACGCCGCAACTTGAGAAAAACCATGAGACTTCCCCCTAGAGGCGAGATGAGGATCCATTCCCCTGCAGTGCATGCAGAGCTATTCCGTGATCCCATTCAAACAAGTCAGGAGCTTCGACTTGCTTAATGGATCTCGAGACAGTCCCCAAGAACACTGTCACCAGTCTAGGCGGACCCTGAGGTCACCCCAGCAACGCAAAGCAGCTCCATGTGCCCCAAATCAACTCGAGATGAGGCCCGATTCCCCTGCATTGACTCCAGAGCCATTCCCCGTTCCCCATTCAACACGACCGGTGGCTCGACTTCCTTCAGGCAACTCCACAGATGCCCCGAGAACACTGTCCCAAGTCTGGAGGAACACCAACTTCAGCACAGCAACTCGAGGAATGCTCCGTGTACCCCAAATCGTCTCGAGATGAGAGCTGATTCCCTGGCTTAGGCTCAAGACGTATGCCAACTTTCCAGAAGCACCTCAGGAGGAGGCTTCTCTCAGCAATAAGTATGTGGGAGGGACCCCGAGTATGCTGCCTCAAGGGGAATATACAGCGAGAAGCCCTAACTTGAAAGGAGGCCGGATTTCCTTGCAGTGGCTTGAATACAGGCTCGTCTTTGATCTCAAAACATGAAGGGATGTCTGAATCCCCTGTGGAGACCTTAGAGAAAGCCCTAGGTCCCTGCCTCATTTTGACGAATGCCTCACATCCCGTTGACGCCTCGAGAGGCACGCGGAGTTCATTGCTTCAAAAGGTGACGATGCCTGACTCTTCTTGAATACTGATAGGAATCCCAAAATCCCTGTGGCTACTGGAAAGGGTCCTTGGGTGCCCTGCCTCACCTCGAGAAGCGTCCCTTTTGCCCTGCCAAGCCTCGAAGAGATTCCTGAGGTGTCCCTCGTTACTAGACAGGAGTCCTGACGTCACTGAAGAAACTCGTGTTTTGAAGGGCCATCCCGGCCGTAAGTCGAGAACATACCCCAGGTCCCCGCCGCAACTCGAGAAAAACCATGAGACTTCCCCCTAGAGGCGAGATGAGGCCCCATTCCCCTGCAGTGCATGCAGAGCTATTCCGTGATCCCATTCAAACAAGTCAGGAGCTTCGACCTGCTTAATGGATCTCGAGACAGTCCCCAAGAACACTGTCACCAGTCTAGACGGACCCGGAGGTCACCCCAGCAACGCAAAGCAGCTCCATGTGCCCCAAATCAACTCGAGATGAGGTCCGATTCCCCTGCATTGACTCCAGAGCTAATCCCCGTTCCCCATTCAACACGACCGGTGGCTCGACTTCCTTCAGGCAACTCCAGAGATGCCCCGTGAACACTGTCCCAAGTCTAGAGGAACACCAACTTCAGCACAGCAACTCGAGGAATGCTCCGTGTACCCCAAATCGTCTCGAGATGAGAGCTGATTCCCTGGCTTAGGCTCAAGACGTATGAAAACTTCCCAGAAGCACCTCAGGAGGAGGCTTCTCTCAGCAATAGGTATGTGGGAGGGACCCCGAGTTTGCTGCCTCAAGGGGAATATACAGCGAGAAGCCCTAACTTGAAAGGAGGCCGGATTTCCTTGCAGTGGCTTGAATACAGGCTCGTCTTTGATCTCAAAACATGAAGGGATGTCTGAATCCCCTGTGGAGACCTTAGAGAAAGCCCTAGGTCCATGCCTCTTTTTGACGGAATGCCTCACATCCCGCTGACGCCTCGAGAGGCACGCAGAGGTCATTGCTTCAAAAGGTGACGATGCCTGACTCCTCTTGAATACTGATAGGAATCCCAAAATCCCCGTGGCTACTGGAAAGGGTCCTTGGGTGCCCTGCCTCACCTCGAGAAGCGTCCCTTTTGCCCTGCCAAGCCTGGAAGAGATTCCTGAGGAGTCCCTCGTTACTAGACACGAGTCCTGACGTCACTGAAGAAACTCGTGTTTTGAAGGGCCATCCCCGCCGTAAGTCGAGAACATACCCCAGGTCCCCGCCGCAACTCGAGAAAAACCATGAGACTTCCCCCTAGAGGCGAGATGAGGCCCCATTCCCCTGCAGTGCATGCAGAGCTATTCCGTGATCCCATTCAAACAAGTCAGGAGATTCGACTTGCTTAATGGATCTCGAGACAGTCCCCAAGAACACTGTCACCAGTCTAGACGGACCCTCAGGTCACCCCAGCAACGCAAAGCAGCTCCATGTGCCCCAAATCAACTCGAGATGAGGCCCGATTCCCCTGCATTGACTCCAGAGCCATTCCCCGTTCCCCATTTAACACGACCGGTGGCTCGACTTCCTTCAGGTAACTCCAGAGATGCCCCGAGAACACTGTCCCAAGTCTAGAGGAGCACCAACTTCAGCACAGCAAATCGAGGAATGCCCCGTGTACCCCATATTGTCTCGAGATGAGAGCTGATTCCCTGGCTTAGGCTCAAGACGTATGCCAACTTTCCAGAAGCACCTCAGGAGGAGGCTTCTCTCAGCAATAGGTATGTGGGAGGGACCCCGAGTTTGCTGCCTCAAGGGGAATATACAGCGAGAAGCCCTAAATTGAAAGGAGGCCCGATTTCCTTGCAGTGGCTTGAATACAGGCTCGTGTTTCATATCACAACATGAAGGGATGTCTGAATCCCCTGTGGAGACCTTAGAGAAAGCCCTAGGTCCCTGCCTCATTTTGACGGAATGCCTCACATCCCGCTGACACCTCGAGAGGCACGCGGAGTTCATTGCTTCAAAAGGTGACTATGCCTGACTCCTCTTGAATACTGATAGGAATCCCAAAATCCCTGTGGCTACTGGAAAGGTTTCTTGGGTGCCCTGCCTCACCTCGAGAAGCGTACCTTTTGCCCTCCGAAACCTCGAAGAGATTCCTGAGGTGACCCTCGTTACTAGAAGGAGTCCTGACGTCACTGAAGAAACTCGTGTTTTGAAGGGCCATCCCCGCCGTAAGTCGAGAACATACCCCAGGTCCCCGCCGCAACTCGAGAAAAACCATGAGACTTCCCCCTAGAGGCGAGATGAGGCCCCATTCCCCTGCAGTGCATGCAGAGCTATTCCGTGATCCCATTCAAACAAGTCAGGAGCTTCGACCTGCTTAATGGATCTCGAGACAGTCCCCAAGAACACTGTCACCAGTCTAGACGGACCCTGAGGTCACCCCAGCAACGCAAAGCAGCTCCATGTGCCCCAAATCAACTCGAGATGAGGTCCGATTCCCCTGCATTGACTCCAGAGCTAATCCCCGTTCCCCATTCAACACGACCGGTGGCTCGACTTCCTTCAGGCAACTCCAGAGATGCCCCGTGAACACTGTCCCAAGTCTAGAGGAACACCAACTTCAGCACAGCAACTCGAGGAATGCTCCGTGTACCCCAAATCGTCTCGAGATGAGAGCTGATTCCCTGGCTTAGGCTCAAGACGTATGCCAACTTTCCAGAAGCACCTCAGGAGGAGGCTTCTCTCAGCAATAGGTATGTGGGAGGGACCCCGAGTTTGCTGCCTCAAGGGGAATATACAGCGAGAAGCCCTAACTTGAAAGGAGGCCGGATTTCCTTGCAGTGGCTTGAATACAGGCTCTTCTTTGATCTCAAAACATGAAGGGATGACTGAATCCCCTGTGGAGACCTTAGAGAAAGCCCTAGGTCCATGCCTCTTTTTGACGGAATGCCTCACATCCCGCTGACACCTCGAGAGGCACGCAGAGGTCATTGCTTCAAAAGGTGACGATGCCTGACTCCTCTTGAATACTGATAGGAATCCCAAAATCCCCGTGGCTACTGGAAAGTGTCCTTGGGTGCCCTGCCTCACCTCGAGAAGCGTCCCTTTTGCCCTGCCAAGCCTGGAAGAGATTCCTGAGGAGTCCCTCGTTACTAGACAGGAGTCCTGACGTCACTGAAGAAACTCGTGTTTTGAAGGGCCATCCCCGCCGTAAGTCGAGAACATACCCCAGGTCCCCACCGCAACTCGAGAAAAACCATGAGACTTCCCCCTAGAGGCGAGATGAGGCGCCATTCCCCTGCAGTGCATGCAGAGCTATTCCGTGATCCCATTCAAACAAGTCAGGAGATTCGACTTGCTTAATGGATCTCGAGACAGTCCCCAAGAACACTGTCACCAGTCTAGACGGACCCTGAGGTCACCACAGCAACGCAAAGCAGCTCCATGTGCCCCAAATCAACTCGAGATGAGGCCCGATTCCCCTACGTTGACTCCAGAGCCATTCCCCGTTCCCCATTTAACACGACCGGTGGCTCGACTTCCTTCAGGTAACTCCAGAGATGCCCCGAGAACACTGTCCCAAGTCGAGAGGAACACCAACTTCAGCACAGCAAATCGAGGAATGCCCCGTGTACCCCATATTGTCTCGAGATGAGAGCTGATTCCCTGGCTTAGGCTCAAGACGTATGCCAACTTTCCAGAAGCACCTCAGGAGGAGGCTTCTCTCAGCAATAGGTATGTGGGAGGGACCCCGAGTTTGCTGCCTCAAGGGGAATATACAGCGAGAAGCCCTAAATAGAAAAGAGGCCCGATTTCCTTGCAGTGGCTTGAATACAGGCTCGTGTTTCATCTCACAACATGAAGGGATGTCTGAATCCCCTGTGGAGACCTTAGAGAAAGCCCTAGGTCCCTGCCTCATTTTGACGGAATGCCTCACATCCCGCTGACACCTCGAGAGGCACGCGGAGTTCATTGCTTCAAAAGGTGACGATGCCTGACTCCTCTTGAATACTGATAGGAATCCCAAAATCCTTGTGGCTAGTGGAAAGGGTCCTTGGGTGCCCTGCCTCACCTCGAGAAGCGTCCCTTTTGCCCTCTGAAACCTCGAAGAGATTCCTGAGGTGACCCTCGTTACTAGACAGTAGTCCTGACGTCACTGAAGAAACTCGTGTTTTGAAGGGCCATCCGCGCCGTAAGTCGAGAACATACCCCAGGTCCCCGCCGCAACTCGAGAAAAACCATGAGACTTCCCCCTAGAGGCGAGATGAGGCCCCATTCCCCTGCAGTGCATGCAGAGCTATTCCGTGATCCCATTCAAACAAGTCAGGAGCTTCGACCTGCTTAATTGATCTCGAGACACTCCCCAAGAACACTGTCACCAGTCTAGACGAACCCTGAGGTCACCCCAGCAACACAAAGCAGCTCCATGTGCCCCAAATCAACTCGAGATGAGGCCCGATTCCCCTGCATTGACTCCAGAGCCATTCCCCGTTCCCCATTCAACACGACCGGTGGCTCGACTTCCTTCAGGCAACTCCACAGATGCCCCGAGAACACTGTCCCAAGTCTAGAGGAACACCAACTTCAGCACAGCAAATCGAGGAATGCTCCGTGTACCTCAAATCGTCTCGAGATGAGAGCTGATTCCCTGGCTTAGGCTCAAGACGTATGCCAACTTTCCAGAAGCACCTCAGGAGGAGGCTTCTCTCAGCAATAGGTATGTGGGAGGGACCCCGAGTTTGCTGCCTCAAGGGGAATATACAGCGAGAAGCCCTAACTTGAAAGGAGGCCGGATTTCCTTGCAGTGGCTTGAATACAGGCTCTTCTTTGATCTCAAAACATGAAGGGATGACTGAATCCCCTGTGGAGACCTTAGAGAAAGCCCTAGGTCCATGCCTCATTTTGACGGAATGCCTCACATCCCGCTGACACCTCGAGAGGCACGCAGAGGTCATTGCTTCAAAAGGTGACGATGCCTTACTCCTCTTGAATACTGATAGGAATCCCAAAATCCCCGTTGCTACTGGAAAGTGTCCTTGGGTGCCCTGCCTCACCTCGAGAAGCGTCCCTTTTGCCCTGCCAAGCCTCGAAGTGATTCCTGAGGTGTCCCTCGTTACTAGACAGGAGTCCTGACGTCACTGAAGAAACTCGTGTTTTGAAGGGCCATCCCCGCTGTAAGTCGAGAACATACCCCAGGTCCCCGCCGCAACTCGAGAAAAACCATGAGACTTCCCCCTAGAGGTGAGATGAGGCCCCATTCCCCTGCAGTGCATGCAGAGCTATTCCGTGATCCCATTCAAACAAGTCAGGAGCTTCGACTTGCTTAATGGATCTCGAGACAGTCCCCAAGAACACTGTCACCAGTCTAGACGGACCCTGAGGTCACCCCAGCAACACAAAGCAGCTCCATGTGCCCCAAATCAACTCGAGATGAGGCCCGATTCCCCTGCATTGACTCCAGAGCCATTCCCCGTTCCCCATTCAACACGACCGGTGACTCGACTTCCTTCAGGCAACTCCAGAGATGCCCCGAGAACACTGTCCCAAGTCTAGAGGAATACCAACTTCAGCACAGCAACTGGAGGAATGCGCCGTGTACCAAAAATCGTCTCGAGATGAGAGCTGATTCCCTGGCTTAGGCTCAAGACGTATGCCAACTTTCCAGAAGCACCTCAGGAGGAGGCTTTTCTCAGCAATAGGTATGTGGGAGGGACCCCGAGTTTGCTGCCTCAAGGGGAATATACAGCGAGAAGCCCTAAATTGAAAGGAGGCCCGATTTCCTTGCAGTGGCTTGAATACAGGCTCGTGTTTCATCTCACAACATGAAGGCATGTCTGAATCCCCTGTGGAGAACTTAGAGATGGCCCTAGGTCCCTGCCTCATTTTGACGGAATGCCTCACATCCCGCTGACACCTCGAGAGGCACGCGGAGTTCATTGCTTCAAAAGGTGACGATGCCTGACTCCTCTTGAATACTGATAGGAATCCCAAAATCCCTGTGGCTACTGGAAAGGTTTCTTGGGTGCCCTGCCTCACCTCGAGAAGCGTACCTTTTGCCCTCCGAAACCTCGAAGAGATTCCTGAGGTGACCCTCGTTACTAGAAGGAGTCCTGACGTCACTGAAGAAACTCGTGTTTTGAAGGGCCATCCCCGCCGTAAGTTGAGAACATACCCCAGGTCCCCGCCGCAACTCGAGAAAAACCATGAGACTTCCCCCTAGAGGCGAGATGAGGCCCCATTCCCCTGCAGTGCATGCAGAGCTATTCCGTGATCCCATTCAAACAAGTCAGGAGCTTCGACCTGCTTAATGGATCTCGAGACAGTCCCCAAGAACACTGTCACCAGTCTAGACGGACCCTGAGGTCACCCCAGCAACGCAAAGCAGCTCCATGTGCCCCAAATCAACTCGAGATGAGGTCCGATTCCCCTGAATTGACTCCAGAGCTAATCCCCGTTCCCCATTCAACACGACCGGTGGCTCGACTTCCTTCAGGCAACTCCAGAGATGCCCCGTGAACACTGTCCCAAGTCTAGAGGAACACCAACTTCAGCACAGCAACTCGAGGAATGCTCCGTGTACCCCAAATCGTCTCGAGATGAGAGCTGATTCCCTGGCTTAGGCTCAAGACGTATGCCAACTTTCCAGAAGCACCTCAGGAGGAGGCTTCTCTCAGCAATAGGTATGTGGGAGGGACCCCGAGTTTGCTGCCTCAAGGGGAATATACAGCGAGAAGCCCTAACTTGAAAGGAGGCCGGATTTCCTTGCAGTGGCTTGAATACAGGCTCTTCTTTGATCTCAAAACATGAAGGGATGACTGAATCCCCTGTGGAGACCTTAGAGAAAGCCCTAGGTCCATGCCTCTTTTTGACGGAATGCCTCACATCCCGCTGACACCTCGAGAGGCACGCGGAGTTCATTGCTTCAAAAGGTGACGATGCCTGACTCCTCTTGAATACTGATAGGAATCCCAAAATCCCCGTGGCTACTGGAAAGGGTCCTTGGGTGCCCTGCCTCACCTCGAGAAGCGTCCCTTTTGCCCTGCCAAGCCTGGAAGAGATTCCTGAGGAGTCCCTCGTTACTAGACAGGAGTCCTGACGTCACTGAAGAAACTCGTGTTTTGAAGGGCCATCCCCGCTGTAAGTCGAGAACATACCCCAGGTCCCCGCCGCAACTCGAGAAAAACCATGAGACTTCCCCCTAGAGGTGAGATGAGGCCCCATTCCCCTGCAGTGCATGCAGAGCTATTCCGTGATCCCATTCAAACAAGTCAGGAGCTTCGACTTGCTTAATGGATCTCGAGACAGTCCCCAAGAACACTGTCACCAGTCTAGACGGACCCTGAGGTCACCCCAGCAACACAAAGCAGCTCCATGTGCCCCAAATCAACTCGAGATGAGGCCCGATTCCCCTGCATTGACTCCAGAGCCATTCCCCGTTCCCCATTCAACACGACCGGTGGCTCGACTTCCTTCAGGCAACTCCAGAGATGCCCCGAGAACACTGTCCCAAGTCTAGAGGAATACCAACTTCAGCACAGCAACTGGAGGAATGCGCCGTGTACCAAAAATCGTCTCGAGATGAGAGCTGATTCCCTGGCTTAGGCTCAAGACGTATGCCAACTTTCCAGAAGCACCTCAGGAGGAGGCTTTTCTCAGCAATAGGTATATGGGAGGGACCCCGAGTTTGCTGCCTCACGGGGAATATACAGCGAGAAGCCCTAAATTGAAAGGAGGCCCGATTTACTTGCAGTGGCTTGAATACAGGCTCGTGTTTCATCTCACAACATGAAGGCATGTCTGAATCCCCTGTGGAGAACTTAGAGATGGCCCTAGGTCCCTGCCTCATTTTGACGGAATGCCTCACATCCCGCTGACACCTCGAGAGGCACGCGGAGTTCATTGCTTCAAAAGGTGACGATGCCTGACTCCTCTTGAATACTGATAGGAATCCCAAAATCCCTGTGGCTACAGGAAAGGGTCCTTGGGTGCCCTGCCTCACCTCGAGAAGCGTCCCTTTTGCCCTGCGAAGCCTCGAAGAGATTCCTGAGGTGTCCCTCGTTACTAGACAAGAGTCCTGACGTCACTGAAGAAACTCGTGTTTTGAAGGGCCATCCCGCCGTAAGTCGAGAACATACCCCAGGTCCCCGCCGCAACTCGAGAAAAACCATGAGACTTCCCCCTAGAGGCGAGATGAGGCCCCATTCCCCTGCAGTGCATGCAGAGCTATTCCGTGATCCCATTCAAACAAGTCAGGAGCTTCGACTTGCTTAATGGATCTCAAGACAGTCCCCAAGAACACTGTCACCAGTCTAGACGGACCCTGAGGTCACCCCAGCAACGCAAAGCAGCTCCATGTGCCCCAAATCAACTCGAGATGAGGCCCGATTCCCCTGCACTGACTCCAGAGCCATTCCCCGTTCCGCATTCAACACGACCGGTGGCTCGACTTCCTTCAGGTAACTCCAGAGATGCCCCGAGAACACTGTCCCAAGTCTAGAGGAACACCAACTTCAGCACAGCAACTCGAGGAATGCTCCGTGTACCCCAAATCGTCTCGAGATGAGAGCTGATTCCCTGGCTTAGGCTCAAGACGTATGCCAACTTTCCAGAAGCACCTCAGGAGGAGGCTTCTCTCAGCAATAGGTATGTGGGAGGGACCCCGAGTTTGCTGCCTCAAGGGGAATATACAGCGAGAAGCCCTAACTTGAAAGGAGGCCGGATTTCCTTGCAGTGGCTTGAATATAGGCTCTTCTTTGATCTCAAAACATGAAGGGATGACTGAATCCCCTGTGGAGACCTTAGAGAAAGCCCTAGGTCCATGCCTCATTTTGACGGAATGCCTCACATCCCGCTGACACCTCGAGAGGCACGCAGAGGTCATTGCTTCAAAAGGTGACGATGCCTGACTCCTCTTGAATACTGATAGGAATCCCAAAATCCCCGTTGCTACTGGAAAGTGTCCTTGGGTGCCCTGCCTCACCTCGAGAAGCGTCCCTTTTGCCCTGCCAAGCCTCGAAGTGATTCCTGAGGTGTCCCTCGTTACTAGACAGGAGTCCTGACGTCACTGAAGAAACTCGTGTTTTGAAGGGCCATCCCCGCTGTAAGTCGAGAACATACCCCAGGTCCCCGCCGCAACTCGAGAAAAACCATGAGACTTCCCCCTAGAGGTGAGATGAGGCCCCATTCCCCTGCAGTGCATGCAGAGCTATTCCGTGATCCCATTCAAACAAGTCAGGAGCTTCGACTTGCTTAATGGATCTCGAGACAGTCCCCAAGAACACTGTCACCAGTCTAGACGGACCCTGAGGTCACCCCAGCAACACAAAGCAGCTCCATGTGCCCCAAATCAACTCGAGATGAGGCCCAATTCCCCTGCATTGACTCCAGAGCCATTCCCCGTTCCCCATTCAACACGACCGGTGGCTCGACTTCCTTCAGGCAACTCCAGAGATGCCCCGAGAACACTGTCCCAAGTCTAGAGGAATACCAACTTCAGCACAGCAACTGGAGGAATGCTCCGTGTACCCAAAATCGTCTCGAGATGAGAGCTGATTCCCTGGCTTAGGCTCAAGACGTATGCCAACTTTCCAGAAGCACCTCAGGAGGAGGCTTTTCTCAGCAATAGGTATATGGGAGGGACCCCGAGTTTGCTGCCTCAAGGGGAATATACAGCGAGAAGCCCTAAATTGAAAGGAGGCCCGATTTCCTTGCAGTGGCTTGAATACAGGCTCGTGTTTCATCTCACAACATGAAGGCATGTCTGAATCCCCTGTGGAGACCTTAGAGAAAGCCCTAGGTCCGTGCCTCATTTTGACGGAATGCCTCACATCCCGCTGACACCTCGAGAGGCACGCGGAGTTCATTGCTTCAAAAGGTGACGATGCCTGACTCATCTTGAATACTGATAGGAATCCCAAAATCCCTGTGGCTACAGGAAAGGGTCCTTGGGTGCCCTGCCTCACCTCGAGAAGCGTCCCTTTTGCCCTGCGAAGCCTCGAAGAGATTCCTGAGGCGTCCCTCGTTACTAGACAAGAGTCCTGACGTCACTGAAGAAACTCGTGTTTTGAAGGGCCATCCCGCCGTAAGTCGAGAACATACCCCAGGTCCCCGCCGCAACTCGAGAAAAACCATGAGACTTCCCCCTAGAGGCGAGATGAGGCCCCATTCCCCTGCAGTGCATGCAGAGCTATTCCGTGATCCCATTCAAACAAGTCAGGAGCTTCGACTTGCTTAATGGATCTCAAGACATTCCCCAAGAACACTGTCACCAGTCTAGACGGACCCTGAGGTCACCCCAGCAACGCAAAGCAGCTCCATGTGCCCCAAATCAACTCGAGATGAGGCCCGATTCCCCTGCACTGACTCCAGAGCCATTCCCCGTTCCCCATTCAACACGACCGGTGGCTCGACTTCCTTTAGGCAACTCCAGAGATGCCCCGAGAACACTGTTCCAAGTCTAGAGGAATACCACCTTCAGCACAGCAACTCGAGGAATGCTCCGTGTACCCCAAATCGTCTCGAGATGAGAGCTGATTCCCTGGCTTAGGCTCAAGACGTATGCCAACTTTCCAGAAGCACCTCAGGAGGAGGCTTCTCTCAGCAATAAGTATGTGGGAGGGACCCCGAGTATGCTGCCTCAAGGGGAATATTCAGCGAGAAGCCCTAACTTGAAAGGAGGCGGATCTCCTTGCAGTGGCTTGAATACAGGCTCGTCTTTGATCTCAAAACATGAAGGGATGTCTGAATCCCCTGTGGAGACCTTAGAGAAAGCCCTAGGTACCTGCCTCATTTTGACGAATGCCTCACATCCCGTTGACGCCTCGAGAGGCACGCGGAGTTCATTGCTTCAAAAGGTGACGATGCCTGACTCTTCTTGAATACTGATAGGAATCCCAAAATCCCTGTGGCTACTGGAAAGGGTCCTTGGGTGCCCTGCCTCACCTCGAGAAGCGTCCCTTTTGCCCTGCCAAGCCTCGAAGAGATTCCTGAGGTGTCCCTCGTTACTAGACAGGAGTCCTGACGTCACTGAAGAAACTCGTGTTTTGAAGGGCCATCCCCGCCGTAAGTCGAGAACATACCCCAGGTCCCCGCCGCAACTCGAGAAAAACCATGAGACTTCCCCCTAGAGGCGAGATGAGGCGCCATTCCCCTGCAGTGCATGCAGAGCTATTCCGTGATCCCATTCAAACAAGTCAGGAGATTCGACTTGCTTAATGGATCTCGAGACAGTCCCCAAGAACACTGTCACCAGTCTAGACGGACCCTGAGGTCACCACAGCAACGCAAAGCAGCTCCATGTGCCCCAAATCAACTCGAGATGAGGCCCGATTCCCCTGCATTGACTCCAGAGCCATTCCCCGTTCCCCATTTAACACGACCGGTGGCTCGGCTTCCTTCAGGTAACTCCAGAGATGCCCCGAGAACACTGTCCCAAGTCGAGAGGAACACCAACTTCAGCACAGCAAATCGAGGAATGCCCCGTGTACCCCATATTGTCTCGAGATGAGAGCTGATTCCCTGGCTTAGGCTCAAGACGTATGCCAACTTTCCAGAAGCACCTCAGGAGGAGGCTTCTCTCAGCAATAGGTATGTGGGAGGGACCCCGAGTTTGCTGCCTCAAGGGGAATATACAGCGAGAAGCCCTAAATAGAAAAGAGGCCCGATTTCCTTGCAGTGGCTTGAATACAGGCTCGTGTTTCATCTCACAACATGAAGGGATGTCTGAATCCCCTGTGGAGACCTTAGAGAAAGCCCTAGGTCCCTGCCTCATTTTGACGGAATGCCTCACATCCCGCTGACACCTCGAGAGGCACGCGGAGTTCATTGCTTCAAAAGGTGACGATGCCTGACTCCTCTTGAATACTGATAGGAATCCCAAAATCCTTGTGGCTACTGGAAAGGGTCCTTGGGTGCCCTGCCTCACCTCGAGAAGCGTCCCTTTTGCCCTCCGAAACCTCGAAGATATTCCTGAGGTGACCCTCGTTACTAGACAGTAGTCCTGACGTCACTGAAGAAACTCGTGTTTTGAAGGGCCATCCCCGCCGTAAGTCGAGAACATACCCCAGGTCCCCGCCGCAACTCGAGAAAAACCATGAGACTTCCCCCTAGAGGCGAGATGAGGCCCCATTCCCCTGCAGTGCATGCAGAGCTATTCCGTGATCCCATTCAAACAAGTCAGGAGCTTCGACCTGCTTAATGGATCTCGAGACAGTCCCCAAGAACACTGTCACCAGTCTAGACGGACCCTGAGGTCACCCCAGCAACGCAAAGCAGCTCCATGTGCCCCAAATCAACTCGAGATGAGGTCCGATTCCCCTGCATTGACTCCAGAGCTAATCCCTGTACCCCATTCAACACGACCGGTGGCTCGACTTCCTTCAGGCAACTCCAGAGATGCCCCGTGAACACTGTCCCAAGTCTAGAGGAACACCAACTTCAGCACAGCAACTCGAGGAATGCTCCGTGTACCCCAAATCGTCTCGAGATGAGAGCTGATTCCCTGGCTTAGGCTCAAGACGTATGCCAACTTTCCAGAAGCACCTCAGGAGGAGGCTTCTCTCAGCAATAGGTATGTGGGAGGGACCCCGAGTTTGCTGCCTCAAGGGGAATATACAGCGAGAAGCCCTAACTTGAAAGGAGGCCGGATTTCCTTGCAGTGGCTTGAATACAGGCTCTTCTTTGATCTCAAAACATGAAGGGATGACTGAATCCCCTGTGGAGACCTTAGAGAAAGCCCTAGGTCCATGCCTCTTTTTGACGGAATGCCTCACATCCCGCTGACACCTCGAGAGGCACGCAGAGGTCATTGCTTCAAAAGGTGACGATGCCTGACTCCTCTTGAATACTGATAGGAATCCCAAAATCCCCGTGGCTACTGGAAAGGGTCCTTGGGTGCCCTGCCTCACCTCGAGAAGCGTCCCTTTTGCCCTGCCAAGCCTGGAAGAGATTCCTGAGGAGTCCCTCGTTACTAGACAGGAGTCCTGACGTCACTGAAGAAACTCGTGTTTTGAAGGGCCATCCCCGCCGTAAGTCGAGAACATACCCCAGGTCCCCGCCGCAACTCGAGAAAAACCATGAGACTTCCCCCTAGAGGCGAGATGAGGCCCCATTCCCCTGCAGTGCATGCAGAGCTATTCCTTGATTCCATTCAAACAAGTCAGCAGCTTCGACTTACTTAATGGATCTCGAGATAGTCTCCAAGAACATTGTCAGCAGTCTAGATGGATCCTGAGGTCACCCCAGCAACACAAAGCAGCTCCATGTGCCCCAAATCAACTCGAGATGAGGCCCGATTCCCCTACATTGACTCCAGAGCCATTCCCCGTTCCCCATTTAACACGACCGGTGGCTCGACTTCCTTCAGGTAACTCCAGAGATGCCCCGAGAACACTGTCCCAAGTCGAGAGGAACACCAACTTCAGCACAGCAAATCGAGGAATGCCCCGTGTACCCCATATTGTCTCGAGATGAGAGCTGATTCCCTGGCTTAGGCTCAAGACGTATGCCAACTTTCCAGAAGCACTCAGGAGGAGGCTTCTCTCAGCAATAGGTATGTGGGAGGGACCCCGAGTTTGCTGCCTCAAGGGGAATATACAGCGAGAAGCCCTAAATAGAAAAGAGGCCCGATTTCCTTGCAGTGGCTTGAATACAGGCTCGTGTTTCATCTCACAACATGAAGGGATGTCTGAATCCCCTGTGGAGACCTTAGAGAAAGCCCTAGGTCCCTGCCTCATTTTGACGGAATGCCTCACATCCCGCTGACACCTCGAGAGGCACGCGGAGTTCATTGCTTCAAAAGGTGACGATGCCTGACTCCTCTTGAATACTGATAGGAATCCCAAAATCCTTGTGGCTACTGGAAAGGGTCCTTGGGTGCCCTGCCTCACCTCGAGAAGCGTCCCTTTTGCCCTCTGAAACCTCGAAGATATTCCTGAGGTGACCCTCGTTACTAGACAGTAGTCCTGACGTCACTGAAGAAACTCGTGTTTTGAAGGGCCATCCCCGCCGTAAGTCGAGAACATACCCCAGGTCCCCGCCGCAACTCAAGAAAAACCATGAGACTTCCCCCTAGAGGCGAGATGAGGCCCCATTCCCCTGCAGTGCATGCAGAGCTATTCCGTGATCCCATTCAAACAAGTCAGGAGCTTCGACCTGCTTAATTGATCTCGAGACAGTCCCCAAGAACACTGTCACCAGTCTAGACGGACCCTGAGGTCACCACAGCAACGCAAAGCAGCTCCATGTGCCCCAAATCAACTCGAGATGAGGCCCGATTCCCCTGCATTGACTCCAGAGCCATTCCCCGTTCGACATTCAACACGACCGGTGGCTCGACTTCCTTCAGGCAACTCCACAGATGCCCCGAGAACACTGTCCCAAGTCTAGAGGAACACCAACTTCAGCACAGCAAATCGAGGAATGCTCCGTGTACCTCAAATCGTCTCGAGATGAGAGCTGATTCCCTGGCTTAGGCTCAAGACGTATGCCAACTTTCCAGAAGCACCTCAGGAGGAGGCTTCTCTCAGCAATAGGTATGTGGGAGGGACCCCGAGTTTGCTGCCTCAAGGGGAATATACAGCGAGAAGCCCTAACTTGAAAGGAGGCCGGATTTCCTTGCAGTGACTTGAATACAGGCTCTTCTTTGATCTCAAAACATGAAGGGATGACTGAATCCCCTGTGGAGACCTTAGAGAAAGCCCTAGGTCCATGCCTCATTTTGACGGAATGCCTCACATCCCGCTGACACCTCGAGAGGCACGCAGAGATCATTGCTTCAAAAGGTGACGATGCCTTACTCCTCTTGAATACTGATAGGAATCCCAAAATCCCCGTTGCTACTGGAAAGTGTCCTTGGGTGCCCTGCCTCACCTCGAGAAGCATCCCTTTTGCCCTGCCAAGCCTCGAAGTGATTCCTGAGGTGTCCCTCGTTACTAGACAGGAGTCCTGACGTCACTGAAGAAACTCGTGTTTTGAAGGGCCATCCCCGCTGTAAGTCGAGAACATACCCCAGGTCCCCGCCGCAACTCGAGAAAAACCATGAGACTTCCCCCTAGAGGTGAGATGAGGCCCCATTCCCCTGCAGTGCATGCAGAGCTATTCCGTGATCCCATTCAAACAAGTCAGGAGCTTCGACTTGCTTAATGGATCTCGAGACAGTCCCCAAGAACACTGTCACCAGTCTAGGCGGACCCTGAGGTCAACCCAGCAACGCAAAGCAGCTCCACGTGCCCCAAATCAACTCGAGATGAGGCCCGATTCCCCTGCATTGACTCCAGAGCCACTCCCCGTTCCCCATTCAACACGACCGGTGGCTCGACTTCCTTCAGGTAACTCCAGAGATGCCCCGAGAACACTGTCCCAAGTCTAGAGGAACACCAACTTCAGCACAGCAACTCGAGGAATGCTCCGTGTACCCCAAAATGTCTCGAGATGAGAGCTGATTCCCTGGCTTAGGCTCAAGACGTATGCCAACTTTCCAGAAGCACCTCAGGAGGAGGCTTCTCTCAGCAATAGGTATGTGGGAGGGAACCCGAGTTTGCTGCCTCAAGGGGAATATACAGCGAGACGCCCTAAATTGAAAGGAGGCCCGATTTCCTTGCAGTGGCTTGAATACAGGCTCGTGTTTCATCTCACAACATGAAGGGATGTCTGAATCCCCTGTGGAGACCTTAGAGAAAGCCCAAGGTCCCTGCCTCATTTTGACGGAATGCCTCACATCCCGCTGACACCTCGAGAGGCACGCGGAGTTCATTGCTTCAAAAGGTGACGATGCCTGACTCCTCTTGAATACTGATATTAATCCCAAAATCCCTGTGGCTACTGGAAAGGGTAATTGGGTGCCCTGCCTCACCTCGAGAAGCGTCCCTTTTGCACTGCGAAGCCTCGAAGAGATTCCTGAGGTGTCCCTCGTTACTAGACAGGAGTCCTGACGTCACTGAAGAAACTCGTGTTTTGAAGGGCCATCCCCGCCGTAAATCGAGAACATACCCCAGGTCCCCGGCGCAACTCGAGAAAAACCATGAGACTTCCTTCTAGAGGCGAGATGAGGCCCCATTCCCCTGCAGTGCATGCAGAGCTATTCCGTGATCCCATTCAAACAAGTCAGGACCTTCGACTTGCTTAATAGATCTCAAGACAGTCCCCAAGAACACTGTCACCAGTGTAGACGGACGCTGAGGTCACCCCAGCAATGCAAAGCAGCTCCATGTGCCCCAAATCAACTCGAGATGAGGCCCGATACCCCTGCATTGACTCCAGAGCCATTCCCCGTTCCCCGTTCAACACGATCGGTGGCTCGACTTCCTTCAGGCAACTCCAGAGATGCCCCGAGAACACTGTCCCAAGTCTGGAGGAACACCAACTTCAGCACAGCAACTCGAGGAATGTTCCGTGTACCCCAAATCGTCTCGAGATGAGAGCTGATTCCCTGGCTTAGGCTCAAGACGTATGCCAACTTTCCAGAAGCACCTCAGGAGGAGGCTTCTCTCAGCAATAAGTATGTGGGAGGGACCCCGAGTATGCTGCCTCAAGGGGAATATACAGCGAGAAGCCCTAACTTGAAAGGAGGCCGGATTTCCTTGCAGTGGCTTGAATACAGGCTCGTCTTTGATCTCAAAACATGAAGGGATGTCTGAATCCCCTGTGGAGACCTTAGAGAAAGCCCTAGGTCCCTGCCTCATTTTGACGAATGCCTCACATCCCGCTGACGCCTCGATAGGCACGCGGAGTTCTTTGCTTCAAAAGGTGACGATGCCTGACTCTTCTTGAATACTGATAGGAATCCCAAAATCCCTGTGGCTACTGGAAAGTGTCCTTGGGTGCCCTGCCTCACCTCGAGAAGCGTCCCTTTTGCCCTGCCAAGCCTCGAAGAGATTCCTGAGGTGTCCCTCGTTACTAGACAGGAGTCCTGACGTCACTGAAGAAACTCGTGTTTTGAAGGGCCATCCCCGCCGTAAGTCGAGAACACACCCCAGGTCCCCGCCGCAACTCGAGAAAAACCATGAGACTTCCCCCTAGAGGCGAGATGAGGCCCCATTCCCCTGCAGTGCATGCAGAGCTATTCCATGATCCCATTCAAACAAGTCAGGAGCTTCGACTTGCTAAATGGATCTCGAGACAGTCCCCAAGAACACTGTCACCAGTCAAGACGGACCCTGAGGTCACCCCAGCAACGCAAAGCAGCTCCATGTGCCCCAAATCAACTCGAGATGAGGTCCGATTCCCCTGCATTGACTCCAGAGCCATTCCCCGTTCCCCATTCAACACGGCCGGTGGCTCGACTTCCTTCAGGTAACTGCAGAGATGCCCCGAGAACACTGTCCCAAGTCTAGAGGAACACCAACTTCAGCACAGCAACTCGAGGAATGCTCCGTGTACCCCAAATCGTCTCGAGATGAGAGCTGATTCCCTGGCTTAGGCTCAAGACCTATGCCAACTTTCCAGAAGCACCTCAGGAGGAGGCTTCTCTCAGCAATAGGTATGTGGGAGGGACCCCGAGTTTGCTGCCTCAAGGGGAATATACAGCGAGAAGCCCTAAATTGAAAGGAGGCCCGATTTCCTTGCAGTGGCTTGAATACAGGCTCGTGTTTCATCTCACAACATGAAGGGATGTCTGAATCCCCTGTGGAGACCTTAGAGAAAGCCCTAGGTCCCTGCCTCATTTTGACGGAATGCCTCACATCCCGCTGACACCTCGAGAGGCACGCGGAGTTCATTGCTTCAAAAGGTGTCGATGCCTGACTCCTCTTGAATACTGATAGGAATCCCAAAATCCCTGTGGCTACTGGAAAGGGTCCTTGGGTGCCCTGCCTCACCTCGAGAAGCGTCCCTTTTGCCCTCCGAAACCTCGAAGAGATTCCTGAGGTGTCCCTCGTTACTAGACAGGAGTCCTGACGTCACTGAAGAAACTCGTGTTTTGAAGGGCCATCCCCGCCGTAAGTCGAGAACATACCCCAGGTCCCCGCCGCAACTCGAGAAAAACCATGAGACTTCCCCCTTGAGGCGAGATGAGGCCCCATTCCCCTGCAGTGCATGCAGAGCTATTCCGTGATCCCATTCAAACAAGTCAGGAGCTTCGACTTGCTTACTGGATCTCGAGACAGTCCCCAAGAACACTGTCACCAGTCTAGGCGGACCCTGAGGTCACGCCAGCAACGCAAAGCAGCTCCATGTGCCCCAAATCAACTCGAGATGAGGCCCGATTCCCCTGCATTGACTCCAGAGCCATTCCCCGTTCCCCATTCACACGACCGGTGGCTCGACTTCCTTGAGGCAACTCCAGAGATGCCCCGAGAACACTGTCCCATGTCTGGAGGAACACCAACTTCAGCACAGCAACTCGAGGAATGCTCCGTGTACCCCAAATCGTCTCGAGATGAGAGCTGATTCCCTGGCTTAGCCTCAAGACGTATGCCAACTTTCCAGAAGCACCTCAGGAGGAGGCTTCTCTCAGCAATAAGTATGTGGGAGGGACCCCGAGTATGCTGCCTCAACGGGAATATACAGCGAGAAGCCCTAACTTGAAAGGAGGCCGGATTTCCTTGCAGTGGCTTGAATACAGGCTCGTCTTTGATCTCAAAACATGAAGGGATGTCTGAATCCCCTGTGGAGACCTTAGAGAAAGCCCTAGGTCCCTGCCTCATTTTGACGAATGCCTCAAATCCCGTTGACGCCTCGCTAGGCACGCGGAGTTCATTGCTTCAAAAGGTGACGATGCCTGACTCTTCTTGAATAATGATAGGAATCCCCAAATCCCTGTGGCTACTGGAAAGTGTCCTTGGGTGCCCTGCCTCACCTCGAGAAGTGTCCCTTTTGCCCTGCCAAGCCTCTAAGACATTCCTGAGGTGTCCCTCGTTACTAGACAGGAGTCCTGACGTCACTGAAGAAACTCGTGTTTTGAAGGGCCATCCCCGCCGTAAGTCGAGAACATACCCCAGGTCCCCGCCGCAACTCGAGAAAAACCATGAGACTTCCCCCTAGAGGCGAGATGAGGCCCCATTCCCCTGCAGTGCATGCAGAGCTATTCCGTGATCCCATTCAAACAAGTCAGGAGCTTCGACTTGCTTAATGGATCTCGAGACAGTCCCCAAGAACACTGTCACCAGTCTAGACGGACCCTGAGGTCACCCCAGCAACGCAAAGCAGCTCCATGTGCCCCAAATCAACTCGAGATGAGGCCCGATTCCCCTGCATTGACTCCAGAGCCATTCCCTGTTCCCCATTCAACACGACCGGTGGCTCGACTTCCTTCAGGTTACTCCAGAGATGCCCCGAGAACACTGTCCCAAGTCTAGAGGAACACCAACTTCAGCACAGCAAATCGAGGAATGCCCCGTGTACCCCATATTGTCTCGAGATGAGAGCTGATTCCCTGCCTTATGCTCAAGACGTATGCCAACTTTCCAGAAGCACCTCAGGAGGAGGCTTCTCTCAGCAATAGGTATGTGGGAGGGACCCCGAGTTTGCTGCCTCAAGGGGAATATACAGCAAGAAGCCCTAAATTGAAAGGAGGCCCGATTTCCTTGCAGTGGCTTGAATACAGGCTCGTGTTTCATCTCACAACATGAAGGGATGTCTGAATCCCCTGTGGAGACCTTAGAGAAAGCCCTAGGTCCCTGCCTCATTTTGACGGAATGCCTCACATCCCGCTGACACCTCGAGAGGCACGCGGAGTTCATTGCTTCAAAAGGTGACAATGCCTGACTCCTCTTGAATACTGATAGGAATCCCAAAATCCCTGTGGCTACTGGAAAGGGTCCTTGGGTGCCCTGCCTCACCTCAAGAAGCGTCCCTTTTGCCCTCCGAAACCTCGAAGAGATTCCTGAGGTGTCCCTCGTTACTAGACAGGAGTCCTGACGTCACTGAAGAAACTCGTGTTTTGAAGGGCCATCCCCGCCATAAGTCGAGAACATACCCCAGGTCCCCGCCGCAACTCGAGAAAAACCATGAGACTTCCCCCTAGAGGCGAGATGAGGCCCCATTCCCCTTCACTGCATGCAGAGCTATTCCGTGATCCCATTCAAACAAGTCAGGAGCTTCGACTTGCTTAATGGATCTCGAGACAGTCCCCAAGAACACTGTCACCAGTCTAGGCGGACCCTGAGGTTACCCCAGCAACGCAAAGCAGCTTCATGTGCCCCAAATCAACTCGAGATGAGGCCCGAATCCCCTGCATTGACTCCAGAGCCATTCCCCGTTCCCCATTCAACACGACCGGTGGCTCGACTTCCTTCAGGCAACTCCAGAGATGCCCCGAGAACACTGTCCCAAGTCTAGAGGAACACCAACTTCAGCACAGCAACTCGAGGAATGCTCCGTGTACCCCAAATCGTCTCGAGATGAGAGCTGATTCCCTGGCTTAGGGTCAAGACGTATGCCAACTTTCAGAATCACCTCAGGAGGAGGCTTCTCTCAGCAATAGGTATGTGGGAGGGACCCCGAGTTTGCTGCCTCAAGGGGAATATACAGCGAGAAGCCCTAAATTGAAAGGAGGCCGGATTTCCTTGCAGTGGCTTGAATACAGGCTCTTCTTTGATCTCAAAACATGAAGGGATGACTGAATCCCCTGTGGAGACCTTAGAGAAAGCCCTAGGTCCATGCCTCATTTTGACGGAATGCCTCACATCCCGCTGACACCTCGAGAGGCACGCGGAGTTCATTGCTTCAAAAGGTGACGATGCCTGACTCCTCTTGAATACTGATAGGAATCCCAAAATCCCTGTGGCTACTGGAAAGGGTCCTTGGGTGCCCTGCCTCACCTCGGGAAGCGTCCCTTTTGCCCTGCCAAGCCTGGAAGAGATTTCTGAGGTGTCCCTCGTTACTAGACAGGAGTCCTGACGTCACTGAAGAAACTCGTGTTTTGAAGGGCCATCCCCGCCGTAAGTCGAGAACATACCCCAGGTCCCCGCCGCAACTCGAGAAAAACCATGAGACTTCCCCCTAGAGGCGAGATGAGGCCCCATTCCCCTGCAGTGCATGCAGAGCTATTCCGTGATCCCATTCAAACAAGTCAGGACCTTCGACTTGCTTAATGGATCTCGAGACAGTCCCCAAGAACACTGTCACCAGTCTAGACGGACCCTGAGGTCACCCCAGCAACGCAAAGCATCTCCATGTACACCAAATCAACTCGAGATGAGGCCTGATTCCCCTGCATTGACTCCAGAGTCATTCCCCGTTCCCCATTCAACACGACCGGTGGCTCGACTTCCTTCGGGCAACTCCAGAGATGTCCCGAAAACACTGTCCCAAGTCTAGGGGAACACCAACTTCAGCACAGCATCTCGAGGAATGTTCCGTGTACCCCAAACCGTCTCGAGATGAGAGCTGATTCCCTGGCTTAGGGTCAAGACGATTGCCAACTTTCCAGAAGAACCTCAGGAGGAGGCTTCTCTCAGCAATAGGTATGTGGGAGGGACCCCGAGATCGCTGCCTCAAGTGGAATATACAGCGAAAAGCCCTAACGTGAAAGGGGGCCGGATTTCCTTGCAGTGGCTTGACTACAGGTTCGTCTTTCAACTCACACCACGAAGGGATGTCTGAAGCCCCTGTGGAGACCTTAGAGAAAGCCCTAGGTCCCTGCCTCATTTTGACGGAATGCCTCACATCTCGTTGACACATCGAGAAGTACGCGGAGTTCACTGCTTCAAAATATGACGAGGCCTGACTCCTCTTGAATATTGATAGGAATCCCAAAATCACTGTGGCTACTGGAAAGTGTCCTTGGGTGCCCTGCCTCACCTCGAGAAGTGTCCCTTTTGCCCTGCCAAGCCTCGAAGACATTCCTGAGGTGTCCCTCGTTACTAGACAGGAGTCCTGACGTCACTGAAGAAACTCGTGTTTTGAAGGGCCATCCCCGCCGTAAGTCGAGAACATACCCCAGGTCCCCGCCGCAACTCGAGAAAAACCATGAGACTTCCCCCTAGAGGCGAGATGAGGCCCCATTCCCCTGCAGTGCATGCAGAGCTATTCCGTGATCCCATTCAAACAAGTCAGGAGCTTCGACTTGCTTAATGGATCTCGAGACAGTCCCCAAGAACACTGTCACCAGTCTAGACGGACCCTGAGGTCACCCCAGCAACGCAAAGCAGCTCCATGTGCCCCAAATCAACTCGAGATGAGGCCCGATTCCCCTGCATTGACTCCAGAGCCATTCCCTGTTCCCCATTCAACACGACCGGTGGCTCGACTTCCTTCAGGTAACTCCAGAGATGCCCCGAGAACACTGTCCCAAGTCTAGAGGAACACCAACTTCAGCACAGCAAATCGAGGAATGCCCCGTGTACCCCATATTGTCTCGAGATGAGAGCTGATTCCCTGCCTTAGGCTCAAGACGTATGCCAACTTTCCAGAAGCACCTCAGGAGAAGGCTTCTCTCAGCAATAGGTATGTGGGAGGGACCCCGAGTTTGCTGCCTCAAGGGGAATATACAGCAAGAAGCCCTAAATTGAAAGGAGGCCCGATTTCCTTGCAGTGGCTTGAATACAGGCTCGTGTTTCATCTCACAACATGAAGGGATGTCTGAATCCCCTGTGGAGACCTTAGAGAAAGCCCTAGGTCCCTGCCTCATTTTGACGGAATGCCTCACATCCCGCTGACACCTCGAGAGGCACGCGGAGTTCATTGCTTCAAAAGGTGACAATGCCTGACTCCTCTTGAATACTGATAGGAATCCCAAAATCCCTGTGGCTACTGGAAAGGGTCCTTGGGTGCCCTGCCTCACCTCAAGAAGCGTCCCTTTTGCCCTCCGAAACCTCGAAGAGATTCCTGAGGTGTCCCTCGTTACTAGACAGGAGTCCTGACGTCACTGAAGAAACTCGTGTTTTGAAGGGCCATCCCCGCCGTAAGTCGAGAACATACCCCAGGTCCCCGCCGCAACTCGAGAAAAACCATGAGACTTCCCCCTAGAGGCGAGATGAGGCCCCATTCCCCTTCACTGCATGCAGAGCTATTCCGTGATCCCATTCAAACAAGTCAGGAGCTTCGACTTGCTTAATGGATCTCGAGACAGTCCCCAAGAACACTGTCACCAGTCTAGGCGGACCCTGAGGTTACCCCAGCAACGCAAAGCAGCTTCATGTGCCCCAAATCAACTCGAGATGAGGCCCGAATCCCCTGCATTGACTCCAGAGCCATTCCCCGTTCCCCATTCAACACGACCGGTGGCTCGACTTCCTTCAGGCAACTCCAGAGATGCCCCGAGAACACTGTCCCAAGTCTAGAGGAACACCAACTTCAGCACAGCAACTCGAGGAATGCTCCGTGTACCCCAAATCGTCTCGAGATGAGAGCTGATTCCCTGGCTTAGGGTCAAGACGTATGCCAACTTTCAGAATCACCTCAGGAGGAGGCTTCTCTCAGCAATAGGTATGTGGGAGGGACCCCGAGTTTGCTGCCTCAAGGGGAATATACAGCGAGAAGCCCTAAATTGAAAGGAGGCCGGATTTCCTTGCAGTGGCTTGAATACAGGCTCTTCTTTGATCTCAAAACATGAAGGGATGACTGAATCCCCTGTGGAGACCTTAGAGAAAGCCCTAGGTCCCTGCCTCATTTTGACGGAATGCCTCACATCCCGCTGACACCTCGAGAGGCACGCGGAGTTCATTGCTTCAAAAGGTGACGATGCCTGACTCCTCTTGAATACTGATAGGAATCCCAAAATCCCTGTGGCTACTGGAAAGGGTCCTTGGGTGCCCTGCCTCACCTCGGGAAGCGTCCCTTTTGCCCTGCCAAGCCTGGAAGAGATTTCTGAGGTGTCCCTCGTTACTAGACAGGAGTCCTGACGTCACTGAAGAAACTCGTGTTTTGAAGGGCCATCCCCGCCGTAAGTCGAGAACATACCCCAGGTCCCCGCCGCAACTCGAGAAAAACCATGAGACTTCCCCCTAGAGGCGAGATGAGGCCCCATTCCCCTGCAGTGCATGCAGAGCTATTCCGTGATCCCATTCAAACAAGTCAGGACCTTCGACTTGCTTAATGGATCTCGAGACAGTCCCCAAGAACACTGTCACCAGTCTAGACGGACCCTGAGGTCACCCCAGCAACGCAAAGCATCTCCATGTACACCAAATCAACTCGAGATGAGGCCTGATTCCCCTGCATTGACTCCAGAGTCATTCCCCGTTCCCCATTCAACACGACCGGTGGCTCGACTTCCTTCGGGCAACTCCAGAGATGTCCCGAAAACACTGTCCCAAGTCTAGGGGAACACCAACTTCAGCACAGCATCTCGAGGAATGTTCCGTGTACCCCAAACCGTCTCGAGATGAGAGCTGATTCCCTGGCTTAGGGTCAAGACGATTGCCAACTTTCCAGAAGAACCTCAGGAGGAGGCTTCTCTCAGCAATAGGTATGTGGGAGGGACCCCGAGATCGCTGCCTCAAGTGGAATATACAGCGAAAAGCCCTAACGTGAAAGGGGGCCGGATTTCCTTGCAGTGGCTTGACTACAGGTTCGTCTTTCAACTCACACCACGAAGGGATGTCTGAAGCCCCTGTGGAGACCTTAGAGAAATCCCTAGGTCCCTGCCTCATTTTGACGGAATGCCTCACATCTCGTTGACACATCGAGAAGTACGCGGAGTTCACTGCTTCAAAATATGACGAGGCCTGACTCCTCTTGAATATTGATAGGAATCCCAAAATCACTGTGGCTACTGGAAAGTGTCCTTGGGTGCCCTGCCTCACCTCGAGAAGCGTCCCTTTTGCCCTGCCAAGCCTCGAAGAGATTCCTGAGGTGTCGTCGTTACTAGACAGGAGTCCTGACGTCACTGAAAAAACACGTGTTTTGAAGGGCCATCCCCGCCGTAAGTCGCGAACATACCCCAGTCCCCGCCGCAACTCGAGAAAAAATATGAGACTTCCCCCTAGAGGCGAGATGAGGCCCCATTCCCCTGCAGTGCATGCAGAGCTATTCCGTGATCCCATTCAAACAAGTCAGGAGCTTCGACTTGCTAAATGGATCTCGAGACAGTCCCCAAGAACACTGTCACCAGTCTAGACGGACCCTGAAGTAACCCCAGCAACGCAAAGCAGCTCCATGTGCCCCAAATCAACTCGTGATGAGGCCTGATTCCCCTGCATTTACTCCAGAGCCATTCCCCGTTCCCCATTCAACACGACCTGTGGCTCGACTTCCTTCAGGCAACTCCAGAGATGCCCCGAGAACACTGTCCCAAGTCTAGAGGAACACCAACTTCAGCACAGCAACTCGAGGAATGCTCCGTGTACCCCAAATCGTCTCGAGATGAGAGCTGATTCCCTGGCTTAGGCTCAAGACGTATGCCAACTTTCCAGAAACACCTCAGGAGGAGGCTTCTCTCAGCAATAGGTATGTGGGTGGGACCCCGAGATCGCTGCCTCAAGGGGAATATACAGCGAGAAGCCCTAACTTGAAAGGAGGCCGGATTTCCTTGCAGTGGCTTGAATACCGGCTCGTCTTTGATCTCAAAACATGAAGGGCTGTCTGATTCCCCTGTGGATACCTTAGAGAAAGCCCTAGGTCCCTGCCTCTTTTTGAAGGAATGCCTCACATCCCGCTGACACCTTGAGAGCTACCCGGAGTTCACTGCTTCAAATGTGACGATGCCTGACTCCTCTAGACTATTGATAGGAACCCCAAAATCCCTGTGGCTACTGGAAAGGGTCCTTGGGTGCCCTGCTTCACATCGAGAAGTGTCCATTTTGCCCTGCCAAGGGTCGAAGAGATTCCTGAGGTGTCCTTCATTACTAGACATGAGTCCTGACATCACAGAATAAACACGTGTTTTGAAGGGCCATCCCCGCCGTAACTCGAGAACATACCGCAGGTCCCCGTGGCAACTCGAGAAAAACCATGAAACTTTCCCCAAGATGCGAAATGAGGCCTGTTTCGCCTGCAGTGCAAGCAGAGCTATTCCGTGATCCTCATCAAATAAGTCAGGAGCTTGGACTTGCTTAATGGATCTCAAGACAGTCCAAAGATGCTGTCACAAGCCTAGACAGACCCTGACGTCACCCCAGCAACGCAAACCAGCTCCATGTGCCCCAAATCAACTCGAGATGAGGCCCGATTCCCCTGCATTGACTCCAGAGCCATCCCCCGTTCCCTATTCAACACGACCAGTGGCTTGACGTCCTTCAGGCAACTCCAGAGATGCCCCGAGAACACTGTCCCAAGTCTAGAGGAACACCAACTTCAGCACAGCAACTCCAGGAATGCTCCGTATACCAAAATCGTCTCGAGATGAGAGCTGATTCCCTGGTTTAGGCTCAAGACATATGCCAACTCTCCAGAAGCACCACAAGAGGATGCTTCTCTCAGCAATAGGTATGTGGGAGGGACCCCGAGTTTGCTGCCTCAATTGGAATATACAGCGAGAAGCGCTAACTTGAAAGGATGCAGGATTTCCCGGCAGTTGCTTGAATACCGGCTCGTCTTTCATCTCACAACATGATGGGCTATCTGAATCCCCTGTGGAGACCTTAGAGAAAGCCCTAGGTCCCTGCCTCATTTTGAAGGAATGCCTCACATCCCGTTGACACCTCGAGAGGCACGCGGAGTTCACTGCTTCAAAAGGTAACGATGCCTGACTCCTCTTGAATATTGATAGGAAACCCAAAAACCCTGTGGCTACTTGATAGGGTCCTTGGGTGCCCTGCCTCATCTCGAGAAGCCTCCATTTTGCCCTGCTAAGCCTCGAAGAGATTCCTGAATTGTCCCTCGTTACTAGACTGGAGTCCTGACGTCACTGAATAAACACGTGTTTTGAAGGGCCATCCCCACCATAACTCGAGAACATACCCCAGGTCCCCGTCGCAACTCGAGAAAAATCATGAGACTTCCCCCTAGATGCGAGATGAGGCCCGATTCCCCTGCATGGCATGCAAAGCAATTCTTGATCCCCATCAAACAAGTCAGGAGCTTTGACTTGATTAATGGATCTTGAGACATCCCGAAGAACACTGTCACAAGTCTAGACGGACCGTGAGGTCACCACAGCAATGCAAAGCATCGCCATGTGCCCCAAATCACCTCGAGATGAGGCCGGATTCCCCTGCATTGACTCCAGAACCATCCCCAGTTCCCCACTAAACTCGACCAGTGGCTTGACTTCCTTCAGGCAACTCCAGAGGTGCCCCGAGAACACTGTCCCAAGTCTAGAGGAACACCAACTTCACCACAGCCACTTAAGGAATGCTCCGTGTAACAATACCGTCTCGAGTTGTGAGCTGATTCCCTTGCTTAGACTCAACACCTATGCCAACTTTCCAGAAGCACCCCAAGAGGAGGCTTCTCTCAGCAATAGGTATGTGGGAGGGACCCCGAGTTTGCTGCCTCAAGTGGAATATACAGCGAGAAGCCCTAACTTGAAAGGAGGCCGGATTTCCTTGCAGTGGCTTAAATACTGGCTCGTCTTTCATCTCACAACAAGAAGGGATGTCTGAATCCCCTGTGGAGACCTTAGACAAAGCCCTAGTCCCCTGCCTCATTTTGACGGAATGCCTGACATCCCGTTGACACCTCGAGAGGCACGCGCAGTTAACTGCTTCAAAAGGTGACGATGCCTGACTCCTCTTGAATATTGATAGGAATCCCAAAATCCCTGTGGCTACTGGAAAGGGTCCTTGGGTGCCCTGCGTCACCTCGAGAATCATCGCTTTTGCCATGCCAAGCCTGGAAGAGATTCCTGAAGTGTCCCTCGTTACTAGACAAGAGTCCTGACGTCACTGAAAAAACACGTGTTTTGAAGGGCCATCCCCGCCGTAACTCGAGAACATACCCCAGGTTCCCGTCGCAACTCGAGAAAAACCATGAGAATTCCCCCTTGATCCGAGATGAGGCCCGATTCCCTGCATGGCATGCAAAGCAATTCCGTGATCCCCATCAAACAAGTCAGGAGCTTCGACTTGCTTAATGGATCTTGATACAGTCCAGAAGAACAATGTCACATGTCTAGACGGACCATGACGTGAACCCAGCATCGCAAAGCTGCTCCATGTGCCACAAATCAACTCGAGATGAGGCCCGATTTCCGTGCATTGACTCCAGAACCATACCCCGTTCCCCATTCAACACGACCAGTGGCTTGACTTCCTTCAGGAAACTAAATAGATGCCCAGAGAACACTGTCCCAAGTCTAGAGGACCACCAAATTCAGCAAAGCAACTCGAGGAAACCACTGTGTACACCAAATCATCTCGAGATTAGACCTGATTCCCTGGCTTAAGCTCAAGACGTATGCCAACTTTCCAGAAGCACCTCAAGAGGAGGCTTCTCTCAGCAATAGGTATGTGGGAGGGACCCCGAGTTTGCTGCCTCAAGTGGAATATAAAGCGAGAAGCCCTATCTTGAAAGGAGGCCGGATTTCCTTGCAGTGGCTTGAATACAGGCTCGTCTTTCATCTCACAACATGAAGGGATGTCTGAATCCCTTGTGGAAACCTTACAGAAAGCCCTAGGACCCTGCCTCATTTTCAGGAAATGCCTCACATCCCGTTGACACCTCGAGAAGCACGCGGAGTTCACTGCATCAAAAGGTGAAGATGCCTGACTCCTCTTGAATACTGATAGGAAACCTAAAATCCCTGTGGCTACTGGAAAGGGTCTTTGGGTGCCCTGCCTCACCTCGAGAAGCGTCCCTTTTGCCCTGCCAAGCCTCGAAGAGATTCCGGAGGTGTCCCTCATTACTAGACAGTAGTCCTGACCTCACAGAATAAACACGTGTTTTGAAGGGCCATCCTAGCCGTAACTCGAGAACATACCCCAGGTCCCAGCCGCAACTCGAGAAAAACCATGAGACTTCCCCCTAGAGGCGAGATGAGGCCCGATTCTCCTGCATTGCATGCAGAGCAATTCCATGATCCCCATCAAAGAAGTCAGGAGCTTCGACTTGCTTAGTGGATCTCGAGACAGTCCCCAAGAACACTGTCACAAGTCTAGACGGACCCTGAGGTAAGTCCAGCAACGCAAAGCAGCTCCATGTGCCCCAAATCAACTCGAGATGAGGCCCGATTCCCCTGCATTGACTCCAGAGCCATTGCCCATTGCCCATTAAACACGACCAGTGGCTCGACATCCTTCAGGAAACTAAAGAGATTCCCGGAGAACACTGTCCCAAGTCTAGAGGAACACGAACTTCAGTACAGCAACGCGAGGAATGCTCCGTGTACCCCAAATCGTCTCGAGATGAGAGTTGATTCCCTGGCTTAAGCTCAAGACGTATGCCAACTTTCCAGAAGCACCTCAAGAGGAGGCTTCTCTCAGCAATAGTTAAGGGGGAGGAACCCCGAGTTTGCTGCCTCAAGTGGAATATACAGCGAGAAGCCCTAACTTGAAAGGAGGCCGGATTTCCTTGCAGTGGTTTGAATATAGGCTCGTCTTTCATCTCACAACATGAAGGGATGTCTGAATCCCCTGTGGAGACCTTAGAGAAAGCCCTAGGTCCCTACCTCATTTTGACGGAATGCCTCACATTCCGTTCACACCTCGAGAGGCACTTGGAGTTCACTGCTTCAAAAGGTGACGATGCCTGACTCCTCTTGAATACTGATAGGAATACCAAAATCCCTGTGGCTACTGGAAATGGTCCGTGGGTGCCCTGCCTCACCTCGATAAGTCTCCCTTTTGCCCTGCCAAACCTCAAGGAGATTCCTGAGGTGTCCCTCGTTACTAGACAGGAGTCCTGACGTCACTGAATATACACGTGTGTTGAAGGGCCTTCACCGCCGTAACTCGAGAACATACCCCAGGTCCCCACCGCAACTCGAGAAAAACCATGAGACTTCCCCGAAGTTGCGAGATGAGGCCCGTTTCGCCTGCAGTGCATGCACAGCTATTCCATGATCCCCATCAAAGAAGTCAGGAGTTTCGACTTGCTTAATGGATCTCGAGACTGTCTCAAGACAGTTTCTTCTTCTCTCCACCTCATCCATCTATAGGTAACTAACTCTCTGAAAGTCCTTGGGAAAATCTATATAACATTATCAGAGGTATTTTTCAATCATGTTGATCCTTCCTTGTGGTGTCATTGTTTGTATAGCAAATCATCTGCTCCTATGACACAGGGTATATCCCTGAGCCGTGGGAGACAGTGTTCAGGTGGGCAGTACGTCTCAGTGGGAGTCAGTCCAAGGGCTGGTCTGCTCAGCACAGCCAGCGCCAGCCCACATTGTCTTCTATCCCCCAAACACTGAGATTGCTTCAATCCCCGCCACCCATTCGAACCATGGACAGGGAACTTGGCTAAAATCCTGTATATGCTGAGCAAGCATCAGGATCAGAAAAATGAACAGTGATTATAATAATTGTGAGAGTGAGATGAAGTTCTGTGTTTTCAGTTCTTATATTTATGTGTCTTGATTCATTGTTTTATAATTTTAAATTTTGATTGTAACATCATTCTTTACAGTGCTGTGAGTTTCTGCTGTTCAGCAGAGTGAATCATTTATATATACCTTCGTGTCTTAGATTCTATTTCCATGTAGGTTATTACAAAGAATTGAATAGAGTACCCTGTGCTCTCCAGTAGATCTTTATGTATTTTATGTATAGTAGAGTGTATTTGTCAATCCTAATTTATCCTTCACCATTCTTTGGTAACCATAAGTTTGTTCTCTACATTCGAGACTCTATTTCTGTCAATAGGTTTATATGTAACATTCTGTTAGATTCCATATGTAAGTGACATCATATATTTGTCATTCTATATCAGACTTCACTCAGTATGACAATCTCTAGGTTCATCCATGTTGCACACATAGAATTATTTTGTTCTTTTTAAGAGTCGGTAATATTCCATTGTAAACATGAAACACATATGCGTTATCTATTCCTCCATCGAGGATCATTTAGTTGCTTCTGTCTTCAGGCTATTGTCAATAGTGCTGAAACGAACATTGGGGAACAAGTATCTTTTCACATTATATTTTTCTCTGGATATTTGCCCAAGGGTAAGATGACTGTATCATAGCATAACTCTTATTTTTGTCTTTTAAGATCCTTCATACTGTCAGACAAACTGAGGGACTGAACTGAACTGATACTGCTTTTCATAGTGGCTATACCAATCTCCATTCTCACCAACAATGTATGAGGCTTCCCTTTGCTCAACACGCTCTACAGCTTTTATTCTTTGTAGATTTTCTGATGATATCCATTCTGATTGGTATGATCTGATACCTCATTGTAGTTTTCATTTCATTTCTCTAATAATTAGTGATGTTCAGTGTCTTTTCATGTTCTTCTTGGCCACTTGTATGCCTTCTTTGGAGAAATGTGTATTTAGATCTTCCATGTATTTTTTGATTGAGGATTTTAGTTTTTTTTTTTTTTTTGTAAATGTTGAGCTGCATGTGCTGTTACATATTTTGAAGATTAATCCCCTGTTGGTCACTTCATTTGGAGATATTTTCTTCCTTTCTGTGCGCTCTTTTTATGTTGGGAGAACACTGTCTCCCAGGGGTCAGTTTTTAAGTTTGATTAGGCTGCATTTTTTTATTTTTGTTTTAATTTCATCACTATAGCAATTGGATTAGAGAAGATCTTTCTGCGATATATGTCAGAGAGTCTTCTGCCTCTGTTTTTCTCTAACTTTTTATAGTGCCTAGTCTTACATTTACATCTTTATTCCATTTTCAGTTTATTTTTATGTGTGGTGTCACAGATTCATAGATCTATTCTTTTTCAGATTCGTTTCCCTTATAAGTTATTACAGAATATTGTGGAGAGTTCCCTGTGCTATACAGTAGGTCCTTGTTGATTATTTTACATATAGTAGCATCTGTTTGTTAATCTCAACCTCCTTATTTACACTTCCCTTCACTTGTCCATTTGGTAAACATAAGTTTGCTTTTAAAATTTGTGTATCAGTTTCTGTTTTGTGCATAAGTTCATGTGTATCACTTTTTAAGAGTCTACATATTAGCTGTATCATAAGATATTTGTCTTTCTCTGTCGACTGACTTCACTTCTCTGATCATCTCCAGGTCCATCCAAGTTGCTGCAAATGGCAGCATTTCATTCTTTTTATGGCTCAGTAGTATTCCATTGTGTATATACACCACATCTTCTTTATCCATTTGGCAGTGGATATTGAGGTTGCTTCCACATGTTAGGCATTGTAACTAGAGTGCATTATCCTTTCAATTGACAGCTTTCTCCCAGTATATGTCCAGGAGTGGGATTGCTGGCTCCTGAGGCAGTCTTATTTTTAGAAGAGCCTTCATAGTGTTTTCCATACTGGCTACAACAAATTACATTCCCACCAAGAGTGCTCAAATATTTCTTATTCTCCACATCCTTGCCAACATTTATTTGTGTTCTTCTTGATGATGGCTATTTTGGAAGATGTGAGGGGATAACTTCTCTTGGTGTGGATTTTCATTTCTTTGATGATTGCAGATATAAAGCAACACTTCCTGGGCCTGTTTGCCATCTATATATCTTCTTTGGAAAAAATGTCTATTGAGACCTTTGGCCCTCTTTTCAATGAAGTTTTTTATTTTTATTTTTTTGCTATACAGTTGTATGAATTCTTTATATATTTTAGATATTAGCCCCTTACAAAGTATATTAATTGCAAATAATTTCTCCTATTTCATTTTATTTCATTTCTCTTTGTTTTACTTTGTTGACCTCTGCTATAATTCCAGTTTTTACCATTTGCTGTTCTTTTGTGTTTAGAACCAGATGGAAAAATCATTTCTGAGACAGCTGTTAAAGAAG